TGAAGTATACTCGGAGGAAAGCGGGTTCGTCAATTGAATGGATATGGTTGAGCTCGATGGGAAAATAGATGTAGTATAGTGTACGGAGACTAGGAAAGATGAATGATACTAAATATGCTTGGAGGGTGGTTGTACCATACTGTGCTACATCTCTTACATATCACCTTCGTCTCTTCTTTCTCCCACACCTCCTCTCTCCTCTCCTTCCTCTTCTTCTTCCTCTCCTCGTCCCCTCCTCTCTCCTTCAGTCTCTCTGTGTTGTCTTTTTCTTTTTTTCTATCTGGTTGCCTCTTCCTCCTCCCTCTCCCCAACTCCTTCTCCTCTCCTCATCTATTTCCACCCCTGCCCTTTACCCTTTGGGTCCAGTGGTTGTATACTTTCTCATATTACACAGTGTTCTTCGCGTGCTCGCTCCTTTAATCCCAATATCCCAATTGGTTTCCCCACAAACCTCCTTCCTCGCGGCTTGCATTCCCGTGCATCCCCCCTGCACCCCCTCTTGTCATAGCTCTTAACATCCTCCTTTCCCGTACCTTCCTTTCTTCTTTCTTCTCAACTCATCTGCTCCCCCGCCAACGCTTTCGCAATGGAGTGGTCAACGCTGCCTCCCAAGTCGCTTTCACCGGGTTCGGCAGATATTCTGGACTCTATTGCCATGCAACCATCTTCCACAACGTCGTCCGTTGTTGATTCGGCATCTATAACCAATAATTCAATTTCGGCGACAAGTATTTCCACAACTCCAGAGCGAACTTCCGCCGCTGCAGAGGAAGTCTCTGAAAAGGAAAAGAATGAGGTAGTCAAATTAGTAGAAGAGGAAATAGAACATGTCGCAGGAAAAGAGAATGGGTACGAAACAGTTGAAGAGGGAGAGGGAGCCCAAAAGGGAGAGGGAATGGAAAACCTGAGCGAAAATGAAGATGAGAAGGACCAAACGCGCAACACGCGTAAATTACGAGATCGCGCCCGACAGTCTCCGACAACCCCTTCCAACAAAAAATCCACCAAGAAGGTTAAGGAGATCAAAACTATAACAAGACAGCTTAGATCAACAGCGAAAAAACCCTCTTCAGCTTCAGCCAAAAAATTCGCAGACAAAACGCGTCGCCAGAGCAAGCGCCTAAGCATAATTGCTACTAGTAAGCTTTTGGAGACAACGACACCTTCAGCCCCGCGCGGCAAAAGGTCTCACGATGTTATGGCCGCTGGATCGAAGAGCGCCAACGCGAAGCTTCAAGGAAATGGCTCTCATTATGCTGCTGATGGATCTCTATTGAGAGCTAGCAAAAGGTCGAAAAAAAATCTCTCGTACAACGAGGACACTGACGATGAGAGCTCCATTGCACGTGAAACATCAGAAGAACTACCAGAGAATTCGCAAGCGAAAAAGCCGCAGAAGAAGAAGAAGGTTTGGTTGAACCAGGGGCTTTATTTAGGGCAGGGACAGGATTTGGATGTCCGAAAGCGGCCTGGAGGCAAATCAAAGAAACGGGGCAAGCCTGGTGTGGATCGACCAGCCGTACTACCATTGCCTATGTTCACGGGGTCGGTGATTATGGATACGGTTCGGGACTTCAAACTGCCGTTCAACATTTTTGCGCCGAGTCCCTGGAAATGCGGGCCAATTCACAATTGGAAAAAGCTCAATCATAGTACATCCACCCTTCTTTTTCGATCCTTTTTTGATTTATATAATCAAAGTTGCTGGAACTTGTATTCCATTCCATTATTGTCAAGGTCAGTTGGCTAACTAGATGCCCGGTGAATCCATGTGCGTACTTGTTTGTTTGTAGATGTTTTGATTGGAGAAGCTTCCCAGTTATGGAAAAGAGAAAAGGCATCTATGGCGATGTGCGTCTGTGAAGAAGAGAAAGGCTGTGATGAAGATTGCCTTAACCGCTGTACCTGGGTGGAATGCGACGAAGGAAACTGTAATGTGCCCAATAACTGTAGTAATAGGGCCTTTGCGGACCTGAAAGAGCGAGTAAAACAGGGGACAAAATTCGCCGAGGGTGTAGAGGTCATTCTGGTAGTGCTCATATCTCGTTGTTTTGAAATTGCAAGGCTCTTTTGCTGGAAATTTTACTGACGAGAGGAATGTAGACCAAGAACTGTGGGCATGGCCTCCGAGCTACGAGAAGCTTTGCGCCCAGACAGATTGTCGTTGAGTATACTGGCGAGATTATTACGCAGGAAGAGAGTGAAAGGAGGATGATTGAGGATTATAAGGATAATAATGTGAGTGATAAGTCCATCTTAGTGATTGGGGCACTTCGTAGACCGGGCCCTCTGGAGTTGAGCAGTCGCTGATAATACACCCAAACATGAAGAACTACTATCTCATGCTTTTCCACCAGAATATGATTCTGGATGCTACTAGAGGATCAGTGGCACGATTCGTTAATCGTAAGTCTTTGTTCCCGTTGCAATTTGTGGTGTTTCAACACATATTAACGTCCTCGGAAGATTCTTGCAATCCCAACTGTCGCATGGAAAAGTGGCTCGTCGACGGAAAACCCAGAATGGCTCTGTTTGCTGGAGATTATGGAATCGAAGCTGGAGATGAACTTACATATGACTATAACTTCAAGTGAGTACACCCCCGACTTTCAGTATATTTAGGACAAGTGGGAAACTGACATTCTCCTGAAGTTGGTTTACGGGCGTCAGTCAGCAAGCTTGCCACTGTGGAGCCGAAAACTGCCGTGGTGCCTTAGGGAAGCGGGCTGATGGGCTCCAGAAAAAGCCCGAACCCCCAGCTAAGGGCAAGAATGGAAAGGGCAAGAAAAAGGGAATAAATGGCAAGGGTGGAATTGTCGCTGAAGTCAAAAAACCCACAAGAGGAAGGCCAAAGAAAGTTGTAGCCAATGTTCAAAAGTCGGTTATTATCACCCCTAAGAGGAAGTACACCAAGCGGAAGGTTGTAGCAGCGCCTGTGGTGTCGCCTTCCCCTGCACCGGAAGATGACGACTCCCTGGATTCCTCCCTGGATTCCTCCGACGACTCAGATCACCCAACTGAGGCGTCACCTGCTACATTAAAAAAATCTTCTTCGCTCTCAGAAGCTGCTCGGCGTCGGCGCAATTACAACAAAGCTGGTAGGCCTCGTGTTACAAAGACCTATAAAGTCAATAAGACGATACGTGGCGGGAAAGGCAAGATTATTCATAAATCAGTCACCAGCAAAAAAGCAGTTTCGGCGCTCAAGAAGAAAGCGTTTGAAACTGTACTTACCTCAACATCTACAACCACCACCACCACCACAGTTAAAACGAAAACTTCAGGTCCATTATCCTCAGCTTCTTCGGTCACCAGCGCCTCTACAGGAACAGTCATGACTAGGGCTACGAGAAGGAGTCTGGGGGTTACAAAAGCTGTGGACAATGTGGCACAACAGTTACTTGAACAAGCCATCAATACTGTTCTATCCTCGGCTTCAGTTGGTGTCGAGGAAATTCCCGAGGGAGTCATTGGGACTGTTGCCCCGGCCTTGAGTGCCGTCCAGGTCGCAGGTTAAAGGCATAAATATTATGATCTAACAGCCTTCTTTTCTCTCTCTCCTTTCCAAGTTCATATTCAGTTATCAAAAGGACTCATTTGTTTTGGGATTGTGTACATGCGGTTTGCTTTATTACTCTGGCTGTTTTACTGTTAGATTCGAGCCGCTGGTTGTTGGTGTTGCGTCTAGGCTTTATTCGACTTGTGGGAGCGCTTATCAGTACGGTTGGTGTCTGGTCATTCATGTCTGCGTAGGGTGTTGAGAATTGTCGGTCAGTGCGCGCTGTAGAGATGAGATACAGCTTCTCGATTAACTCTATTATTTATTCGAGGACTCTTATTACCCCATTCCTATTTTATTTTCATTTTTGCAATTTCTGTTCTTTAGTTTTCATCTAGTGTGCATTTTTTTTTTTCGGGGGTTATTTCCGGAGGAGGCGATAATGCGTGAGATTTTTTTCCTTTGTCTTTTTCCTTTCCTTTTCTTTTTTCATTGATTTATCAGGGTGTCTTGATTTCCTGGGGAATCAGGTCGACCTCGAAGATGCTACGAATTGATGGGCCCGAGATGAGATGGACTGCAAGAGTAGGAAGCAATAAAAAAACAACTTGTTTCCTGAGAAATCATATCTCAGGATCTTTTTCATTCCCCCCCCCCCCTCCTCCCCCCCTTTTTTTCCTTCCTATTTTTTCTCAATTTATTTTTATGTGTTTCGGGTTTTGGTTCTTCGGTAACATTTTTTCCCTCACCCCTTGTGTTTGATTCTAATTCTGTATCTACGTGTATGATAGTAAGAGAGTTGACTGGTGTCCCATGTGGATGTTGAAAGCAGGGGTACCGGGCGCGTGACGCCGAGAAAATCCAAGGCCTATGCAATTACTAATATTGGCCCCGGGTTCTTGATCCAGTGAGACAAGTCATCTGGCGGGGTTGCATATTCACCGAGTGATATTGGGTGATCCAAAGGTTTGTTGATCCTTTAGCTCCTTAACTTTTTAGAAGCCTAGGGGGGTTCGGTATATAGATGATTCGGTTTAGAAAGCATCTATAATTTACGAGCATGGTCGCAACTGCTAGTGAAGTAGTTTCAATATTTGGTTATTATAGCCAATTTACATGGTTGCGACGCGAACGTCCAGATAATTTTCTACAATACGATGTATGTATATGATATCTCTCAGCTGTGGCCAGACCTTTGTGGCACATGGCGGAGCGATCTGTCCTAACCAATTATAAGATGTGTCAAGAAGCCGCCCTTCCTCTTCCTCTTCCTCTCCATTTACCTCCTACCTGATTCCATCAGTCTCATCTGATCGGGTTTCTCCTTGTCACCAGGGAACGGATACATAGCTTTACGATGCTTGAGTATAAGATATATCCAGATTGATCAATCCATAGGGATAACTCCCAACTCCGAATGTACTTGGACAGCTACTCAACTCAGCCCACTGCATAAGTCAAATAACTACATGTAGCTATATAAATATTTCGAACCTCACCACTATCTGCGTCCAGCCTCGCCTTCCTCGCTCTCACTCGTCTCTACATCCACCATCTCCGCACCATCCTGCTCCTCGCCACTAATAACACTATACCCCTCGCCTCCCCTCGCTGCCGAGCCACCCCTCAAAAACCATGTCAACAGCCCTAGATCATACGTCACCTTCAAGAATCCCGCTACGGAGAACGCCGCACCCATAGCCCCATGTCCTCCCGCCCACCCCGTCACAACTGGTCCCGCTGCCTGCGAAAACGTCTTTACCGTATTCACCACACCCATTACAGCAGTCCTCTCCTGCGGCAACATGACGGCTGCTAGGAATGCTGTCCGTGGTGCTTGATCCATGCTTGCCACGAGCGAGCGGACCACGAGAAGGCTCATTGCGACTGCGGTACCTGCGTCTGTGCCCGGGGGCAGCGGGATAAGCATTAACATAACAGCGGCGGGAAGGTGCGTGTACACCATGGTGCGGATTAGGCCTAGACGGGCGGCAATGGGGATGGCGAGGAGCGAGGAAGAGGCGGAGGCAAGGGAAGTGAAGAGGAAGAGGGTTCCGAGAGTCGAAGGGGGAAGCGAGTGCTTAGTGGTGAAGTAGTAAGTCATCCATGAGCTGTGATTTTTTTACCTGTGTGGTTAGAATGGTTCATAGGCTAACTGCGTATGTATTGATCATTCAAAGAGACACGGGACCTTACGGAGCTGCGAGACCAGAGGCTAGGCTGTCGATGGAAAAAAGGAGGCAGAGCTTCCAGAGGATTGATAGTGACTCTTTCGACATCTTTGGGAGCAGAAGCTCCAACACCCTCCACCTCTTCTCCTTCCCATCCTCTTCTAAAAGCCGCTCCCTCTCCACCGCCCTCTGTGAACTATCCCCACCGCTAACTTCACACTCCTCGGTCAATCCCCACGCCAATCCCATCTTCACCACACCCATAACTGCATACGCCCAAAATATAACCCGATACGCTCTCTCAGCCTCTACTCCCCCATCCATAATCCACCACACCACCCACCCACACACCACACTTCCCAGCGCGCTTCCCAAAGCACCCACGAGCGTATACCACGCAAAAACCTCTGTGTGCCCTGCCGGATCAACAATCTGCGCAGTCACAGACTCCTCAATGGCCTTGAATGGTCCGATCTCATTCCCAGCAGGCGACACAACGCCGACGATGGCCGCAAGGAGAAGGATCCAGTAGTTAGAAGCTGTTGCAAAGGTAACCCCTGACATCGCCATGAGGGCCGCACCGAGGAGTAGTATCTTGCGCCGCCCGAGGCGGTCTGCAAAGAGCGTTAGGAGAAGAGAGATGAGGACATCGCCGTAGAGCGTCAGCGTCATGAACAGACCAGTGAGCGCTGTGGGGTGGTGTAAGGCGCTGAAAAATTGCGCGAGGATTAGGGTACTGGAGCCATAGGCAGCAAGACGGATGAATCGCTGGAGGAAGAGGAGGCGGATATTATGATTTTGGAGGAGCGGGAGGGGGAGGAGCTGTAGTGGGTTTAAACTACGCATTGTGAGTATTTTTCGTGATTTTACGACTGGTTTCAGTTTCTACAGAGCCTTTGAGTTCAATGAGTAGGTAGGTAGGCAGAATCTAACAGCTACACATGTGTGGACAGAGCCCAGGCCGATCGATGCGGGGGTAACTAATTCCTGCTTCCGTACGGGAGTCGGCATTTATTTTCTTTTTATCAGATTGATTCTGCATATCAATGCGAGCATCATGACACGATAAGAGTAGGCAACATGTTTAGTATGTACCACATTGAATTTTGCGTTGAGCACACCCACTGGAACTACCAGTCGAGCTTGAAATTGTTACACTACATGATCATTATTACACTTACACTGGCCAGTCCCCAGTTGCATCACATGTGACAATCCTATAAAAGACGAAAGATTTAAAAACAAGGCTCTCGGCTTGTTTCTCGTAAATAGATGTGAAACTATTGAAAAATGTCCTACCAACATACAGTACCACTTCTTGCCGTCGAAGCTAATGAAGACGATGAAATCGCCCACGATAACAATGATACAGGAGTCCATGACAATAATAACATCCCGGCATCATGGCTCACACTCCCAAACAAAGTGCAGTTAACCCTCCTGGCACTATGCCGCTTCGTGACAGCTATGAGCCAAACATCGGTCCTCTCTTATCTGTACTACTTTCTGGGCTCGCTTGATACCTCGCAGTCCCCGGGCGATCTAGCGCGCCGCGCTGGATACCTAGCGTCGGCGTTCGCGAGCTGTATGTTCCTCACAGGCTGGTTCTGGGGCCGCATGGCAGACAGTATTGGCAGGAAAAAGGTTGTTCTGACAGGGCTGACAGCAACAGCTGTGGCCTGTCTTGTGTTTGGGTTCAGTGAGAGCTACAGTGGGCTAATTGTAGCCAGGTGCTTGGCGGGGTTGATGGATGGGAATATTGCGGTTTTGAGAACTATGATTACTGAGACAGTAGCCGATAAGAAGTGTGTTTTTAAGGCTTTTCTATTACTACCATATAATCATATATTTTGATAGTGTAAATTTACTGAATGTTGTGCTAGGTATCATTCAAGGGCTTTTATTATACCACCATTGGGCTTCAATTTGGGCGCTGTTATTGGGCCTTTGTTAGGGGGAATGCTTGCAAATCCAACATCAGAAACCTCCCCAGCTTCAAAACTGTTTGGACCAGGAACATTTTGGGGCGGCAAGGATGGCGTAGCCTGGATGTTGAGGTGGAAATATGCGCTGCCGAATGTTGTGTCTGCTGTACTAATTGCTATAGTGGTGGCTATGTGCTTTTTCTTCTTGGAGGAAGTAAGGCTACCTTTATTATTACATGGGGATTTTTACTCACTGTTAGCGTATCGTAGACACTGGAGACCCAAAAACGAGAAACAGACGCTGGGCCCTCTATCAGAAAGTGGTTGAAGAGTTTCTTCCCATCGAAATACCAAGCGGTCCCTTCTAGCGATACTGGGCTAGAAACAACAAGCCTATTACACTCCCATTCCCCTTCCCCAAGCCCACCGCCTAAGGCCCCTACTCTCCATAAGATCTGGACCCGCAACGTGAAACTCACCGTCCTCTCCAGTGCCCTCCTTCCCCTCCACATGGCCACCTTCCTACACCTCTGGGCCGTCTTCCTCTCCGCCCCACGCTCTACCACCGCCCCACACCTCCCCATCAAGTTCACCGGCGGCCTTGGCCTCTCGCCCGCCACTATTGGGTTGGTGTTATCCCTCTTTGGCATGTTTGGTATCGCCGTGCAGGTCATAGCATATCCGCCCATTGCGCAGCACCTCGGTATTCTCACCGTCTACCGCTGGTCCCTGGCCATATTCCCACTGGCATACCTGCTCATACCGTACCTGACGCTGCTTCCCCCTGGGGCACTGATGTGGACTGGGGTGGCAGCGGTGATGGTTCTCATGGTCCCGGCGAGGACGTTCTCGCTGCCGTCGTCGGTGATTCTTATAACACGAGCGGCACCCTCATCAGTGGTGCTGGGGAGGGTGCATGGTGTTGCTGCGAGCTTGGCAAGTCTGTCAAAGGCGGCGGGACCGGCAGTAGCGGGGTCGTTATTTGCTGTTGGGATGAAGGCGGGCGTGGTGGGGGTGGCGTGGTGGGTGGTGGCGGGAGCAGCGGGGGTGGGGGTTGTAGTTGCGTTGCTGGTGAGAGAGGATACAGAAGATGATGAGGATATTATAAAGGATGTATAACTTCAAGGCCTCAGACTCAGGTAATGTTGGGCAAGAGCGCCGAGCTGGCTCAAGATTCTAGGCGCGAACTTTCTTATGCACGAGCCAGGCCAGCTCCAAAAGCCCACGTCAACTCGGCCTTATGAAACATTAGTAATGTGAGTAAAATAGTAAAATGTATGCTTCAAGTAAAATAACAATCGAGGTCTATCCACAATCGGAATCTTATCCTAGCAGGTCTATTCCTAAATAGAATAATGCAGGCTCAAGCCCAATTATCTCATAGAACTCAAAGGACTTCAAGCCTTTACACCCACTATTCAAGCCAACTCAAGCTACGGGTCATGCTCTTACGCATCATTATACAGCCACCCTATGGGAGGCAGAAGTGTGTGTAGTGTTATTATGGTAGTGTTAGGACTCAACTTGAGGTTTGTGTGGCTTAGATCATGGCGTCTCACTCGGTACCTGCCATCCTCACCAATCAGCTGCTGTGGTGTATCGGTAATAGCTTGGGATACATACGTGCAATCGGAACGCCTTTTTTGAGGCGTGGGACGCCTTCGAAAGCATTCTGTATTGCTTCGGATGATAGGTTCGAACATAGGTCCACTTCTAAATGGTGTGGTCGCCCCAGGACGCCAATGGGTCCCAGAGGTAAAATATCGAACGAGTTCTAGTCGTCTGGGGTAGGGGGGGCCTTTTCCTGGTATTTTATGACCATGGGGCGGGGCGGGACGTGTCCTTCCATGGTGTCTTCCACGGTGGTCTCCACAATATTCCACCGCTCTCTTCGTGCTGGTGGCGGTTGGTGTTGTTCGGGACTGCATCGTGACGCAGCAAGCTACGCGTGCCGGGCACACAAGATTGGGTTGTCGGCAGGCTATCTCCCGAGCTCTCACCGGGAAACTCACCGGGAATACCCTATGCACTCGTATGAGGAAGCATTAACCTTCCCAGTGTGAATTACTCAACAAAAGCCACACGTATTCGGTCTTGGCTGTAGCCGAGTGGTTGAGAATATTGTGGGTTTAGATTCACATATCATGCGATTTGAAGGAGAATTTACGTCACATTAAACCCTGGCATAGGCCAACTAGAAAGTTGAGCCATTCTTTTCATTGTTTGACTATCTTTAAAAACTTTACAAAACTCCGAAACCCAAGCCTATTCCCCCAATTGAAAGTACATTTCTCATAAAATTCGCTCCCACTCTGCTAATGACGACATGAATTTACCAATTACTGAGATCCACCACGAAGACGAAGCACCAAGTGGAGAGTAGACTCCTTTTGGATGTTGTAGTCAGAAAGAGTACGGCCGTCCTCCAATTGCTTACCAGCGAAGATGAGACGCTGTTGGTCTGGTGGGATTCCCTCCTTGTCCTGAATCTTTGACTTGACGTTGTCAATGGTATCGGAGCTCTCCACCTCCAAAGTGATCGTCTTTCCAGTCAAGGTCTTGACGAAAATCTGCATACCACCACGAAGACGGAGAACCAAGTGAAGGGTTGACTCCTTCTGAATGTTGTAGTCAGAAAGGGTGCGACCATCCTCGAGCTGCTTTCCAGCGAAGATCAAACGCTGCTGGTCTGGGGGAATCCCCTCCTTGTCCTGAATTTTGGACTTGACGTTGTCGATTGTGTCTGAGGATTCAACTTCGAGGGTAATGGTTTTACCCGTCAAAGTCTTTACAAAGATCTGCATACCACCACGAAGACGGAGGACCAAGTGAAGGGTGGACTCCTTCTGAATGTTGTAGTCGGACAGGGTGCGTCCATCCTCAAGCTGCTTACCAGCGAAGATCAAACGCTGCTGGTCTGGGGGAATCCCCTCCTTGTCCTGAATTTTGGACTTGACGTTGTCGATTGTGTCTGAGGATTCAACTTCGAGGGTAATGGTTTTACCCGTCAAAGTCTTTACAAAGATCTGCATACCACCACGAAGACGGAGGACCAAGTGAAGGGTGGACTCCTTCTGAATGTTGTAGTCGGACAGGGTGCGTCCATCCTCAAGCTGCTTACCAGCGAAGATCAAACGCTGTTGGTCTGGAGGGATGCCCTCCTTGTCCTGAATCTTCGACTTGACATTGTCAATGGTGTCAGAAGATTCGACTTCCAACGTGATGGTCTTTCCGGTAACTATCAAAACAGGTGTAAGCAAACAGCTAAACACAATCGAGAACAAAGTAGGTACTTACGAGTCTTGACGAAGATCTGCATTCCTCCACGAAGACGGAGGACGAGATGGAGGGTGGACTCCTTCTGGATGTTGTAATCCGAGAGGGTGCGTCCATCCTCCAACTGCTTACCAGCGAAAATCAAACGCTGTTGGTCTGGTGGGATTCCCTCTTTGTCCTGAATTTTGGACTTTACATTATCGATAGTGTCAGAGGATTCAACCTAGAACATGACACGTTAGCTTAGTTTCAATCAAGAGTTGGCGTGCCGATAAGAGCAGTGGTGGCCTTATCTCGCCACCGATAGCCCTCGCAACAACGAAGACTAGATAGAGAAAATAGGCAACGAGACGAAGAGAATTTAAGTACCTCAAGGGTGATGGTCTTCCCAGTAACTGTGACGGACGTTAGCATCTATCACCATGAAGATTTTGCCGAACGGAAGCGAGCGTCCGTGGCTAACGTAGGGTGCAAGGGGAGCTTACGAGTCTTAACAAAGATCTGCATGATGGTGGGTATTGAGTTTAAGAATGAAGTGGGAGGATATGTGAATTTGGTGTAGGTTTGTGTCGGTGGCAACGATGGTGAGAAGAAGAGAAGGAAGAGGGGGAATAAAGAGGGGAGAGTCGTGTTAAATGTAGGCTCGGGGTGAGGTGGCCCAAACGCCAAGGATAATACTGACCTCACCCCTAAGGAGCTCTGATAGGCCGAAAATGGTAACGTGCAGGTGACTCACGAGATGTGAGCGCGCTTGGCAACCGTTTATCGGTGTTTTAAGTCGCACAGAGTTAGGCTCCCAGACAGAGGCAACATCAAGGCGGCGGGAAAGAGTGTTCAATGGCCGTGTGGGGAATGTCCCTACTAGCACTGCATGCATCTATGAAGCACTTCTTATTCTACATACTTGTCGCAGCATTTAGAAGCTCTTCAATTTCTCTGTGATTCGCAAAATAAATATTTACATTTACACTAATCAAAGCCTTGCCTGAATTCCCAAAGAATCCTCCACAAGCTTCACCGTCTCCTCCGACATGCCATAGCTTGCCTGATCTTAAAAGCACATCACATTAGCACACGTACCCCAAGTAACATAATCAGTGAACAAAGAACAAAAGAAAAGGAAACCTACAGCCAAAACCCCCCGCACCGTAGTTATGCACTACTTTCAGTCCTCCAATAACTTCCCTCTCTACCCTTGGCCCACCTGTCCTAACCGGCCTCAACCCCACCCCATGCCTCACTACATCCAACCCTTCGACGCCTTGTCCCGCTTTGACTAATTCTGGGCACCACTCTATTGCTCTCCTCATAATCCGCTGCGCCAGATTCATGTCAGGCTGCGATTCCCAGTTCCCCTTCTGGTAGCTCCCTCCGAGAACTGTCCCGCCGCCTGCGGCCCGCATCATGATGTACATCACGTCCTCGTCACCATCGTCCGTCCCCGACGTTGTATACATCGCCGGGGCGGTGTTACGGACTAGTACGATCTGCCCGCGCGCGGGGTAGACGGCCTTGTCAGACACACCGCCGAGCTTATGGGCACCAAGTCCTGTACAGTTTACGACGATGTCCGCGGGCTGACCAGAGGAATGCAGTGATGCCGCTTCTGAAATATGTTTCACGTTTCCACGCCTGATGGTGATCCCAGCCTTAAGGCATTGTGATGCGAGGTAAGAAAGGTATACAGGGGCATTGATGCAGACGGATTTCCACCTCGTTCCGTGAGCGACACCAGGGGGAAGCTCAGTTTGAGGAATCACTTGGAACTAAATCACACGCTGGTATCAACATTGAACTCACTAGGAAAAGGGTCTTCAGTATATACATCGGGAACCAAGTCTTTGAACCATGGTGATCGCAGGAGAAGGTCATTGAAAAACTCGCTTGAAGTGCTGTCTTTCTCCCGGGTATAGATAACCGCATCTATTATATATATAAGCCAGTGATATGGTGTATGGTTCAAGGATGTGTGGATATTTACCTTGGACATGAATCCCAGCTTCAGGCACGCGTTCGGCCAGCCTCCAGAGCTCTTTGAATGTTACCGCATCCCAGCTCGCCGCGCGCGAGCCCCCGGCAGAAAACCTGGGGATTTGAAGATTAGCTGTAAAATTCCGAGACTTCGGCAAAAGTCGCTTACGGCATAAAATTGGCACCTGCCCATGGAGAAGTGTATTCGATATCGTAGTCGCCAGGCATATGCTTCGCTATAATTGTGATATTATGATTCCCGCGGCGACTAAGGAGGAGAGCGGTTGTTAATCCAGCAACGCCAGCTCTAGAAAAACGATTTTAGTTTATCTATACATCTCAAAGAGCAGGTGAATTTAATATACCCTAAGACGACTATGTTTGCGCTTGCGGCCATTATCGCAAATTGTCTGGTTTGCGACTCAATTCCTATATCAAAGTTTTCGTTCAGTTGTCGGTGGAAAGTATTTAGTGCTAAGGTGTAGAACTAGAAGATAAGAGTTGGATGGGGAGAAGGAACCACATATTTATTACTGTTATCACTAAAGGGGCGGGCACTTTACTTCTATTAGGTCGGAGGGGCGGCATCGAACTAATCAGGTTTTGACCGCACCTGTTAGTTGCCTATCGTGGGAAGGTGCAAGCCATGTGCAGGCCCCTCAACGCCCGGACTATCATCATGCAGGAGTTACTTACTACAATCGGTCGAGAATATACTCTATTAGCGGTTACGATAGAAATCGTGAAGCACCATCTCAACTAAACTCTCTCGCATCCGATTGCTGCTTCTCATACATATCGCTACATCCGAAGGGTGTAATCTGGGACCGAGTGATAGGCTGTGATTGAGAAATATTATGGAGGGGCTACATGTAAGCATAAACAAAGAATGCTTGTATCAGTGGTGTGATCTATCAATCCCAGTCAGATCACAACTGCACATAGCTCCCAGGGTCTAATACATGTAGTTCCACCCAAATACGTGTACTAGCCCGGGATTGTTACGCAGCCAAGATTTGGGCCGAGGAAATTACTTTGTTGATGATCAGGTTAGTTATACATATGGTGGCTTTAAGGCGCTGGAAGAAAAGAGAGGTGGCAGAATCACCAGTTGTGACCAGCGATCATAAATACGTAGCCACAAGGGCTGGGCATGGGTCTTATCTTTCTTTCCATCATTTTACTTCTGAACCCCCTCCCAAACACATAAAGTTGGCTCTCATATCATCTTCAGCTTCAGCTTTCTATGTCTATCACGGTCACGTATGATGGAATCTCACACTATCGTTTGTCACCAATTGCACCTTAGCCTCACGAGTGATAATGCGTGAACCAGTAATACTAACAAAAATAACTAGAGTTCTATATTACAAAGCAGAAAATCCCAAACTTATACTTTTTCCTTGCCTTCAACGCTCACCCCTAATCATTCCAAAGGTCCCAATAAACGAAACGCCAAGAATACATCATTTATAGAGTATCCAACAATCCCTCGCTCTCCAACAACAACACAATCTGGTGGACAATATTCCTCACAGTCTGCTTGCTGGCATCAACAACCAAGTGGGGCTTGACCGGGTTTTCATATGGGTCATCGACACCAGTGAAGCCCTTGATCTCGCCGGCACGGGCACGCTTGTACACGCCCCTCTTGTCGGTCTTCTCGCAGTACTCAAGCGGGGTTGCGACGTGGATGAGGTAGAATGATCCGAACTGGCTGATAGTCTCCTTGGCCTGAGCCCTCGAGGCCTCGAATGGCGCAATAGGAGCAGCAATGACAGCGGCACCAGAGCGGGTGAGCTCAGCGGCAACGAATGCGATACGCTGGATGTTTGTGTGGCGATCCTCGCGCGAGAACCCAAGCTCAGCAGAAAGCTCGGAACGCACGGTCTCTCCGAGAAGAAGGGTGGTAGACCTTCCTCCCTGTTGGTTGAGAGTGACCTGGAGGGCACGACCAATGGCGTCCTTGCCGCTGTTGGTGTAACCGGTAAGGAAGACTGTGAAACCCTGCTTGTTGCGGGCGGGTGGCTCTCACGGAGAACCTTGACAACCTCTGGGTACGAGAACCACTCAGGAATCTGAGTGCCGGTACGGAGACGGCGGCGGAGCTCGGTTCCAGAGATGTTGAGAGTCTTGGTTCCAGGCTTGATCTCGTCGACAGGGGCGTACTCATCGGTGTCGGGGAGGTAGGTCATCATCTGGAAGGGAACAACCTCGATCCCAATTTCCTCCTTGTACTTCTCCACGGCGTGCTGAGCGTCATAAGGTCCGTAGAACTCAACGCCCTTGCTGTTTGACCCAGGTCCAGCGTGGTCACGACCGACAATGAAGTGGGTTGCTCCGTGGTTCTTACGGATGATGGCGTGCCAGATGGCTTCACGGGGACCACCCATACGCATAGCGAGTGGGAGAAGACCAAGAACGGCCATACCGTTGGGGTATCTAGGAAGGAGGGCCTGGTAGACACGGACACGGGTAAAGTGGTCGATGTCACCGGGCTTGGTAAGACCAACGACAGGGTGGATGAGGACGTTAGCCTGGCGGGTGCGGGCTGCGCGGACAGTCAATTCACGGTGAGCGCGGTGCATAGGGTTTCTGGTCTGGAAAGCGACAATCTTGGACCATCCGAGCTTCTCAAAGTGGAGACGGAGCTCGGCGGGAGTGTCTGTGGTTTGCGATATAAGCTTCCGGATCTTAAATGATGGATGGGTATGCTTATAGACTTACATCTCAAACCGACATAGTCGTAGTGGCTAAGCCTCTGGATAGCTTGGATTTTACCGCCAATGTAAAACTCCTTTGCGGTCTTGTACAGGTAGACAATTGCGGGGTGCTCATCGTCACCACCAAATACCATCTTGGCCTCCTTAGCTCTACACACATTATTAGCGCTACTTTACAATCTAGAGGGGGAAAAAATGGAAGCTTACTTGTCAGGCCTGTAAACATCATCAACGGTAATGATAGCTAAATGGCGGTCATCACGGAAATCTCTAAGTGTAACACGAGAACCTGGCTTGATCGCAGCCTCGTCGATCTGTTCCTTAGAGACGTCAAGGGTGATCGGCATGGAGAACAAGGTACCGTCTGCGATACGCTCATTCTCAACTACACCGTTGTAGTCCGCCTCGTTCATGAAACCTAACCAATGAGCCCCAAATCTACAAAAGAAAAAACGATCATTGACACAGGCGGTTGTATACCCTCCAAAGGAGAAAATCCTCCGCTCATGATCAGCTCCAAATCACATAGCTGTCTCTCGGTCAAGACAATTGACGGCAGAGTCTCACTCTCGGTGAGAAGCTCCTGGTACTTGGGAAGATCCCTAGCGATCAGGTCCTTCAATACACCACCATGAGGTTCAGGAAGTCCAGCCATTTTTGTTCTAAAATATGTGTTTTATTGGGAAAAAGTTTGAGAGGTAGATCGACGAGTGCGGAGAATGAAAGGAAAGGAAGAAAGAAAAGAGACAGAGAAAAAAAGAGGGGGAATAAAAAGAGATCCAGGATAGTAATAATTGCATGAACTACCGATTAGTTCCGGCGGGCCCTATACGCGGGAATGACATTTTAGGCCATCAAAACCCCCCTCAAACTACGGTAGTCTAAATGACGTGCTTTTTGAGGCTGATTAGTTTTTTATCCAAGTCTCTTGGCCTTAGCTTCCTTTACTTTCTATCGCTATTTTCGGATCTTTGTCTGGGTTACAGAATTTCATTTTGTTGCGCCTAGGCGACGAGTACACAAAGCCATATTGAGTAGGAAAATTTTCTAGTGGGGAAGAGATGGCGGGGTGGTTGTAACCTGTAGAAATAGATGCGATGGCATCATCGGGATTGGAGGACGTTGATTTGAAGAAATTGATTTCACAAGATGCTACAACAGGCCGTTATCTGCTCTATCGGAAGAGGAAGCGCAATCAATCAAGCCCTACTCGTAGCTTCATGACGTTTCCGAACACGACTGCTATTGCATACCATGCAAAAAAGCGCTAAATCCACCTTTTTGTATGTCATGCAATATTGGTCGTGTTCGGAAACGCTATGAAGCTACGAGTAGATAGATCCTGATCTAGAATAGTCCCTGGGTTCCACATTTGAAGGGGCCTCTACCATTTTCCGCGGAGAGGACCCTTACAAGATGTAGCCAAAGCCAATTGCGCTATTGATAAGCAGGCAGGTGCGCCAAGAAAAATTAATATCACTAATCTGATCAATCTGATTGCTTGATAAGAAACCGTTGGCCCGTGAAACTATCAATCCAACCTACTGTCACTCGCCGCCTGCGGACGTCATTCCACCAGGCCTCTTTCACAGAAACACCCCAGAATACCCCATCAAGCCCTGTAAAACCATGGCTGATACCGCATTCCGTGCCCGGTCTTTGGTAACTCCCCCCGCACCCCGCACCCCGCACCTGCCAATTGTCATCAGTCCGCTAACATTCAGGCACCAACCAATCCGCAGTACCGCAACCTCCTGCGATTCAGTAACCGTTTCGCGGCATACAACTTTCGCGAATATGCCAAGCGCCGTACGAGAGATGCATTCCTGGCGAACCGCGGAGAGACAGATCCGGGCAGGATAAATGAGATGCTGCAGAAAGGATTGAAGGAGCTGCAGGTTGTCAAGGTACGGAAGCTATCTGTATGGTGGTGTTTGAGTGTTGGGAAGGATACAGGGTGGCTAATTGAGCGGCGCGAATAGAGACAGACGGTTGTTAGTCAGTTCTTTCAGATGGATAGACTGGTCGTGGAAGGACAGACTTCGGTATGTTACCTTTCCCGGCAGTGGGTGGGTGCGAAGCGGTGGTGGAGGCAAAGAGGCATTGACTGACGAGTGTGTATGCTGTAGGGAAGGCAAACTGGTGGAAGAGGCGACATTGTCAGACAAAAGGATACTGGGTAGGTCTCCCTATTTCCGAGACATCAACTCTCACCCGTCTTGAGTTTCTGGGTACTGATTTTTCTACAGTTGGAACTAGACAATTTTCTACTACTACAATTCGAACCCCCCCCCCCCCCCTTTCGGTTTGAAGGTGGGATTTTCTATTCTATCTTATTCCCCTCTACTCCAACCCACCCAAAACAACCCCATCTCTACGAATGTAGGTAGCCAGGGCCTACAACAGGATACAGGCACTGTATGATATGAACTTGGCTGTAAAATATAAAATGTTATGTTGTTGCTGCTCCAATGGGTTCTTTCTCGGTTTGTGGTGATCGAGGTGATCGCTACTGAGTACTTGTAGCGCCTAGTAACGACTCTTTGGGACTTGTGGTTCCATAGATATAGGCCGAGGCCGAGGATAAAGTTGTCGCTAAAGGTGATTTTGTGCTGTGGTCTCGGCGGATTCTGGGTAGTCATGTCAGGATGGCTACATATAGTTATGGGGTCAATTCTATAGCTGCGGTTGCCTTCCCTCGTACTTTCTATACTCAATTTCCACATTTCTCTCCTACTACATGTATGTATGCTAAATTCTATGCCTTTCCCATTCGCATTCTTCAGCTTAGAAAACCACACAATACAACTACATGTATGTACATGTAGCTATTACATCAGGACTAGAAATCTGGTGTAAGGTGGCCTCAGTAGCTTAGCTAGACGTGTCACCTTTCTATGCATAAGAAGACAGGCTTTCATCCTCGTGCACCACCATACAATCGATCATCCATCCATGATATTCCTACTACCATCCTAATATTACCTATTCAATTGACAGGGAACTAGTTAGTTTTTAACAGTCACCGTATTATGCAAGTATGTTACTTCTCTCTAGAAATCTTTAAGTTAATTGAGCCGCAGATGCAACTCCTCTTTATATCCAGCACATACTCCTCCTCGAACCCAAAACCGCACTCTTCCCTCCTGTGAGGATCCAACTAGGCCGGGTAATACAGGCCGCATCACGTGCGCTCAGCCAGCTTTCTCAGTCCGTCGCGACGTCTCCCGCAGGCAACAACGGACATCGCGCGTTTGCCCACGAAACACTTGGGAGAAGAGCTACAGACAGCTTAGACACAGCGAGCCATTCGGTCACGACAGCCCCTTTGGATAAAACTAACAACCATAATACTTCTCGCCATATTATATTAACAGCAAAGCCCCCCTCTCCAGTACACGCGTAATAACAAAAATTTAACTCCCAATTATGCCTGCCCGTATCTCTTTTGTACGCTTCCCCCCCCCCCCCCCCCTTCATAGCTCTCCCTCGACCCCCACAACAAAACTAATCTAGCCACAGTACCGCCCCACCGGCCAGTCCCGCCGCCAAGCCCGTTCCGCTCACGACCACGACGTCTTCGAGGGCCTCCCTGTCCGCCGCTGGTCCCGCGACTGGGTCTCCGTCGGCAAGTCGCAACCCCCGCCGCCTCCACAGCCAGAGCTCCCGCTCCCCAAAGAAACCCATCTCCTCCAACCCATGTCGCAGGCGCTCCTACAGGCTGCGCGCTCCTCCTCCTCAACCACACCCAAGCCCGTACCTGCCGCGCCCAGCCCCCCCGGCGGACGCAGGTTCATGACGAAGCGCTGGGTGCGCATCGCGAGAAACATGGAGGGACCTGAACCCGTGTACCTCGCGAAGGTGCCCGACCGCCCGCGCCGCCGCGGGGAGGAGGTGGTCGAGGTTGTGCAGCAGCAACTGCAGCAGCAACAACAGCCGACAACGGCGACGAGGCGGCGCGTGCCGCCGCCGAAGAGGAAGGCGAAGCCGAGAGGGAGGAAGCCGGGGCCGAAAAAGACGGTGAGCTTTGCTGAGGAGCGCTTGAGGACTTTTCCGATTATGGTGCCGCATAATTCGGATCCGAGGGCGCCCGGGGGGCCGAATCCGCCGGATACGGTGATGGTGGATGCGGCGCCTGTGGTGGTGGAGGAGGTGAAGGGGGAGGCGGAGGCGGAGGCGGGGGAGGAGAAGAAGGAGGAGGAGGCGGGTAGGAAGGAGCATCCGTTGCCTCCCAGGCCGGCGGGACTGCCGCCGAAGCCGGTGGGGGCGGCGGATTTGGGGGCGAAGTAGACTTTGGGTCTCTGAGAGACTGTTTGTGGACCTTTTTTTTCTTTTTTTTCTTTCTTTTTCTTTACTTCTACTTCTTCTTCTTTTAGAGTCTAATAAGTAGTTATGGAACTCTTACAATAGCGATATATGCCCCCCTTTTCTTTCTCCCCCCTTGTATTTTTCTGAGTCGTTTCTTTGTATTTGGGGCTGGCTGGCTATGCTGGTTGGGTGGTTGGGTGGTTGTGGAGATTATAAACTGGTAGCTTAGAAAAATCTTACGTGCAGTTGGTTTTTGTCTTGCCGTTAGAGGTTGTGGAGGCAAGCTATGTACAAGTGTTCGGCGAAAACTTGGCTGGGGCCTTGGCAGGCGCTGCTTGGGGAAATATCATTGACCCTCGGTGGTTTTGTGGGTAGAGATGAGTATTCTATAACTCCACGGGAATAACTACATGTAGCTAGCCCATCTGCAATAGTGAAAAGAAGGAGATGAGTGAGTACTTTGATAGAAAGAAAAGAGGAATTTGGTTTCCCGGTTACATGTACTTTTATCCCTTTAAATCTCGATCCTCTACGTCTGTCAATTTAATCGGTATACTTTGTTGTGCTACGTAATGCGTCACGGAAGCTGAAGTGTCTGGTGAATGGTGAATGATAAACTGCTTACTTGTATGCTTTACATATACCTTATTTTTATCTTCTAGTTATCTAGATTAATCTAGGTATTCAGGTCCCGGGTAAGAACACATGGAGAAAGCCCCAACAGAACTGCCAGTGTTCTTTTTCAAGTGTCTTAATCTGTGTATCGATATATCGATATATCGATTACCTGTGAGAATTAAGAAGATCATCACTAGTGCCTACATACGTATACATACCATATAGGCCGCAACACCCGCCAGAGGATACTGTGTAGTTAAACCACATCCCGTGTACGTGAGGACGCATACTAACTAGCTAGCTAGCCAGCCAGCCGTTGAAAAATATGGTGATGTAGAATACTTGTAAGTACATGTAGTCCTGTAGTCACCCATAGCCAGGCTCATGATGACAGTCCACTTTCTTCACCCTGCTGCCATATATATATATATATGCATGTCTTTATAACCCTCACGTCACCACCGGCACCGTTATTCCCATCCCGATCCCGGGACCAACAGGTACAGCGGTTGGTTGTGGTCATTGTGGCGGTGGTGGTTATGGATGTTAACTTGCTAAATACCAATCGCTATATTTTTGCTCTGGGCGTTAATTGTACCATGGATGTATGTATGTATGTATGGATGGATGGATGGATTGATGGAGTCTGGACGGACGTTGTTCCGGGCTACATACATGTATCTGTGCTGTGCATTTGTATCAGAGGGGTTTTTTTTTTTTTTTTTGTTTAATTCATTAATTTCATTTTGTATCACAGGTAGCTATAGTTTGGCATCTAAACTGTGCCTATAGCTATAAGAGCTCTCTCTCTCTCTCTCTCTCTCTCTCTCGTTTGTTTTCTACTCTGATCATCGGTCCACCCCATAGTTCTTTCCAGAATCCTACAACTCTGCTCCCTGTAAATGCTAATAAACAGCCCACCCACCCACCCATTACCCCCGGAAAAACAAAACCACAACACTCACCATCCATAAACCGACCGTGCAGACTCCTTGGTTTATTTCTACAAACTAGAGTTAACCACGAGCGAAGCCATCTTACAGCCTCGACGGGCCACAACCCATAACAACTCAAAAAGCTAAACCACCACAGTCCATGATACGCCCCCCCCCCCCCCCCCCGAACAGACAGACACTACACTATTACAGTTTGCAATATAAGAGACGAGAAGTCGAAGGCTGCCTGCCAGACTGCACGCAGTGTTCGTGGGTTGGTTGTGGGTTGGTTGTGGTCGAGTGCCAAGATCATGTGCAGATTATCATTGACCCATGAGCTAGTGGAGTGGAGTGGTTGGTTTTAATTTTCCTTGGATCGATCAAACGCGGAGAACTTCTCTTGGGGGTTTTTTTTTTAAGCTCGGATAACTAGGTTGTTTACTCTATTCACGAGAATTAATTATCGGCATTTTGGAAGAAATGGCACTGTACTATGGTTTATTTTACGGAGTTATATAGCCAGCTAGCTAGGTATATATACCAACGATAGATAGCTTAATTCAAGCATTGTTACGGTTATGTCTGTCTGATTGCAGCCACGTACCCTACTTAATTTTTCTTTTTTCTACTCTCGCAAGCACCACCAATTTGAAAGCAGATCGAACAGCACGACGAAGAAGCAGAAGAACGAAACAGAAGAGAAGAAATAAGACCACTACAGTAACAACACCATTCCGGCGCCCCCCCCCCTTTCTTCCAACCCCCAAGCAAGCAAGCCAGCGTCCTTAGCCACCACTCCCACGGATGCTATCCAAAGTCCCCAATCTCCTCCCCGTCGCACCCGGCGCCATTCTCCCAGGCCCGCCCATCCCCGCGACCCCCCGCGCAACGGGGCCCTTGTCCTTCCTATTGACATTAAACGGCGACTCCTCAGCCGCGCTCACGGGATCCAACTACAACCAACCGCGCCACCCGCACCCTCATCAGCGCCCATCCACACCCATTTCATTTTCATTTCTTCACTGCCCACGCCACCACCGGAAGAGGTAACTTACACTAAACAGGCTCATAAAGTACAGCCCAAAAAACACCACGGCGGCATTCACCCACCCGCGCATCTGTGCGCCCACGGGCGCGCCAGCGACAACCTGGCCGTCGCGCACATACCGTGCCGGCTTTGCACCACCACCACCAACACCACCAACACCACCGGCGGCGGCGGTGGCAGACGACGACGCCGACGCCGACGAGCTGGAGCTGGAGGAGCTGGAGCCGAGGTGTAGCCCTTGCCGGAGGTTGCGAAGGTGGTGGCGGCGGACTTTGCCTCGGCGGCGTACTTCTCGACGGCGGTGGTGAGGCCGCGGACGTCGGCGCCTTGGATGCGCGCGACTTCTTGCCGGTTCTTGAAGATTAGGAAGGTGGGCATTCTGTAAAAAAAGGATTGCTGGTCAGTAAGTGGGGGTGGGAGGTGGGGAGGGGGGCGGACGCTCGGACGCCGTATTGGGCGGCAATCTCCTGGGCGGCGTCGACGTCGCACTTTGTGAACGCGACCTTTGAGGGCGCGGCGTGCTTTGTGGCGAGGGACTCGAAGGTGGGTGCGATGGCTTTGCAGGGGCCGCACCAGGTTGCGTGGACTGTTTTTGGTGCATGCTGGTTAGCTCTGGCAGGTGGGTGGGTGATGGAGGGAGGGGAGGGGAGGGGAGGGGAGGGAGGATGGCAAGGAGGTAGGTAGAGTAGACAGGTAGGTAGGTAGTATTGGGAGAGCAGCCTACAGTCAATAATAACAATCACATTCTTTGAGAGCGTCGTCGAGAGCTGCGAGAGAGAGCTGAGTGTTTCGATTTTCGCCATTGCTGCAGAGAGTTGGGGGAAGGGGGGAAGAAAGGTTGAAGGTTGAGGGTTGAAAGAAAGCTCTTCTCCTCTTACTCGTCGTCGTCTTAGCATGCAGACTAGCACTACATAAGGCCATTTGTCAGGAGAACAGGGTTAGGGGTTGAAGATGGATCCCTGCGTGGAAACCTCGCTTGCCGATCATTTCTCTTCTTGTTGCGACTACAATTTGGGTTTTGGTTTCTCGACTTGCTGCGACACAAGGAGACACCATACACCACCACACACACCGCCAGTATAAGAATACACAAAACACACACTCTGGAATAGCCACAATTACAATTCCCAATGGCTGATCCTGTCTCAAAGGTAGGTACCCACAACCCCCCAATTACAATTTTTATATATAAAAAAAAAGTCTACCTCTACTCATTCCACCCCCCTCCCCAGAAACGCAAAACCTCCTCCTCCACCAGCACCACCAACAGCAGCAACACCAATATACGACCCTACACCCTCACCATCGCCCTCCCCAGCACCCTCCTCACCACCGCCCCCAACCCCCTCCTCAAAGCCCACCTCGCCGGCCACCTCGCGCGCATCAGTGCCCTCCACAACGTCGACGAAATAGTCCTCTACAACCCCACCCCACCCCCACCCCAGCACCCCCCCCACCACCGAAGAACAAGACCAACTCCCCCACATCCTAACCTACCTCACCACCGCCCCCTACCTGCGAAAACACCTCTTCCCAAAACACCCACACCTCCGCCACGTCGGCCACCTCCCGCACCTCTCCCTCCCCACACACCCGCGCCCCGGACCACCAGCACCCGGCTCTGTCCGCAGCGCACTCGTCGTTGAGTCTCTCCCCGGGGGTAAACTGGCGCTCGATGCCGGCCTCGAGCAGCAGGTCGTTGTGAAGAGCGCCGTGGGGGCGGGGTGGGCACGACGGTGCTCCTGCGCATGGGCGCCGACGGTAAGGCAGCGATAGTGCCGCGGCGCGAGTGCGGCGTGTACAGCGGGTACGCGGTGCGCGGCGCGGAGGGGCTGGCGGCGGTGTTTACGGAGTGTGTGTGGGAGGGCGGGTATGATCTTACCGTTGGGGTATGCTGTGGTGATGGTGGTGGGGTGCCGCTGGATGAGGCTGTGAGTGGGGATGCGGGGGCGGGGGTGCCGGGGTTTCGGCATTTGCTTGTTGCGGTGGGGGACTTGGAGGGTGCGGCGAGGGGGGATGAGGGTTGGTGGGGATGGGGTTCGGGGGGGCGAGGGAGCTGTTTGATCTGTGGGTGGACCCGCTGCCGGGTGTGGCTGTGAGGGTGAGAATGGGGGGGTGAGGGTTGAGGAGGCGCTGTTTGCGGCGTTGGTGGGGCTGAGGAGGGTGTTGGTGGAGAAGGGGGGATGTAGGGTGGGGGTCGAGTGAGTTGTGGTGATGCGGGATGGGTTTCACGGATGCTTTTTTTTTTGGCTTCCTTTTTTTTTCTCTTTCTTTCTTGTTTCGTGGGTTTGGTTCTATGGCTATAGTTATGGCTGGGTGGGTGGGTGGGTAATCTTTAATAGATAGTGTTGATGGTGCCTACTAATCAGGTTATGGATTGTCATTGATAGTACATATTCCGGTCCTTCACTTGCTAAAAATGGTTTATACAAATCCAGTTGAATCTTAATTCTCATTAGAGTACTTTAGTGAGTCTCTCAAATCCATTATTCGGCCCTATTCTTGCACGTAAAACGGTGTGTCGCACGCAGAAATACGGGCCAAAACACAGGCAGAGACACAGCGCCTAAACCGCTCTATCCCTCGGAGTCAACACCACAAAATACTCAAACTTCTTCCTCCCCAAATCACAATACTTCTCGTACTTGCCCAATAGCGTGCCTACGCCAGTATCAGCCCTATCCCTCTCCCAGCCCCTCCTCAACCCCATCCACCCACGCACCTGCCCACTCTCCCAGCCCTCCCCCTCCACGCCCACGGCCGCAAGGTGGAAGAACACCTTATGCCGCAGCAGCGCGTTCCCGCCCGCCATGACCTTTTTCGTCATCAGCCAGTCGCAGTTCTGCAGGTCGTGGCCCCATAGCAGTAGTAGGTCCGGATACAGCGTGTCGAACGCTCTCGACCACTGCGGCCAGCACACGTGGCGCTTGAAGTGACGGCTGGCGGTCATGAGCCGTGCGTGCAGGTGGAAGTCGGCCAGCTGTTGCAGGGTGAGCGGGTTGCGCCGCGAGAAGGCGCGGACGCTGTCGTATCCAAAGCGGTAGGCTAGCAGCCACGAGGCGAAAAATAGCGACAGGGTCGGGAGGGCGGCGGTGGGCGGGGGGAGCACGGCCTGGAGCGCTGGAGGAGCGGTTGAGGGTTTCCAAGTTTCTGTGATTGGAGGTAGCTGTTAGTGGCAGCTTGAGATTTGGGGCAGATGTATGACGGGCCGGTGAGTGGCTGGCTACTTACAGCGATCCGCATACAGTCGTTGAACAGCTCCTCATAGTCACAGAGCTTCCTAGCGTCCTCCCACTCCATCTTGAACGGCGCGTCTAGGTCCTTCTGAAGCCCTGCGATGTCGGTGATGGCGCCACCTGCATCGTGGTACCGCCGGTAGACCAGCACTTCTTTGGCAACCTCCCAGGCGCCGCCGTCGACCAGTTTCCGCACGAGGCGGCTGGTGCTCATGCCGGAGAAGGGCTTGTAGGGCTCTACGTAGCTGCGCGGCCCGGCGACGAGGGCGCGCAGACCAAAGATGTCGCCGCAGTTGGTGTACTGGCCATTATGTCTCCTGAGGGCCACATTTGGGGTGTCGAGCGCGGGGGAGGTGGCATGGCTGTGGAGGTGTGGGGGCTCTTGTGTGCTGTGCTGTGGGGGCTGGCTGGTGGTGTGCGGGGGGGGGGGGGGTGGTGGGTGCGGATATGTAGGCTGCTGGGGGGTGGGGAGGGAAATGATCGGATTGACGGGATTCGTATGAGTGGGCGTGAGTAGGCCTTAGATAGCCGGAGCTCTGGAAATGGAACGACCCCAGTATAGTTAGAAGGTATCGCTGTTGCTAATAGACGGATTCCCTATTGATCATGATTTGATGGATTGGGATTCATCGGTCATTAGTGGGGCAAGAGGAGAGTTTATATATATCCGACCCTCAAGGGGGCTTGGCCCGATAGGTGAACGTTCTTGCGTTGCTGTATTTACGTTTTTCCCCTTTCTATCTTTTCTTTCTTATAACTATTTTACATACGATCTATAAACCAATCCATTAGTTACTAAAAAAAATTGAGAACGCAATTTCAGTTACTCACCAAGAACCCCCCCCTTTTTTAAAGGCCCAGAATTAAACACCGCCACACGCAATTTATAGACATTGTACAGTATGCTATGTGGATTTGAAATTCTGGCAGTATTCCCAGCGGTGTTATTGGCAGCGCTGTAAGCAAAGGCCTATCTAATGTCAGCTGCGGACATACATGTAAATAGTTAGCTCAATTAACCCATCTTTGGCCCGAGCAGGACGAGCCCGAGATCTTACGGACTAGATAGCTCTATTGTAAACCAGGAGAGGGAACTGGTTTCCGAAGCCGCTACGTATATCCAAAACGCCGTTCCGTTAGATAAACACCCTCAATTCCATCAAATTGCATCCCATGAGAATATTCCGGCTCGGGCATGAGTTACATCGAGACAGCGAGCTGGAGGAGCTCATGGACGGCCGCTATTAGGATATTCGATATCTCGACCTTTGGAGATATTAAAAGAAGATTTTCCCCGGGACTAAAGCTTGCGTTTTGCCTGCACGATGAAAAAAAAAAAACCGTGGAGGTATATAATAGCTTAGGACTGTACTGCTCAGCTGTGGCCCAAGTTGATCAGAGCTTGGGCATCAGCGAAAAGATACTGAGGATTGAAGATTGATGGCTTTAGTATATGTATGCCTACGTACGTCATGACTAGTTCTGGGCTAAGGTGGCTTCGACTTGAACTTAATTCTCACTACACGGATCTAGATTGATATCCTTTTCTCCGGTGGCATTTTGTACCACCTTATCTGAGAAACGGTGTTTATATCACAGATATACAAAATAAAAATAAAAATAAAAAGGGAAAACAAATACGAAGCCCGATACAAGCCCAACGAGCAACCGGCCGGTACCTTGATGAGTGTTGCATCATGTAAGATCACTCGGAACAGCACTGGCCTTCTTATTGGCCCAAAAATTCGCTCACTGCATGTACCAGTAGCGCTGTAAACTCGCTAAGGTGCGTAATAATAGATTATACTCAATAGATAAATAAAACCAGACATTCTAGATTGCAGATACTTCTCCGAACCTAGAGTAACCTTTCATATTGCTCTAAATATCAGGAGCACAGCAGTCCCCATCCTGTTCTAATTCGAAACAATAACCATAGATCCCGAAAAAGACTAAAGTACACATCTGTAAATCAAGTGTTGAACAAAGTCGACAGAATAGCTACCCCCAATTTAAGTCCACCAATTCTAATTGCAATCCACCAGGATTGCTGAAAACCTCTACAAAATGACGAAAACTCAGGCAAAATGTGTTAAACAATCATGATATCTAACCCCCAAACAAAAAAGAAGAAGAAAAGAAGAAAGAGAAAAGATGTGTACAAAAGGAAGAGAGGCGAGAAAACCCTGCCAATTAATATAATATGAATCAATACCCAAGTCTAGGCAACTACACATCGACGCTCCCGAGCTCCCCACCCCTAGAGGACTCTAGAGCAGTTGCGTTCTTTCTAGCCCTCTTCTTGAGAACGTTTTCGATGAAGGCTTCTCCCGCCTTATAGCTGCTTCTAACCAACGGCCCACTAGCGACATAAAGGAAGCCCATATCTAAGGCCTTAACTCGCCACTTCTCAAATGCTTCGGGGGTGATGTATTCGGTCACTTTCATGTGACGCTTTGTAGGACGCATGTATTGACCGAATGTAACAACGTCGACGTCAACCTTTCGGAGCTCTAATTGTGGTATTAGTATACATCCCAAAGAATATGTGTAGCGAAGCAAACCTTTAAGAGCGTCCATAAGTTGCTCCTCAGTTTCGCCCAACCCGAGCATGATGCTTGTCTTTGTGATTAATCCCTCCTTGCTGGCCTTTGCTGTCTCGAGTACCTTCAAACTCTGCCTGAACTTTGCTCTTCGATCTCTTACAAAGGGTGTAAGCTCCTCCGTCGTCTCGATATTGTGCGCATAAACGTCAAGCCCAGACCTGGCAACATGCGCCACAGCCTCTAGATCACCCATAAAATCACCAGTCAATGCCTCAACAAGTATATGCGGTGCCTTGCTCTTGATCTTTGAGATTGTTTCTGCAAAATGGCGACTTCCACCATCGGCAAGATCATCACGATCAACAGAGGTCAAAACTACGTATCCGAGGCCCCAGCGCGAGAGTGCTTCTGCTGTATGTTCAGGCTCGTGTGGATCAAGTGGAGGGGGACGGCGGGATGTTTTAACTGAGCAGAAGCGACAGCCACGGGTACATGTATCACCCATCAACATTATGGTAGCTGTAGCAGCTGATTTATCGGAACCTCCCCAGCAGTCGGAGATGTTAGGACATCTTGCTTCTTCGCATACTGTTTTTTGGGGGGAACAATTGTTAGCGCTCGAAGACCAGATTATGATATTAGACGATGAATTATGCAATACCAGTATGTAGGTTCAACCCTCGAAGATCCTCTTTAATTTTGTTATAGTTCGATCCCATTGGCACAGAGGTCTTGAGCCAATCAGGTAGCCTGACAATTTCTTTGCCATTTTTATCGAGTGCAGTTCGGACTCCCTTGGGTGATTCAGCTTTAGAATCTAATGCTAAAGCTTCCTCGACAGACAAAGTTTCCTCCTTTCCAACAACAAAATCTGCAAATGAAGGTCCGGTATTAAGCTTGTCGGTGAAAGCTGTGGGCTTCCGCCTGGTAACACCCTCTGGGCCAGTCGCTGTGGCAAGGGACCGAGATAATGCTGGAGCAAGGAATAGAGGGGTTTCAACGCAACGAAAACGAGAGGCAGCCCTCAGGACTATAGAGTACTTTAATGAAGCCATATCATATAAAATTGAAGAAGTTATGAGGTGGGGATAAATCCAAGCTTAAAGTCGTGATGTGTGGCAAAGAATTATCTTTCGCAGCGGCTAGTGTGGATTCATAACCGACCACTGAACCATAGTCGATTAGTCAATCGGAGGGCCTGGAGCCGGGTAACATTATGCCTAGCTTTGCCGACAATAAGCTTTGTTAAGCCGCAGATCCTCTGGTACCGTCTCCGTGGTCCCGGTAAGATGTCCCCTGTTTCTTTAAGCGCACATATCAGGCCACATACGCCCAGCCAACAAAACACGCATCAATGAAACATGGTCCTTCTCATTCGATAGTTTTTCAGATGATTTCTTTGAGGGAGTGGCAACCCTTCTTGCGATTGTGGATTGACTGCTAAATCCAGAGAATTCCTCTCGCGAGGGTTTAATACAGGATCCAACGTTCCCTGGAATTATTCGCCAACAAATCAGACAACATTGAAAACTATCGACACCGCCATCACGACCGTGGCTTTGTCGAGATAAGCCTTTGGAATTTTTGTCGACCCTTCTGTTTGTTCTTTCAAATATCTCGACTTCACGGATTTTCTGACAGATTTTCGCGAGTTATACCAGCACGATCAAACGCCACCTCCTTCCCTTAGTATCGAGAGAATTGTTTAAGCCTCCTAGAACCAGAACTGGGAATAAGATTTCATTGTCGCCAAATCTACCTCAAGCCACCATGAATAAAGTCTCCTAGCCTGTGACTAATATGTTATGGACTGCAATATTTGTTATATGCATACATATGCAGGTCACAGGCGTATGGTTGACTGAGTAATATCTATTTACGTCCATAGTTTCACATGTGGAATAATTCTCCTGCATAGCCAGAAGAAGTGTTTGGGCCAAATAATATATTCACCAAATCCTTTTAACCAGTCCCCTATTACAAGGACATTGGTCAAGCATTTGAAACATTTGAGACTTCCGGGGAATAAACACTGGGAAATGGAGGATAAAGATAAGAAGCGAGGCGTGTTTGAGTCTACTATGTATGTGGGTAATTTGGTGAGTTCCTTCATGGTTTGGCTATCGATTGAGTCGGCAAGTAGTTGATTAACCAAAGAAGAAACTGTACTGGCTCTCAGGAAAAGTCGAATCACCTACTCTGAAAAGTCGATGCAATGTCTGCAAGACGAGCTCATTGATTCCTCTTCGTTCAAGCAGGATCTCGCCTATGTATGCTAAATCGAACCGCCAAAAAGGGGGCATTAAGTAGAGCCACGTGCATGAAAGGCCGTGTGGCCTTTTGAAGGTCTTTCCTGCAAGAAAAAAGAATTCATGCTGAAATCTACATACATACCGGTTAGAACTCGAAAAGTGGGAAATCCACACACACACGTTTAAGAAAGAAGGAAAAGGAAAAGGTCAGTTGGAAACCCTACAACTCACAGTATTGTGAACATATTTATTCAGAAACAATATTCTTAAGTGCAAACCTTTGTGGGCCGGCTTGTAATTATCAAGATAAATTAGATGATCAGGATCACTCACCAGTCAGACAACAAAGATTAATTCAAATATGTATGTTGCACGCACGATGTGAGTGGTTACAAAGGTCAACGCTATGTAGTCGCCTCAGACTCGGCCCACGGCGATATTATAGGCCTCATTCCCCCTCTAACAAATCCCTACATGATCATAACAAAAACGAGTGAAGAAATCTATCACTCATGAAAATAATGGTTAGGACCTTAATTCCTACTATCCATTCACCCAAAAAAATATCAGCAAACAAAGCACCGACAAGCGATGATTAGCTTAGTTTATGGCAGGATAGCATCTTCCCAAGATTAAGCTGAGCCCCCCGGCTTTGATAATAGTCCACGGAGCGAGAAATTATATCTAACCGTTTTGAGTACCCTCTCTACTTACTTACACCGCCTAGTTTCTTGGTATTGCGCCGGCGTGGATGTACTATGTAATTGTAGCTCGTTTCAAATGGTCGAGAACTCCGATGATAATTTGATTAAGCATGATAGGTCTAAGAGAATTCCATACAGTCATTTGGGGAAAGTATGGTAAATCCGTTCTAAGTTATAATTTGCTTTTTGAATCATGTTTAGTACTTATGCGTTGTTCAATAGGCCTCACCAGTCAAGACGCATGCTCCAAAAATTCAAGATTATCCAGGGCAAATCTGTTCCCTTCACTGGATTCCACGACCTTGCCGATTCGCTCGCTATTGACAACACCGACATAAAACTAGTGTTTCAAACCCGGTCTCGACATAAATTAACGCATGTGAGTCGAAATTTCATTTTTCAGTCGATGTTTTCAAATGCAAGAAGCCCGCCTGAATGCAATACCCCTGGAACAAATACAGCCGGTAGCAAAGTGAATCAAAGACTTTCTTGACGGCATTACATGTAATACGTTGCCTGGGTAGCAACTCTGGCTTTCCTTACGTACATGTACTTATGGAGCCATAGGTAGTGGTTCATGCACCCTGCCAACCTGCACCATTTTAAAAGGCAGTGTGAGCTACACTGTAATGATATAGCTCAATAATTACCCGAGGAAATGTTTTGTGCTTCAACAGGGCTAGGGCCAACTAACGGCAGTCTTGGACGTCAATCCTACAAGATTTTACGTCACATACCACACACTTGAGCATGATAATTCGAGTGATTTTATATGATGTGAAAATCCCGGATTTCAAGGAAATTAATGTTCGCTCATAAACAGATATCTATTATACTAATCACATGTAGCATATGCCATCTCTTTTTCAGCTAAACGGCCTACACCTGATTGCATGTGATGAATAAGGTATGAACCCAAAAGATTTCATTATATCTATGGGGAACTCCCATAGCTACCAGGAAAAATGTGGGTAAAAATATATTAATAACTTCGGCCAATATAGTCTTGGATAATACTACGACTCGCAACAACTCCCGATAAAAGTCACCTCTAGCAAGTTCACTCTGTTTGTTATCATGGGCTAACGCCACACGATACTCTTGGTCAAGCGAAAGGGTACAACTCATCGACCGTGATAGATCGAGAAATATTTGCCGGATTTGTATCGGACCATTGGATCTATTCTTTCCGGATTCCGCGTTTTCGGCAGGATTATGGAAAATATTCAATCCACGGAAGAACTGGAACGGCAATACCGCTTGCGATCCCGATCATCGATCTCTCATTGCTATTCGATACTCCTTCTCCACTCCTCTCCAACTTTATTCTTTCCTAAAAGCGGACCGCGCAGGATCTAGAACGTGGTTAGACCATGGAAATGACATTAAAATCTGTATCAAATTCCAGGGGTGCATTCTTGTCCGCGCTTGTTGTGTCCAATCATGTAAGATCACTCGGGGGGAACCCCGATGCGACCATCTACGTCGACTCAAATCCTAGAGGTGACTTGCGGAAATGGTTTGCTTGACTTAGCCTGGTGCTATGGAATACTTGGTCTTTTAGACTAGTCGCGTGACGGTATTATACCGCCTTTAATCTGCCTTGATTTACCACAGTTCTTGGATCAAAATTCGAATTGAACGGTCTGGTTGGAGGGCCCTTGAACCCTGCTGGCTCATCGAATGCATCCAACATTTAAGCACTCAGTACTGACCTAAGCCTAAGAACGGGTCGCTTGGCGCCCCTGTTTTTGCCAGCAGAGCCGGGGACCGACCACGATACCAACATTTCAAGCCTGGCAATTAGCTGGGCAATCCGAGACCCTTAGTTCATGGTAACAAAATCCATCTTCATATGTGGGAACACATGTTTGGAGAGCCAAATTTTCTACGATTTCCCAAATATTTTCCATCTGTATTTAGGGGGAATCTGGATATTATTTATTGCATCACCAGCAATTAATCTCCACACTAGGAAGGCACCTTCGATCCACGGCACAGGAGGCACTTATCCGAATACCCTTAAGGGAAAGAAGCAAGATAAACGCCCCCACCGGCTATCGCCGTACCGCAATTGTAACATGGCGTTTAACCATTCTCTAGTTCAAATGTTCGACTTCAATGAATGCGGCACAACGCTTTATGGAACCTGAGTAAGTCAACAATATTCTGCATCATCACATAACAAATGGCCCAGTGCGTTCATCAAGCGCAAATTTCCCGACGACCTTTCTTGGCTTATTTTTGACAGTCTTTTTCTGCATTCTCTTTCCTATATAGGGAATTTAGTACTGGTCTATTTCTTAAGGCAGAAAAAGGCTATCAGCTGCTCTAATTCTGTAGAGACCGTATAGGTGCGGCGAATATCTTCCTCTCGGAAACGCGGGATTGTGGGAGCTTCGTTTTCTGCTGCTGCATGTTGCATCTCAGCCAATCTAAAGCTAACTTCATATGGTTCTTTGTCAGTTACAACTCGAGGACACGTTACATATCACAAATACCGTGTTTTGGCCCATCTGACCGCCGTCATCAACTTGCCAATGATGGTCAGACCAAGATCTTGTCTTCTCAAAAATAAACTTACCGCGCATAAATTTCTTACTCTATGAATATTGTACGCGGCCCATATCCAGTCAAAATGGTATCCCGTGACTGGAAGAGGTGTTGGTCATATATTAGAATCGTGCCCTGTTGATACAGGAAACATCTTTATTTTGTTTTGAGACTGCGTCTGATATGATTTGTTCCTGAGCCGGAAATACTCTCCCCCTCCATAATCCTAGGCTTTGAACTAGAACTGCCAGCCAAACACACCTGAAGAATATAGACAGGAAAATCTCAACCCTTCGTGACCTCTCATAACTCATTTTTGGAATGTTTGAGAAACACGGCCTAGTCTAGTGAGCGAATTATGTAAATGCAACTACAAACCGGCATTTCAACTTTACCCAAAAGCTTCGATAAACTACCAATAGCTATCTATTGATAAGCCATGCTTGGTCCTGGAGACGTATGTTGATGCAGTTGGCAGTCTGGATCGCGAGAAAGCCCATGCCCGTTCAATTCATTCATGGGAATATCTTCGAAAAACCAAGGATTCTCTCCATTTACGCCGCAATTGATGCTAAGTTTGCGGGATTTAGAATTAGGTGGTTGGAGGGTATTAGAATCTTCCAAAGGATTCTTGTGGACTCTAATGACGCAAACTTTTTTCTTCTACAGGTGAACGCAAATTCTTTCGTAGTGAAACTATAAAAGGGGAAAAAGTCCTCTTTCTATACACCTCCTCTCAGACTCAGAACACAATCAATCACTTCTACCTACTTCTATATTCACTTGATCATCCTCAACGTCCTTCATTTTTGTCTCCTCCTCTTTTGTCCGATGCAGGGCAAAAGGGGGGGATGACAATCTGTCTGGAGGTTGATGATCTAAAGTTTGAGGAAGATCCAGAAGACCTTTAGTATAGTTGTCCGTGATTCAGAAACAACTATTACTACTATCGATTCGAGTCAGTCCCAGGAACCACATCGAAGACAACTCAAAAAGAGCTTTGATTTTTGAAGCAGAAACTCTCTTAGGCACTCCCCCGTATATTTTGATCTTCTAACTCCTTTCATGTCAAGTTATTTGGGAATTGAGAAAACCAATGCGTTTCCTTCTCCTTTGGGGCTGATTTATTCTACATATTTGAATGTCAAGTTTATGATCCACCCAGCCAGGGACTACGAAAATAAATCGAATTTCAGTGCTCTCTAGGTCCAAGTAACTCCTACGCACCAACTCACCTTTCTAGTCAAGATAAATGAGAAAAGCCATATGTGAGGGCCATAGAGTTATTCGAGGCCAAACTTCCCAGAACTCATACAGACTGAGACTGTTTTATAGGCTAAACTTCCATAGATTTTATTTATAAACAAGCCTACTATTTAATTAACCGTAGTATCAATATAACTAAGCGCAAGATATTATATTAGTACAAAAACCAATTTAGCTTCATCACAGAACAGACATTAAGGATACATTATGCACATCAATGCCCACCGATCTCCCCTTGAGCTAATCTAATTACCGTCCCAAAAATCCTGCAGCCAACAATCCTCCATCGTGAATGGTAGATGATTAAAGCCACCACACTAAAACCTTATCCTTATCATTATCCTCGTCACTTCCACACTCATAATGTCCTTCAACCTGCTGCATGGACCCCACCATGCACCCCCACCCCTAAATCTCATTACGGTACACGCCCTAACGCTCATCAGTCCTCCAATCCATATAAAAGTGAGACAGTAGTCATCTCCTTACATCGTTGTACCCAGTACCACCGGCAGGGACCGACAAAGCAGGAGCGTTAAGCTGTACATCTTGATTGGCAAGATTGGGGTTAAGTCTTCTCTGACTGTCCGATCTCTCCGGATAGTATCCATCAACTCCAGCCTTCTCAGTATATCTATCATCGGTCCTACGATGACGCATACCTGCAAATCTGGAGGCTCGGGGAGTATTATCCCGGTATTGGTTCTTATTACGACTGGCAAGGTAAGCCAGAAGAAAACCTAGTGTTGCCAGGCCAAGTAGAGCTACACAGGTCCATGTGAATGCAAAGGCCTGATAGTTTTTGATTGGTCAGTGAGGAAATCAGGAGTGCACTCCGAGAGGAAATTATAGGATAAACCAGAACATACTTTGACACCCACACGTGCCTTTCTTCCTGCACGCCTAAATGCACGTTGCCCCAAAACAAAGCAAGCACTGAAAATCACTCGACATCAGCATAACCCCCTACCACGTCAACCCAAAGTCAATACCAACGCGAGGACTCACGTCATGATAGTAGCTGAGAATGTCATAAAGAATAACGTCAAGCAAGATAATGCTGCCGCCGCCAACGCTCCTATCCTTGAACAAAGTGCCAGCAGCCCCGCCAGCAATGCCATTAAAGCAAACCCTAAATCGATAATATAGAAAGAGTATAGGAATCGACTTAGGTAGAAGTAGCGATCGGGGTTATTCAGGAAGTCGCCTGGAATGTTTGTTCTTGTGTTGAAGTTGCGTTGGGGGAGGAAGGGGTTTGCGGCATTGTTATTTCGGCAGTTGAAGTTCTTGCCATCGCGTTCATCGCAGAACTACATGGGAATGAAGTGTTAGCGATAGGTGGTACATGTTTCTGTTTACTTGCGTATCTTTACTGTCCATCATTTGTTTTATAAGGAAACAAACTAACATTATACAAAGTCCAATGACATATACCGTCTGGAGCATTTGGTATACCACGAGTATCAGCTTGCAGCCAGAAAATTTGGTTCAGCGGGCGTCTATCGTATGCGCCGGCAATGATCAATAAGAATAGTAGGACTATTGTCCCAGCGAGTAGGATAATTGAAGGGATTCCAGTCCCAAGGCCTGGATTTTAAGGATCCTTAGCGGATCGATTCTTTGCAGGAGATAAGGGTATGTTTCGCGGTGGTTACATACGGTTACGAAGAGACATTATGCTTTTAGAATCCTGAAGACAAATATTGATGAAGGAAAAGATGTGTTCGGGAGGAGATTATAGAGACACTATAGTATTCATGTGGGCTATTTGGGAGCGGGCAAGTGATATAGAATCAAAAATGAGAGGCGTCCCTTGGAAAAATGCTGATGCTGGGATGACGGTAGTCAAACGCACTTTCCGCATTATCCACCAGCCAAAGTAGCTTAGGGCTGCTAATAGAGTTCATCAGTCTCCGTCTAGGCGGAAGCGAATGATGTGACGAAACCCGAGACTGGAATCCTTGCCAGCGATCCTACGTCATTCTTGGCATTTAACATCACCAAAATGGATTCTGAATGAGAAGCATCACACAAATTCGCTATGAGTACCGTTTATTCATGAGCTAAACACAAAGAATCCCATTAAACCCAAATCGCAATCCCAACCGAAACCCCTAAAACCTCCAGGGCCCCTCCGAAAATGCGCTCGGGGTCCTTACGCAGTAAAGAAAATACGCCGGTCCGCTGAAAGTTCATAGGACAATGACCAAAAAAAAAAAAAAAAAAAAAAAAAAGCCGCCGATTCGTCTATTTACTTCCGTACGGAAAGATGTCAATAGAAACACCGTTCCCTCCCCCTACCCACCCCCCCCCCCCCCTCCTTAATTTCCTCAAGAATACGACTGGCCAAGTCCCGATCCTGTAGAATATTCATCACATGAATACTGTTGGCCGTTGCTATCCCAAGACTCGCTCCTAGGTGATGAGTTTGATGTTCTTTTCTCCACAGAAGAACTCCGTTTGGAACTTGAATTAGAGGTTGTTGTAGGAGGTTGATATATTTCTGGTTGGAAATTTTCGCTTTGGAAGTGACTAGGATTGAAAGGCGAATTTCTGAACGTTGTTGTTTGGAACGGGAGAGACTGGAGAGGGGATGGCTGGAAAGCTGGTAAGTTGAACATCGAAGGACGAAAGTTCGATGGGCCCGGCTCTGTTAAAAAGTTCATATCTGATGAAGACATTTGTGGGAAATACGCTAGGGGCGTTGGTGCAAATGCCTGCTCCGGGAGGCTAGAAAGAAATGAAACTTGAAGGGGCGGCGGCGGCGGTGCTGTTGCTATCTCTCCATCCTTATATAATATGTCATAGTGACCACTAAAATTTATTCAATATCAGAGGCTATAAGAGGTTAGGAGGATTTGGTAAAACTCACGGTCTATAAAGCAACCTCAAGACAGGCGCATCAGCCGGCGTCATCATTCCTTCGGTTTCTACATCCTGAAAGCGATGCACATTGACTTCGTCTCCAGGGCTTCTATCCAAATAGAAGACCTCCACCGCAAGACTAGCAGGCAGTATCAAACAATCGATCAAAGCCATAAGCCCTACATGATCAATCTCGATTCCGTATGGCTCGACTTGCGATTCACAATAAGCCTTTACGGTTTGATCAAGAAAGGGTGCGTAATAATCCGGTCGACTTTTCATCCAGGAACTGGTGAGGAACTAGACGTGGGGATCATTTAGTACGGATGGATATTTATAAGAAGAGTATAAAATCTGACCTTGAAATGTGTGATAATAGCATTAGATAATTCATTATCGTTAAAGGCATCCACGACTGGAGAAACGTCATAAGGACGATCAATTACGGGTGAAGCAGAGATTCGATTAAATAATGTGATGGTGGCATCCACAAAATCCTCGAATATGTACGGTTCCATTCCGGCCATGGACATAAGATTGTTGAGTGAGACTATTCTAGCAAACTCCATACCGATACGGTTTGGATCACCAGTTTTGAGCAGAATCTCAAAATAGCCAAAAGCCATAGCTATTATAAAATTAGCGTTGAAACCTCAAACAATGACAAAAATTGTGAGAGAGAGGATATATATTACGCACCTCTCCACCCACAATTCCCATCTCCAAGTACTGATCGGTAAAAAGGATATTTTGGTGAAAGCGCCTGGGTCATTAGCACAACTTAAAACAAACGGGGGTTCTTGCTACTTACAACGGTCTTTCTGACAAAGATTGGGTCTGCGGCTGCATATTCGACCTCCAGAGCTTTACTTGATTTGATATCACCAATAAATGCACCCTAAACATGTTTCGATGAATTAGTAACCGAATGTTTAAAGACAGGTTGCTTAATAGTAGATAGAAACAATAAACATGAAGCTAATACTAGCTAGGAAGCGACGGACCTGGATATCCGGCTGATAATCTCTTGAGAGCTTCTCTAAACCTTGACTCCTGCCCAGGCCTGCAAGACAAGCCTTGACCTCATCGCCACCGATTACTTCTGGTTGTGAGTGTGTGGGTGAGCCCATCGGTGAGCCGTAGTGCTGTTTCGTCAATTGCTGTTGAGCTTTTATATCTCGATACTCTACTTGTTGACTCCATGTATCTAGGCCAGCAGGAAAACCGTTACTCCCGTTCAGTCCAGAGGCACCATCCATAGCTAATTGAGTTGGTGAAGAGAAGCAGAGGGATGGGCGACCAGGGTGAGTAGTGGTGATGATGATGGTGATGATGATGGGTGAAGGTATAAGAGTGAGGGTGACCGCCGGAGGAGAGTGATGGTATGCTGAAGATAAGGATGAACGATGGGAACGATTGGGGGGGGGGGGGGGGGGGGAAGAGAAGCTCGGCTGCTTATTGAGTAGTACCTGGATCTTAAGGATCTTAACTGGTTGGAGGTGGGGCCGGGGGGTCGGAGACACTAAAGGGTTTCAAGGCGGGGAGGAAGCGGAAGAGCCTCATGAAAAGTCGTACGTCAAGGGTATAGCCCAATTACAATCTCAGACTCCTCTGAATCATTATCCTCCGCCCTCCCAGATCTATGGATGGAAGTGATTGCGGACAAGAAGTAAGAGAAGGAAATAGAGTATCAGACGAGGGAGGAGACTGGGGGGGAGGGGAAGGACGAGGAGTAGGTTTAGATGGAATGGTGTTCGCTGATCGAGAATGAGCAAGAGAATATAGAAAAAGGAAGGAAACGAAGCAAGCACACGGCCGGGAAGACGACTTGACTCGCACTCTCTACTCGTAGAGTTACAGTGGCAGCGGCAGATTCACATACAGTACTGTAAAGGATGGAGGGTAGTTAATGAGAATCGGACAAGGATATTTCAGTGGTCCAGCGAGCTGTGGAGTTTAGCACAGTGATAGGTACATAGTACATGCCTCTATGCATGCTTCATCACCGCATCACTTTTTCAGCGAACCCCCGGGAGGACATACAGGGGCCTGTCACGCGATGGGCTTGAGATGTATGTAAGCAAAACCACCTGCCTATGATACTCTGCCTGCACTCTTTCATCCCATCCCATGGCGTGCACATCCATCCATCCCTTCATCGATCCATTCACCCTCCTTCAGTCCCGACGTCCCGCTGAGTGCATGATATAATAGCCGTGATGCTTGGTATTCCTGGACCGGTGGCTGAGCACCAACGAAAAGTCGACTATGTACGGTCCATAATCACAGGCAGAATAGTATGCTTGCTTGGAAGTTGGAATTTGCTGCTCCAGATAGTAGGTACTCTCGGAGTTGAGAGAGAGCAACGGGCATCGGGTATCCGCAAATGTGATATCACATATGTACGAAAACTTAAGCGAGAAAACACGTTCAATTCATAGCTGATTGCGGGGGTGCAAAAGTTGTTCTTTGGGGAAAGTTTCCACGATTGTTTCCCGCTTGTGCAGCTTTTAAAAAATTCCTTCTATGGCACTTCCTGATGCCTTCCCAAAGAAACGAGAAAGGGAACAGTTCGCAGGGTAAGACCATGGTTGTATTACTGATTATTGCTTGCGCGGTTTCTTTTGTGATGAGAGGTAAAAAAATACCTTGCGGTCACCTCCGGCGTCTACTCACTTAGCATCTGCCTTTAATCAACAGTAGCTCCTTTTCAGCACCGCAGGATGCATGTATCCATACTCTACTCCGTGAACAACACAGCAGGAAGCAGCAGACAGAGACGCCTTTCCAGTAGCAGTCGTAAGAATGTATAGAAAAAACAAAGGAAATAAGAGGAATTTATGTGTTGAAGATCCCGATAACCCCACTAAAGAGCGGTGTTCATATCGTACGTGATATTGTACCAACTACAAGGGCATTACAACATGAACTCACTGGTGCGACACTCCACCCCCATTGGCGGATCGGGGATCGAAATCCCGAGTTTTAAGCACCGGCCAGGCCGGACATGAGGTCGATGATTGTGGCTGCACTTGCGAACACGATCCTTTGGTCGTGGTGGGCATGCCTGTGAACAACCGCGCGTGGGATGGAGAGAGGACGCAGACGTTCCTCGACATACCACCCCCTTAGCACGATCCACTGTCTAGAGTTTTTCAACCGATCGCGATTTTCTATATTTACCGCTAGATATCAAGAGAATAGATTTATCATTGCATAATGGTCTTATGCAACTATAGCGTTTAACTTACGAGAGACTCCTCTGAACCTCTGTTCAGAGACAACTAACAATTTGCATTGCAATCGGCCTTCGTGGTATCTTGTAGTCTTACATGTCAATGCGGTTGTTTTGCATCTCATGCTGAGATGTACAGATACTGGACTAGGCCCTGTGTATTTATGGGAATGAAGACGAAGCCAATTAGGAGGAGCTATGTCCTAATAATTTAAATAATTTTCAAGATCATAGTCAAATGACTAGCTGCCGAATAGTAGCTTCGCCAACCCCACCCTACAAATAACTTTCTCGAGCTATCCAGGCCAGTTAGGTTCCAGAGCAAGCAAAGCTTCGACCCAGTCGCCCAGATAGGTAAGAAAGACGCCCAAGCAGAAGACACCGATAACTACCGGCGCTAGTAGTATTTTAGGCCAAGTTTCGGGTCAACGGTCATCAGTCTGTTAGCCTAAGATACTGCCAAGCTACACCTGATTGTGGTTAGCGATATGGTCGGTCATATGCCGTGAGGGCCGAGTGAGAGATGCTTGAATTAAATTACTTTCTTACCTGCCGCTTCTAATAGAGGGAACGGCGACGGCGGCGGAGAATCGGCTAGAATAGCGAATTTACATGGTTATCAGTCGCGCACACACATATCTTTGGTCCTTGGGATCGATAGATAAAAACCCCTCTGAAAGCCCGTGGGTCCATTGATTTTTCTGGTTGTCTAGGTATTGTAGCTAGCTAGCTAGCTAGCTGCTGACGCTGCTAATCAATCAATTCATTCATCAAGAGTGCAGCAACAGCAAAGAGGAGTACATAAATTACTAAACTAAAGGAATACACCCAGCGAATAACGATTTTTCTTGCTCCAAATGCGCGTGGTCGACTATTAACTGATAGAAAGATAATTGGAATAGCATGCCTACGTATACTAGAGCGGGAGGAAGGGATGTCTGCTGATCTGATGGACTCGACCTCCCCCCAGATCAGAATTATCACTCGGAAATAAACGAAATGTGGAACCATGGAAGACAATCAGCACACTCGAATAATATAACCCAAGATTTTACCACCTCGGGTTAAAATGAAATCGTACAGTTCAGGATTGAAGCGATTCACGGGGAGGGGAGGGGCATGGGCCATGGGGGGACGCCGCCTCTCTAACTCAGCCTTCTGGCTGCTTGCTTTTCTGCCGCGCGAGCGAGAAAAGAAGACTATCGCCAAAGGCAAAAAATAATAATATTAAAAATAAAATACTTCGCATAACGAAGAAATCCTGTGCGAATATTAATAATTATAAATTAATGCCCTTTTCCACAGAGAAGCAGCAGGGAAGATATGCAGGGCAGGCACAGAAACTTGACCCAGCTACCAGCGACGTGGTGGACAGTTTTGTTAGTCGCGCAAGTAGTACTGCCATGCCATCACCGAACCAATATGCATGTGAAAGGAAGTAAGGGGGTGGTAAACCTTCAATAGATGAGGGGAATTTTAGGCGACACGTTGTTAGAGAAACCGTTGCCCCGGTTTTTTTTTTTTTTTTGACTCAGCCAGCGCAATGATTGAGTTCGCCAGTGCGAGGATAGGGCGCCTTCGAGAGGGGATCAGGTCCATGGTACATGGTCCAGGCCAGCGGTCAAAGCTCATCATGTGATATCACTCGGTCCTGAGGCAGTCTAATAGTAAATTTAGACGGCGATCACCCGTGGGGGTTTCACGGGGATATCCCCAGTTTGTTGATTTCAGATATATCATGATCAGGAATGTTTCCCACTACGATCTTGACAAAAAAAAATTTTTTGAAAAAATAACGTCACGAGGTTCATTCCTGGAATTCGATGAGCCTTCAGAAGCTTGTATGTACATGATGTATACAGGCCTCCACTAAGAGCCTACACCGGATTTCGCTAGTGTATACTGTTTTCAGCGTATTCCCTTTAGGCCTTAACCCACCCACCAGGAACCAGCGGATGATAGGCTTCTGCAAGAAGATCGACAGCTGTGAATCGAGGGATAACATCTCGCAGTAGATTTGTCATATTTCGCAGGCCAAAAAAAAGAAGGAAAGTACGATTTAGAATCGATTTACCTTACATCAAAACCTACGTATCACAATGCAATCATATCTGGCCGGTGAGCATAAGAAAGGGCTGCAGATACGAGACCCGCGGGGAATGGAAGACCGGAGGAATAAAAAACTTGATTGGTTCTATTCGCTGTTGATACCCTTTCTCAACGTCCCCAGTGACGAACATATCTGAGGCTGGGATGCGGGGAGTTCCTAAAATATAGCTAAGTGTGTTCTCAGGTGAGCGGCACAAAATTGCAAGCAATTTAATTGGGCTAGAAGCATTGAGGATGGCTGCACGTAACCGATGTGTGCTTAACAAGATAAGTATTAAATGGAGAGGAAAAAAATCACATTTTGAAAAGCGAAAAGTATAGAAGAGGGGGCGTTGTGATGGTGTTGTTGATTCTTCATGTGGCCAGTATGGCGTCTTAAGGATTTGTGCAATCGGGACTGTTCCTTGGAGCCTCGAGACTTGGCGCTTGACTTCATTGGTTGGAAGGACCTCAGCTTGGGGCATTATGTATGATGCGGTGGGAAGTGACTTTATAAGAAGCCACAATAAGATTTTGATTCAAACTTTGACCTCAAGACGAACCGATCAGAAATGTTTCTGAGTTGAGATTCAACAAAACATCTGTATTTTGACAGACTCAGTTGTGCCTGCATGCGTGCAAGGCTAATTAAGCTTTCAGCCTCAATTACAGCTTTATGTGATGCAGGAGCGGCCCGATCCCCGGTCGGGAAGAGAATTTAACTCTAATTCTTTGGCCTGATTTTGAATTTTTCCCTAGGGTCTTATAGAAGGCTCAGAACGAAACATCGTCGGTGAAGGGGATGGGAGTCATACGACATCACTCGGAATGATTTCTGGTGCATTTTTGTTTGTCATGCAAAGTGCTGGAAGGAACTCTTACCCGGTTAGGTTGTTGGAAATCTTGGAGGAGCTTACCACCCCATAAGTTGAGATTGAAAGATTATTGGCTGGTTCAAACAACCGAGTGATACAACATGACGCGGTGTCACGGGCTTAACTTATGATCAGTTCCTAACTGTTACGATGATAATGACTGTATTATTCACGAGCTGAACTAAACTAATCAAACCTGGTTACAATCCCAGTCGGAAAAAGTGGAGGTATGGTACGTAGTCACGCAATTTGACGTGTCGTTTCTTGTCGTTAAGAATTAATAATTTAGTTTCATTTGACACCGAGCTTTATTATTTCTGTCGTTAATATGAACCTTGCTTTTCTAATATCATATTTTTTTCCCCAGAAAAACAGAAACAATGAGGTCTAGAAATCCACCTAATAGGTGCCCGCCTGCACCTCCGATTTCTCCATAATCGCCGTACCAGACGAACTGTGCACCTACACGTCAGCTAACCCCTCCAAATACCCCACAACGGCATACATCCCCCGAAAAGATCTAGAATAACTTACGTTCCGATCCTCTCCGCCCCAGCCTGCAGCATCCCCAAGCATTTTTCAAACGTCCTGACACCCGCCGATGCCTTAACCTTAACGCCCTGCTTATATGCAATAGTCTTCTTCATGAGTCTAACATCGGCCGCCGAAGCCGCCCCTCCACTGAAGCCCGTACACGTCTTCACAAACTTTGCACCAGCCTCTGCCGCAATGAACGATCCCGCGATCTTCTCTTCAGCTGATAAGAATACAGTTTCAATGATGACCTTGACAATAGCGTGGTTAGACGCGGCTTTTACCACCGCGTGAATGTCGTCATAGTAGGCACCGTACTGCTTAGACTTGAGAAGGCCGATATTGATGACCATGTCGATTTCCTTTGCACCATTCTTGCAGGCATCCTCCGTTTCCCTGCGGAGGTTAGTTCTTTGGTTATTGCATATGATAGGTTACTAGTCTATCAAACGAAAAACCAGTACTACTGACCATGCTTTCGCCTGAGAAGTCATGGCGCCTAGCGGGAACCCTACGACCACGCAAGGGACGCATTTGGAATCCTTGAGTCGGTCTGCGACTTGCTTGACATTGGCTCCGTTCACGCAGCATGACTATCAATCCAACATCACCCATCCTCGTGTGATCGGATGGTCCACACGTCAGTTTGGCGCAACCCTCAGGGAAGGTTTTGAAAGAAAGAAAAAAAAACAATAAACATGGGTATGTATGAGAAAAAAAGGAAGGAGGAAAAAAATAAAATAAAAAACATCCATAGCACTAAGGAAAAGCAAAATGAGTAATGTTGTAGATCAAAAGAAAACATGAGAAACAGGAATAAAGTATGTAGTGCACACAGAACACACAGCACATATAGTGACAGCAACTGACAACGAATGAGTGCTCATCTAAGAAAGGCGGCCAAATACTTTAAAACTATACTTCACAGCCTCATCACAAAGCTTATCGACTTGGTCCGGTGTAGCATCAGGCTTCAAGAGCGTGTGATCAATCGTAAGAGCAAAGCTCTTATCCGCTGTCGATATTTCCGGTGCGTAGTTTGTTGTGCTAGTGTCGGCCAACACCTCGTCAATCTTGGCCTGAACTGCGGCTTCCCACTCTTCGGTTGTCCGAGACATTCTTCGTCTGAATATATTTTTTGTGGACAGGTGATTTGGTTTCTCAGTAAAACTTGTCTTAGGGCACCAGCTTTGGGAAGAAGGAAAATAATACAGCGGTAGTAAAAAAGGAGCGTGCAGAGCCGCCTCTTATTTACATGCATGGAACACAAAGTTCCCCGCAGCGGGGGGAACATCCAGAAGCTTGGCCGGCGTCGGCAGTCTCCGGTTGGCCGCCTCGGCGGCCCCCTAACTTAAGACGTCGGTATTCTCCACACTTTGAGCTTGCGGATAAAATAGTAATGTATTATGAGTACCCTTGAAACCCCCAGAAAGAGAGAAAGAAAGAAAGAAAGAAAGAAAGAAAGAAAAAAGAAGTGTAACTAGAGAAGACAGAGAAAAACAAAACATTGATCCGTTCGTGACAATCATTCGTAAAAGTTCGTTAAGACCTAGTAGAAGGACGACGTGTAGGAGAGAGATAAGCTAGAAGAGAGACAATGCTTCGATACCCCACAAAAGTGAGATATAAAAGGAAAAAGGAAATGGAAGAACGAAAGAAAAGGATCCCAATGTACTCCAGAGCCGTACTTTTCTCTAGCCAGCACTACTACGAGGATAAAGGGATCATTGATACATTCCTGACAGCTGTTTCCCCTTCCAAATTGGAAATCATAAAAATAATGCTTTTTTAAACATAAGATTTTTCAACCCGGGATTGCCACCTCAATCATCATGGTCTCCTCGCAATGACAAATACACTTCATGATGAACCACAATTAGTACTACTGCTACTACTACCACTACCATGTCTTCAAGAACGGGTCAAACCAGGGTACCAAATAAACAAACATACCTTGGCTCGTAATGTTTTTCTGGGCCCTTTTCCTGATATATCGTACCAGTGTCATCCCACACCCAACGCATGCTCAAAAAGGCAACAATGAACCTCCCAATGCCGGTAATTGTCCTCTGCCATGGTTTCGAGGCCACTTTCCAGACCTTTTCCTCCACCTCGACGAACCCGGCATCAATAAGCTGCTGTTTGATCCAACAAGCTATATTCGAATTCCCGAATGCAGAACCAGTCACCATGTTACCGGGGGTCCCACTTATCGCCTTTTCATTCTCGTCTGCGGTGGATACAGAACATATGCGAGACGACGATGTTGGCCCGTTCTCCACAACCTCGATCCAACCGCCCGGTTTGGTCTGTCTGCAACAATGCGCATTTTGGTAAGTCCAGTCGAGCCAAAGTTTAAACACAGTGGGGAAAGGCCTCAGAATGTGAGATGGAGAGGGGGAGAAGAAGGGGAAACGAAAAAGGTTGGGAGGGGTGTGTACTCGAAAGCCAGGCGAAACATTCGGGCCCCATCACACATCCCAGCAGTACTCTGATAGCGGATATGGATGAAGTCGAATTGCTTTCGTGGGGCGTCGGTGACCTCTACGTCCGGTGCATGTTGTTCTGCGCCAATACCGGGATGAACCCTATCCCGTTCGGAAATATATCTTTGATTAGCGGACGTGCAAAACAGTGAGAAAGTGAAGGAGGGATGGCCGGCGCTCCGCGCCCCCCTCCACCCCTCTACAATTCCACCCCGCGTTTGATATCCATTCGATCTGATCCACAACGGTACCTTTCAAATTCTCCAGGATTGTATGGATTCCCGACGACTTCAGCTGAGATCGACTTCCTTCCCGCAGTCGGTCAGCATAGGGCTTCTTCTAGAAACTCCATAGAAAGCCAGTACTCGCGACAACAACAACGAACAAGGAAAATTGGATTAACAGTAATAATAATAATAAAAAAGAAGCTTACTCTGTGATGCCAAGTGCCCAAATGTCTGTTTCAATATCCGTATCCAACAGGGACTATTCTCGAATAACCACTTTCTTCAGAATCGACATTCCAGAATTCGAAACCCGAATCACATGTTGCAATTGTAGGGTATGTTGTTTCGAACATCCTCAAAAAACAGAAAACGGATTGGACAAAAAAGCAGAGAGATGAACCGGGGGTTTGGAAAAATAAGCAGCAATAAACTTACGGATGACTCTACTTCGGTTTTCTCCCTTGCCGTACTCATTGTCATGGAACCCAAACAGACCAAGCTTATTGAAACAACAACAGAGGTAGGTAATATTTCTTTGCGTCCGTCGAACGAGGTCGAAAAGAGACGATGTGGAATTGAAGCTTGAAGCAGGAACACAGGAGAGACTCCTGCCAGCGCATAAGTAGTCCACGCTGGCACTCTATGGGTCAGATCAGTGCCCTATTCTTCACCCTGTCTTGTCCCTGTCCCCACCCTCCTGTTTTTAAAAAAAAATTCTCGGTCCCAGCTCTCCGGCCTTTGATTGAAACAACGGGCCCGGGGAAACTGTGCAGGAGAGCTGCTGCTTGCTCAAGAATTTTTTTTTTTGGTTTCTCCGTTGCGTTTCTCTGCTTCTAGTCTTTCTTTCTTTCCGTAAAAAAAAAGACCCTCCACCACATACATACGTCAAAGACAACGCCCAAAATAATATTCACCCCCCCATTCAAAGAACCCCGCCTTCTATGATGATCCAGATCCTCACTCATCACCTCTCTAATCTCAGCGAACTAACTTTCCGCTAGGGTTGGATCAAAAAGGGCCTGCAGTAGATAATTAAATTGTACTTTAGCCCAAGCCCGTCCTGGGCCCCTTTGGTCGCCCGTCGCCAGCCTCGTTCATGGTTCGACGTGCATACATGTAGTTCAGCACACGCGAAACCTCATGTTTGCAACCCAACCTCCCCAGCTGGTTATGGAAGTGAAGCGTCATGACATAAAACCATTTACCAGCGCCAGCCAATGGCAGCGCAGACAACCACATTGCAAAACCACACCCAATCCAACCCTACCCTACCCGCTTCCACTATATCGCGAGCACGCAGGCCAGGGCGAAGGCGTGAAGAGGAACAGCTAGACAGCTGGACGGACAGACAGAGAGACGGACCTAGACTGTGCTCATTTGTAACTGGTGCAACTGCATGGGGTTCGCTCGTTAAGTTCTCCGCCCATCACTCGGTGCGTGCTGCCTGCGCTGCTGTTCACATCATGTCATGGACGACAACGACCGATCAACCCGTCGACTCGACGACGTCTGGCTTCCAATTCGCCGACCCGGTACTTTGTTCCCAGATATCGGAAGTAACAGCACCCCCAAAGGCAAATTGTTTCGTGAGGGTGGTGGGATTGATTGATTGCTCTTGCTTCTACACCTCTGCTTGCTGACTGTATGTATGTATGTATGTACGTACCGGCCTACATGGAACTTACCTACCCTTAGCATACCCCATGGGTAAAGAAAGGAGGGAAAAAAACAAAATCTCACAGTCCGGCATATATCTGCAGAATATAAACTACATGCCCACGCTATCTATTGGTTGGTGGAAGAGGGGGATTAATTCTAGCTGTGCTTAAGTTTTTCCTTCCGTCTGCGGTGCATATCAACCTCTTTACCTTACCTGCCCTGTCCTTGCAATCAATCAATAGTTTTCTTTTGACAACAGCTATGCTATGTAGCTAGCTTTCTCGACAACATTATCATCATCATCATCATAAAGGACGTAGGTAGGCACAATCCAAGTCGCCGTGGCCAATATGCTATATCTTGCAGGAATCGCATAAGCCGTGCTTAATCGGAGCGACTCCGGAGAGGGTCGGATTGAACGATTGAATAATATGCAATGAATAAAAGCCTTCTTCCATGCGTGATCAATCGAATGCCGACCACGAGAAAGAAACAGCCAGCAGGAGGAGAAAAATGAATCCCGTAACCTCATTGTGCCGGTATCAACGGACAAACAGCTAGTTAGCTGCTGCTGCTGCTGTGTTTACCATATCCGTTCCACCATCTCTCGGACAAACCAAACTGCTGTAGAACACCCTCCAAACTAAGTACTCTATCTACATAACACAACCCACTATCCTTCTATGCCCCAAAACCTTCCTCCCGCTCGCCAGCCACTGACGTGGAAGAGGGCAAAAAAAATCCCAATTGCAATGCCGCACCCTGATTCGCTGCACCCCGCGCTCACTCTTGGTCTTGGTTGTAACTATTATATTTTGCATGGAATCACAGTGCACAATTTTCGGGTTCCAGCCGTGTCGACTGCACTGACGTGTCAGTGCATCGAATTCAATCCCACATCCACCACTGCACTCACTGGGTAAAATCGAATAAAATAAAATAAAAAAGAGTGGAGGGAAACGTAAGGTAAAAGGCAGAGTAGGTATAGCCCTTTTTGATTGGCCTTTGATCCCTATTAGAAGATAGGGAAATTAGAGGCAATTGCAAAGGAATTTTCATTTCTCCCCGGAACATCTAGCTTTCTCCTCGGACGTTTTGGGCTTTTTGTTTGTTTCCTTCACGTATTCCCAGGCCGACTCAATGTAGGTACGAATGGAGGGGGGTGCGTGAGTGAGGTTGGGGGTGATGTGAAAAGTCACACTGGTGATCATTCCCCGTTCCCTCTCTCCAACAATTTGCCGGCCGTGGGGCGGTGCCGGTAGTCTCAGATCAAAGAACCCCACAGTGCACAAATCAAATCATATCAAGCAACAAATCATATCAAAAAAATAAATTTACAACAGAACGAGCACCCCCAATTAGAAGAGAGAGGAGATTATTGCCCATTTCTTGCGCCGGAGTACAAATAGAAGCCTACTAGTTAACATTCGAACCACACATCCCGGACGACACACAGACAGAGTAGAGTTTAGGTAGGCAAGCAAGTCAAAGCAAGGAGAAGAACAACGCCGACTAGCTAGCCCCCATACCCCTTCCTTCCTCCCGCCCTATGATATCTATCCCTTCCTTATACCTTCGCTACCACCGAACTAACCTCGACCGCCAAGCGCGGGGGACAATCTACTGATTGTAGTTCCTAGCCATGCTCTGGCAAGCTTTCTGTTTACACCCCATCACGCATTAGCGACCCAATCACCGCTCCCCGGAAGATGGGAGCTACATACCAATTGATCCAGATACCAGCTGCAGATCTGCATGTTTCCCTGGTTCTCGTCAAGACACTTTGTGAAGCTCCTCGCATCGGCCTCGCACGACGGCGCGCCCCACGAGCTGTTTGATGCAGACTGGGCCTGAACGGGCTCGGCCGCGGCAGCGGGGGCCTCAGCGGGCGATGAGCCGCCGAACTGGATAGCGCCATTGGTCAGCACAACTTCATGCAGGTTCAATCCGGCGGGATGAAAAAATATATGGGCAGTGCGAAAAAAAAACCTACCATTCCGCTGATACCAGCACCGAGCATGTGGCCGACAGTGGATCCGACAGCGACACCGGCAGCGGTGGAAGCCATCTATAATTCCCATATCGAAATGTTAGCGGGGGAGCGCCATTACCACCATATCTTCCTCCTCTAGGGGTTTTCAGATACTGACCTGGCCGAACAATCCGGGGCTCTGCTGGGCCGGAGCCTGAGCCTGCTGGACAGCAGGTGGCGCGGCCTGGGGAACCTTTGCGGGGACCGAGGCAGTAGATGCCTGGCGGGTTTGTTGAGGAGCCGGGGCCGGACGCCTGACAGGGGCGGCAGTAGGACGGGCACCACCACGAGAACGAGCCATTTGTGATATTAGTTTTTGGGAGGTGAGGAAAAGTGAATGGAAGTGTGTTTGAAACGACAGAAGACGAAGATCTGTGATGCAGGTGAGAATGGAGAATGAAGGTTGGTAGATGGCGGTTATCGTGGTGGGGGGGGAGCGGAAGTTTTTACAGGGTCCGTGGAAGGTTCGATTTCTGAGCCCACGTTTCGCCAAGCCTTGTCCACGTGATTAGGGCCGAAATTATTAGAAGGTTCGGGGGCGAAGGGATGGGATTGGTAAAGGCCCCTAGATGAGACGAGGATCCTAGTAAAGAAATGTTTTTTTCTGGCCCAGTCTCGATCATACAAAAGTTTTTGACGAGTGGCGGTGGCCCACTGACGTAGACTATGCCATCTGAAAAAAGTGTCAATTCGAAAATGAAAAAAATAACCTACCTATAAACATATTAAGTTCAGCTCTTATGGGTCAGGGAAAAAAAAACCAAATGACCCAAAACAGGGAATCAATGAATCTGCGATTGATGACCGAACATGCTTGAGATATGGAAATGATAGAAGGAACAAGTAAATTTCCAGAAATCCAAATCTACCCCAGCCCATCCATTGAATGCAGTAAACATCTGCAGGGTCCAAATATGCTAGTCTGTGAATAGCAGCTGGATTAACAGCCACGGTAAAGGCTGGTCATGGATGCGCCGTAAATGTGGACTATGTATCATTGACACCCTATTCGCATTGACAGTTAACATCTAGCTATGCGCGATTGGACAACGGAATCTAGATGGAGTGGGTCGCCTATGCGCGATGATACAGCGCGAAAGGACAGTGCAGTCCTAATTGTAACATATTCAAAAATGTTAATTATATGGCGGTAACGAGATACCTGCCCCTAGTAGCTACATTTAGTGATCCGAAGTCACTACACTATCTTGTTGGAAAGGGCGATGAGTAGCAGTCGTTCCCTACCATAAATTATTTGATCAATCTGCGGACTTTAAGGTATTTATAGATATAAGAACCCAACTTAGCTGCCACATAATCATTCAATATACGGGTATTAAGGTGCTTGGAATGCTTTGTAAAGTGTTTGTATTTAATATAGTCGAATCTCCCATGGCCACAAGGGAATGAGTTCCTAGGCCTTATTAGGCTTCATAGCTCATCACCCTGACTATAAAGGGTAGACGCTCTCTCTGTAAAGGTTACTAGCACCCTAGTGCTGTCCCAAGTGTGTCCTCATATAGAGACTGGAATGTGTCGAGAATATGCTTGTATCAAATTAACGCCATATCCGTCTAATACATGCCAATAAGCTAGCGATATCCCATGCTTCGATCAGGTCTCCGCTGTAGAGCCCAAGTGATATATCCATCATTCCCTATTCATATGAGATGACTTTTTTCGAGGACCAGAGACCTTAATCACGTTCAATCTACCAATTGTGCAAATCCCCCTTCTCGATTATATATACCACGTAGCCAACTACATAATGTTGAACTATCGGTTATTAGCTCGGTCAGGAGCGAGTGTGGGGAGCAAATCGAATTAAGAGGGCCTCACATGATATGAGCATGTAGTAAAGTCTTCGAAATCAGCTCCTCTCCTGTCCAGCTGTCTTCATCTTTCCTATCTTTCATCACATAACCAGCTATATCGAGTCTACAAATAAATACCGACACTATCAAGCCCATCATACATGTCTCTAGATCTGTGTCTGCCAAAGAGTTAATGAGTGATGACCCACGTCAGAAAATTAGAAAGTGTCCCTTTCCCTTCACCCTCCCAATGCCTTGATGTAAGGTGGTCTTAACAACGATATCAACAATCTAGCCGAACTAGACGTGTCATCTTTCTACGTATAATTAGATGGACTTTCATCCTCCTTCGTCATGCATGAACCATCCATCCTATTTCCTACATATATTGACTCTTCACACTTGAAATGTGGGTAGTCCGGCTTATAACGGACAGGCCTAGGGCCAATGATCAAAACATGCATTATCACATCCACAGTGCCAATGGTCCTTTTTGAGATTGGAGCTAGCTAACTATTATTGCAGCTACTATTAGTTATTCTCTGCAAGAAGATTATACATGGACTATGCCGATCATGAGAAGCTACTGTGCAGCACACAGTGCGTTACAAGTAACATACAGTTCAACTCTTGATCACCGGAGCTAGAAGCGCACACAATTCCCCTCTCAACGCCGAGAAAGAGGAGCGGGAATCTATATATATACCTATATACGAACAGAAACAGGAAAGAAAAGAAAAAGAACGCTCCTACTATACATCTATACACAGAGAGAGAGGAAACCATCAGCTAATCCACAAACGGCAGCGCTCTCTTCTCCCTCCCCTGTATAATCTTTCCCCTCCCCTTCACCACCGCACACATCAACGCATTCAACGTAAACGGCACTCCCAGCTCCCTCGCCCTTCTTACCACCCACCCATTAATATAGTCCACCTCTGTCTGCTTCCCGGCCCTCACATCCTGCACCATACTACTCCAATTCTCCCCCGTTGCTCTCGCCACCCTTATAACAACATCATACAGCCTCTCCGCCGCAAACCTGGTCTCCCTACCAGCCACACCAGCAAGCTCCGGCAGCGCGCACAACACTGCACTCACCTCCTGCAGCAGCAGCCGCATCGTCAGAGTGACATGGAAGTTCTCCAGGAGCTCCCCATTCCGGCAGTCGTACATCACAGTAAGAGGATTTATGACGGCGTTTACGGCCAGCTTCTCGGCCTGTATCGATAGAAGCTCGTGCAACGGCACATGTTCCGCACACAGCAACGGACACTCCAGCAGTGTTGAGATCAAATACTCCGTCGTGCTCGTTAGGTCCTCCAACGGTGGCGGGGTCGGCGCCGGCGCAGGCGTAAACCACGATATCCCGTTGCCGGCCTGGGAGGCAAGGACTTCGGCGTCGGAAGGGACGTAGCCCAGCTGTATTGAACCGATGCCCTTCTGGACGACTACGAATGGGCCCTTGGGGTATGCACCATGTGTCGTAATCCCCGCCACAAAACACGGACGTGTGGCCGGGTCCGGGAATACCGTATCCTTCAGCTCATCGATGATTCCCATCCCATTCTGGAGGACAAGGACGGTAGACTCGGATGTGAGGCGGTTTGACAGTGGCCGTAGTGCTGCGGCGGTCTGGTGGGCTTTTGTAGTGATGATGAGGTTGTGGATTACTGTTTCTGTCTGGCCAGTGGGTGGGGTTACGACCTCTGTGTTGAAGCCTGTTGCGGAGGTGGGTTCTGTGTGCGGGCGGTAGAGACGAATGAGGGAGCCGGTGCGGGTGAAGTTACTGAGTGAGGTGTAGTTCTGCAGGAGGAGGGTAACGGGCGGCGGGGATGCGAGGGTGCGCAGGGAGTGGGCGAGGATTGAGCCGATGTTGCCAGTGCCGAGGATATGGATACGGGAGCGGGGGTCGATGTGTATGTAGGCGGGTGGCGGGGGTGGGGGAGGAGGAGGATGCGCGGAGGTGTACGGAGCGGAGGTGTAGGGTTGGGCGGGCGGCGAGTAGTGTGTCAATTCTTCCTCCCCCGCCGCCGCCGTCGCTGCCCGTGTTTCTTCCTCTCCTCCGCCGGGCTGCGGTTCGTGTGGTGGGCTCTGTTCTTGTGCGGTGGTGGTGGTCAGGTATCTCGACATGGTCGGTGTCAGTATCAGTGCTGGTGGTGTCGGTGTAGGTTTCGGTATCCTTATTGGTATCGCACCTCTTCCCCGGACAAGACACTTTGGTAATCGTAGTACCATAGTCTGCAGCGGCGATTGGGAGGGGGGATATCTGGGTATCAATTAATCAATTCAATGCTCCGTCCATCCATCAGAAAGAAGGCGGAGAAGAAAGAGTGCAAGCGCAGGGCAGGGCTGAGCGGGCTAGCAATTGCTGACCGGCAACATGTCGAAACGGTGATTGACGTCTGTCTATATAACCCGCTAGCTTGGGTGAGTTATGCGTTGCACGTGAGCGAGAGAAAAAGTGAGTGACGGGTTCTGTGGGAAGCCCTAACCCTGGGGGGGGGGGGTATCAATGATTGCTGGGGCTGTTTACGCCGAGGGCCAACGACGGGGGACAGCGGGTGGGCGTTTGTGTGTGGACGGAGAGCTACATGCAGGAGATTATCGTGATACTTGCTGTGGGCCTGGTTATTAATTGTATTTCTGTGGTTTATAAATACGTAGATTTGTAGATTTGGAGAATAGAAGACCCTAATCCATATGCAGCGGAGCCTCACTCACTCTGATCACCACCGCCAAGTCTTAACAAAACTCTACAAAAACCTCACCACGAGAGCCCACCTCACCACCACCCACACATCCACCCCCCACAGCCACCGCAAAAATGCCCCCCTCACCCACCTCCCCGCTAACGCACCTCTCCCTCCTCGACGAGCAACTCGACGACCTAACCACCACGCTCGCCCCCCTCCTCACCACCCCCGGCCTCCCCTCCCTCACCGCCACCCTCCCCATCGCCGACCAGGCCCGCCTCTCCGTGCTGACGGCCTACACGCTCGAGTCCCTCCTCTTCACCTACCTGCGCCTCAACGGCGTCGACGCCAAGTCCCACCCCGTCATGGAGGAGCTCGCGCGCGTGCGCCAGTACGTCGCAAAGATCAACGCCGCGCAGGAGGCGCCGAAGCGCAGGGCCGCCGTGGATAAGGAGGCCGTGGGCCGGTTCGTGAAGGCGGGGCTGGCGGGGAACACGGCGGAGGGGGAGGGCGTGGGGGAGAAGGAGGAGAGGGAGCGGGCTAGGGCTAAGTTTGAGGAGGTGTCGAGACGGATGGAGAGGAGGGAGGTGGAGGAGGAGGAGGCGAAGGAGAGGGAGAAGGGGGAGAGGGAGAAGGAGAATGAGGAGCAGGTTACGCGCATTCTGGAGAGCTTTCGGAGCCATGGGGTGAAGAGGGGGAGTGATGAGGAGGCGTCGGGGTCGGTGAGTGGGGCGGGTGCGGGTGGGGGGGCGGAGAAGAGGAAGAGGAGGAGGGGGAGGAAGGGGAAATAGGTATGTATGTTTCTTCGCTTTTATTTTTTTATTATTTTGGACCTTTTTGGGACTTTGGGTATTTGAATAGGATGCTGATAGTTAGTTAATTGGGTGTGTAGATCTCTGGCAATTAATTAGTGTTGCAGGAGAGCGCAATTGGCCTCCGCGGATCCTATTTCTGTCTCTGTTTCATTCCCTCTGTCCTCACCTCGCTCCCACCATTGTAGCTACCCCTACCCCGCCAGATCTCCTATTTCCCGTCTCCGTTTTTCTGATCTTGCAAATGTACCATTACCATTACCAGGCTAGAACCGGCGTTATCTGCTTTCTCTTCTCTCTAATAAACGTTCGCTCTACCTCAAATATACATGAACGCGGGTCTGAGAAAAACTTGACTTATGGGCTCAAACCTAGGTAACAAGCCCAAATGAGTCAACCGATCCACCCAAAAGGCTTCTCCTACTGATAGAGAATGTTTTAAAGGGGTGTATATATTATATTTTCCTAGAAGGTTCCTTTAGCTAGTAGGAGGCTCGACATCGATCAAGCTGGTTGAAACCTAATGTTTTTTAAGATACTAGAAAGAAAAAGATTAAGCGGATACACTTAAAATCTTTTTGTTCTGACCATCACCATCAGAATCTTTGCCCTTGATATTAGTCTATCTAACCATGTATTCCTGCTTGCTTCCCATATCTGGGGGTTGTGTAGAGGTTGATGTTTGTTAGATTTTGCTTTTTTTTTGCTGGTTGTTGTGTTGTGTCCTGGCCCCTTCGTTGACCATAAGTCAGATTTTCTCAGACCCGCGTTCATATGTAGTCCCAATTGCAGATCAAGCTCTCCATAGTAGTAATGGTAGTAGTAGAAGGAGAAGGAGAAAGTCTCGATCGGGTCTAATAGTTAGCCAGCGGCGTCGGGAATAGAGTTTAGTCGTTTGCTGTACACATGTAGTTATAGAGTCTTGATATATACTCGTACATGTATAATAGCGTTTTGAATGGTTGTCATTAAGCTAGCTATGTAGCTAGCTGGCTGGCTGGCTGGCTGGCTGGCTGGTTATGGCCGGAAGTAAGTAAAGGATCGATCGATCATAGGCCGTCACTCAGTATAGTGTCGAATCATGGGTGGTGATGCACGTGCGCGCTGTCGATTACCCGGGTGCTAGCTAGCATACTGGATTAATTCTGGTGCGTATGTAGGTACATGTACTCTTGGATAGGATAGCTAAGAAAACTTTTTTTTTGTTCCTTAGTTTCTGGTTTCTGGTGGCCTGCTTGGCCGCCGGGTGGTTGGTTACTTGCATGGTGTGATATGGGTGTTTCTGACGTGACGTTGATGTTCGTGTGAGGCCGGGTCGGGTCGGGTTGAAGAAAAGAAAGAGTCCTAATATCACTCGTTGTATCTATGATGGTTGGCTTAAAGCACGTAGAGGACCGAGAACTAGAACATAAAGTGTATCGCGCAAACTGATAATCCAGAAAGAAAAAGAGAAAGAGGGTTCCCTCTCTATAGGTATGGTTTAGAGCTCCAAAACAAAAGTACAGATAGTTTGGAACGTTGACAACAATCGAGGGTCGCAAGTTTAAGTATGTAGACCGAAGAAGGCGTTTTATATCGACCAAGTATATATAGTAGATGACGCGTATATGATTCTGGTCTTTCACGTCACGGTCACTCGAAAATCCAGGCATACAGTACATGTACATATATGTAGTAAAAGGAATTGGCAATTAAGCCTTTTCCAGTATACAGTGAGGTTTCAATAGTGCTGGCTTTGATACCCATGAGTGGTTAATCATGCATAAATACCTTTATGCTGATCACCGTACACGTATCATGTTACCCAGTTGGGTTAACGAGTTGAGCTAGTTTCTGTACAGTATATTCATGGACTTCAAATCTATAGGCCAGACTACATACAGCCACTCAGCAAAAGTGTTCGTGATATAGTTTTGATGTCAGTGCGCAGTGTGGCGCACCCGTAATACTGATGTTATTAAAGTTGAGATTCAAAGCAACGAAAAAATATATAATATAGTTTGTGACTATATATAAAAAGAAGATAGGTCATTGATCTTATTCTTCATTAATTTGGGCGCCATTGGTCACTGGGAAAGTCTTCTCTTGGGGGGTTCTTGATGGTCCGCCGCGGTTACATATGGAGAAATGTCTCACTCCGAAATCGGAATCACGAACACTTTTGCAGAGTGGCTGTACATGTATCAATGATATCAGCTAACTAAATTGAAATGTAGTTAGCGATAATATCGAGGTGCGTATAGAACTTGGTGACGGTTATAATTAATTGGACACCAATTGAATCGCACCTTCTTTTATTAGCTATACATGTATATATATACACCTACCAGAACAGAGAATATGGACAAGTCAGAACAGTGATATGTTTTTGCATTTGAAATCAATGAGACGAGAGTAGTTTATAGTCTAATTACAATTACTAGCACCACAAAGAGCACCACACACACTCTCTTAAACCCCTCCTCTACTTCTCCTCCTCCTCCCAATCCTCCACCCCCATCTCAGCACCCACACTCTCCACCATCGCCAACACCTGCTCCCACCTCTCCTTCACCAACCTCGCCACGCCCACCCCCGCCACATCCTCCACCCTCCCCCACGCGCCCCGTCCCTTCACCCTCAACCCCCTCAACACGCCCACCAACCACCTCTCCACCTCCCCCCTCTCCCTCTCCCCATCCTCCTCCCCCACCAGAAACCTCCTCCACCTCTCCACCCTCGCCCGACTCCTCGGATGCTCCGGGTCCCGAATCAGCATCATCCGCACCGCCGCCTGCGTGCGGAAGCAGAACGTGCTGCGGTCAAACACGTACCCGCCCAGGAAGCCCTCAGCCTCGAGCACGCTGCGCTGCGACGCGTTGAGCGCGGGCAGCAGCAGCGAGTCGATGCTGACCTCGTCCCATTTGTTGGAGGGCGTCGGCAGCAGGAAGCCGTACTCGCAGAGGAGGAAGTCGTTGGAGTGGCAGCCGTAGGTGACGAAGAGCTGGGTGTCGGCGGGGATGGAGCCGGCGGAGGCTGTGACGGTGTACCCGCGGGGGGAGAGCTCGACTTTGCACTGCATGGGTTAGAGGGGGCACACACGGGGGGAAGGGAAGGGGGGAACTTACGCCGTCGTCAGAGTGGTTGAAGTAGTCGATGAACGGGCAGAGGGCCATGCAGTGCTCGCGCGTGAGCTCTTTATATTCGGGGGTGTCTGGCTTGTAGAATAGACTTCTGGTGTTTACTAGATGCTGGGTATTAGCGGCCGAGTGATGGGCTGTGATGAAAAAATGACCAACATACCAATGAGCCAAGCGTAGATGTACTCATCGCGAGTAAACTCAAAGCCCAACTTCTTGACCTTTTCAAAGTCCCTGCCAAACTTTTTCTTCTGCGAATCCAGTATTGCTACAACCACCCTCCCCCCCCATATCAGACCACTACCCTACTCTAATTCCAGACCAAAGACAGACAGAGCCACACTCACAGATCGCACTCGGCGGCAACAGCGCCTGCTCCTCCTCCCTCCACAGCAGCGGCACCCCCTCCCTAAACTCCTCCAACCCCGGCCACACCCTCATCCACGGCGCCCACCCATTCGCCCCATTCCCTCTCTCGCCCGCAATCGCCGCCGCAAAACACGCATGGGTGCCCAGCTCCTTCAGCAGCGCCCGCACATCCCGCCCCCCCAGGCTCGGCGCAAACTGGCGCAGATTCTCCCGTGTCAGTAGTGAAGCGGTGGGCGTGAAGGCGATCGTCTCTGGCTCGCTGCGCCGGGCGGAGCGCCGCGAGCCGGGGATGGGGACGGGGCCGGCGATGGGCGCGGTGGAGGCGATGCCGAGGCCGGCGTGCTGGAAGCGCGCGGGGGTGATCTTGTGGAATGTGATTCCTTGCGCGCGCGACCAGGTGAGGAAGTTTGTGTGGTTCTCGCCCGTGGCGGGCTCGTAGGTTGGCTTCGGTGGCGGCGGCGGCGGCGGCGGTGGTGATGGTGGCGGGGCCGTCATGGTGCGGGCGGGGATGGGATGAGATGGATGTGTGTCGGTGAGTCAGTTGGTGCGATGGGATGGATCTTCGACGTGGGGCTCTGCGGATGCAGGGATGGTTAGTGTTAGTGGGTTTTGGCTGCACGCACGTGGGAGATCTCTGTCTAGGTCTCCCCCAGCCTTGGCAGCAGCAACCACGAAATACTAGGGGTTATTTGATCTATTATTGAAATTCTGGTTTCTACGATAATTATAAGCAGCTGCCTAACATTCATAGTTTTCACTTAATTCGCGAGGTGCGTGAAATTTTTTGATTGACTTTCAGCAGTGCATTGATAGAGAGGACTTACACCCACAAGGACCATTTATGACATACCGGACAAAGCTCCCAGGCTCGGTGATGCATTCGACTCACTCAACAAGTATTGATTTAGGGTGAACTAAACTTAGATATATATATATATATATATATATACGTAGGCAACTCTGTACAATTTCCCAAACGACCCCTCTGTCCTCGACACCCAGGGCAACACCCATCCCCCGTATGTGCCCAACTAACATGTCTAGAAACCTCAGCCAGAAGACCTAAAAGGCATCCCCAAACCCCTTCTTAAGCTCCACCTTCCAACATCGCGCTCCACTCAGAGCACATTACCACTCTACACCGGGCCTCCCACCTACTCCACCACCACCCGCCGCCTCTCCTCCCCGCCCGACCCCCAAAGCCCCCCACTGCAGCCAGTTTCTTAACATCCACAACCTCAGCCCAGCAGCCGGCGTCTACCCGAACGCCTACGACGTCGTGCTCACGGATATTAGTTTACAGGTCTGCGACGAATGGAGCATTAATTAAGAATAACGCGGTCGGGGGGGCTCCAGGCGAAATGGAAGAGCAACGGTCGAAATGTATGATGAATTTTGAATCTTTTCTGTGTTATTCCGTGTTAATAACACAGGAAGAGTCGACCCAATGCATGTATGTAGTCTGACAACACTAGGCCTGCCATCCACCCGGGTCCTCTCCGCAGTTGGCCAAAGAACCCAAACGATATTAACAGCAACAACTAACAATACGCATCTTTACTACATGCATTCAATTCAGCTAATTGTGCTCATAATACGGGCATTAGCGCCACCCCGACCCATCCCATCCCGCGAACGCCAAGATAGTACGAACCTCCAATCACAGCCTATCACTCGGCCGGATCAACCCCCCATGACGCCAATAGCCACAACAAGGTACTACGAGTTTTCTTAGGTGCTCTCGGCTGGAACACATATATACACTGAGACAGACTGCCTCTACCCCCAACACCCCTGATTTCTTCTCCGTTCTACCCCCAGTACTCCCAGTGCCGTATTTGCCAACTAGATTCAGAGCACGCATCATCCACCACAATACTAACTGCAACGCCTCGCCAGATATCGATATCAGCTGACGCCCAAACAAACAAACAACAGCGATACCCAAGTACGCCTCTCCTGTATCATCGCCGTTAGCCCGCTCTAGCCCCTGAAGCTTCTCGAGCCCGATTCCTTTGTTCAACAGCCACAACCATGTATCGAGGCCGAAACACCCCGCGAAATCCTATCCTCTTTCATAGCCCCCAAAGTTTATATATCACTGCACAAGTACATAACCTCTCGCCCTTATATACTGAGTATGCTCACTTCGGTCAGCTATAAGGCCTCGGAGTACAAATACAAATACAACGCACGGCCTAAACACTCCCCACCAATAAATACTGCCTACCCACAAGTACAATCCAACCACCCCCAAACCACTACCACAAACACTCTCCCCGCCCACTCCCCCGCAACAAGCACCAGCACCATGTACATCTCCGCCCCCCTGCACACCCCCTTCCCCCCCTCCTACCCGCACGCCCACGCCCCCGCGCACGTCTCGCTCCGCCGCCGCCTCGTCGCCGCCCTCAAAGAGTTCGCCCAGCGGCGTCTCCCTCCCCGCCTCGCCCGCCTCGTCCCGCGCTCCGGCACATCCCATGCTAATAACAATGCGTATTACACCACGCCCGAGGTCCCGCCCGAGAGGGGGAGGGCGGGAGCGCCGGGGACGGAGACGGGGACGGGGCGGCGAGGTTGAGGAGGAAGGGGTATGATTCGGGGCTGCCGGTGTGGCTGGCGTGGGCGGCGGGGGGGAAGTAGTGTGGGAGGTTAATTGGACTTTTTGTCTTTGGTTTGGTTTGGTTTTTCTGGCTTGGGTTGGGTTGGGTTGGGTTGGGTTGGTGTGTATGCAGTGGTTTACAATTTGGTTTTTTGGACGACGGTGGGCATAGGGGGGTAAATTGGACATCTGTGGATTATATCTGAGATGTTACTCGGAGCCTGGGGGTGCTTTGTTTTGTGGCTAGCTACGCTACGCACCGGAAGACCTAGCGGAAAAGAAAAAACAGATACCTTGTGGCCGGTCCGGGGGCTGAATTTTTACTACGTATGCGTACTTTGTGGATCCGTTGTTTTGCGGTGGGGGTGATGAGCATGAGTGATGTCTTGTGACTGGAGTGCTTGGTCGATTGATGCTGAGTGACCCCCCCCATGATATCGATGCTGTCCAATCCGGTATAGATATAATCAATCTACTACTACTACCCTCCGAGGCCTAGGAGGAACCAGGATATTCTTTATGGGCAGCCATATCTGTGATTTCGTCGTGTTGCTCTACTAACTCTCTAACTATAATTAAGTACAAGGTAAACTTTCTTCCGCTCTCTCCAGCTATGGGCTCACTAAATTACAGCAGATCATTCATTAGTAGAGGCTGGCGGCATGCATCTTACTTCTTGTATTGATTTATGTATTGGCTTGTTACTGGGCCGGTGGTCAGGTAGATAAAATGCATCGATGTTTCTTGGGTTTATAATTGCGTCTGAACCGAACTAGTATGTACTTAGATGGCTTTGTTTGTAAGTACAGTCCCATGTGTTTATACACCAGCGGATGTGTTCTCTTTCTATGTTAGCAGAATATACGTCCTCGAACATTCCTTCAACCCTAACCCCGGCCAAGACCCGGCATTTATTGCACCTGGCTAACCAGCCAATCTCGGCACCTATTAGTTCACTCACTACCAATTGCTGATACTGCGTCTTAAGTCCCTCGGCCATAAATTAGATATTTACGCTCTGTATGTGGTAGCTACATGTAGTCGCGGGGGTTAATTAATGCCGCCCTAAGAAGCGTCTCCATGGCAACTATCTATCTACTCCAATCTAATCTAATCTTAGCACCACCCAACGTTCACCTGTCTATTCAATCATTCACCTCTCCACCACCCCAATGCCTCCCATTAAAATCTAAACTCTCTCTCTCAAAAAAAGGGAAAACCTCCCACCACCACAAACCCACCCCCCAACCACCAACCATGAACAAAAACCTCACCCGCACCCTCCCCTCCATCTCCACCCTACGCCACGTCCAATTCTCACGCAAAGGCGTCCCCTTCCTCAAGACCTCCACCGTCCAAGCCAAACTCACCACCGACCTCCTCGCCTCCAAATCCTACCTCGCGCTCCCCAAGCGCGCCGCGCGGCCCGCCGCCGCCTCCCAACCCTTCCCCCCGCCCACGCTCCTCACCATGGAGTTCGAGCCCGTATTCACCCTCGGCCGCCGCGACCGGGTCGCCCTCACCCCGGCCGAGCGCGACCGCCTCCTCGGCACGGGCGCACGCGTCTACGAGACGCTGCGCGGCGGGCAGACAACGTTCCACGGGCCGGGGCAGATGACGGGGTATGTTGTCATCGACCTGGTGCAGCACAAACTGAAGCCGCGGTGCTATGTTGCGCTGCTGGAGGACGCGATGATGGAGACGTGTGCGCACTACGGCGTGGCCACGGTCAAGACCGAGAACACTGGCGTGTGGGTGCGGCGTGGCGGCGGCGGGGAGGGTGGGGGGGCGGTGGAGGAGAGCAAGATTGGGGCGGTGGGCGTGCACATGCGCAGGAATGTGACGAGCTATGGCGTGGCGCTGAATGTCACGACGGATCTGCGGTGGTTTGATCTGATTGTGCCGTGTGGGCTGGAGGGGAAGGGGACGACGTCGCTGGAGAGGGAGGGCGTGAGGGGCGTGGGGGTCGTGGAGGTGGCGGCGGTGTTTGCGGAGATTATGAGGAAGAAGTTGGGCTGTGAGAGCATTGAGAGCTTGAATGAGTGGAGGCTGTTTGAGTGGATTGAGGGACGAACTATCCAGACTTTGGCGAGTGGCAAAATCACGGATTTCGCGGCGATTTAATCCTGATTCTTGTTATACAGTCTTTGTGCTGTATAGAGATACCAGGTTAGATGTAAATATTAATGGGATGCATTGGTGCAAACACTTATACGCTTTAAAAATGGGGACTTTAGTTTTTTATAATAGTAGTAGTATGTAGAGTAAAGGCACAAATAGACTAGAGGAGAAGATGAAGAAATATAGTTACTAAGTAGATATCGATACCACGCAGCAAAAGAAAGAAGAGAAGAAAAAAAAAGCGAAACAACCCCAATATATCAGAAAAGTGGATGGAGAAGAAAAATCAAGAGTCCAAAGACAAAAACTACCAAATACGCAAAAAAGAACAGCACCACAACCCACAACCAATCTACCAGTAGTTAGTTAAGTAGCTCAACGTCAATCAGTCAATCAATCAACTCAACATGTATCACATCCCGACCCAAAAAAACCTGCTCGCCCCAAAGAAAGAGAGAAAACCCCATGCGGACCTATGCCAGAGAGAAAAAAAAAATGATAGCAATTACATTGACAAGACAACACACGTACGTAGCACAGGATATAAAGATCAGTGAGAACGCCCTAGCTAATCGTCGCAATAGATAAAGACACCTAGACACAGAAAAAGTATAAAACCGGGGGGTAGAAAAAAAAGATACATAAGAAATGAAGTGAGGGCGGAATGGTGCTGTTGAAAAGTGGTACAGAAACAAAGGAAATGGTGCGAATGATAGGAAGTGAAATGAATAGTAGCCCAGAGGCCAAGCAAGAACAAAAAACCCATATGCCTTTCCTAATAATCCCCCACCCACGATCCAGCGCCCCCGACCCCTCCCGAACTTTTATATGTATATATTTATATCGAACACGAGAACACAGATAGAAACACCCTGATTGATAAAAAATGAAGAGTAAAAAAAGGAATAATGACCAAAAACAATGTCTCCGGCACATCTAACGCTCTCCCTTTTGCCAGGAGTTCATGACAGCCATCAACCCTACGCCAAGTAACATGACTCCGAAGATACTGACATAGGGCGCTGCATTTCGTTTCGAAAGAACTAATGATGTTCTTGCCAAATCTTCAGAAGACATTCTAGTGCCATTTGGAAGCTTCCCAATGTCTTTCTGTTTTACTGTCCCGTTTGATACGGAATCCATGGCATCTTCACTGACACCGTCGGTATTTGCTTGGATACCAGAATTTCGCATAGCTGTTGGGTCTGTCTGGCTTCCAGACTGTCTCTTGCGTGACTTTCGGGCTTCTTCCTCTTTTTTAATGCTCTCCACCATTTCAGCGAGAGTCTTTCGTGTTGTTCGGGTCTCCTCCTCTGCAGATTCCGTCCGACGTTTATACGACTCGATTTCTGCCTTTGCAGACTGAAGTTCTAGCATCATCTCCTCGACGCGCCTCTGGAGTCTGTTCGCCGCTTCAGCTGCTGCCAGAGCAGATGGATCGACCTTGACCTCCAAAGCGCCGCCATTTGATTGAATGACGTTCATTGGCATATCCGGCTGTCCGTCGAGGGATTTATCATCATCGCCACAGAGAGTCTCTGTATCATCTATATCACCCTTTTCATCTGCCAAAACTTTCTCCGCCTCAAACTCTCCAAGTACCCTGTCACGGGCAATCCCAGACAGTGCTCTTGTTTCGAGCTGTGAAGCACGATCCTCCGCGTCCTCACGCGCACTTTTTTCTCTTCTCAACGCATCCTCTAGATCTTTGACGAGTGCTGTCTTCAGTTCGAGTTCTTTACGGGCTTTATCCAAAGCATCTACAAGGGTGAGAAGCTGTGGAGGGGAGTTTGTCTCTGTTTTTAGTGTCTTCTCGGACTTCAGTTTGAGCGGTGGTAAGAAACCAATACTTGGAGCTGAAGATGTCCGTGGTAACTCCCAATTAGTTAGTTGTGGAGGGGGCGGTAGGGCAGACGTAGAATTATATGCCATCGGCAACTCCTCAGTTCCAACCCCAGAGTCGACCTGATTTTGAGACTCTTCGGCAGATTTTGGAGCTGTTAGGAGAGCATCATAAATTTCTGTGGTTCGCTGAAGGCTTTGCGATTGCTGTTTCGCTACTTGAATCTCGTACTATAATACATGAATCAGTATCGTGTTTTAACTGGCGTGAAATTTTCGATATGACTCACATTCAGCTTTTTGACGACCATTTCCATAGTGACTGGTGCAATCATCATTGGAACCTGTCGGTGGTTCATGCCTCCGCTAACGCTCATTGCTGAGCTCCGCGAGCCTTGGGAACCCGATCGACCTCGGAGACTGTTATTCTGTAGAGACACGTGATTCATTTGAGAGTTCATTAAAGAGCCGCCACCCATGGAGTCAAGGTCCCCAAAGTTTACCTCAAAGCTTCCAGCACCCGACGACTGCATTCCTGCATGCTCCACCTTTGCGGCCACTTTATGGTGAATGATTGTTTTGTTGTCCTCGCCCACAATATCAATCCCTAGCTCCAATACGTCATTTTCCCGGAGCTCGTGGGGCTCACTGTCGCGGTTTTCCTGCGAAAGTCTTTGCCCGTTGACGAAAGTCCCGTTCGACGACTTGATGTCACGTATCCACACCCGACCATTCGTCTTTTCCGCCCATACCTCAGCATGTTGCCTTGACAGAACCTTCGAGTCAAAAAAGCCGTTGCTTTGTGTAGGAACAGTCTTGGCGTTGGTTTGCCTGCCGATTCGTAAGGTTTCTGGATAATAAGGTAGTGGGATGTATTTTCGATCAAAAGTCCCGTTGAGGGGCTGTAGCATCAAATATGAATTGTTTTGCGGCTGTTGGCCTCCATTCACCTGGGTACCGTTACTCATCAGATGTTGCGATGGAAGTATAGGCATTGCTTGGTGCATCGAATTTATTGGCAAGCTAGACACGGATGAGCCGGAATGGCCGTTAGCGCCTCCAGGTGCCCTCATGATGTCAGGTTTCGCCGGCCAGCCTCCGTTAGAAGCAACCCTCACTCCACGACCTGTTCCCTTTTTCTTTCCGTTGAGTGAATTTCCCCACACCCCGTTCGATCCGTCTGAGGCAGCCGAGGGTGACGATGCAGATGATGATACTGAAGATGCGCCAGACGTGCGTTGGGAGCCCTTGATAAAGATTCGCGCTACTTCGTCGGCAGTCATAGAGTTGAGATTATTCTGCCCACCATTCCATGACCTAGGGCCGGAATGGAAATTCGGTGGTTGCGCCACGGCTGTCATATGCTGCTACGGGGGCCCGCACAGAAGACGGAAGGCGGGCAAGGGGGGGGGGGGGGGAGGTGGGATGGTTGGCAGGAGGGGGAAGTGAAAAGAAAGAAAGATGGAGGTGGGGGAGGAGGAAGAGAAGTAGTATAAGAGAGGATTATTTTTTTTTGTTCTTGCACTGACTGATGACAAGCGGCTGATTAACTGTGGCGATGTAGGTGTTGGAACCTGAAAGCCGAGAGCGAGATGTAGTAAACACGGGTTATTATTCTATGGGTATCTGGCGCTTGTGGGTACTTTTGCAATAATGTTGTTACGTCAGACCGGGGGAGGCTCCAGCGTTGGAACTTGGAGGTGGAGAAGAAATATATGGGCCAGGTATGAATGAAGAGATAGATGAAAGGGGGCCGTGAACGGGGTGACAGAGGCACGGCAAAAGGGGCAATAGCAAGTAAGACTCGAGACTTGCAGAAGCAGCAGCAAACAAAACAGAAGGAACACTGTCCCGCGTTAAGAGAGACGCTAATGAGAGGTACAGAAGCAGCGGGGGGCAGATAGTGGCTAGAGAGATAGCCCGAGCAAAGGGGGAAAGGGAAAGGGTCTTTCTCCTGCTCTCTAAGACTCCAGGGGAGTAATGTAGGTAGGGTAGGGGGTTGTGCACACACGATATGATTGATGATGGGTTTAGGTTGCAACGTTGGTTCTAGTGGGCAAAAAAAAAAAAAAATAAGCTAATCAACAGATTCTGGGGTGGCTGCGGATTGGGGGATGAGCGTCTGCAGCGCCTGAGTGGATGAGATGTTTGTATGTATGGATATGGATGGCTAGACTGCCTGATGGATTTTGATGTGTGCGTGTGTGCGTGTATGGCTATGTGTGTGTGGACAGATAGATGGATGGCCGACGTGATGGAAAGAGCGTGTGCGGGAGCTAACCGGTACTGCAGCTGGGTCACTCACCAGAACTTGGGTGAAAAAGCAGATAGAGTAGTAAATCCTGGAACGCGCCCCAAGTGCTGAAGAGACAGGAAAAAACACTCACAGGCCGGAGAAAGGAGACCGTGGCACTGCACTGTCTACTCTGGCAGAAGTAAGGCTTTGCGCGGTAGGACAAAGGGATGAGATTTAAAGGCCAAATTGAAAATCGTTGGGACGGATGGACCAACGAGAAAGATGGACCCGCAAGGTCTGCAGACTGTCACCGAGCAGGCAGGCAGGATATTAACTGGCCGATCAACTGGTGCGTTGAGTCGTGGGATGTTCTGCGTGGTTAGGGGTTCAGTGAATTACAGTAGCCAATTTTCAAGTCATGTCACGCAAATCTGTCTTTCTCCAATGTGGCAACCGAGGGCGTGATGGGGTATGCGTAAAAAAAAGTACATACAGGTCCAAAGAGCCTCAACCACGAATGCATCACCTTACACGATTCAGATGGGGGATCTTTCACTTCAAGATGTAGCTGATGCTACTTACATGCACTTACCGACGCAGAGAGATTCATGGATAGGTATCCCGTGCCCCAAATAGAAACACACATGGATGATGGGGGGTGCTTGAGATAGAGAGGTAAATTTGGGGATGGTTGTTGAGTTGCCGAGAGCGTGTGGCGCACGGGACCAGCGTTCTAGGACTAGGATGGCTTTTCCCCAGAGTCAAGCACCGGACCTAAGCAGGGAATGTGATTGTAAACAGCACAGTGGCTCAACGCGTGACGTGACTCCAGCTACCCCCCAACCCAACCCCAGACCTGTGTCTTCTATGTACTGCCGCACCCGCCTCTGAGGCTACTTACGGCACCTGCAGTACTACTAACACTACATCTGTACTCTATACATATAGTCATCACAACAACATTATCAGCCCCCCTCCCAAGAATTCTTACCCAAGTGTCCTTCTCTCGCATCGTGTCCAACTTGCACATCTTTCTCTACCATAGCTCTGTGGTTGAGATCTCTATGCTCATTGTCCCCAGCCAGCTCTGGTCATGAGCTTTCTATCGTTTCTCGTTGTTTACCTGCTCGGAGGCATATCTTTTTTGCCGTTATTACTCGGTCTCGTCATACTCTATGCTCATTTCACCTTTCCACATGTCCTTCTCGAGGAGCCTATCTCTGACCTGATCCGGGAAGGAGATGAAGATAAAACACTAAAGATAGATGACGAAAAGCTGTCTAGAAGGTCTACCGCCTCCGCCGATGTTGCTGCAGGTTACTTTGCCGTTACGAGAGAGTTCGTCCCTGGGGGTGTGAATGGAAAACCACCAGAGCGGACATCTCCGGCCGGAAAGAGCATTCCCGTAAATGATTCGCCTGGTGTAGTTCAATCTATGTACAGTAGATTCTTCGACAGGCGGGCAAGTACCGCAACCGCAGATCCAAACGGGGGAGATAAGAAGGTTCGAAGGGCCAGGAATGAATTCTACGTGGTTTTGAGGTGCGTCCGTGCATTGGTTCCTTACGACTAGATATGACGCTCACAGCTCCCGGTTCTTGCAGACACGGGCATCTTATGCTATATGACGACTCTGATCAGACCGAAGTTCGCCTGGTCATCTCCTTGAGCTTATACAAGGTCAGCATCTATGGCGGAGGTGAAGCGATCCCAGAGGGAGAGCTTTACATCCGCCGAAATGCCATCTGCCTATCCAGAAAGAATAGTGCCGTTGATCCAGCGCTTGATACCAATACTGTTGCTATGCCATTCTTCTTGTTCTCCGAACATTGTTCCTTGAAGGAGGACTTTTATTTTGCACTTCTCAAGAACCAGGAGAAATCCTATAATGATCCTGCCACAATATCACCGACGCCGCAACGCTTCGAGCAGGATCACATCATAAATCTATTGCAGCGTCTACATTCTTCAGAAGAACATTTACGGATGAACTGGGTCAATGGACTATTTGGGCGCCTCTTCTTGGCCATATACAAGACCCCCGATGTCGAAAAAATGATTCGAACGAGAATAACAAAAAAGATTGCCAGAGTTAATAAACCTAATTTTCTTTCCGACATCGTTTTACAGAAAGTCCATGTTGGCGAGGGTGTTCCATACATAACAAATCCTCGATTAAAAGAGTTCAACGCAGATGGTGATTTTTCCGCGGAGGCTGACGTCAATTACACCGGTAACTTTCGATTGGTATGTTACAAACCTTGAATATAAAAGCCGACGTCAGAGACTAATTAAGATTTCCCCGGTCTGCTTCAGGAAGTTGCCGCCAAAGCTACATTGCAGTTGCCGGGTCGCTTTAGACCCAGGGAAGTGAACTTGGTACTTAGCGTCGTCTTAAAAAGGCTTGAAGGGCATGCAATCATTAAAATTAAGCCTCCTCCGAGTAACAGGATATGGATGGCTTTCGAGACAATGCCCAAGATGGAGCTTGATATCGAGCCAATTGTAGGCTCACGACAAATAATTTGGAATCCCATCCTCCGTATAATTGAGAGTCGAGTGCGGGAAGTAATAGCTGAAACTCTTGTGCTTCCGCACTACGACGACACCCCATTCACCGATACTATAAACCAATTGTTCAGAGGTGGAATCTGGGAGGAAGCGCTCAGCAATGGAAATCCCACTGAGAGCGAAACTGGAGCCGAGAAAGGAGTTGTGGACGATGTCGATAGGGATGATGCTCTTGAGGAAGAGGTCCCAGAAGAGCTTATAGAAAATTCTCTGAGACAGGTAAATGAACGAACCATGAGCATGCCAATAATTGCACAAACAGCAACAATTCTGGATAAACAAAAATCTGCATCAATAATTGGCCTGAGCGAACCACCTGATAGTCCTCGAGGCGTTACAAGGTCGCCTTCCTTGAAATCAACTCACGGCGAGCGGAAAGCAAAATCTCAAAGAGCGCAGACTTTAACAACAATATCACCTCCCTCGCCCAGTGTGATTACGGATGCGGTCAACGTCACAGCTGTCCGCGGTAAGACAGATGTTGCAGATAAAGGTGTTACTTCGGCAGTAATGTCTATGAGTAGGTCGAGGTCATCTTCGAGTCCCCACTCTCCGTCTCAAACAAATCCGGCGTCCCCCACTGTGCCCAAGTTCAACGTGGACATTTTAACACCTGATGTTTCAATTGACCAACCTTCAGACAAAAGTAGTTATTCGTCCTCTTACGAAGACCGAACAGACGAGGTTGTTTCTAGAGCACGAGGCATTAAAGGAACACCCAGCCCAGCTCGTAGCACTTCCGGAAGCTCCGCTAAGAGTTTAACCGCAACAAATTCGCCTCCTGGCCCGAATACCTCCGATTCAACCTCAAACTTGGCAAACACTATCTTCCCTAAGGCACTCCAAGAAAAGCCGTCTTTTGTGGCAGTAGCTTCCGCAACCGCAGCTGTGAGGAATTGGTACAAAACGCGAAATACGCAAGGCGAATCATCATCATCATCATCGGTTGAAGCCCCTAATAAACAACCAACTTCGCGAAATCTACCACCTGTCACAATTCCTCCACCAGTGGCGAAGAAAACACCACCGATCAACGTTCCAAAGCGGAAATCCCTTCCACCACCACTACTCCCCTCTAGGAATAAGACACGCGCGGCACCAGCTCCACCAATTCCACCACGAGACCTATCTCCATTCAACGGTGGAACTGATCAATTATTGGTTGTGGCAGCACCAGACTCAGAACCGCCTTCGCCTTCTCAAACTGTGGATGGCGAAGACAGTGATTACATGCGCAAAAACACGACACATAACGGCAGCATTGAGTCCCATCTCATGTTTCCTTCTTCTTCGTCCAAAGATTCTGAGTCTGCTTCGGTATCTATAAATTCTCCGGGTCTCCCCAGACGTAGCAGATCGCTGAGGACTGCTAGTGGAGCTTTAGATAGGGAACGAGAACATGAGAGGGCGGTGAGAATCGAAAAAGAGGCTGAACGGGAAGTATGGCACGCTGCGGAGGAGGCAGAGTTAAGAACAAAGGTTCCATGGGAGCCTGATGAATCTTTAACTTGATTTGTTATCTTTTATCTTTGGGGGTATTTCGTCGATCATAAAAATGGTCCTGGATTTCTTTTCCGTTGAGAATAGCTGGAGTTCTAAATGGTTTCTGATTTTACCTTTCTCTTGATTTATTTTTTGGGATCATTGTTATCTATGGATGTTGGTTTTGATTTCGATCAGCTGAATAGGCGCGCTTGATATTTGAAATTGAGAAGAATGAAGGATGGGACTAGATAGTTTATAGTGCCTCTTTTACCTTCCCTTTTTGTTTGCTTCGTTTCTGTATTCAGACGGGCGAAACCAAATATTTTATGGCGTCAACTTACATTATTTCGGAGTTTTGTTCTGTTCTCATTGATGGGGTTTAGGTTTTCCATTATGTTTTCCTATTTGCTATTTTTTTTTCTCTTTTCCTTTTTACTTTACCCGTTTGCAACATACTATGCGAGTACTCTCAACATCCCATCAAGACAATTAATCGTATCCGGGAGGCGGTGAAGTATATAACTTGATTATTGTGAATAAGTAAAACTTGTTTTGGAAACATTTTTGAAGTGCGAGTGATCCGCCGTGACTCATGTTGTCCTGGACCATCAACGCTTCTCTTGCCTCCAGACAGGGCAAAACACATCAACAAAAATACCATCCCATGTGCTACCCGGGGTTATGTAGGCTTCCTACGGATGGAAGCATAAAGCATATGCATAAACAATCTTCTTGATCGATCAGAGACACACCGTATCCAAGGTTTAGCTTTGCATGAATATTGCGTGTGTTTGTAACTATGCACCGAGCCGCTGATACAGCATGAATGCTCTCTAATCTAAAATGGGACGACATCTGTATAACGACTTACTCGCATTGATGGGGAGTCAGAGGGGAGGGTTCTTTTTTAATGCCCCCATAATCTCACAGCCTCTTTGGATAAACTTTGAGGCAGTTTTGCGCGCGCACTTTCAAAGTGTTTGGCATAGAGCTATACCGGTCCTAAGAAGGCCTCACTTACGGGAGGAGTAGAGGCTGCTTTATTGAATGGCCAATGATTTGGTCTCGAGGTTCTTGTTCTGGTCTGGGATGGAGTCGGGGTCTAGCTAGGGAGATCCCTCTCCGCGAACAAATGGGCACCTCAACCTCCAGATCCTGGATAGTTCTGATATCTGACCTGACTGCTGAGTTTTAGTCAATGATAAAGCTTCGAGTGTACATACCAGATACCCTAAGTAAGCATCGTTAGCCAATATCATTACCACCACAATACCTGACACCCCCATGCTCTGGCCTCGCCGAGATTTCCAGCGCTTACAAAACCAACAGCGGTCACTAGTCCAAGATTCCCAACGGATCCGAACAAAGCAAAGAACAAAGCAAAGAAAAGGACTCGGACTCCATATCGGTATTATCCCTGGACGAGGGACGAGATCACCACCACCTGTGATCTGTCCTCAACAGCATTACCCGGTGCCCTAAACCGAAGTTCCCCCCGATCCACACACTGGATGTTTCAAAAAGTTTTACAGAATATACTATCATTTGTTTACTCTATTAATTGGGGAGATAAGATATCTGGGGGGGGTATGGGCTGTAGTATCTATTAATACGATTACTACTTTACTTCCCTGCGCCATATTGCATGCGCCTTTTAACTGTGAGGTACAGTGGCGGTGCATGATGTACCTAGGTATGCTCTACATAGGCGTTAGTGCGCAGAGCAGGTGGATAAAAACGGTACCAAACTGCCTGTGTAGCTATCTCGATTTGCCCTGGTTTCAACCGTCACCCACGGCGCCAGAAGGTCATCTGAACGGAAGCGAGAAATAAGCAAATTGTCACTGGTCCATCTCTACGTCATACCCCCTACGACCCCCATTATTCTATCATTCCTCGTCAATTTTACCCCACTACTGTGGTAGCCTTTGCAGCTCTCATGTACCCCGCCTTGTTTGATCGATCCCGGCTATGTTTATGGACCTCATTAAGGAAGCTCTTGAACTAGGGACAAAATAGTTTCTTTCAAACATTATTAATTTGGAAGAATATGGCCATTAAATGGCCCTTTTAACGGCAGAGTAAAAGCAACTAAAATACTAGTACACAAAAACAAAGCAAATGCATTCACAACCTCGCTGTAAGCATGGAAAGATATAGCTAAACAGTTAGGTCTGAAAGAAAAAACGCCTGTTTGAGTTATAGGTATGTTTGCTTTTTTTCCTACGCAACTATTTAACCTTCGGACAAACCCCATCTACTGATGAGCATCTTTACCGGACAGTCTCCTTCTCCTAAATGTACCAAAAAGTGGTGGAGAGGAACAGGCCGGAGACGCAAGGCTTAAAATCCGTGGATCTAGATAAAAGATTAGATAAATGCTGATGATAGCGATAGCATGAAAAAAAGAAACTTACTTTAATGTTTTCCTTGGCCAAAGCGTATTTGCCCATCTTGTCTTTATCCTTGTCGGTGAGAAAATCCATCACCTTAGTACGGTGATCTCCCTGGAGCTGAATCACCTCCCCCATGTCTTTATCCTGAATGATGGTGCCATTGCAGGCTGAGACAATTGTGCAACGTCAGCGCTCATATTCGTTATCGTGATCGAGATCGATAAGGCAGGGAGGGTAAGGTAAGGGGTAAGGGTGACACAAAAAGTGCTTAATGAGGGATTTCCCCTATCGGGATCGGGGTACAACGCAGAGGGAGATGTGGGACCAACCGTATTCCTTCTTGAAAGCCTTGAGAAGAGCTTTCGGGCTGTAATCCTTAGATAACCCCTGGACAGTCGTCAACGTCTTACGACCGTTGCGCTCTGTAGAGAAAAGGCCAGGTCAGCACATACTCAAGATGAATGATGCGATGTCTCAGGGGATGGATATCATTGAATAACTTACGTTGGATACGAATATGGACGTAATTCTTTGGCTGGGTATCACCAACGTCGTCGGCGAAAGGATCTATAAAAAAAATACCGTAAGTAAAAGGTCATAGTAATCTAACGACCGTGTTCATCAGACTCCCTTCAGCTGCAAGACCTTCTCCCTAATCTAGAAGCACACAGCAGGGAGCTAGGTTCCCGTCTGTAGTGCTGATAGGGGAGAAGATCCGCTGCGAAGAGTGATGAAGGAGTCATAGTGGCGATAATGATTGAAGACCTACCATTAACCTTGAGATTTTCGATGGACATAAACAAACTGCGAGGGGGTGTTGTATGCGGAAGTGTTGGAGATATTCCTTAGGCGGAGAAGGCGATGATAGTCTGGAACGGAGTTGCTAGTGTGTGAAGCTGGGTCGGTGATCTTGGGGAAAGAAGAAGAGGTTTGAGGTGGACGAGGGGTTAGGAGATTTAAATACTAGCGAGGGCAACGGAAGGACTAAGACCAAGGTAAGGTAAATGGATGGGTTGGCTGTGCCAGTGTGACTGAGAGACGAACCGCGGGATTACTTGGCGTTCTGTTGTGGTTGGCGGTGGCTGTGACTAATTTGTGTCCCAGACTCTTTGCTCTTCCTCAAGAATCTTTGACCGTGTTGGTATTTCCATGTAGAATGCTACACAACAATCTGTGTGGTAGTCTCACTTGAGCATTTATTGTTACTCGATATTATATTTGCCACACAAGAAAAAAAACTGGCTCTTCGAAGTGCCGCAGCAGGGCAGCTCATCGCTGCATCCCACCCAGAGCTTTCGCTGGTACCAGTAGAACCACACTCGCGAGTCTGATTTCCCTCACCTCACTACCACTCGGTAGGGCTGACCCGACCCGGCTGAGTGATGGGGGGCAGTAGGCCGAATTATTACGCAGCTAATCGATCAAAAAAGGCTTGAAACAACCCAAAAAATCGGTCCGAACAGAAAGAAAGGAAACTAGTCATCCTCGTAATGGATATCACGGTACTGCGGTATGTAGTTTATTTCACAGCACATGAAGATATCACATTCTTTTTTTGATAAACATCAGCCCGCGCTTGCACTTATCCCATGCAAAACTCTCCCTCTATCTTTCGAGTATGTACGCATTAAAAAAACAGTTTTCGACCTTTTTATCCACCAAGCGAAATCTAGTGAGCTACAGGCTTCGCGTTCCTGTTGCGAGGGTCGTTCTTGAACTCCTCAGCTATAAAAGTCCGCCGAGTTAGCAAAAAAAAAAAAACCAACAATAGAGCAGGGTAATCCGGATGTATGCGATGATAGCCAGAAGGACAACGATAGGCTATGAACATATCTGCCCCCGCACAAGGCAGGGAGAGCCACAAACAGGAAAAAACGAGGGTCTGTATAGGAATTGTGGAAAGGGAACATACTGTTTGCGACAAGGTTGGCGAAGCTGTTGATTCCGTAGAAGATGACACCGCCTATTCACAACCCTCCCGTCAGTTACCGGACTCCATCAATCAAACAGTTCCCATCCCATTAATCCAAAAATAACAATCCCATCCCATCATGTATCCCTCGGGTTCCGAGGAGTAAACGTACCGGCAACGAAGAAGGGCCACATCGGCTGAGCTATAATTCCGTACAACGTGGGGTTAGCGCAAGCCCTTCTATCAGCATCTCACGAACAAGGCCGAGTGTACTAACCGACGGGAGTGGGCCATTTTCGGCCAAAGAGCTTGGTCATGAGAGACATTGTTCGTGAGGTGTTTGGTGGGGTAATTGAGTTGAGGGGTGGTTTTTCGACGTATCGCGGGTGATGGGGATGTGGTGAAGTTGTTCCGACTTTTGCGAAACAGACGTTGAAACTCGGGTTGGGGTTCGGATTTCCGGGTGGGCAAAAATTACGAAATGAACAAAATGTCTCACAAATGAAAATTAGCAATTAAATCAGTTCAATCTAGTCTAAATAAGGGCTTTCAGGGGTAGCATTATCTGTGATTTATGGCACTCTTTACATCTTCCGCATTATGCTGCCAAGCGAGCTGTCCGGGTGATGAGGTGTGAGGCTCTTGTTCAACCCCAAGCACGATATAAACAAGTCTATCGATATCAACGACCTCTACCGCGCTAGCTATCCAAAAATAATGTCCAACCCACCACTAAACGGCACTATTGCCTCCCTCCAAGGTTGCGTCGCCTCTCTTCAAAACTCCCAACGTCTTCTCGACTCCTCAATTTCAATCCTCGACTCTGGCGTCCGCGACTTCCCACGGATGAAGAAAGTCCTCCAATGCACAAGAGTCAGTTCCCACCTCTCGCAACAAGCTCATACATATATACTGACTGACCGTACTAGCACTTCGAACTAATCTCTGAGCCCACTCTATACGCCGCGCAAACTGCGCTTGCCTCCGAAATCGGCCCCGAGGTAGAGCACCTCCTCCGCCGCGTTGAGCAGCATCTAGCCAAGATGGAGCGCCGCGAGAAGGCACTGATATCAAAGTCAGAGCTGCAGGAGGGGCGACTCCAACAGAAGCCGCATGTGAGTAGGGGCGCAGTTGGGAGGCCGGGGAGCAGAGCGGGGAATAATGCCAATGCGGAGAGATTGAAAATGTTGAAGAGTAAGAAGGAGCGGCTGGCGCATACCATCGAGAGGTTAGAGTTACAAGCGGGGCACAAGGTATGGATTGTCCGTGTACAGGTGTTAGTATGGAGATGAGCTAATAAAGATGTGGGTGTGTAGGAGAGACAGATGAGGATGACAATGAATTATGGTCGTGGGTGATGCAGGCATCAATCGATAATAGTAACATATGCATAGCAAGCGGGTACATGTTATAGGTTTTAACGGAGTCACGGTTAGGGGTTTTGTCTTTTTAATAAGCTGACGAAATTATGAAATGAACGGGGCGAATAAAGGCTCATGATAATGGAACGTGTGTTTGTGCTCTAGTCCTACATAAATCAAAGCTCGAAACAAAACGTGTATCACGAAACAACATGTGCTACTCACGAGATCAGTCCAGTTGTTCCCTTAAATGAGTTGAGCTTATTTCCCATGCCGGACTCAAACATTTACCCAGCACTGCCATGTGTTAGGTTGCGCAATTCCACAGCATGTTTTTCGTATGTTGGTATCCTCCGGTATCCGTTTAATCTCTGGTTTTGATTACACTTGAAGTATAGTATTACAGTGGTATTTTAAAGGTTGTCGTCGCTCTAGGCATGTAGGACAAATCCTGCTCCATCATGAGCCATCACTCGCACTCACTCGCCCCCTAACCCATCTTCGAACAAAACAGATCTTTCACCACCTTATAAACGTTCCCCATCACGAGCCCATCCAATCCTTCCCTATCTCATCCTATCACTATCCCTGACTCTATAGTCACTGCAATCCTCACCCCATCCATTCCTTTCCGTCCCTTCACTCATCCCTTCGATCCCTCCCGTCCCATCGCTCCCACGCTCCCTCCCTTCCGTCCACATAAAATGTCATGCGACCACTCCCACGCTCATGCTCACGCTCACAAGAACACGAATCCACAGCCATAGTGTAAAGAAATTTCATATTCGCCCTAAGTATGAGATGACCCCCCCCCCCCCCAATCCACTCCCCCGTCCGATCCCAACCCAATCCCGTTTCCATCCGCTTACATAAAGATAAAGAGAAAAGAAGATAAAAAAGAAAAAAAAAAACGAAAACTAAACTCCAGCCGTCAGATAGATCGAGTGCCCGGTGAATTATAATATTTATAGCAATTGTGAGTCAGAAAGAAGCCGGACAAAGGAGGTTGAAAAGGAAGACCTAGAAACAGGCACCAAGAACAGTCCACGGATTCAAAAGAATAAAAATAAAACAACCAATGCAAAAACACCAACAAATCAAACAGAGTAAGCAGAGTGGTGAGGGTGAGGGCTCTCCTCTAGAGAAAGAAACATAAGACATAAAGAAATGGAGGTCGTACTATATGTATGAACAGTTATTTATGCAGGGGCATGAGAAGAGAAATGGGGGGGGAAGAAACGTCGGTAAAATCAATCCACCTCGTCCAAGATGCAGAAGTAAAGTGAGAAAAAAAAAGACTAACAATCTATCCATTTTAGAAAGGACGAAAGTAAAAAAAAAAGTAAGAAACCCCACTCATGAACCCATCCATCCCATAAGACAAAAAAAAGGTCAAAATAAAAACAAAAAAAGACATCTTCCCATATTTCATGTAGATATGATATGTCAGAACTCCAGACGTCGCCTACCAAGCACCGGGAACTGCATGTTTCTCCTGGTCAAATCGTGGTGTCGGCAACGGGGTCTCAAATGTCTCGTCGTCTTGAGGAAGAGGACTATTGATCGCGGCTGTGATAGTATCTCTCCTCGTGTCCCGATCCTCATCAATGTCATCTACTGAGTCACTGAACCTGTCTGAGGACTGGATGCTGCTAGTATCATCGGCCTCAGAGCTCTCGTAGCGTCGCACTTGTGGCGTAACGATAACAGAGGCACAGGAAGCCTCCGTTCTATCGGAGTCCTGGCTAGTCCGCGAGGGAGCACTGTCGTATGGAACTGATAGCATGACCTTATCTTCGGTCACACTCGGCATTCTATCATGCTTTGCAAAATGCGAAGCATCTCTGCTACTCCGCTTCTTTGGAACATCAAGCTTGACCTGGCCATCCTGAGCATCTGACATTGGTGACTCGCCTCTCCGTGAGCGCTCCTGCTCTTCGGAGTTTCTGGCCGAGTCCCGGTTGTGAATGAATGCCGGAATTACACCACCGCCGATACGGCTCCAGAACATACGTTCCCGTAGTTTGACAGATTCATCCCAGGCGTGCTTCTCATCTCCCTCGCTTTCGCATTTCCACAGACCCTCCTTGAGAGTTCTCAGGAAGGCCAGAAAATCGCATACAGCGCGGGTCCGGACAACGCAATATCCACAAAGTGGGTATCGCTGTGCGTTCGGCGCTTCTGACGTTCGCATCCTGTGGGTTCGGGCATGCTCCTCACCTGGTCGTACCTCCCCGCATAGGGTGCACGAAAATGTGTTTAGAATACTTGTTGATGGAATTGGATCAATCACAAGGTTTCCATCTGTGATCGCACTCAACACGTTTCGTCTTGCGAGCCATGATAGGCCGGGGGCATTGTCGAGTCTAAGTGTCGGTTCGATGTCTTCCACAAGTACCCGCTTATAGAACTTTGTTTCCTTCAAACCGAGCCCAGTCTGTTGCTGTCCCTGAGCGCCGTTGCTGTTTGTGGGAGCATTACTCGAAGGGCTCGATGGGCGGCTGTCGGCGTCTTTGTCTTTGTTCTTTGAACCGAATAAACCACCGGTCAACCCTGTTGGAGAACCACTTGGAGATGAGCTGTAGCCCGGGATCCCCATGCCCATGACCTGGATTGAGGAGAACGAACCGCTGGAAAGTCGGGGCATTGGTGATGTCTTGGGGACCACCTTCGGAGCATGCATAACTTCGCAGAAGTCTTGATATGCTCCAGTATCGTAACGCAAAACTGGATGGAGTAGGCCGGAGAGCGATGTGGGAGGACACGGGGTCATCTCTTCAGGTGTCATGTTATTGGGTGACAAGTGCAGAGACTCGAACATGCGGGCGAAGGATTCTTTGCTTGCACGATTATTCAATGCAGGCGTCGAAGGCGTTCCCGTGGACATGTCGATTTCCGACTCTTCCCGGTCCGCAGTCATTTGTTGCATTACCAACTTCAGCTCTGCGAGCTGCTCCTGATGCGAGGCCAGTAACATCTCTGTATCGGCCAATTGAGCGCGGAGCTGCTCGTTCTTCTTGTCCATTGCATCCCGTTCCTTTCGTGCTGCCGAGACCATCTAATTCACCCCATAATGTCAATATTATACACATCAACCCTCAATTGGAGTCAATGCCGAGGCATAGGCATATGTACCTTATTAGCCTCGTCAAACAAAGCCGTCGTCAAAGTCTCCAATTCCTGTTCGATGTTGCGCTTATCCTTTTCTGCCTTACCGCGCTGTGTCCGCTCCTCCTTTAACCGATTCATGAGTTGCGCCGCTTCGGCATCCACATCCTTCTTCTCCACCAACAATCCCTTTGACATCATTTCCTCATGTTTCTTAGCCACCGCTTCCAACTGCCTTATCTTCGCTTTCGACAACTCCAGTTCATGTTTCGTCGTCGCCAGCGAGTCGTCCAGCTGCGTCTGGTGATTGATCGCACTAATCAACTTGTTGCTCAACGCCGCCACCTCTTTGTTCAAATTCTGGTCCCCATTGGTGCTGTCGCCAGTCTGCTGCTGCTGCTCCTCAGCCGTCGTCGTCGTCGTCGAAGAATTCCTCAACGCGCTCTCGCTGGCCGTCTTGAACAGGCCTGGGCGATCGGTCGTCATGGTTGAGAATCCGGGGGGTGAGTTGATGCTCGAAGGCGAGATTGGCGTCTTTTGTACAGTATTTATGGCGCGCAGTTTCGGCTTCGACGGAGGGCCAGATGAGAATGGGCCATGCCCCTTGTTGGCATGGACGAGATATAAGTATCTGTGGGTGTGCAAAAAAAATAGTAAATTTTAAGGTTAGCGGCTAGCTCGATAGCGACGACAAAGCGGGCGACAGAAAATTTTCATCGTTTTATTATTATTCGTGGATGGAGGTGTGTGTGGTTTATGTACTACTAGAAGGGGAGAGAGAAAAAAAAAACGTACTCAGCCAGCTTGCTGGTTGTGAGGGGATCGGCGGGCGGAGAAAGGTGTGACCGAGAGGATTGGGAGTTGTGAAGAAAAGGTGTCGCTTCCGGTGCAGGAAACGAGAGCGAGCGAGCGATTGGCGGAGGATGACGACGACTAGAGTAGGAAACTTGTTACGTCTTCAGTCGACGGGGGAGGAAACAAGTGCGGAAACAAGTTAAAAAGGGTAAAGAAGGTAAAGTGAAGTAGTAGTGCGACCGACTGCAAAGAAGAGAAGTAATAGTTGTGAAAAAAAGATTAAGAAGAAGAATGAGTAGAAGAATAAGAAGAAGGAGAAGAAGAAGGAAGGGAAAGACTGGGTGCGAAGAGAGAAGAGAGAGAGAGCGTGTGATTTCAAGTTGCAAGAGAGAGCAAACGAGCAAGCGTGTGCGTCTATGTGGGTATGCGGAAGTAAGAGAGAGAGAGAGAGAGTGATCAGAGATCAGATCAGAGGTATTTTAGTTAGTAAGGTAAGGAAGAGGTCAAGCAGAGTAAAGTAAAGTAGGCAAAAAGTAGTGTCGCTCTCCCTCGAATCGAAAGAATCCCTGGAGCGAGGAAACGAGCCGAACGAATGACTGGCAGCGGGAGCGGAGCTGACGGACTACCGACGAACAACTGACAGCCCAAATTGCGAGTTTTATGACGCTGTATCTGTACCCGGGGGAGGGGGGGGGGGTCTCTACTCCAGCTCAGTACTTTACGTCTCTGGTACGGCATTCGCTACTCCAACATACATAATGCCATGCTATGTGGATCTGCTAAACCAGACTACATGTACCTGCTTTGGCTTGCCTACATGTAGAGTACTTAGAGTACCTTTTTCAACCATCGAGGTTGTAGGTACATGTAGGTACATAAGTATGTCGTAGGCAATAGTACTGACTCGATAATAACTACCTCACAGGCCCCAGATTTGACATTACTCTCCTCTCAGTGGTGATGTAGCACTTTCAAACAGTAGCGCATGTGCTTTGGTATTCCTACTCTAATCCTATCCTGATGCGTCCGTCTCTCTCTCTCTCCTTATCCACACAAAAAAAGAAACGAAACTGCCCCCCCCGAAAAAGCAAAGCACCACCCGCCAAAAAAAAAAAGAGAGATCCAACAGAAAATCCTCCTCACCTCACCGCCAAATCAAGGAACCATGTCTAAGGTACGTACCTAGAAGTACCAGCAAAGCAAGAACAAGTAAAAAAAAATCGATCCTCCTGACGTCTCTCCGTCTCCGTCTCCGTCTCCGGACCCAACCCCAGAAAGAAACCTGTAGAGAGATATATTTAACCCCATAAGCGAACACCCCCCAAAGAACAGGAAAAAAAAAAAAAAAAGATCGAAAAATCAAGATCGCAAACCTCACTTTAGGCTGCAAACAGAGGGTTCCCAGACCCGACAGTTTAGACAGATACCTAGAAGTACAACCTAGACGGAAGACAGCCCGTGCCTCCAGATCATTTCCAATGTGCCGCCGCCGCAGGGGAGTGGTACTCTAAGGAGCATATGAGTGAGGCTGCGCAGCAGCAGGAAGGAATTCAACATGCAGAGTACCTGACCCTAGCCGTAAGAGTAGCGCCCGTATTGTAGGTACTCTAGAGTACATGTAGCCTACGGATGATTCGGGGAGGGGAGGGGCGGCTCCCCCTCCCTGTAAAGCAGAGAAGTTGGGCGCTAAGCCTATTTTCGCGGGGGGACATGGAGGGGCAGGTGCGAAACGAGATCAGAAACGAGTGTGAGGAGCCGCCGGGACGCCGCGGAGCATCAACGAACGAACGAACGAACAACGAGCATCTCTATACTCCTCCTACCTGCCTCCTATTCACTACCCCACTACCCTCCCCCTCCCCCTACTACTACTACTTCCACGACGCCCACGAATCCCACGATCCCTAAGATTAAACACGAAACATGGACGACGACGGTTAGTAATCCCCCAACCCCAACCGCAACCCCCAAATGCAAAAGAACGAGAGGGGGAGGGAGGGAAGGAGGGGGTTCGAGCATAGCATAGCATAGCATAGCAGAGCAGAGCAGAGCACTGCCACCCCCAGAACCCATGCCCCATCCCCATGCCAGATCTCCATGGTTCGTGATCGCATCATGTGAAACCCCCCTACTAACTGACGCCGGCCGGAACCAGACCTCCAAAAGATCCGCCAGGCGCGCATGCAAGAGCTGCAGCAGCAGCAGGCCTCCAGCGGCGGCGGCGGCGGCGGCGGCAGTAACGGTGGAGGCGACAAACAGTACGCACCTTCCCCCCCCTTACCTTCCTCACATCCCCAACCTACCTAACAACCAACTAACCACCAACACCAACCACCCACCACAGACAACAAGAGGCCGAAGCGCGCAAATCCATCATCAACCAGATCCTCACGCCCGAAGCCGTGGACCGCCTCAACCGCATCGCGATGGTGAAGGAGGAGCGCGCGCGCGACCTCGAGAACCGCTTCATCATGATGGCGCGCAGCAACGAGCTGCGGCAGCGCGTCACCGAGGACGACCTCATCGCCATCATCAACATGATGGACAAGCAGAAGGCCGAGGAGGGCAAGGTGGTGTTTTCGCGGAGGAAGGGCGGCTTTGATGATGATGAGGACGACTGGTAAACGTGGGGAAGCTGTGGTTGGCTGGGGGGGTTGTGGGAGGAATGATATCTACTATTACTACTACTGCTGCTGCTGCTGTTGGTGCTGCTGCTGCTGTTGGTGCTGCTGCTGTTGTTACGGGCTGCTGGATGAGGTTTGGGTATGATCTATTGGCTAGCTGTGAGTGGATGTCAGTGACTCTGATATCGACAGCTGCCTCGTCGAGATTCGAGTAGCGTACTAGTGTAGTAGTAGCTGAGGTCAAGTACTAGCGCACTCTCAATAATACTCAGAGATTAGAGTATGTACCAGTGTCTCTGATATTGACATCTACATCTACTGGCTGGCTAAACCCCAACCCACTAGCATCCTTCCCAATAGTAGAGTAACATGCATTGCATTTACTACCTGAATTGGATTACTACACAGCAATCCCAATACCGCCCCATTTGCTGGCTGAAATCGGATCGGGGTGCTGATGCATTTACATGATTGGGAAATGATCACTCCGCAAGAACACAGACAGCTCCGGTAATGATGTTTATTGCATCAAGCGTCACCTACAAACCAACCCTAAAAAAAAAAAACTCGTTCCAATCATTGACCCCCCAACCCACACCCAACCCACACCTCTCTACCCCACCACCCCCGCTCCCCCCTCCGCCGCCTTCCTCCTCTCCGCCTCCTTCCTCAGCCTCCTCTCCTCCCTCCTCACACTCCTCAAATCCGGCGGCTTCTCAATCCCAATCCTCTCCCTCAGCGCCACCACACTCGTCAACAGCTCCTCCTCCCAATAGATATTGATGACCTCCCTCGCCAGCAACCCGTTCCTGACGGCCCAGGGGAAATACGTGTTGAGGATGCGCGCCTGCTCGCTGCGCTTGAGCCGCACGAATGCAAACATGCTGAGCCCCGTCATGGGGATGAGCGTGTTGAAGAACTCGAATGCCTTCAGCGCGATCTCGCCTTCGACGATGATGGGCAGGCCCGTGAGCGCGTGGTAGAAGTCGTGGGATTCGCGGTAGCGCTGCATGATGTAGGCGCATTCGGGGTCGTCGATGTAGCGGACCTGCGGGGGGAGGGAGGGGGGTTAGTGTGTGGGGATTGTGGGTATGGGCCCTGGGTTTTGGGGGACGGTGGGATGATAGTAGATAGTAGGGGTGGTAAGACAGTAGAGACAGTAGAAGTAAAGTAGTACTGGAGATAGTCGTAGTACAAATAGTAGAATACCCCACAGCCAGCCAGCCCGTACTCCCAGTTCCCAATTCCCAATTCCCAAACCGCCCCAGAAACAGTCTCACCAGTACCAATACAATAGCACCAATAGTACAAACCCAAACCACACAAACCGCACAAACCCATTACACCCAGAGTACACCCGCAAACCAAAAAAACAAAACCAAAAATCAACGTACCTGCGACCTCGTATCCGGCGACACCCCCTCCTTATCCAACCACGCCGCATACTCCCTCCCACCGTCCCGTCCGGCAGCGCCCTCAGCATCTCCATACTCATCGTCTTGGACGTGATCCTCGGGCGGTCCCTCAGTATCCTCCTCCCCGTGGGATCCGCCAGCATCGCATCGCGCAGCCGGTATATAAAGTACGGCGTCGCCGTGGCCTCGCCCAGCGCTGCAATCAGGTCTAGCTTTCTCCCCGGTTATTAATCTAATTGGCCACAGTGGGGGGAGAGAGGGAGAGAGGGAGAGTAATACCACCCCGCCGCGGATTGAGCAGGGATCCGACGGCGCTGCCGACGGCGAGGAGGGCGCGCTCGGGGGTGGTGAGCGGGATGTGGCCGGGGTAGTTTGGCGGTGGGCGTGCGGTGGGCGGGAAGATGGAGGCGGAGGAGAGGAGGGTGCGGGCGCCGACGAGCTGCGCGGCTCGCTTGAGCGGGTTGAGGGAGGATAGCATCTATCTGGGTTTCTTTTGCGAAAGTGCTGGATGGGTGAGGATAAAGGTGAGACTGCGGGGGGAGTGGGTTATTTTACAGTAGATAGCTAGAGAGATAGAGATAGAGATGGTGAGAGATGGTGAGAGATGGTGAGAGATGGTGAGAGACAGAGAGAGACAGAGAGAGACAGAGACAGAGAGATGAGGTGAGGGTGGAGTGAGAATTCAACTGAGGGGAAATGATCTGATTCACCTCGCGGCGTCTCATACGAGAGGTTTCTGTTTCTGTTTCTATTTCTGTTTCTGGGATTAGCCGGGCGCTGCAGACAGTAGAACCTGTCACCGTTCACCATCACTATCTATCACTCTCACGATACCAATCACTCTCACAGCTTCACCCAAACACCGTCATGTAGCCATGGCCACAACAATCTACCCCCCAATCTCCCCCGCCGAGCTCCTCCAGCAGGAGGACCTCTCCGCCGTACGTCCCCCGCTCTCCATCCTCTACCCCAAATCCACACCGCTAACCACCCCTCTAGTCCAACGAACTAACCTGGCTCCTCACCACCCTCCCCGACACCCTCCACTCCCTCCGCCACGGCCTGCACAGCTGCCGCACCCTCCTCTCCCCACACACAACCTCCACCCTCGCCCTCACCTCCCCGCGCAGCGAGGCCCTCAAAGGCTTCGTCACCCGCGCCGGCCCCACAATCACAAAGGGCGACATCACCGCCAAGCTCCACGGCCTCCCACCCAAACACAAGCTGACCCTCGCGCGCGACCTACACATCGAGCAGCTCACCGACGTCAAGAACCACGTCCGCGAGTGCCTGGCCCTCCTCGGCCCCGAGGGCGCCGAGGCGGCATGGCTCGGCCGCGGCCGCGACGGCGCGGCGGGCGCGCTGCGCAAGATGCGCGTGTTGAGGGGCGGCATTGCGGCTGCGCGGGCGGCGCTGAAGGGGGCGAGGCCTGCCGCGCTGTTTCCGTGCCGCGCGGTGGATCCGAGGGTTCGTAGCTAGCTGGCTGGCTGGCTGGCACCCCCTACCCACACACATACACACACGCAGAGAGGCTAACGAGAGGGATGGATAGATATTCGACCCCCCGCTACCGCCGCTGCTGGCGTTCGATCTATACATCACCGAAGCGGCGCTAACCGCGGAGCTGCGCACGCTGGAGCCAGTTGCTGTGGGCAGCGTCGACGGCGGTAGTGCCCCAGGGGGCGGGTTTGGGTTTGGGCAGCGGTTTGCGGCGGCGGTGGGGCTGCGCGGGGGCGTGGGGATGGGGATGGGGGGAGGGGGAGGGGAGGCGGAGGGCGCAGAGGTGTTTGTGTATCGCGGCGCGAGCGTGCGCGTGAGGGAGCGGATCAAGGTCGAGAGCCAGGACCCGAATCTGATGGCGGTGTGGGCGAAGCTAGGGGGGCTGGAGCATGCGCTGGTGGGCGCGATTAAGAGTTTGGAGATGGTGGCGGGGGCGGCGGGTGTGGTGGTGGTGTAGAGACATGTAGGGTTAATCGGATGCGGTTTGGGGGGATGGTAGGTGAGACTGATGGAGATGTAGTGTAGTGAGTGCTTCGGCGTGGATGTACTGCAAGGCGGAACATGTTTCTGCCTATCCATCCCCCGGCATTGGACAAGAGCGTCTTAAACACTGCAGTGTAGCTGTCGTTGGAGAAAAAGTTCCAAACCACAAATATAGAATCATATCATGGCACATGCACGACGGAGGAAAAATCGATACCGGCGCCGCGCAGGACTGGTCGATCATGTATTATCACTCGGTGTTTCTTTTTTTTTGCTTGTTTCTCTGCAATGATTGCTTGTTTCTGGGAATGATGTACTTCAATTGTGACAACGGTACTCCAATTGTGATAACGGGACGGAAACAGGAACGGTAACGGGAATGGAATTGCATGGGGGAGGCGGGTTATGAACTGTGGGGGCTATTAAGGATAGGTACATGTATGTGGCTACGGTGAATTGGCCTATCTGGGTACATAACGACATGTAGTAGTTGACAGTATCTACTGAGTGGTTAATTGGTAGTTGAAATATTTGTCTGGGAAATTCTACATTCATGCAAATAACAGCACCCCTACCGGGGCAAAACACAAAACGCTTGTCAAGAATCCCCCACTAGCTATTCTTTGTCCCAGCCTTGCAATTGAACTAAAGTAAACCAATGCACTACCAACCACCACACTCAACCCGCCGGTCCTCTCACCACCGCCCAAGTCCGGATTGCGCTCTCAATAGAGCCGAGTCTTTACCCCCCGTCCACCCACCGCACCCCATATCCAACCTCACAACCCAAGGGCCACTGTAGACGTACGGTACGCACACTCTCACACCCCGAGAAAAACAGTACTTTGTATTCCCCAAAGCCAAGCTCCTAAAAATATACACATCCCCCCTCTCCCTCTCCCTCTCCCCCACCACCACCCCCTGTACCCGGGACCCTACTCCCTCCTCTCCGCCTCCCTCCTCCTCGCCATCAACACTATCGGCGCCGCGCGCGCCTTCATGAATGCCTCCATCGCAATCTCCGAGGTGGTCTCTGTGCGGATTGCGGTTCCGATCGACATGAAGAACCTAGCCATACCCATCAACACCCGTCCATTCACCCATCACCCATCCGAAGTAGAAGAAAGGAAGGAGGAGGAGAGAGGAGTAGAGAGGCAAACCCGAAAGTAGCAGCAGACCCAAGCATGTACTGCCCCAGACTACGAATGAACCCGTTTGGTCCGGCGCCGTTCTTGATGAGTGCATAGCCACCTGTTCACCATCCATCACCGTTTGTCAGCTACCTTGAACCCAAAACCTAAAGCCACAAACAGGACTGGGAGAGTGGGAGTGGGAGAGGGGGATGTATACCGAAGAGGAAACCGATACAGAGGCCGACGCCTACGGTGTGTTAGTAGTGTTTCTGTCGATGGATGATCAGGGTGTAGAGTAGAGGTAGAGGCCGAGGGGAGGGGGGAGGAGGAGTACTGGTGCCCATCATAGCTCCCATCTTCACTATTTGTTGTACAGTTTCGTCAGCTCCATACTCTTCATCATCTCCGTCTCTTTAATTCCCTCTCTCTCAATACGTGAGGCCAGAGATTTAAAAAAAAACCACCACAGAGCTTGTAACAGTAGCAGTACCGAGGGAGAGAGAGAGAGAGAGAGACGTACTTTTATCGAAGGTTGACGGCCCGCGGCCGCCGTGGCCTTGGGGAACTGCGTTGATTGGGACCGGCATCTTCTATATGTCGTTATTTGCTGAGGGGTTGTCAAGGTGAAAAAAATTGATGTTTTGGAAAGAATTGAACAGGATTCAATAAAGAAGACTGCTGTTGCGCACGGTTGCTACAATTTTTTTTGAAGAAAGCTCTTCCCGTAAATATTTCTGCGGGGAGGAAAATCAGATGCCGACGTCAACCTGATGCCAAGGCTATCACGTGAATGTGGGGTGCGCCGAGCTTCTTGGGTGGGGTGCATGGGGGAAAGGGGGGGGGGGGGGGTAATCATCGGTTTGACATGTTTATTGGGAACTTGATCGTTGGCAGGTTGGATTCTGGATCAAAATCTGTTTTTGCATAAAGATACATCTAAATACATGCTGGACGAGTATAAGGAAATGAAATAAAAGAAACCCCTCCCCCCCAAAAAAAATCGTTATTAGACTACCATTCCAAATCCTCCATATTCACATCCGCGAGGGTTGCTAGATGGGGTTCGATCTCTTCTCGTTCATACGCGAGAAGGGATGTTTGTCGGACCCTGGAATAGTATATTGGGCAGTCTTGGGATTTGCAGGCAATCTCTGAGCCCCATGGCCGCCCGGTGCAGGACCAGCATATTTTCTCAAGGTCATTCTTCCACTTCTCTGCCCGGGTGAGTTTTGTCTGCAGCTTAAACACAGCGACGTCACGTTCGTTGTAACAATACTGACATATATCTATGAAGTGAAATGTTAGTTGACGAAGGGTCTTCTTTGGGAGGAGGAGACATTACGGTATCTAGTCTCTGCCTTTTCTTCGCACACGGCACAGACATGCGTAGATTTCGTCATAAAGGACTCCATTGTCCTTGCCGACCTTTGTTCGGCTCCATGCTTTGGTTTGAGTGTTCTTAGTAGTCGTTGCACTTTTGGCATCTTCCTGTACCATGACGCTACGTCTGCTCCTACAAGGTTGAAAATGCGTGCCAAGGGTGGGATGAGGGTCTTGGTGATGTAGTACTCTGAATCCAAACACAGGATGTCACTGTTGTGTAGTAGTACTTCTACTTCAACAGACTTGTCAATGAGCCTAGCATTCGGGCCACCTGCAACAACTACAAATCTACTGAAACGTCAGTCATGCCAGCGTAAGGATGGTATAAGTTGGACTAACGGATATCGTTCCCCATATTGCGGTTGGTTCCGAGGATCTTTGGACATCCTTTCTAACGCAAGCCTGACCGCAGGCGGGGGAGCGATGCCCTCGCTATGATATATCAGTAATTGAAATACTCGTACTTCATGATGGGAAACTCACGCATAATTGCCCAGCTTTACTTCCTTTGCAATTGTAAAGTCTTGGATGGATATATCCCCCTTCATGATCTTTATCCATTGGCGGGTCACATAGGACTTGACCTGCGACAGATCAGAGGAGCGGAACAGGATCCTTTTTTAATATAAGCAAAGTATAGAGTTAGATGTGGAGATATATATACTTACTTCAAAGACTTCTCTACCATTTTTTGCACTGCTGGATTGCCATCTCGTCTTACAGTCTCTATACCCTTTGCATCGAATTCTGGTTCTTGCTGGTCCCGATGTTCGTACTTGAATCCAACGTAACGTTTCTTCGCCAGAAGCACACAAGGATGATAGACCTTTTCAAACTTGAGTTTAATCGGCTCTGGGTTCATGGCTGTAACTTTAGCTGCTATCTCCTCACCAATATCGAAAGCCTGTGCCTTTGTTTTCCCCTTGAGGTGTATGAACAAACTATCAGTATCGCCGTAGACTACCTCAGCGCCCCATGTCATGTTGTTATTGATCATATCAATAGCTTTCTCCAACGTTTCTCTTCCACTCTGCACGATGCTATCTGCAATTTCGGCACATGGCATACGGCCTGAGAATGAAGCAGACGTATAACCATAGGTTACGTTGGCAATGAGCTTCAAGGCCAATTGTCGATTATTCAAAAGTTTATATAACTGTTTGTCATCTTTATACCGCTTCATTCCGTTTTTGACCATGACTCTTGTATCCAGGATCTCGGCCAACATCTTTGCGAGTAAGGACTTTCGAATATTTGGTTTGATGAACATCATGCCATTTGGAGAAACTATTGACTGTGATATCAGCATGTGTTAGGAGAGAAGGGGAAAAAAAAAGGCTTACGTACTGTTGATGTGGTCTTTGCATAGCTCTAAAAGTCTTGGGGTCCGTTTGTAAACTTGAAAGCCCATTTTGTCTTGCCCGTTCCATGAATCAACCCTTCCAACAAATGTGGAATAGCAGTGGTTATACGCAATCATGATTGATGGATACAAAGACTGAAAGTCTAGGACAACAACTGGGCTTGTGTAAAAGTTCGAGCTTGGCTCCATCACAAGTGGTAGGCACTCTAGAGCGTTCTGGCTCCCAACTTGAAGCTTACTTGGCGAAACAAGCAGGAAGTTTTCGGGCTTTGCAATTCTAAACATCAAAGACTCGACTTTAAACTGGGAACCGCGGGAAAAAACCGAGTTGAAATCGACGCCTAATATTCGTGCCTGCTCGCTGCGCATTATTAGAGCCACTTTCTAAGAGATTCAACCTAAGCTCGGTCTCACCTAGTACGTGAAATAAGTTCCTGTTGGTCTATAATCTCTAGATTCAATTGCACTCTTTCTATGTAATAGTCCAAAACTGTAGCCAAAGATCCTGGATCACCATTCTGATACCACTTGGTCAAGGTGCCGTATCCATAATGGGGAATTCTACATCCTGGATTAGAGACAGTGAATGGAGTATTGATACGTGGAGATACTCACCGTTTATGCAGCAGGTGGAAAACGACATTTTCCATCGTATACCCTAGAAGGTTTAGTTCTCCACGCATAGCTCGCCATATGTTAATTAAATGTCTCCCGGGAATTTTTATCGCTGCGCCAGTGTTAAATCCCCAGGGGTCTAATTCTTTACCAAACCTGCCTTGGCTCAATTGTCGCACTCTCGATAGATCATCGCAAAGATCCATGCCTTTATACTTGCGTTAGTCTATTCATTCGTGTGAATAATGTGCTAAGAGGCTGGCTCACCCCAAACTTTTTGAGCACGTTCAATCAGGTATCCCCATGAACTAGAATGGACTTCGTAGCCGGTGAGAATATCTGGATCCAAGGCGCGTACAAGATCTACGAGCTCGATTACAATATCGAGTTCCGTATACTCAACTTTGATTTCTACATGAGAGTGACGCCGAAAAGCCTTTTTTGTCTTTTCTTTATCATTCTCATCCATGGCTAGAATTCCCACGTAGTATCTTTGTTTGTGAGTCGATGCTTATAAAAAAAAAAGAGAAAACAGTTCAGATTTCTATCCTTACCCATCTTTGATACCATTACTCTCAAAGCCATCATGGGACTGTAAGCACCAGAAGATACTAGCTATTGGATCTTTTTCTGGATCTGGTACAAGATTTCCTCGTGTATTGACTATCAAATATCAGCAAATAGCGACTGTATATATAGTTTCATTTCATAATATACCATGGACCTCTAGACTCATGATGCTTAGAGGTTGCAATTCATTATTTATACACTTGGATTTCTCGTTCTGAGACAATTTGAACCCATGCTTGTTCTTTTGGGTTGGACCTTCGATCTGCACAACCAAGTTAGAACTATTCCTAGAGACAGATATGAAGTTATTGACCTGAGAAGAATGCCCTGGCTCTTCAGAGCGTTCTCGCCGAACGAAGGATAAATCCTGAACTGTCTTTTTCTCTTCTAGCCACTTTATAGCTTCTGATCTTGTAGGGGGACGGGCAGAAATCTCCCAGCATCGGAAATTAGGAGAAATTTGATTGAATGACTCATTGAGTAGTTTTGAATTATTATGTTCCGTTTCATTATACCTAGGCACATTTGAAATCTTTCTACTGTTAAATTTATGTGTGACCCCGCCGTAGTCAAAGCCAGCTTCTGGTATATCCTTCTCATCTGAAAAGTATGGTTCCTGATACTCGACCTGAGGCATCCCAAAGTCCTCGATAGGAACGAGCTCAGATGTACGGGGAGGTCGGAAATTACGGACATGCCAATTACCCTCTGGGTTCGGAAGCGTGATGTTTTTGGGCATTTCTATAACAATGACTATTAAATGTATTTTGGCCACATATTATTATGATTAGTAGGACACTTACTTTTTTCACCATTTATTGTGATAGAAACTGCTGTACTCGAGATGATGCTTGGCGCCTGGGGAGAAGCCATTTCTTGTACAAGGATAAGTTCTGCAGTATTTGCGGTCACACCCCGAGAATTTATGCTGTTCTGAGAAGGCCTCTCTTGCGAAAGGGGAAGAGTTATAACTCTTGTCATTGAAGAATCCAAGGGCAGTTGTAATGGCGAGCGGTTTAGTACATCGTTCATACATAAATCCTCTATAATTCCTGTGGCCTCGACCTTACTCGATGCTGAGTTTATCGATAACTGTGATAATGACTGGTTACCAGGTGATATGCTAATGGATTTTCCTATTTCCTCAATTTTGCTTAGTTTGGATGCCCTCTTCTCTGAGACCGGAGTATCTGGTTGATGTTTTCGCTTCGTTGGTACAGGGTGCGAGCCTGGCGTTAGCACTATCATTGAACCGTCTTCTAATTGGCGAAATTCATCTTTAATTTGTAGTTGAAGGAGCATGGGGTCTCCTAAATAATCGGCCTGGGGAGAAATGCTACCGTGACCTTCTTGTGATGGGGTGTGAGAATCACTACCATTTGGCCACAAGATTCGTCTTGTTATGCTTTCTTCGAGGTCTGAGTACTCATCTGACTGTGATGACGAATCGTTCTCAAGCTCATTTACTTTATCCTTTCCTTGCCGTTGTTCCTCTTCTTTTTGTCCCTCTAAATTCCCCCCCTCTTCCTCCTCTTCTTCCCCATTTTTGTTAAACATCTCTTCATCAGCATCGACTAATTCCATATCACCATCGCTATCAGAAAATTCGACGTTATTTATATCTCCAATAAGGTCAACATCAACATCCGCTCTTGAGTCTTCATCCTCATCCGGGTGCAAATCTTTACGTTCCATGTCCTGAAAGACGAAAAAGTCTTCCACACTTTGCAAGGCGGTTTGTACAAAAGGGTCAGGCTCTTCACGCGGTACAAAATCTTCAAAGCTTGGTGTCCAACCATCTCCTCTCAGTCTTTCCGCTTCGATTATTGCATTTACCTTCTCCCATTTTTCATCTTCGTCCCCCCAGGGTTCATTTATCTCCCTCTTACCGGTTGATGCTACGAATCCTTCCATATTGAGTTGGTCTCCAGAGCTTCTTCGACTATTTTCGTCTTTCCACAATTCTGCAAGACTGTGGAGGAGTTTAAGGTCTTGTGGGATAGGATTCGTGCGTTCAACGAAATCATGGTGGAGCATGCGTTGGGAAACAAGTTTCCGGTTCATGATGTCTTGGACATGTATATCCACCTCCAGCGAGCAGTAAGATTGTCTAGGGAACTCATGCTCTGGTAACATCCAGTGCGCTGGGATCGATTCAGTATGCCACCGGTGTCCCTCCTCAATATCATCGACATCTGGAACACCATGCCTGAATCTAACATTTTTGCAATCCACAAAACCACATCCATAGAGGTTGAAGTCGATCATAAATTGTAGCAGGTATTGTATGTGAGCTTCATACGGCTGAAATACCTTTTGAAGTATGGCCCCACTGAGAAGAATCTGGGAAAGTCTGGTCATGTCCCGAGAATTAAGTAAGTAAATCTTAGCGTAGTATCTCCATCCTACATAGAAACCGTAGAAGGGAGTTCCTTTGACAAGGGATATATTAGCAACGTATGGTTTTGGGATCGGTTTATTCTGGAATTCGTCGCCCTTGCGGGCATTAAGAGCCTTATCGAGGCTCTTACGGAGAGCTCGTAACCATCGATTCCCTGATATAAAATATTTAGCCTAAATCTATACAGCGGAGATGATATCTCTCACTATTGACGGGATCCAGCCCGATCTCTTCTGTTGGGTATTCTATGTAGATGTATGGGAACGCTCCATGAACATGTGCACAGACTTTCTGTCCTGTCTCTGTACGTCCAAATATTCGGATGATAGGGATCTTTGGTGGGTATTTTGAACCTTTCGGTGGAGGGAAAGGAGGGTCAAAGGACGTTGGTTCGATCTGGTAATGGTCGATATTGTTTAGGCGAATACGAAAGGCGGCATCGCTGGAATCCTGCATCGTTTCAGATATCCGCTTTGTAAGTGCACTGGAACCGGTTTAGAAGAACAAATATGGACTCTCATTGTCTTCGATGACATGAACGACACGTCGGGGGCGGTTGGCGGGCGTCGTTGGGCAGGAGACGCGTTCTGTACAGGGATCTAAAGTGGTGTCACGTGTTCCGAGTATCCCGCACGGGGTTCAGAATGGTCTTATCTCTGACCTGGATCGATCGTTTTATGCCCACATGTAATTTTGCTAGCTACATGTATTTCTAAATTCTAGGTATCTCCAAAACCGAGTGATAAGTTGTGAGTATACCTATCGAACATGCATGTATCAAGGCCCTTACATGTTCTGTAATAGGCACAGGCATTTGTTGAAAACCAATTAAATGATCAATATATCTACTCCATGAGACTATCGCCTGCCTCAAATTATAGTGAATTAGGTCACTCTGACCGATGAGGTTCCGGAGGTCATTGTACCGACAGGTTCAGGTGGGGACGTTGGCTTTTTCCCTTTGTTCGAAGTCCTTTGGCGAAGATGACTACATGTATGGCTGTAGTCAGTACTGTATACCTGAAAGAGTAAAAGTTGTGTTTCTTGGCTACTCCGTCTTCTATGAGAGATCATTCATTACTACATAGGCTTCTCACTGCGTTGTAGAGCGCGGGAAACATCCCAATGGCGCAAATATTTAAGTCACAAGACTAGTAATTACATATATACAGCATATTTACCTTCCCGGAAACAAAATTAAAGACATAACTTTTGATACCCACTCACTTGGCACCTGGTTGCAAAAATCTTGACAATGCTGGCCCAAGCTCTTCTGCCTTCGACGTCGAAGGCAATCCTTGTTGCCTCTTCTCACGCTCTTTTCTCATCTCTTCGAATTTCAATCTCTTTTCATCGATTATGTTCTTCTCTCCCTTCTTGCGGAGATACCGGCGAAGAGCAGAGTTCTTGCCACGTTGTTTTCGTTTCCCTTCTACCCCCATCTTTTTATCTGCCTATATTGATGAATGACTCATTAGCAACCGCCATATATCGACCTATTATCATAGAATGCGACTTACAGCACTACCCCCCTTCACGTTCTCCTCGTGTTCTTTCTTTCTGACATCGTGACTCGCATTGTCAATCCTTCCTATAAAGTCCGGATCAAGCGAGATCATCTCTGGCTTCAATTTATTCAATAAGGCCTTGATTTCTCCCTCTTGTCTTTGTTTCTTCGTCTCGTAAGGATTAATTTCCAAAGAATCGAAATTAGGTTCGCCAGATCCAGGTACAATGAGCGACGAGAATCCGTCTGCGTGACCAACACCCAGTACATCGTCGAAAGGACAGAAACGAACCCGGTTGATCGCAGAACCTTCTTGAAGATGCGTAAGGTATGGGCTGTTTTGTTTAATTTTGAGAGCATCTTTCCATACAGTTACATGGGGGCCCCAGCCTACGCCGAGCAGTCCAGTCTCGGAGATGTGCAGCGAAGACGCAGGGGTGGGTGTAAAGTAGGAATGTACCTCTTTATACGTTCGGATATCGAAGATATTCATTCGGGCATCAGCACCAGCAGTGACCATGTAGTGGCCACCCCTGTCTATCGCAAGAGCACGGACTGGGCCTCGGTTTGTGAGCATCTTGACCAGCGGGGTGTTCATATTAGGTGACCAAAGAGTAACGGATCCATTTGCGTGACCAATATTAATGATGGCGTTTCGTTGATTCATGGCCATACTGGAGGGTGCTCCAAGTCTAGTCCTGAATTCCGCGATGAGGGCACCCGTTGTGGTGTCTTGATATTTCAACCACCCACTCATACCGACCGTTGCTAGGATAAAATGATACGGAAGGAACTCCATGTTCGTGACTTCAACATGGGATTTGAGGCAATGTATTTCAACACCAGCATGATCATAGATGTAGGTATATTTCTTTTGAGCGACGGCAAAGAATTGTTCGTTGTGGAGCCATTTGACGTCCCGCACTGTCTCCTTAAGCTGTAGCTCTGTGCCTATCTTGCCCTCTCGCCAGTCAAAGGCGGCGACATGTCCCTTCAGCCCTCCAAGAAGCAAATACCGCCCGTTTCGAGTGTAATCCATGGCGTATGGTCCGAATAGCGGGAGTTTCAAATCAAAGCCCTATTGGTCGGAGCTCATTAATACAAAACTCCCTCAGAGTAAAGTACTTAGAAGACGGCCATACCTTTTGAGCAGTAGATACATCTACTGCCTGTACCAAATCTTTCTGAGAAAACTTGTAGGTCCTCTCCATTCCCTCGGCCTCTACATATCCCTGCTGCTCCTCCATCAACATCTCCGCATCTTTGGCATTTGTTGCAGCGGCCTTGTATCGATATTCAAGTTTTTTCAAATTTCCCCGGAGTTTCTTATCCTTAATGTTTTTGACGGCAATTTGGTCGCCGCGACCATATTCCGCGAGCGCCGCCTGGAGTTCCTCTGGTGTGCGGCCGTTGTCATTTTTAGAGTTTGATCGTTTCGATTTTGAGGTAGGCGCGGCCAAAGCCTTATTTGTCTGTGCAGGCGCACTGGTCTCTGCAAGTTGTTGAGTCGACATAATTGCTGTATAGTCTCCAGTACTTCTTGCGCAAACAAAAGCTTCAATCCTACCTGCAAAAAAAGTTCAAGGCGCCAAGATATACAAGTAGAGCCGGGTAATGATTATCTGATTGGATTGAATCTTATCGGCTGCCGACGTCGCCGCAAGTCTAATTGAGAGTGAGTCTCCTTAGAGAGATATAGGTGCATTTTGGACCCCGCCATCCTACCCCACGATTTGCATCCCAGTTATCGCCCACCATGGTTCTAGCAGATTTAGGAAAACGTATCACCAGTGCTGTGTCTGAATTGGCACACTCGAACGTTGTCGATGAGAAGGTACAGCTCGCGCGTTTTAGGCATACAGTTACAAGGGCTGCTTTGTAGGGTCTCAGTGCTGATTCAATTATAGGTTTTCGATGGAATGCTCAAAGAGATTTGCTCTGCGCTGATTGAAGCTGATGTAGGCTACCACCCCCCCGAATTAGTCCCATCTTCTTAAATAACTAACGACAGCACACAGGTTAACGTCAAGCTTGTCAGCGGTCTCCGAAAATCCATAAAACACGCCGTAAACTTCAAAGAGCTACCCCCAGCTGCGAACAAGAAAAGACTTATTCAAAAAGCCGTTTTCGACGAACTCGTTAAGCTTGTAGACCCTCACAATGAACCATTCAAGCCCAAAAAGGGCCGTTCAAATGTCATTATGTTCGTTGGTCTACAAGGTTCTGGAAAGACTACAACGTGTACGAAGCTAGCTCGACACTATCAAGCCCGAGGGTTCAAAGCCTGTTTGGTCTGCGCGGATACCTTCCGTGCCGGTGCTTTCGACCAGCTTAAACAGAACGCAACGAAGGCGAAAATCCCATACTTTGGTTCCTATACTGAAACGGATCCGGTAAAGGTAGCAAGGGAGGGTGTGGACAAATTCAAAAAGGAGAAATTCGATATTATCATTGTGGATACCTCTGGACGTCATCAACAAGAGAAGGAGCTATTTGCAGAAATGGTACAGATCCAGCAGGCGGTCAAGCCAGACCAGACGATTATGGTTCTTGATGCGTCTATCGGACAGGCTGCAGAGGCTCAAAGCAAAGCTTTCAAAGAGAGCGCAGATTTTGGTGCTATTATTATCACAAAGACCGACGGTCACGCCGCTGGTGGAGGAGCTATCTCTGCGGTTGCTGCAACACGAACACCAATTGTTTTCATCGGTACGGGTGAGCATATGCTAGATCTCGAACGATTTGCGCCTCAACCTTTCGTTTCAAAGCTTCTTGGTATGGGTGATATGCAAGGATTGGTTGAACATGTTCAGAGTCTCAAATTAGACCAAAAGGATACCATGAAGCACATACAGGAGGGTATCTTTACAGTTAGAGACCTGCGTGATCAGCTGGGAAATATCATGAAAATGGGCCCTCTCAGCAAAATGGCGGGTATGATTCCTGGTTTATCCCAAATGATGGGTGATGTTGGTGACGAAGAGGGCTCAATGAAATTAAAACGCATGATGTACTTCCTCTGCCCCCAACCGCTTCTCGCTCGATTTCTAACACAATATGATTTCTAACACAATATAGTTATATCATGGACTCAATGACCGAAAAAGAACTCGACTCAGATGGCAAATGTTTCACCGCCCAACCAACCCGTATGATTCGTATAGCCCATGGATCCGGTACCTCAGTCCGTGAAGTTGAGGACGTCCTCACTCAACATAGAATGATGGCAGGTATGGCAAAGAAAATGGGCAAGAACATGGCAAATATGCAGAAGGCTGGTGGTGGCATGTCCGGCCAAAATCAAAAGCAGCAAATGGCAGCCATGCAGCGACGAATGCAGAGCATGGGCGGTGCTGGTGGCGCTGGTGGAATGCCAAACATGGCGGATATGATGAAGATGCTTGGTGGTGCCGGAGGTGCAGGTGGGATGCCGGGGATGGGTGGTGCCGGGGGAGCAAATCCGTTTGCAGGCATGGACATGCAAGCTATGATGCAGCAATTCGGAGGGATGATGGGCGGTGGTGGATTAGGGAATTTGATGGGTGGAGGCGGTGGCAGAGGGAGAAGATAAGTTAAATACTTTGTTAACTAGCGCGATGGAAATCAAGACTCAATTATGGATATTGATTTTGGTAGTGACATACTAATCTTGTAAATATTGTCATTGGGAATTGGCTATAATGGATGAAATATATGGCGTTTTGGGGTTTCTGGAACGATGATTTTTTTCTCTTTTCCTTTTGATATCAAGTACTAGCGTTTCAATGTTGGACAATGGATGTAACTTGGACCAGCCATTTACAGTCAATTCTGTGGATTATGACATAAAACTACACCTCACGCCAACAAAGAAAATCACTGAACTTTTTGAAACCCATATCATTCCATTCCATTCCCACCCTGATGCATTGAAATTTCCTCTCTTATAGAAAATTAAGTTGGTACTGGACAGATGCTTTTTTATTTTATTTTGCTGGAGACGAAGAAAGGCGTGAAATTTACTCCTCCTCCTCCTCCTCCTCACCGTCACCCTTGGACTCGGCGGCCTTGGCCTTCTTTCTCCTGTTGCGTCCGTGGCGCCCGCCACCGAAGGGTGAAGAGAGAGCGAAGTCAATGTGCTTTTGGGAGTCGAGACGAACGATGAAGGAAGGAACGTTGACGATCTGCTTTCCAACACGGATGTGACGCTGGCGGATAAGGACACGGGCGTGGTGGATGGACTTGGCAAGTCCGAGCTTGTAAACTTGGGTCTATATGGGAAGGGCGAGGTTAGTAAACGGCAAGAGGCTTCCGGTAGAAAGTCGGTTCTGGGAATGTACCTGGAGACGACGTTCCAAGAAATCCTCGACACGGAGAGCCAAGACGTAATCGAGCTTCATACGGGAGTCGTCCAAGACACCAACACGGACCAGACGGCGAATCAAGGCGTTACCCTCGAAAAGACGCTTGGGGTCCTTCTCGTCAAGAGTCAAAAGCTGACGGGCAGCACGACTATTCGATATCCATCAGCGACCAAAATTCTCCAAACATATAACACCCCCCTGCCATAACCTAAGAAACCCAGAAAATCCGTACCGAATCTTGGAAAGGGTAAGCTGGACCCTCCAGACCTCTCTCTTATTGCGGAGACCATATTCACCGACGGTCTTCAACTCAGCATCGCTAATTGTGAAAAAATTGGTTAGTTCGGACTGTCGAAAAAATGCATATTTGAGACATGAGAATGAGCACGCTCAAATCTCAGTGGTACTCACAGACGCGCAGACTCGAAGGGACGACGCGGGACCTGTATAATTTCATGTTAGTTTTTATCAGCATTTCACTATTTAGTGGGGGCACTTATTGTAGGTCTTGGAGTAGGAACGAGGGGCCATTCTGTATCGTTAGGGTTGCTGAATTGGTACGAATAACTGTCGTTTGTTTGAGGGAAGTTACTATCCAGGACTTTAACTTCGAAATGTTCCTTGGTGGTGCGCCTGGATCAGTGTGTGACTGTTTTTCGCCAAAGGGCTTGAGACCCTGCAGGCGACAGGGTAACCAGCATATACAGGGTTAGGGTAGAGTATTAGCTGACTCCAACAGAATCCGTATCATCCTAGAGGCTAAAGCGTATTTAGATACAACAGTTGATCGAATATACCATTAAAATAAATATACATTCCTATGCTAAATTGTCAAGTTCAGGTTACAGGAACTTAAGTTGACCGTATTCTAGAAATGACATTTTCCACGACCTTGGAGCTCCCGGTCCATGATAATAAGGGGATGTACACCACCCCCATCAACTGTGGTGTCTTCGGAGTTAGATTCTATAGGAGCCTTTTTCGAATTGATTCGTTCTCGATCGTTAAAGACGGTTAGCTAATGCCAACAAGTGCTTAAGTGTTGAAGCAGGAAGCTTGGGTACTCTGGGACCGTACTGCAATGTTTTGAAAGATACCGTTGCTCAAAGACATTTCGAAAACACAAATGATAATTAGAAATTGTCTCGTAAGTTTTCATATAGCTACATGTATTTATCTTTGCACTACATGTCCGTTTACTCAATGCCAGAAGAAACCTGTTTTTCTATCATTACCTCCTAGCAGTAATTTTAACCCTTGCTAGTTCTAGACACTTACCCGGAGGAGTACCAAAAGCAGTCACACACGATCCAACCCACACAACGGAATATTTCCGAGCTGTAAGTTCAATATCATCAACAATTGAATCTGCCAAAAAAACCTACACGACAAACGCCCAACAATAAACCCCTCCAACAACGCCGATATAAGCAAAAATGTAGGTGTTTTGCTGCCCGATCAGATAATGTCGTAAAGCTACAGATTTTAATTTTGTTTTCGGCTTTAGGGGTCACTCTGGTGGTATTCGTTCCGGTACTAGATATGCCTTCTCTCGCGACTTCCGCAAGAAGGGTATGATCGCTTTGTCTACCTACCTCAAGGTTTACAGGTTCGTCGGAATTTTGCCGCGCTAGCGAGATAACCAATTCCTAATGAATATCATAGAGTCGGTGACATCGTCGACATTAAGGCCAACGGTGCCGTCCAGAAGGGGTCAGTTTAAACATTCCACGAACTGTAACGTTCGCAAAAACATCCGGAGATCTTGCGCTCAGGATGTTCATTCCCATCGAATGAACAGTACCGCTGACTTGATCTCCTCGACCATAGTATGCCCCACAAGGTCTACCACGGAAAGACTGGTGTCGTCTACAACGTCACCAAGTCCGCCCTCGGTGTCATCATCTACAAGAAGGTCGGCAACCGCTTTATCGAGAAGCGCGTGAACGTTCGCATCGAGCACGTCAACCACTCCAAGTGCAGAACCGAGTTCGTCAACCGTGTCAAGGCCAACGCTGAGAAGAAGCGCCAGGCCAGGGAACAGGGCACCCACATTCACTTGAAGAGGCAGCCCGTCCAGCCCCGTGAGGAGCGCACCGTCTGCGCCAAGGACAACCTTCCCGAGACCGTTACCCCCATCCCATACGAGACCACTATCTAAGCGCAACTTGGCTGGGGCTGTTGGAGGGAATTTTCTTTACTTCAAGTGTTAAATAAAATAAAAGTTAACTGGGTTTTGGGCCGTTTCTTTGGATTAGCAGGTGTTTACAGTGATCTTTTTCTGTTTAAATATACGGACTTCGAGGATCACTGTTACGGTATCCTTTTTTACCTCTGTCTACAGGGTTTAGTTTCCCAACAGTCTTGTGGATTTCTAGAGTCCTTTCCAAAATACAACAATAATATCCGTGGCTAGCAAAAAACCCTCACCAAATGTAGTTTCAACGCTCTTTTGGCAACTCGATATATATGATCGCTCGCTCCTGAAATCATTGTATTCGTCCGTCCACGGGTGGCCAGATGAAATAAGTCTATACGTAACTAACGGACATGTGAATGGTGTTATCATATTGTGATTTAATGCCAAAAACTCGATATTTGTATGAACTGTGTTCATAATATATATTCTTGCCTAGTTCCTTCGCCCTTGACCGTAAGAGCCCCCCAGGAAACCGTATTTACATCCCAAACTAGACTCCGAAAACTTCTACGTATTATCATCAAATTCTGACGGGCGTCGAGGTGTCTCTATTAGCATTTATCCAAACTTCCCCTCTTCGCCTTTATTGTGTGTCGAGTGTATTTCTTTGGGGGTGTACATACATATGGGGAGGAACCCATAACCATGAAGCTCCCTAACGATCGAGTGATATATCATGTCTCGAAGGTCAATGGTCAGGTCACTCTAGGGTTAGCTTAATTATACGAGAAAACGGAAATAGAGATTCTCTTTCTTAATAGTGAGTACACAGTATAAACCAAGCACAGTACTACTACCTATCCAGCCAAGCTACGTAACATTTATTCGGAAGTAGGCAGGAGTGAGCACTGGGAGATTGAGTTCTCTCACACTGTTCAGAAGGGGTAGGTACTAAAAAGCACGAGACCTAGTGACGCATAAGGTTACTCCGTAAACACCATGTCAGGAGGCATGACTATGTTTAAATCTCTTGCTTTTTTGTCTTCACAACTGTAAAATACATAGCGAAGATTCCTGGTATAGAAGCATTAAAGATATTGAACTAAACCAAATCAACACAACGTCAACTCCTTGAATTCTCAGTCCAACATCAATATTTCTCGAGAGAGAAAAAACCCAAAAGGAAATAATTGACTGGTATTAGTATCCCTATATACGATAGCTTGATGCCCAACTGATTGCTCAACCATGTGGGGAGCGCTGCTAACTTCTACCTAAACAATTTGCTAGGCAAATTACTAATTCCTCTGAAAAGAAAGGGCGCAAAGTAAGAAAGAACGCAGGATGAATTTGAACATGACTAGTGCCAATGTTAGATACGATCTTGTTTGGTTCAAGTCTTAAGCTCGAAAAACTGTAAACTCCCCTTCTATGTTTTAGGCAGAATAATCTAGCTCTAAATAAAGCTCCATGAATCAAATAGTTAAGTTCAGCCCCAGTTTGCAAAGAATCGGATAAATTGAACAAAGAAAAAAGAAATTTAAATAACTCCATCGAGTGATAGTCTATGACTGAGATACGACATTCAACTACTTTTATGTCATCATGGATACATAAGTGGATCCGGTGCGCTCAATTGGTAGAGCTTAAGTACTGGTGGTAGTCTTATTATAAAGATTGCACCGGATAAAGTACTATATTGGCCAAAGAGTTTTGATTCAGCGTAGGCTTGAGTATTATATTATGCTATTCTGGCGCGCATGTTCATAACTCAGAGTCCGATAATAAGGGTTGATATCTCGGTCCAAATAGAAAATCAAATATTTTATTTCGGAAGGCAGCACTGATCTCAACGATATTGAAGATGACTCTTATGATGGCAACGATCGTAGATGGTTTATGGTTACCGATCGAATCCATCCTTTCATAGTAGATAAAGTCAGTTCTAGTATCCATAAATTTCAAGTGCCTCGACGTGTTTCGAGATAGTCCGAGTTATAACCCTCACGAGACCGAAGCACCTGGATACATTGATGGTGACGGTGACTACAGTCCGCTCGCCTCGAGGCTTTTCAAGTAACCAGGCCACACGGCACACAAAATTTAGATATTCTCTTTTGGATCTTTAGTTAATTACACTTCAAGGTTCTGGCTATGTAGGTAGGGCTGGGTCGCATAGGATTTCGAGTGATACCGTATGATTGAAACACATTTTTGGGCTCTCATTCTGCACTGAAATCTGAGGATATATATGAGCTAAACGAAGCTGTGTCGTATCAATACGGTTATTATGGTCTGTAACACCGTATACAAGGGCATCAGCTCTTAACCTTCTTAGGGCTTTAGTGTACATGTAGGTACAATTATGTGGTTGCGCGCTTCCGACTAGTTATTAGAATACTATTGTCGCCATAAAACAGCATGATATTTTAATCCCTGGTATCTAACAAACTCCTGAAGATATCTGACTGTATTGAAACATGAACTAATTGGATTAATATTTGAATTGCCAAGCCCCCGGTGTAGTTGAAACAACCTACAATGCAGGAGTTGCTGATGCTACCTGAGTGCATTTTCGAGACGCTATGAATAAGACTGAGAGAGGAGGAGGTGTGTTAGATCTAGAGGCTGGCGCCTTGTGTTTAATTTGTGCGTGCAATAGTTGCGCTGTTTAGTGTTTTGTTCGCGTGAATTCAAACACTTTATAGAAGTCAAGTAGAGATAAGAGCTACTTCTCATCGAATTATTCGAATATCATCTGATTTATCGTCTCGTGGGTGACAAGGAGGCGCAAGTTATAACCTGTCTTGATTAATTGATGAGCCCTGACCTTTCAATGCTATGGGCCCGATATCCCCCGCTGAGCTGACCAGTGACAACTTAGCACTATAGTTTGAAGTACCAGATAAATATAATCCTATTATGCCATGCTATTAATTGGTATCAGAACTATCCTCTAACTTGCCCTCTGTCAAAAACCTCTACTGCTCCATCTCCAACATAATACAGCACTTCCTTTTCTTCTGCGCTGGTATCTCCCACCCCTCGAGTGACCCGGATGACACCACTAACATCCTTCGCGATTCCCGTGTCTAGTAATCGCAATCCTACTGTCCACGCTGCACTATGTGATAGATTAATCACAAATGCTGTATGGTCAATTTCCAGCCTTGTTCTTGGCTCTTGAAGGAATGCGGAATCAGCGTTAACCATTATTATCACTCCGTATGATATCTGTAAATGTTAGTGATCACCACTCCACTAATATTAGTATTGCCGTCTTGAAATATAAGTAAGTTCTGAGGAGTGTTCTACTGATAGCCCCTGCTGTGGATTTAGAGTGATAATTTCTTCGCTGAGTTAAGTCAAGATTCCAGGGAAATAAACCCTAGCCCAAATAGGCTGTTCTGTCCGTCGAAGCATTTCTCCCCAGAACTCACAAATACTTCTAGAACAACAGCATTATCAAGTAGATTACGAACCTCCCGTAATTCCATGACCATATCTCCCATCTCGACTACACCCACACTCTCCAGCGCAGCCGATAAAAATTCCGGGTTCTCCAGTATCAGCAACGGCTTCCCGCTTCCTGCCGTAAGACGCCTAACCGCCTGCGTGATGCCATTCATAATCCCCTTTATCCCGCCTGTAGCGGATAAAGCTCCGGCAGCAGCGCTACTAGGGCCAGGTGTAGAGGGTGAAAATAACTTGGAGAGCCCATCGACGAATGTGAACCGGCCTTTTGCGCCATATGCAGTGAGGTCAATCCCCTGCGCCATCATTGTAAGCACACCACTAGAGAGAGAGACATAGAGGAACCACGCACTAGTTTCCTGAGACATTCACTATGGAATCCCAGGTCTCTTGTAAAGCTCACGAATACAACAGCTCTTTCACCCGCAGTAAGAGCTTCTTTCAGAAATGCATGTGCAAGCCAGCTAGCACTAGCACCGAGCACGGATGTAACGAGAACCAGTTCATCTTCGCCAGGTAGTGAGGCGTAATGAGGTTTATCTGATGTTCGTGTCATTGCACAATATGTATTTTGGCGTAAATTCGTAAATGGGCGAGGTTATGCACGGGAGACGCGAAGGCTGGGTTATTATATCACTTTTTGTCATGCATGCTAATTTACCCCGCTACTCTAACCTGGGATGATTTGTGGGTACAGCAGAGCCTCAATCAAATAAACGGAACGCACGGACGTTTGTCGCAAACAAGCATACAGAATAGAACTCCCCTAACCCCCTGATCTACTTATGTCCTTGAACCCTAACCTTTTAACATATCGATAATTAAGAACCCTAACCTCCAATTTTATAGGTGATTGGCCTCACTCAATATGACACCATCAAACCGCTCTTTCAAGTTAAATAGCGCTTGATAGGGGGGGCAAGGAGCAACATCGCAGGATGAAAGAAAGAACAATCAAAAGAAAAACAAAACAACAATTCCAGTTCGCCTCTCCAACCCACCACAAATATAAAGAAAGTGTCTCAATAACAAAAGCGAAAGTTGATACGAATAACAGACAGAAAACCACTAACCACAGGCCGAAACCAATCCAAAGATGAAACCAAGAGAGAAAAAAGCTAGAAAGAGGGTTGCAGCTTGAGGTAAAAAGAGAAGAAAATATGGTAAAAAAATAATATTACATTCCATACGCAAACTCCGCATTACGCAGTCTAGCCATCAAAATTGAGACCCTACTATTCAGTGCCCGTAGACGTAGGATCATCTCCAGTACGACGCTTCTTTGCACTTGCGCCAACATCCATTGATGAGGGCCCTTCCTCCGGTGACCTTTTTCTTCCCGTTCCCTCAGAATTTGGGGTGGCATCGTGAACGGGAGAAGCATTCTTCTTCTCTTCACTGACTGAAGTGAGGGTTTCTACCGGAGCCACTGGAGCAACGGGAGCAACGGGAGCAACCGGGGCCACAGGAGCAACCGGGGCCACGGGAGCCACGGGAGCGATGGGAGCGATCGAGGCAACTTGGGTAACTGTAACTGGAGCAACTGGTGCTACTGGTGCTACTGGTGCTACTGGTGCTACTGGCGCAGGTCCCTGTGTAGATGCGATGGAAGGATCAAGATCAAAAATTTGATGCGTAGCCATATCTTCCCATCTAACCATATTATCGTGCGGCCCTTCAGGTTCAGGATTCTGGCTACCCTCTTTCGGGCCCCCCTGAGCAACTGCTAAGAAGTCATCAGTAATTTGTTCAAGAGAGGCGCCTGCGAATCCTTCATTAAGTGCTGGATCCAATGCCAATGACCCAGGTGCAGGTGATTGATCAGACGAAGGCATGACAGCATCTTGACTGTTGCCCCAACCGGCTAGAAGACTTTGCATGAGCAAGTCCGTGGTACTGGCGTTGTTGTTATGGTTATTGGCGTTGGCATTGGTATGAGGATTGTTGTTGTTATTGACGTTGATATTTCCCTTGGAAGAGCCATCCTGGCTCGACTCCTCCTCCTCACCTTCCTTAGTTTCACCGGAAGAACGTGGAGGTTTGGGTCTCTGACGGGGGCGAGCTTTGAAGCCGGCCGATTCATATCTTTCTGGAAATGCATTTCGGAACCTGGGAGTATTAGCTAATGAGGTTAACAAATGGAGATATGAGTCCCATACCGATCACGAAGATCTGTGCCCCGACGGTGATTTAAGTTCAACTGTGGATCATTTTGTATCTTTGACCAAGAAGCTCCGTGCTACTCATCGTTAGTACCCCTAACCCTTCTAAATAAATCACAGAAGAACTCACAATTTGGAATCCTTGAAGAAGACGCGAATCTTCTTCTTGTGTAAATTCTCTCCTTTCACGACGCTGTACTTTCGGAAAACTCTTTGGAATTCCAAGTTTCTCTAGAACCTGGGCATGGTGAAGCTCTGTCCTCGTAGCTTTCCTTTTTCCCTTATCACTGTCTGGTGCCTTTGGAGTTCTGGGTGCTACCGGAGAAACCGCAACCGGTTCGACTGGAGTAGCAGCAGGTCGTGACTGTGAACCTGTATCAGACTCTTCTCCTGACCCACGTGCATTCGCTTTTTTATATTCTTTTGGGAAACACGTGCGAAACCTAACCCACTGGATTAGTATTTCAGGCAGGGTAACGTAAAACGATATCTCAAGGGACTAAACCTGTCTTTCAAGTCTACAGATGAACGACCGTTAAAGTGAAACTGAGCATCGTCGAGAACTTTTTTCCAATTACCAACACCGTGCTGGGGAGAAACCAAAGTATCAGCGTCCATGTTGCCACACCAAAATTACGCGCGAAAAAAAAAAGAAAAGGAAAGAAAAGGCCTACAATATGACATCCTTTGATCAAATCATTAGTTTCCTCCTCTGTCCATTTCCTTCTTGCCCTTCGATTTGAGCTTTTCCCTCCGACCGACGAAGAGGTGGGTCTATTAGGTGTTGTTGCTCCTTTGGACGACTGACCCTCGGTTGTCGCCAGTGCGGATGGTAGAAGCGCTGGATACGACCGGCTTCCTGATGGAGTTGCATTATGGTCTTGGCGGTTCTCCGCCGCCGCCGCATTCTCTTTCTCGCTCTTTACTGTGTCGATATCCATTGATGGGGCCATGGGTGCAGGTTGAGGTTTCATTCGCGCTGTTAAAGTTATGGATTCCTCAAGCCCATCCTGCGCATCTTGACGTTGTGAAGGTTCTTTCGGCACGTCTGTCGGGGAAGACTGCTGCTGTTGTTGTGGATTATGCTGTTGATGCTGCTGTTGCTGTTGATGCTGCTGCTGCTGCTGTTGTTGCTGCTGCTGCTGCTGAGATGTCTGTGACTGTTGTTGCTGTTGCTGATTCGGTTCTCGCCGACCCTGTTGGTATTGTGGAGAGCTGTACGCATCTTGACTCGTGGATGGTTCGAGCGGCGCCGGACGATCTCTCGGCTGAGAGTCGGACCCGGAAGGGTAGGGAGGAACGTCGCGGATTGGGGGCAGGTTGAGAGCAGCCAGAAGATGGCTGGACATGTCCATTGTGGAGTTGAAAACGCAGCTACAAAGCTGGGACTACTGTAATTGAATATCGGCAAACCGTAAATGTAAGCGGGAGGAGGAAGGCAAAAAAGTGGTAGTAATGGTGGTTGGTAGTGGGGGGGGGGGGTGGTGGGCGAAGGAAAGCGTGACAAGGCAAGAAGACAGAGGAAGGGTGGAGGTGCTTGTTACTTGGGCGGCCAAAGACCCAGTAGCGACAATAAGCCGCAGACGAAGGGAACAGGAGCGGTTGTGTACCCCAGCCCGTTACATAATCGGTCAACACCGGCAAGCAAACAAAAGGAAAAAGTAAAAGTAGCATATACAAGTAGCGGTGAGAGATCGAATTCAAGAATACAAATGCATTCTTTTCTTGTTCCCTGTTGATACGTTACGCAGAGAAAACCCACAGTGCGGGAACATAGACGTGTACTGTCTCAATTCTTATCTGGAACCTCACTTGTGGTATTGAGTAGAGTACTTTGCAGCATATAAAGCACACACCATCTGTAGCCTGGACCAACACTTGAGTTCCTGTCCTGTCTTGTGCAGAATACGCGAATACGATATACCGGCAGCAGCAACAGGCGCGCAGTTGTTAGGCACAGGCGCCTTCTTCAATACCTAGAGTGATACCTCGCAAAACAAAATAATTGAGGTCTATCCAATATGATGTATTCGCCATATACCTTACCACCGTTTTTCCATTTTATTTTCGCGACGCTAGAACCGCTCTCTACGTACGTATGTTTAACATTACATATCTTAGTCGACGCTTTCATAATCCCAGTCATGAAATATCACTACAAAAACACTATTCTAACTTTATGCGCTGAATTAGGTTATCTGGCTTCTTGTATCCGTACCTCTCGCCAGAGAGGTTCCTGAACGAGCAAGTCCCGACGATACCTCTTATCCAGCACACAGGCATATCAGATAATGTCCGAGGAAGTGTCCTGCAGCTAGCAAACTGCTACCTCTTGCTTTGCATGTGCTCCTTAGCTGTTCTCAGGACAACAAGTGAGAAAACTGTCGTCAGGAACTTTCTCATTGCATTGTTGCTTGGAGATATTGGTCACCTGTAAGGAAGCGTCTGCACAGTCTGTGTAGCAGGAATTTCGGCTTACTCGATGTGTAATAGCTATTTCACCTGGAGCGCCTTAGGGACAGAGCTTTTCTTCGACCCTACTCGGTGGAACGCACTGACAGGTGGGAATGTTGGAGCTACAGTAAGTCACGTCAAAAAACTCATAGTTTCATCCATGCTCCATGTGTGCTGATCCCACCTAGTTATTCCTTCTTCTGACACGAACTTTGTACTTGATTGGATGGGGATTTACCCCTCAGTCTCCCATCAACTCGGCGAAGAAAAAGGCATAGGATTAAAGAATGAAGCGTGACTGTTAAATTTTAGTTATCGTATACCCCGGCAATCAGTAAATTTCAATAGATATATCTCTTGTCCCTTAAGTCCCATGTTGATAGGGTCACGTGATGTGCAAGTAACCGTGTAAGCTCCTTAGCCTTAGCCCCACCCAACACTGTAATGTACCTACTTCGTCCAAGAACAACCTACCTTCAAGCCACTCACGCGACAATGTCCAAAAATAACGAAGACCTTTCTGACGACTTTGTCGCTTCTCTTCTCTCCAAGGAAGCCAGCGAGAAAAACATCAAATACTCAGCACTTGGACTACAAGCATTCCTCCCGAAAAGGTTAGCTCCAGGACCTCACCTCACAGCACCATCGGCGGAAGGCTAACGATGTAGATCTGCGACAAATGCCCCCAAACCAAATACGCGTTTCCTCCGCAATATTGTTCGCGAAGCGGACAACCATAATGCGGCACTACTTGCGAGGGAGGCAGAAGAATCGAAGGAGCGATTGCGTCAACTACACTTGAAGGAAAGAGCCAGACGTCGAGGTGAAGTGGATGGAGTTCCTGTCGAGAAATCCAGAGCGGCACAGAGACCAGATAGACAGATTTACACAGTCGGGGCAAAGCGTAAACTGCTATCTACAAGAGGCGGCGCGCGGAATGGTCTAGATCGAGACAAGGATGGCGATAGGAAGAGGCGGCGTTCTAGGAGTAGGGAAGGCAAAGAGGATGGACGCACTAGAAGGCATAGGAGTAGGTCCATGGATAGAATAAGTCGCAGCCCGAGTTTTGAGAAGGAAAAAGGGCGGCGTAGACAGGGGAGTAGATCACGAGAGCGCAGGAGATCAGGAGAACGCAAACGAGACAGATCTCGAGAACATCGATCTGACGGCCGAAGGGAAAGTCACAGACATCATTCCTCTCGCTATTACGACTCGAAGGACAAGGAGAGTTCCCGTCATTCCCACCGTTCCCGTTCCCCTTCTCACTCCCGTGAAAGGGATGGCGACAAGTCCAAGTCCACCTTGAGCTCCCATAGATTCGACAAGAAAGACCGCTCCTCAGAAACCTCAAAGTCGCACTCGTCGCGCCCTCGCTCTCCACGCCGTCGTCCTGAGGAATCTGATGCTGATCACGAGCGCCGTCGTAAACGTAGGAAGGAAATGGAACTGGTCGAAGAGCCAGGCCGTTCCTCTCGCGCCTCTACCGACCCCCTAGATGATATCATTGGCCCTAAACCTACTCCGGCTACGCGCATTCGGGGACGAGGCACCTTATCAGGTGCCTCTGCTATGGATGCGCGGTTCAGCGAAAGCTATGATCCTTCTCTAGACGTACAGCCAGATGTTGCTGATGGAGATGATTGGGATGATGCTCTCGAGGCATATAGGGATCGCCAGAAGTGGAAGGCCTTGGGGGCGGAGAGGTTGAGAAACGAGGGATTCGGAGAGGATTTCATCAAGGCATGGGAGAACAACGATACAAAGAACAAGGCGAATATCAAGTGGTCGAAGGAGGGTGTGAGGGAATGGGATAGGGGAAAAGTGATTGAAGAAGGGGAGGTGAAGGTAAAGGCTATCTGGTCGAAGGATTAGTATAGAGGCACTAAAAATCATGCACTGTACCTGCACATATCCCCAGCCCTGTATAATAATACGCAATTACATAGTTAGGAGTATTAATAGCACAGCTCCATTTCTAACCTAAACCACCAAGGATTTCAGCTGTACTCTGTATATTTTGGATTGATCAGCCCCAATTCAAAATCACTTAGAAGCTTCCAATTGTAAGACCGAAGCACAACTCAGAAGGTTTCCAGGGATAGTTGATTCTCTACATAGGGGTGCCAGTGACTTTTGTTAAACTTACGGAATCACCCCTAACCCAAGCCCTCACGTCACCGAGTGACGCGCCATGATCGACTTCAAACATAATTTTTTGTGTGGAACAACGCAAGATCAATATGAGCTACACCACCACTATTAAAAAAAGATTCTCAACCTCTTCACTTCAACTCGATCCTAGAGGGACCGCGGTAACCCCGGGTGGGGAAGTAGCATCTTAATAACTCTATGAGCCCGTGTATAATCTACCAAGAATATTAGACAGCACAAGATTGATATATACGGTACTATATATCACGACCAGTCGCTCTAAGCTTATATATATATATATGATTTTAGAAGAGAATTCGGAGTCTACACCTACATTGTTATAACGCCTAATATCTAACATGCTATGTAGGCCATGCACAAGTGTGGGGCGTCTCAGGAAGGATTCTCTTCAGGATTCCCTTTCTTAGCATACTCTCCACAGCGTTTAATACTATCTAGAATTAGAAATACGGAACTTATATCTAGCGCGCACGCTCCTCTTATCAGTCCCTGGTCCCAATGTAATATACGCAGCCCAGCACACCCAAGCATTTCTGGGCGATTGGGGACAGAGGGCCCTGAATGGCAGACTACATATATACATTTCGAGGATAGGACGCGTCAATACAGACGTACACATAGTTTTGTTGTCATACATGTTTTGATAACCGCAGTCCGGACCATAGGCCTCGACCACTTGTACCAATTGTTTGAGACATTCATGGTAGAGTATGAGTACATGCAGTCACTATTATAATAGCTTGCTCTCGCCAAGTTAGCACGAAAACGGCCTTATAGGTTAAGGTATCTCTCGAGAAGGAATTTTGCTCGGGGAGGCATAGACCGGATAAACGTCTACTGTTGTATTGTAGGTACCTATCTCTCCTTACTACTCCAACTTTCGGCCTTAGGATTTTCAGGTGACTGATATCATATAGGACAGGGCGTACTCAGAGTGGGTAAAAGTACCGTGACACATATTAATGTGTTAGATAGCACTGGCTATAAAAATCTGGAATCTACGGAATTTTAAACACTAAAACTTTTCCGGAAAGCCAAAAAAAGAAAAAGAAGAAAGAAAGGCCTTGGCCTGTCAACGATATCTACCCCACAAAACAGACCCATGCAAAAAAAAAAAAAAAAAAGTCAACTAATGGTATCGTTCAGTACCGCCTACCTGGGGACCAGCGCCTCTAACCCTTCTACAACACTGCGATACCACCTCCCCATGCTCTCCCTCTCAGCCTTCCCCTCGGCCCTGGCGCTATCCCTCATCCTCACCGCCTCACTCGCAAACCTCTCCAATCCTTCCTTATCCAACTCCAATGGCTCAATCTCGCTTTCTAGCTCTGCCAGGACCTTCTTCCTCTTCGGCAGCTCTCTCTCGACCGCATCCAACTCCTTCTCCAACCTTGCCAGCTCCGCCTCACGCTCTCCAAGAAGCGCAACCGTCTCGTCAAGCGGCATCTGTCGCCCCTTCTCCAGCTCATCAATGCGCGCCTCTAGTGCCAACGTTTCACCTGGAAGTGTGGCCGCTGCGGTGCTCCATCCAGACAACTGGCTGTAAGTGGCAGTCAACCGCTGCGAGAGCGCCTCGAGCTCGACAAGGATCGCATCTACAGATGCTTTCGACTCCTTGAGGGCAGCCTTCTCAATTACGAGTTGGGCTTCGAGGGCGTCGTTCTCAGCGGGTTCGACAATGAGTGGTGGGTCTTCTGTGATGGCGCGAAGGAACTTTTCCTTTGTCACTTGCTCGAGGTAGCTGAAGCGCAGCTTTGAGAAGAGTTCCTATACAGCCGGGCTAGAGCTTAGCCTTGAGGTTTTTATATGAGGGAAGGAAGAAGGAGGAGCGCACTTTATAGTGACTTAGGTCGGCCTGCAGGGCTGCCGGGGTGCTACTGTCCCAGGCTCCAGAAGCATCGCTGCTTTGTGTGAGGTCATTGGTATCGAAAGGCGCGAGTGGGGAGACACTGGCACGGAGCTTGAGGATCGTAAAGTCGTGTTTTTGGATTTTTTGAAGGGTTTCCAGAAGGGCGGTATAGTCAGCGGTGGGTGTTTCTGTCGCCATTTCAATTGGAGAGGTATGGGGTTGGATAAAGACAAGGTGATACGGTATCGAGCTAGGCAGCAAGAGCGCGCGCGACGGAGGTTGCCGTGACGCGGCGTCAGGTGCTAGCTTGCAACGTCCAGCGGTAATGATCGAAACAACAAGTGTCTGGTAATACATTTTTGGAAGGTGCGAAAAGCGAAAAGACACATACTTGTAACAACAACACACATATTAAAGCTCCTTGGACAACTAATCTGGACCAGTCAAGCTAGGATGTCAGGCTACGACTTTACCTTAGTCTTAGAGCCGAGTTATCTCACAATTTCATCTTGGGATTTTGTCTCTCACGAGCCTAAATATCTCTTGAGACGACTTGATTTATGTTTTTTGTTTTAAAGGGGTTCAGTTCGGCGCAACCTAGTGGACAAAATGTGTCAGGCCAACGGCACACTTTACCCACTAAGCTAAGAAGTGGTTGGTGATTGTATCGAAAGATACAGGTACTTGATCCTTCCTAAAAGTACCTGCTCCCCGGTCCCACCACCTCCTATCGTGTTGCACAGTCTCTTCTGCTTATTCTCCTGCTAATACTACTACTTAGTTACTTACTAATTCCTGTTGTGGTCTGCTACTGCTCCACTACTAATCCTACTACCTGTCGTGGTCCGCTGCCGCTCCTGCCAGTAATACTACTACTTTTTGTGGTCCGCTGCTGCTCATACCTGTCCTCCCCCTATCCCTATCGCTAACTGAAGCCAATAGAAATGCTTCCTGATGACGGTCGACAAGACTATACTGTTTAGACAAGTAATACAGAGGGAAACCGACAACCCGGAGGCTTCGACGTTGCTACAAGAAGTGCGTACGTTACCGCGGGAAGGGAACGGGTTAACCCAATGTAGGAGCCGTTCTGGCTTCGAGCCACCCTCATGCGGTATTACCATTGAAGCTAGCTTAAAAACAAGAGCCGACTCGTCCACACACCACACAGCCAAAAGCACCAATGAAATCGTAATCAGCATAGGGGTGGTTGCATGGTCTAGAGGTATAGGGGTCTTGCCCTGTACAAAAACCTACGATCGTTCGACTCCCCCTCCGGACGTAGCGCAGGAGATGTAGCAGCACTAGGCTGTGAACTCTTTTTGCTGGCGCCACAAAATATTTTTTTTTTCCCCTTTTGCCCTTTAATCCTCCGCCCTGCCTGATGGATAAATTTAAAGAAGCTTACTCTCGGGTTTGATTTGAACTTTTGTGTTTTGTCTCACGAATGTGGGATATCTTGAAGCGTTTGGATTTTTCCCCCGCTAGAAGTTCTGGTGTGAGTCGTAGTTTCATTCTGACACTTTTAGATCGTTTATCATTCTCGAATTTGCTAAAAGCTAGCTTAAGGCGCCAGTGAGAGGGGTTTTTGTTTGATTTAACGATTGAGTATAGGCATAAGTAAAAAGATCTAGATAGTTGAATTGGCTCATATAGACCACATTATACAAGTTCCTCAGCTCGTGGCCAAAAGTGTATCAATTCTTGCCGTCCCGAGACTCAATGCTCTAACTAATTGGAAGGGGCATTTTTTTTTTTTTTTTTTTTTTTTTTTTAATTCACTAATTATTGGAAGGGGCATCATTGTATGGTTTTTGTCCAAAACCTATATCTTGATAGAAGGACAAAATATGGGGGAGGGGATTCTCCCCGGTTTTCTTCTTTTTTTTTTATTACTTTACTGACTGACAGGTTTAGTACTAATGGGATGATGTGCTAATCGTGGTAAACTACCGTGGTGATGGATGTTGCCATTACATATAAACGTTTCATAATATACATGTACTTTGTCTTTGAGACATTTTATTCTCAACCGTGTTCATATTGAGAGGACTCCTAGGCCTCCGGCCTCCCATCAATCTACACAATGCATTTTCTGCACTCGGTTTTTTTTTTTTTTTTTACTTTACTTCACAAATATCATCACACGCCCGCAAGTAAATTAGGCTCTATATATGGCCCACTTTGTCTGTCTTCCTTTTTGTCTTGTTTATTTGATCGATCGAGCTATTACATATACACAGACACAATTTATATATACACTCCCAGATGCCAAACGCCAAGAACGAGTGACATCCCATGACCGCGCTTCCAGTGGAGTACACTTAACTTCATGGCACAGTAGTAGGTACACTCATGATTAAAACAACATAACTTTTCTTTTCCAATAGAAAAAAAAAAAAAAAAAATTCTGGTTCTTGCGTATTCCGTAATTTCCCAGCATGATGCGCAACGCAATATATTTTTGTTTTTCCCGAACCCGCTTTCCAAAAGGGACAAAAGAAAACTAAAAGAAACGACAGAAACGATGGGTAGCTAGAAAAAAGGGGACGTAAAAAAAAAAAAAAAGAAAAAAAAAAGAGAAGATAACGAAGGAAGGAAAGAAAGAAAAAGAGAATTAAACCTATCATCTACTTACAGTAAAGAAAGAAAGAAAAAAGAGAGAACCAAAAAGAAATAGAAATAAAAAACAAAAAGACACCAGCAAGACCCAATTCCAAGTCCAAGGTCCACGAAAAGAAAAACCAAACCAAATTCCCAGCACCCAAGAAGAAGAAAAAAAAAAAAAAAAAAAAAAAGAGAAAAAAAAATTCCCACTAAAACACCCCCCTTACACTCTCGAGCACCTCCCCCTCCTCGTCATAAACAGCACCAGACTCACACTCGTATCATTCTCGCCCATGACGGGCGACGGCTCGGCGAGCTTCTCCCACGGCTTGACGGGATAGTCAATCATCTTGCCGCGCTGGAAGGCCTTGAGCCACTCTGTGCCGCTGCTGCTGCCAATGAGGTAGGACATGCGCGGCGTTGGCTTCTTGCCGCGTGTGAAGCGGCGGATGTGCTGTGTTGTTTCGTCGGGGAGGTCTGTTGTTGTGTGCATGTTAGTAGGGTGGTAGGGTGGTAGAAGAAGAAGGAGGGGAGGGGAGGGGGGAGGGGGGGAGACGTACCGTCAATGAAGCTGCTCGTGATGTCGAATACGAAATCAAACAACTCTTCATCCTTCCTCACAAACTCATGCTGTTCACCATCCACATTAGCCCACCACCCCTCTTCACCCCCAGAACAACACAAAAAACATAACATACCTGCAACAACGCCCCCAACCCCACCACCAACCTCCCCCCTCCGCCACGCCCCCCCTCCCCCCAAACGCACCCCGATGCAGCACCACAACCCTCAAAAATAGCAACAACCAGCACCGCCACTCACCCACATCCACCTCCCACCCCTCCTCCATCCCGCCCACAATCATGACCAGCTTCTCCGCCAGCGCCGCCGCCACGCCCGGCACGCCCCCCGGCGGGATGCTGTATGCCGTGGCCTCAATCACCGCCAGCAGCGCCCGTGCGAGCGCCTCGCCGCCCTCGGGCAGCGACGGCTCCAGCGGCCCCAGACACAGCCGCACGGGCGGGAAGGTGGACGACGAGAGGAGCAGCTCCTCGGCGTAGTGTCGGATCTGCGCGGCGCACTCGGCGTTCAGCACTGAGACGAGGTCCGTCCAGATGTTGACGCGGTCCTTGAACGTCGCTGCGATGCCCTGGAAAAACGGCTTCGTAAGTGGATTCTCCTGCTCCCCTCCTCCCACCCCTCCCACCCCTCCCACCCCTCCTCCTCCCACAGCACCACCACCACTACCACAACCACCAGACCCAAAAATAATCCTCATCTTCAACTGACACAACCCGATCGAAAAGTCATTCGCATACTGCACCAACTGCGCCACCTGCACCTCCGGGTCCAAATCCGTACTATCCCCCGACTCGGCATCATCCAACAAATGATCCACCAGCCTCCTCAACCACAGCAGCACCCCCGGCCCGCCCCGCCGACTCAACGGCTCCACCACCTCCTCCAGCAGCGTCTGCGGCCGCTCCGTCGCCACCCCCCTCAACAGATCCAGCACCCCGCGCGACAACACCAGCGCGCGCAGCCGCTGCGTCAGCTGCGCCTGCTGCTCCGCACACAGCGCAATCGCGCGGCGCAGCAGGCGCACAAACAGCGCGGGGGCCGCCTGCGCGAAGCTCTTCCGCTTGCGGCGCAGGCTGTACATGTCGCACTGCGAGAGCGCGGGGAGCAGCGGCGCGGTGAGCAGCTCGAGCGTCTGTGCGATCAGGTCGGCGGTGGGTTTTGGCGCGGCGAGCGTGCCCGTGACGACGGTTCTGAGCGCGAGGGTGGAGGATGCGACGAGGATGGAGAGCGTGTGCAGCAGCGGGAGGGGCGGGCGGCTGCTGGACTGCAGCAGCCGCGTGATCCAGCTGTGCATGAGGTCGTCGAACATGGGCGTGTCGAACTGGCGCAGCTTTGTGAGGTAGCCCACGGAGGACGCGAGCTGGCCCTGGCTCTGGGCGCCGGCGTCGTCGAAGGTCGTCTCGACCTTTGATACGATGGTCTCAAACAGCCGCGAGAGGTTGTGGTTATCAATTGACGCTCCCGCGGCAAGCAGCCGGTCAATCTCCTCGTTCCCACCATCAAAGACATCCGCCATCGTGTCCGACACCGGCGAATTCGCCATCCCAACCCTCGGCTCGCACCTCGCCTGCGCCGCCAGATCCTCCTCCAGCTGCCGTCGTATCTCCCCACTCGCGCCAGGCACCGCCGCCAGCTCCGCCAGCGCCACCACCAAGAACCGCTCCAACCTGCGCCGCAGCTGCAGCTTCTTATACCGGTTGTGCAGCAGCCGGAGACACTCATTTACGGCGCCGAGCGCCGAGAACGCCTCGGCATTATAGCTGACCGTGTCTGCGGCCTCACTCAGCGTGCTGCTGCTGTCTGACGAACTCACCATCTTGACCACGTCCACCAGCACCGCCATGTCCTGGAACATCTCGAGCAGGCCCCGCAGCAGCACAAACTGGCCCGTCGTGACCGCCGTGATGCCGACCTCGACGCTCAGGTCGCGCCAGTTGTCGCGCCCCACGGGCGCCCCCTTGACTACATGCATGCGCACGTTATCGCGGATCCAGATGCCCAGCTCACACATGACCGTCCTTGACAGTCCCGCGAAGAAGGCCGTCTCCCGCTCCGTCAGCGCCTCCTCAGCGCCATCGCCCGCCAGCCGCCCCGCCAGTATCTCTTTCGCCTGTGCCAGCGCGCGCGCCTCCTCGGTCACGTCGTAGCCCGCGTTCGCGAGCAGGATCTTGCGCAGGTTTCGGTGCGCGGTGGGCGCGGTGTAGACTGGGATCTCGGCGAGCAGGCGCACATGGCACGGGTTTGAGGCGTGCATGGTGTCGAAGCCGTAGAGCGACCCGCGGGCGATGAGCCACTTCATGTAGGCTGCGAGGGCGAACGTCTTGCTGCGTACGAGCTCGCTGATGAGTAGGTATGCGTCGTGCTTGCTTCCGGCGACCTTTGTGCCGAATGTTTCGAGGAAGTGGAGGAGCTGCTCGTGGACGGCGGCGGGGCTGGTGCGTGCGGCGGCGGCGCGCAGGAGCGCTGCGGCGATGTAGACGCGGTGCACGCCGACGCGGAGGGAGGTGGTGCCCCATTCGCAGAGCACCTGGACGAGGTCTGCGGGGGCCATTGTGGTGGTGGAGCTGTAGCATTTGGCCCAGAGCTCGTCGAGGTTGTAGGGCAGGGTGATGGCGTCGAGGGTGTTGATGAGCTTGCGCTGGGGGGAGAGCGTGGTGGCGGCTTTGGCGTTGTGGTCGAGGGGCGCGAGGAGGTTCTTGTTGCGCGCGGTGAGGTTGGCGAGGCAGCTGCGGATTGTGGGGTTGCGGCGGTGGACGGAGCGCGAGAGGACGTCTTTGTAGCCGTCCCAGGAGTTGGCGATGACGAGTGATTCGCGGTGTGAGACGAGGATGTCCTAGAATGTGCTCAGCGGGCTGCGGCAATGAGAAGGGGGGAGGGCGGAGTGGGTTACAGCTAACATGACGCTCAGCCTATGCATCAGCGGTGCATATACTTCGTTCTCCTCCGCGGCGATTATCTGCAGTCGGTCAGTATCGTGCCCCGGGGGTGCATTGATGGGACGGAACCTACCGCTTCCGCCTTCCCCAGCAGCGCCTCCGCAAGACGGCGGCCGAGTCGCCGCGTGCGGAGAAGCTCGTCCCAGTAGATGCTCGACAGCATGTACGCCATCGGCAGCATATCCAGCGAGCAGGCCTCCAGGAAGCCCAAGAACCACTCCAAGAACAGCGTCTTATCCAATAAGTTCTCCCAGTACAGATGCGCCGATAACCGGATCCTATACCACCATATCAAAGTGAGCAACATTTCCAATTGCAAAAATATATATAAAAAAAAAAAGAATGGAGAGAATCCTCACGCATAGAGCATCTTCGCCTTCCACCCCTCCGTCGCCGTGCACCCCACAATCGTCTTCTCCAAGAACCTCGTCACCTGCGTCGTCCACTCCTTAATCCACTTTGTCTCGCTACCAACCGCAAACGACCCCACGCCCTTCCTCTTGAGCCCACGCAGCTCATTCGCACCGACACACCTCGCGAACCAGACGGCGCGCGCCGTCGGCACGCCCTTCGCCGTGCACTGGTCGAGCAGCACGGGGCCCTTGAGCCCATGCGGGATGGTGCGCGACAGCTTCCTCAGCGACACATTCGGGCTGGCCAGATCTCTTAGCCAGGCCTCTCTCCGGGCGTCGGGCAGCGTGACGCGCGGTGGCGGCTTAAATGTCGAGGGGGCCGTGAAGCGGCCGTATTTCTGGCGCTTGTCGAGGACGGTGAGGAAGAGGGATGACATTGTGGCCAGGCCGGCCTTTTGCTTGAAGATGGGGGTGAGGGAGGCGCGCGCGGAGGCTTGCTCGTTCTGCGGAGGTAAGTAGGGGGCCTTGGAGTAGGAGGCGGGGGAGAGGGAGAGGGAGGAGGGGGGATGGGGGATGGGGTGCGGACATTGCCTTTGCCGACAAAGAGTTTGTCGAATTGGCCGTTGCGGGCTTGGGCGTCGGTGACGTGGTCTTCGGCGTGGTTTCCGCGCCAGGGGAAGAAATCGGTGCATCCTGTGTTGTGCGGGGGGTCAGTTTTCTGTGTGTAGCAGTAGTTGGGGGAGGGCAGTAGCTGTAGCAGTAGCAATGGTAGAGAGCCAATACCGCGCCCACCACAACCCACTGCCAACCAACCAGCCAGCCAACCACAACGCGCACGGGTAAGCACTCACTTGACTCTGGATACAGCTGCGCCGGCGGCGGCGGCTCCAGCACGTACGGCTTGGGCTTATTATCCCTCCTTGGGCCGGGCCTCGCAAAGTCGGCCTTACTCGGCTGTGGTAGTATCTGCTTCTGCTTCTGCTGTTGCTGCTGCTGCAGCCTCCCCCCGCCGCCGACGAAGAGGACGAGGACGAGGACGAGGGTGTAGCAGTGGCTATAGTTGTAGATGTTGTGGTTGTAGTAGTAGTAGTAGTAGTCGACGAGGAGTAGACCTTTGACGGTTGGATGAAGAGCGGCGACGGGGATGGCGCGGCGGCAAAGCGCAGGCGGCGGCGCGTGCGTGAGTTCTGCGTGGCCGTCTTGGGGCAGAGGTGCGCGCCCTCGTAGGTGCGGGTGGTGGCCTCGGCGAGGTCGAGCGGCAGCGGGGGGTGGGCGTGGGGTGTGTGGGATGCGTGTCGGGGCCGGTGAGGTCGACGAAGATGGGGGGCGAGGGGCGCGGGGGGGGGGCTTGGTGCGGGGACGGTGGTGGCCGTAGGCGGACATTGTGGAGTCCGTTGAGGGGTGAGAGTGATATCTCGAGAGGGAGAGGGTGTGTGGGTGTGGAGGCAGCAGAAAGGGTAGAGTTATGAGTTAGATGGGTGCAGCAGGTGCATGCAATGGGGAGAGACACGATTAGTAACCAGAGACAGAGGATTAGCAGTCAGTGCATGATGGTGATGGACGGTAAATACTGAGGCAGTGCATGTACATATTCTACAATCCCACACTCACTCTCACACTCACACTCACACTCTCACTCACTCTCCCCGATCACACCCCTACAAAGCCATTCTCTGCCCCATTCAAGAAAGCAGCCAAGTGTGCAACCCGGGATGGATGGGAGATGGACCGTGCACACAGCACAAGGGAGGAAGGTAAGAAGGGAGACAACCCAGCCCGGGCTCTGCTGGTACGGGGCCGTCACCGTCCAGTGGATGTGGGGTACCACACAATCCCCTTCCAGAGCTGTCTGCCTAGTAGTAATCCACCCAAAATCACTCGGGTCACATCTCTACTCTACTCGGCGCCCGAATCGCCTGTCGAGCGAGTGAGTCTCCCTCCCTCTGCACATCAACCCAACCGGCAATGCTTCGGCTGCATCGCTCCCAACGGTGGGCGCGCATATGACAAGACGTAACCACGCATGCCCCATCCATCCCCAGGCACCGTTCTTTCCTTCCGTCCGCTGTGGATCCATTGGGGGGTTTGGAGGGAGGGAGGTAGCCGCGGGCGCCGAGGTGAGTGAGTGAGAGTGGGCGTGTGATACGGTCTGGACCTAGGCAGGCAGTCGAGCAGAGAAAGCAGGAGAAGAAATAGCCATTCGTATTAGTAGAGCAGATGGATAGCCTCGTATTTCGAAATAGACAGACAGACTGTGGGGCTGGCCATCTACTCTACTAGGTATTCTTAAAGTAGATAAACCAGATAGTTAGTACATAGTGCAAGGCCCATATCTAGAGTGCTCTTCTTCCTCTTCTTCTCTCCCGAAACTACAGCATCTATCTAGATATCTCTCTACACCTCTACCTACTGTACTCTACTCTTCCTCCCCACCACAACCCCCCTTCATCCCACCACCACCACCACCACCACCACCACCACACACAATGTCCACCACCACCAACACCCCCCCAACCCCCGCCGCCATGTCCCCCGCCGCCCCCCCGCCAACATCACCAACCCCCCAGCGCCCCCGCCCCCGCAAAAACACCACCTTCGAACAACTCGACCGCCCCGGCTCCGTGCGCGTATGTCCCACAAACCCCCCCCCCCTCCCCCACCCAGACAAAACCACTAACCCCACCCCCACACAGATCAACGTCCGCGGCGCCTTCATCGACTCCGAAGAACCGCTCACCCCGCCGCGCACCGGCTCGCCCCCGCGCGGGCACGTCACAAAGGACATCCGGCTGCCGCACCACAAAGCCGACGTGTCGCACATCGCCGTGGACATTGGCGGGTCGCTGGCGAAGCTGGTGTACTTCTCGCGCGAGCCCAACGGCGAGGGCGGCAAGCTGAGCTTCAAGAACTTTGAGACGGAGCGCATTGACGAGCTGATAGCGTACATGGGCGGGCTTGTGAATGGGAAGCGGGGGGTGAACATCAAGGACGGTGAGGGGGAGGAGGGGAAGGGGAAGGAGGGTGAGGATGTGCTGTATGTAATGGCGACGGGCGGCGGGGCGTTTAAGTTCTATGATGAGATTAAGGAGGCGCTTGGGGTGGAGATATATAGAGAGGACGAAATGGAATGCCTCATCATTGGTACACCCCCCCCTTCCCCCTCCCCCACTTCCCTCCCCCCCACCACTTCTCTAAAGACTAACATCCCCGCGCAACCTCAGGCCTCGACTTCTTCATCACCGAGATCCCCGAAGAAGTCTTCACCTACAGCGAAGCCAACCCCATGGCCTTCGCCGCGCCGCGCCCCGACATCTACCCTTACCTGCTCGTCAACATCGGCTCCGGCGTGTCCATGGTCAAAGTGTCGGGCCCGCAGCAGTACACGCGCGTCAGCGGGTCGTCGCTGGGCGGCGGCACGCTGTGGGGACTGCTGTCGCTGCTGACGCAGGCAAAGAGCTTCGACGAGATGCTGGGCATGGCCGAGTGCGGCGATAACACCAAGGTCGACATGCTCGTGGGCGACATCTATGGCGGCGGGTATGGCAAGGTCGGGCTTAAGAGTAGCACGATTGCGAGTAGCTTTGGGAAGGTGTTTAAGAAGAAGCGGGAGGGGGAGGCGGCGGCGGCTGAGGCGGATGGGGATGGGGATGGGGCAGAGGGGGCAGAGGGAGGGGAGGGGCAGGAGGGGAGAAGGGGCCGAGGTTCAGGGAGGAGGACATCAGCCGTAGTCTACTATACGCGGTTAGCAACAACATCGGGCAGATTGCGTATCTGGTTGCGCAGAACCACGGGCTGGAGCATATATACTTTGGGGGCAGCTTCATCCGCGGTAAGTCTCTGCTCTTCCTCTCTTCTTTCCTGGTTTGTAGTAAGCTGATATTGTGATTATGAACGACAGGACACCGCCAAACGATGAACACCCTCTCATACGCAATCAAGTTCTGGTCACGGGGCGAGCAGAAGGCATACTTTCTGCGCCACGAGGGATACCTCGGCGCCGTCGGCGCGTTCCTGAGGCGGCAGCCGCGCAACTGGGGGAGGAGGTATAGCGCGGGCGAGGAGCACGGCGGAAGGAGGGTCTTTACGCCGGCTGCGGCTGGGGCTGCGGCTGGGGCGGCGGTGAAAGAATAGGTACGGTACAGTGGAGGGTAGGAGTGTAAGTCTCCTTTTTGGTAATTTATGTTTTGTAGTTTTTTTTCTTTTTTTTACTTTTACTGGGTCGGCTTCCTTTTTTTTTTCTTTTTCTTTTTCTTGCTTCTTTCTTTTTCTGTCTGTTTTTTTTATATACTATAGTTTATTGCCCCTCCCCCCCCCCCCCCTCCCCTTTTCCATAAGCCCGGGTTCGGGTTCGGGCCGGGTGGTAGGTCTACGGGGACCCCGCCCCCTCGTAGGTCACAGCCCCGGGTGGGCTACGGGGGGGGGGGGGTGTGTGAGTTGATACCATAGATGCGTTCGAATTCCTACGTATGTTGTTGCGATCATTGATTGGCTTTATTATACAATACAATACAATACAATACAATACAATACAATACTATAGATATTACGTTTGAGATCATTACCGCTAGCTTACAGTAGTGTGTAGTGTACTGGTGTGTGCGTGATATGGCTGTATGGTGGAGAGGAAGGAGGAAGGGAGTAGGAGTGGAAGCGGGCATATACACGGAACAGGGCGCGGGAACCCCCCGGGGGGGGGGGGGGTGGATGTAATAGGCCCGGGTACATGTAGGGCACAGGTGCATGCGGTGGTTGTATGTAGGTTTCAGGCCTAGTACGTGGGTCATGGGTTCGCACTCGCACTCGCACTCGCACCTAACGCGACGCCCATGCACCCGGCCCCTCTATACATATGTGCATGCCTAGATCCTGAAATACCCAACAGCTAAAGAAGCGCCTACTATACTGGGTCCTCCGCACACCCCGAGACGTGCGTGCCGAGTCCGGAGGCGCGAGGGCGAGCGCGCATGTATGTACGTCTAGACCGAGCTTTGAGCTCTGAACAGTGGTGGTGGTGGTCCGGAGACGGTGGGCAGCTGCAGACCGGGTGCATGGCTGGCTAAGTTATAAGCTTCTCATCGCGAGATACTTGAAAGTGCTAAAGAGGGTCGAGGGAGAATGTGCTTCTAGCCTATCAACCATGAGGAGTAGGTGCACGTAGGTAGGTCCATCCGATGAGCAGGAACGTCGCCCCCCCCGGGGGGGGAGAAAAAAGTTGGGGGAGGGGGGGGGGGAGTATGTAGATGGTCCCTTTCATATCGCCGCTACGCTACACAGGTGTTACTGCAAAAAGTCACAGAGATATATAGAGAACAGGCTCTAGACCAGGCCACTGGACATTCTCGTGAAAAGAGTTAGACAACAAAGCTCGGGCCAGTATTGCATGTAACCAATGAACTAAACAAACAAACAAAAAAAAGCTTGGGCCAGTAAGGCCCTTACTTGGTGTGCCTGCGTGCCCATCATACAATAAATCACCGCCCGCCAGGAGAACATCTGTATAACAAATATCAAACCCCCGGGAACAGGCCATGTTGCCTGTATGTTTTGCAGAGGCTGTAACGCGTGGTGTGTTCAGTGTCCAAGATGAGCGAGTGATATTCCATGATGCATCTTTCACTATCACCACATACCACCACCATTACCACCACCACCACGACGATAGGGACCATCCTGGGCGAAGAAAGGGAATATAGATACTGCCAAAACCTGGATACTAACCACTGAGGAGCTTGGAAGTGTAGGAAGATCTTTCGTTGAGAAAGCTGTAAGCATTGTATTAATTCATACTAGCCCCAGCAATAGATCACATGTACAGCTAGCGACTTTAACTTCGAATCCAGAGGCGGGCCTCTACTAAATTTATGGGACACTTTTAGAAGTAGCAATTGTCAGCTCGTTAATTCCCAGACCTGCCAAGCTAGGAGGGTTGATAACCATGCGGCTTTCTGCCGAACTATAATACAGTAGGGACGATGCATGAGACTAGGGCGGGGCTAGAGGTGTCAATGATAATTATTAGCCACGTCAAGCTTATCATTGAATCCAAGTACCTAGTCTCGAGAGTTATAAACCCAGGTGTTGTGCTGATCACCCGCTAGTGGTTGGGAAATCTGCTCAACGTCTGGAGCGTTGCAGTCTGGCGGAAGACTGAGTTACCTTACTCGTGATAGCTATTTATTACAGCTCCTCCAAGTATACCGGCCAACCAGGGTATAAAAAAAAGGATGAACTCATTATTGTCGCTAAAAGCACATGTTCAGAGCACCAAAAGAACGAAAAGCAAAGAAAGAGAAATAAAATCAGACAAATAAAGCAAACTCCCATTAAACATGGGAGAAAAGAGGCCTAAAAGGAGATGAATGTCCGTCCGCCCCCCTCCCTCCCCGGCCTGCTTTACGAAATCAAAACAATAACAGGCCCTCAACAATAACTAAATCACTAGAACCGTCTGCCCAAATAACCTAGGCTAAACCTTCTTGTCTGTTTCCTCAGTACCAGCTGTTGTTGTTTCCTCAGTATCACCGTCAGACTTCTTTTTAAGCCTAGGAGGATTAGTATCCCCTAAGAACCCATCCATCAGATACCCTCCCCCATTTAGCCTTGTCGGAGCTATTGCAACAAAAAATGAAAACGTAAGCCTCTTTTCTTTCCCGTTCAATCAATTCAATTTCTCACTCCTCCGTCCCCTCCCCCAAACGCACCAGCATCACAAATCAGTTGGACCATGAATCGCGGTTCCATATAGGATCTGTATTCCGCACGAAACAAAACAAAAAACGGAAAAACTGAATAAGCCGTGTGTTCACCAGCTTATGGAGAGGGGATAGGGGAGGGGGGAGGATGGTATTATTATTAACGTACCCTGGACAAACGAAGCAAGAACTTTAGATCCCGTCTGGAGTAACGGGTGGCCGACTACGATCTGAAGGAACCGCTGCAGACCCTCCCGACGGTGCTCGATAACGTCATCTGAGAAGCGGTTGGTGAATACCTTTCCTGGGAGCGGTGGGATAGTCACACGCGAGGACTCCCGTTCAAGGATTTCGCGAAACTTCTCAAACTCGCTGTAACGGCGACGGACACTGGAGGATCGGATCTGAGATGGAGCTGTGCGTTAGCGTACCCGCCCGCATGGTTGCACTTAAATCAAAATGACGGCCCGCTCACCTTAAAGGCTGGGATATTGGTCTGCACGATAATGAGTAGTCTGTCAGTTTGCGAACTTGACTACATATGTGAGTGTGGTTTTTTCGAGAGACTTACACGGCAAACAACCTCGTAATCTGTATACATGCCACGCCCGAAGCCATGTGTTTGTGGATCTTTGACCTGTGTGTGGAAAAGCGGGACGGTCGCCCCTGATCAGCTTCAAGAACTATACTCTGGTGCCGAGCAGCGGCGGCGGAATAGTGAAGGCGGGTGCACCTCTATCTCTAGGAAATTCTCTGGGGGGCCGTAAATCTCGTCAAAGCTCTGAGGCCGAGAGGACTGGATCGGTGCCTGCATGATGTATGTTTACGTATGTGTGTGGTTAGGGGGGGTTAGCCTGGTGATATACGATTTATTAGGCGGCTTGTTGTTGAGATGGCTTCTGTTTATCTTTGGGTATGGGGTGATATTAAGAAGTGGAGAGACAAAGAGACGTCCTGAGTTGGGGGCGGTTGGAAGAGGTTATCGTCATCTAGGGCTGCCCCACAATTAGATACGAGATGGCAGGGGTCACGTTTATATAGAATCCGACCGACAAGGCGCCTTGGGTCTTGTGAGATTCCACAGTTGTCTAATGCCTACATGCACTGTTTGGTACCGCTTACTGTATGACCGCTCCCCGCTTTCGTGGCTTTCTGCCAGATCAAGTGGAACATCTACATATCTGGTTCGCTTCCGTTACAGAGAATAAGGGGACTTAATATGGGCTTGCATAGAAGACAGAGAGCACACGAGGGCCCACGGGGATTCAATATATCATTTTCACATGCAATGTCTGTGAATGGGGGAGTGCCTTAAGCTGAATCTGGATCCCGACGCGTCGTTGTTTATGGTCTGCCAAGAACCTCAAAGTGCCAAAAGTGCCCCACGCTGCCTCGACATCCAGCGCCATTCAATTCACGAAGAGACATACCAAGCGCTAGCTGCACCCTACATACATGTATGTAGTCCATCAAACCAGGTCAATTTCTAAAATAGATTTGCTGAAAGAAATAAATCACACATCCTCCAGCTTCTTACACTTTATTTGAAATATTGCACTGCAATAAATATGTCTCGCTATCTTAGTATGAACTCTTTATCCATCATGAGTACTAGAATGCTAATGCTATCCCCGAATAAGCTCCCGGCAAGATAGCCCTCCTTGCTCTCGTAGAGCTCTATGCCGAGTCTATGTTCCCCAATGACTCCATCGTACCGGTTCTATCATTTGTCGTCAAGCATCTAGTCAGCCCTAAAGAAAACACTACCTTCATCCTCAATCTCGAGCAGATCACAGCAGCCACCGTGGGCAGAGCCAGTACAGTTGTGGGCCGTTCAATATTCGACCTATTGCTACGAAAGCTATGGGAGATCAATTCCTTCGATGCATTGCACACCTTCTTCACCGACATACAAGGCTACCTTGTTGATCCCGAGAGTGGTTCAAAACCTCCAATACGGGAACATGGTGAAAAATCACAGCTTAGCCGTGCATCAGTACTGGGATGCTTTGTAAGGAGAGCTGGATTGGAATATGTTAGGCTACAGTTCAACGAGGCGGTCCTGTTATGGCAATCGTTCATACAGTATCGGGAGCCTACATTGTCTATGTGGAAGAAGAGGAATCTTGGGGCCGGTCCGCTAAGCTTTGATGTGAATCTGAAGGGAATGTCATCAAACGATGCTCTGGTGAACCTGGTTTATGGACAGGGCAGATTGAGAGAAGCCAAGAACTGTGAGTGGACTGTGGCATATACTGGGGAGTTGCGCTGATGCTGCGGAATTCAGTATCAACCGATGACGTAGAAAGACTACTCGAGTATCAGGTTGACTCTATGCAGAGTAAGTAACCTATAAAATTTACAAAGCAAATGTAGCCCTAACTGTTCATAGGAATGGGTACTCGGATTCCGGATGAGATGCAAGTCCAACTCCGTCAGATGCTTGACACAAATGTCACTATTCCTGCACTATCACATTATGTTGAGTAGGACTCACCCAGCTGGTTGAAGTTAACGTCGATGCTAACTGCTACTAGATTTCTGAATTCATGGCGCTCCGGGGACTATCCAGGATCGTTTGACAACCTGCATCGTTACTTTGACTACACTATGCATAATCGTGATAGGTAATATTTACAAACGCTCCTGTAATATCTAATAGTCGGATACTAACTCAATATAGAACATTTTATCAATATGCTCTCCTCAATCTTGCTATCCTTCAAGCAGATTTTGGATGCTACCGCGAATCAATCTTAGTATGTACACATATCTACCATCGAATTCTCAGCTAACCTTTTCAGGCAATGCAAGAAACCATCAATACTGCCCGTGAGAATAAAGATATGGCCTGCCTCAACTTTTCCCTCTCCTGGCTGTATCACTTTCACAAAGCCCATCCCCAAGACTGCCCAGATGTGATCTCCTCTCGCATGGAGCGGGAATCCCTCCAGTTCCTCAAGGCCAAAGCTAAAGAGGGTGGCATGCACCATTTACAATCGATGGCCCACCTTTCGGAAGCTAAACAGATTCTTGTCGGAGGTGAAAGTGTGCCCACGGCATTTGAGAGCATATTGAGAAGCAGCCATTTAAACGTTACTAAGAATATCCATAATGCTATGGGGAGTCAAATATTATTACAAAGTAGCCTGTGGTCCAGGCTAGGCATGTGCTATTTGGCGGGAGGAAGTTGTGAGTTGTTTTTGGCGAAGTATAGAGCAGAAAGCCCAGTTGAAGATGTGGTGAAAGCGTTATGTAGAGAGGCTTATATTGTGAGTTTTGTGATAATATCATTCGGATTTTGTTTTTACTGACATTTTAAACAGATGTCAATGAAAGGTAGGTTCGACGATGCAATAGACCGCCTAGACCAGGTCGACCAAGACTGTCTCCGTACTCTTAAGGTCTATCAATACTGGGCCACCTACGTAGGTCTCTTAAAACTCAAACAAGCTATCTATAAAGGCGACATCTCGGCCGCCGAATTACTACTTCAACAGCTTTCCTCATCACCATACGTGGAGCCCGATTGTGCACTTGAGATATCAATCTGTCGCCTTGACCTTCAAGTCCGCCGCGGGAACTACTCTGCTGCCCTAGCAGGCATCACCCAACTGGCCGAGGAGCTTATTCGTGACCGTGCCGACCTCTACCATCGCATCCGGTTGATGGTCTTCAAAGCAGATCTGCTCTCAAAGTGCGGTCGCCCGCTCAAAGGTCTCTCTGTAGCCATCAATGCCGCCACAATTGCCTGGCGGGCTCGATTACTACCAGCATTATTCCAAGCATTTAGAACAATCGCAAATATTCTCATAAATTTGAGTGAATTTGAGGCCGCGTATGGAATGATGGATAGTATCATGCCGCAAGTGTTGGAGTGCGAAGATGCGCAATTGAATGCGCAGTGCTTTTCCGCATTGGCGAACGCTCAGATGGGGTTGGCAGGTGGGAAGAGTGGGGCTGGGAGGAATGAGTGTTTGCACAGGGCATTAGAGTTTATCGACAGATCTTTTCATGGTGAGTGATTTTCTGTGTTTGGTGGGAGAGTCACGTGCCCTATATCTACTACGTTAGCCAGTTACGGACTTTGACTAACAACTAGTAGAATATGCACGGCTTCAAGATACTGAAGCACAAATGACGTTAATGAGCCAGAAGGCCCGTATACAGGATTTCATTGGAGATAAAGGTCTACGGGATGATGCGGTGAAAATGTACCGCCAGTTGCAAAAGGCAACCTAAACAGCAACCAAGAACAGACCCGGAAGATTGGGAAACGGTTGAGTGGTGTTTTCATTCCCTATATCCAGATAAAAATATCCGCCCGACAAACCCTGTTCTCGTCTATAGAAAATGTTCGCAACCTTTGTACAATACTTACCTAAGTAATACCACATTACCCATTCTCCTTGCTTCTCTTCTTCTTTGTTCTTGCCGTATCTTACTACACACATTATAAATATACACGGTAATTCTAGACTTTATCTTTCGCTACTTCCCTTGACCTGACCCGGAACGGCCCCTCAAGCCTTTTCGCCAAATAATCGCAGGATTGTCTCATACATCCCAAACATGATAGCAGCTGATGGCACCACTCGGAGCTATTCAAACGTCAATACAAATCCCACCCATGCCATCAACTTCCAGGGAAACTTACTAAATGTGGGCTGAGTCCACCATACATCGATACTAACCCTTCCTCCTTCCAGATCAACTTAAAGCACTGAATCAAGCCTGTATACTTGACCTTCCCATCTGTTGGCCTTTGCCTCAGTCTCGTTCTAACAACCTCATGTGGATAAGTTATAATTGCTGCGAACAGCTTTGCACTCCCGGCTGCGCCCAACTTTCCACTCCAGTCCACAAATCCGTCCCACAATGTCTCCTTGCGCCCACTCTCCACAATAAGATCCTTCCTCCGTGCAAGATAGCCCTTCATCCGCTCGTACAGGACCCACTGCAGGGTGCTCTCTGTAACGCCGAGGTATGAAGCTGACAGTCCGCGGTAGAGCCCCCGGAACCCTTCTTGCCGGATCACTTGTCGCGCACAATCGTAGCTGTTTTTGTATTGACGGCTGCCAGGAGAGGAGGCATGCTGCTTATCAAGCTGGAGGCGGGTTTTGATAAGCCAGATAGGGTTTGTGGCGGTTCCGGTTACGATACCGGCAGCGGCGGCAGCGAAAAGGTGTACGGTTGAGTTCTCTTTTCCGTCATTAAAGGTGTTGGCTATTATGCGTTTCCCATTGCCGTAGGTGTAGAAGTTGATTGCACTAGGTACCCGCGCCCGTTAATGTCTGTCTGAAAAGCTCTCTCTCAATCTATACGGGAGTTTGGAGGGTATGTACCGAGCTGGAACGACACCACTAAGGTTAGGACCAAGGCCTTTAAAAAGAGCTCGCCAGCCCTCGACTTTGTGAACATTTGCCAGTATCTGGAACGTTTCCTGGAAATGTCTAGCGCCCTGTCTGATCAGACCTCCGCTGCGGTTGCTGTGACTAGCCGCTAATTGTTGCTTGTAAAAATCAGACTGAAGCCGAGTTTTTACGACGTCCAATGGCGAAGTTAAGAATGTCGAAGTCATTCCTCCGGCTCTGTTTGCATACTTAGCATCTTGCTGTGAGAGGCGCAGGTGGGAACTCTTACGCCCCAGCGACAAAGTGTGCCCATGGTTTACGCTCTGTCTTTGTTTTTGCCTCTTTACTATCTGGTGCTGGAACGGCGACCCCGAGTTCTCGGGATGTGGGGATATTTTCAATGGTGGATGCAGCATCGGGCCTGCTTGTCGCCGCCGCCGTCGACTTAGAACCGAAGGCGCTCATCTGAGAGGGAATTGAAACAACTGAACTATCTTATCGCTTTCAGGGTATAAGTAAATCAATCGAGAATATTTGAAAATTTGTGTGTGGCTGGTTGTTCGTGGGGTTGTGGAGGTTCTTCAACTTTTTTAGTGGGGGTGACGCTTGGAGGGGAAAGATTTCTGCTTTTGTATGGCTGTGGAGATTTTTTTTCTTTCCATGTGAGGCTCTGTTGATGCGCCACCATTCGGAAGCTAGGATGTGCGATGATCATTGGCAGGCATTGCAACCACAGGGTCCCGCTTGTTAAGTTTGGAAAATCTGAATTGGATTTAGTCTTATCGGCATATCTCGTTGGGTAGTTTAAATCGTTAGTTTTGCGACTTGGGCAATGTCTTAAAATATCGAGTGATAATTCATGATTTAGAATCGATTTGGTTTATAAAGGATATAATATGTCCCTCATCACACTAGGGAAAATATGTAGCCACAAAGTACAACTACGAAGAATAACTTGTATTCATAATTAATAATATTATTAGGGGAGGCCTTGGTCCTTATTGACATGATATTTTTACGATCCTTGTCTTTGTACATACATATGTACTTTAAACTCAGTGCCTTCGACTTATACCTATAGAGGATATCGCGGCTGCAACCAGAGAGAATTCTTATCTATATATAGCTATCTTCCGATAGGACTGAGGTAACTGTGAAGCAGTTAACGCTGCAGCAGATACCCTAATATATATGCATGTACGTTTATATAGGCCGGGTGACGTCACGTCAGCTAGCTGTGCCATAGCTATCAAAAGCATAAATATACATGTATACATATATGTGAAGTCTGTATAAGTTTCGTTCCCTTCAATAGTGCAGTATTCGTGTAACAACTGCATGGCTCGTAAACTACATGTATACATACATGAATCACGCATCATTTTCTGTATTGACGCATTTCGGACAGAAGTCATTTTAATACTTCATCTATATAGATACAGTACCAAAAAAAAGTGGGCTGATTTGGTACTTTAGCTGGCAGACTGCCGCAAGGTCAATATGACAACAGTATGTACCTCTTACACCCCCTTTTGATACTACTCATTTATATTTAAGAAGTGATAATTAAAATACATACGCATGAGTACATGTATTAGGCTACTACATGGACGTAGTGGGGGTGACAAAGTACATTTCTAAAGGGCTCATCACAGTGATTCAGTATGTGGATATGTAATTAGAGGTTTGTAAGAATTAAGTCAAATGAGTTCAGGAAGGAGACCATTCATACCAGATTCATAATACAACTCACCAAACAAAACCATGAAGTCACCCGTTTGGTTTCTTTCAGTCTTTTACGTTCACGACGCCAGCCTCTTCTAACGTCCTGAGTGATGATCCTCTATCTAGGCCAATCTGTCCAGCAAGACCAGTTTTATCCCAGAGCCTGATAGACTCCTTGCACTTTACAACCCTTTGGTCCCTCGATAGCAACATTCTCGGGAATTGGTTTGGAATTTTCTACCATTACTAGCTAACTTGGGCGACCGGAGTAGAGTACCTATCTAATCTCAAGAACATTGCTGACTTTTCGTAGTTCGAAATGTTCATAATTAGAAATTGCTAAGTTGGGATATTATTACCCATAATATTGAATTAACGATGTAGGGATATAAGAGTAAATCAACCTGGATACGTCTCACGAATGTTGATAGCAGTATTTATATGATAAAACTGGCGATATTTAAAGGGGGTCATCTTCAAAAGAAGACAGCTATCCAACATTCTTGTATGCTGGGTCTGACAAAATGAGCGTTTCTTTTAGAATGTATACAATAATGATAACTAGTTCTATAATGGGAGATACAGCTGAATCCCTAACTTCATTACTGGCCGCCTGGGAAATTTTGGAAATAAGATCACACACGACGTTTTCGCCATCTTCCATATCTGATGAACTTAGATATACAGACGTAAAAACATATATATTCAGAGCGAATTGGGGAACTGGGTGATAGGGAAATTTCAACTTAGATACTGAATTTAATATGTCGTCCCTCAATAGATATAGAGGTTGAGAGTTAACGATGTTTTTAATGCTGAGCCCGAGCTCTGGATTTTCAGGTTTGATGTCTTCAGGTTTGATGTCTTTAGGTTTGATGTCATTAGGTTTGATGTCTTCAGGTTTGATGTCTTCAGGTTTAATGTCTTCAGGTTTGATGTCTTCAGGTTTGATATCTCTATCGGCCACCCGCCCCCTGACTCACAACCATCCCGAAGACCCACCGCCGCATCTTTGGTAACCCTATATAAAGTAGTATATCTTCCATCTTTGAAATAAAGGGTCTCCCGATCAAGGGTAAGGTTTCCTCTAAAGGGGGGAGTATGGGACCAGGGGCCGGGCGATTCGAAATTTCTAGGTGAAGAAGTCATTTTTAATCCTCACCTGAGATTCCCTTATCGCTATTACTAGCATGTAAAAATTATATGAGCCGACAGCGTTCGGTTTCTCCAGTTGGACTCATGTGCTTACTATATTGTGTACCGGGAAAAGGTAGTACATACTGTACGATATCTCTATCCAAAGGAAAGTTAGAGCCGATATATTGGATAGACTGTTTGTTTGGGTATAAACAGTTAAAGGTCTAGGTTATTGACATTACTACATAGTTATAGGCTTTGGAGCCCTTCTATGGCTACGCGAAGATTCGAAATGATGCATGTGTGCATGTGTGTTTATAGGGTCTTTAGGGCATTGCCAATGATCTCTTAAATATGTAGTTAGGCTGGATTAATTGCAATACTAGCTTCTAGACTTGCCCGGTAGTGAAGATAATACGTACTAATCATGACATATGATCCGGTTAGAAAATAGTATTATCCAGGAACCTTCGGGGCCTGGCCAGCTTACTGGTAACAGTAGTCAGCAACGTCTGACGTCAAGGGATAAACTCAGCAAGCTTCGGTCTCAGGAGTGTTACATATGTATTCTAAGAAGAGGTATTGTGCCTCATAATCGGGTTGCTCCTGGGCTTTGGGGTCTGCGAAACGGGGACGAAGAAGTAGTAGTAAATGGTTTTAGTATCGAATCCTTAACTAGGTCCCTGCTGCATCGCCGTGAAGTTTGTTTGGTCCGCTACTTTAGACTTGTATGTAGGTAAAACTGCATACATGTATGTATGTAGGTACATGTATGTACATGTACCTACAGGTAGATACATGTATGTAGTAGAGTGTAACCTACTCTATTCTACATAGAGTAGGTAGGTACTTCTAGGAATCCGGGTAACAGGGGGGTATCCATGAAGTGAGTATCTGTGCCCTGAATAATGAGGCGCACGTCCTCTCAGCCAGCCGCTCCAAAGCTGACAACCAATCAACCTTCAATCAAGTCTGTTTAACCTTCTCCTACTGCTGTGCAGTCGGTTCCTTCGTGACGATCGTTTTTGACCATATTCAATCATTCCCTTACAATACTATTCAACGGTTGTTGGCAAATCTCTTTCCACCACTCGGAGTGGTACAGGAGCTATCCCCTAATTCACTCCTATGACCTCAGATCCCAACCGTCAAGAGAGTGTCCGGTCCGTTAACGACTTTTCAACGGCTATGGCATCACAACAAACCCCCCCTCCTGCGCAGAACGGCCATGCACTAGTTCCTTCACAGCAGCAGCAGCAGCAGCAGCAACCCCCTAGTCCTTCACTGGGGGAACAGGACAAAGCAAGACTAATCGAAGAGATTCTGCTTTCAGATGTCAGTACTTGCGTTTCAAGTAATTACATAGTGTCGCGGCTGACCATAGTGTTTAATTAGGTTGGTGTGAAAACACTTCTTAATAGACTCAAACAAAGCATAACAGCCTGTAGAGTAAGCTTTCTGAGTTGTCGCAATTTTAAGCTTAATTTCTGACGTTCAATAAATAGGAATTTTCTGCATTTATTAAACGCCGTGCTTCCCTCGAGGAAGAGCATGCCCAAGGTCTACGTAAGCTTTGTAGCCTCACGCACACTAATATCCGTAGACCCGAATGTCGCCAAGGTACCTATGCCCGCTCATTCGAGGAGACCACCCGCATCCATGGCCGGATGGCAGAAAATGGCCTGCAGTTCAGTCTCGCCCTGCAACAAATGTACGAAGATCTTACAGAGCTGGGAAATAACATGGATCGTGGCAAAAAACATTGGAAACAGACTGGATTGGCTTTTGAAAGGAAGGTTCAAGATGCGGAAATGCTTGTAGAAAAGGCAAAAATTAAATATGATACTGCAGCAGAGGAATATGATCGTGCTAAATCTGGAGACCGACGCGCTGGGAAGTCACCTTTTAGTATAAGAGGAACCAAAAAAGGACCACAGCATGAAGAGGATTTATATCGCAAGGTCCAAATTGCTGATGGAGACTATTCTGCTAGAGTACAGCAAGCAAGTGCAGCGCGTGCTGAGCTAATAAGCTCTCTTCGTCCGTCGGCAGTGAGAAGCTTGCGGGAGATGGTTGCCGAATGTGACAGTGGGCTGACAGCGCAACTGCAGAGATTTGGTGGGTATCCTTTTCCGAGTCAGAAGATCTCTGCTAATATCTTTCAGCTCAATTGAACGAGAAATATCTGCTTAGCAATGGGTTGAGTGTTAGTCCCATAAAATCAGAGAATCCAGATGCCCGTAGCATGCGTGATGTTATATCTCTCATCAACAATGAAAAGGACTTTGAGAGTTATATTCTTGACCTCGCTGCCACAGTTCCACTAAGTTCTCGAAACCAGGAAGTCAAATATGAACGGCACCCTGTGCGTATCTCTACATAAATTTCTCCTCTTCTCGACTAACTTTCCTAGTCCCTAACCTCATCAGGCCCCAACCCCAGTTCTGCACCTCCAAACCAGCCCATGCAACAAGGAGCCCACCAACAAGCATATCATCATCAGCAATCTCCTCAGCCAGTTCATCAGCCAGTTCATCAGCCAGTTCATCAGCCAGTTCATCAGTCACCCCAGCAACAAACTCACCAGCCCAACCACCAGCCAACTCGCAATATCTCTCCTGATCGTGATCAAAAGTCACAAATTCCGCAGTCACAAGGATTTGGCGCAGTTGTTCAAGCACCGGTCATGTTCCCATCACCCAATTCCCAGCAGATCTCGGTTCCAACACAGTACGCCGGTTCTCATTTCACCGGCGTGGACTATCCTAAAACTCGACCAGTATTTGGGCAATCCCTAGAGGCGCTGTCGGCGAGGGATGAGAGTGTTGTCCCAATCCTCGTCTACCAATGTATCCAAGCTGTTGATCTCTATGGCCTCGACGTGGAAGGAATATACCGTCTTAGCGGCGAGAAAAAGCATGTCGAAAGACTCAAATTGATATTCGACAACGATCCCTCCTCAGTCGATTTCCGCAAACAGGAAGATTTCTTCGGTGATGTCAATTCTGTTGCGTCCATACTCAAGCAATTCTTCCGTGATCTTCCAGATCCATTACTCACCAACCTTCTATATAAAGAATTCATCGCGGCCTCCAGAATCGTCGATGATATAACTCGAAGGGATAGTCTTCATGAGCTTATCAACAGATTACCAGACCCAAATTATGCGACGTTGCGAGCTGTAATTCTGCACTTGAATCGGGTGCAGATGAATTCTAATGCGAACCGGATGAATAGTGGTAACTTGGCGATTTGCTTTGGGCCAACTTTGATGGGAAGTAATCTTAGCCCTAATATTGCGGATGCCGGATGGCAAGTTCGAGTTGTTGATACTATCCTTCAGAACTGCTTTAGCATTTTTGTAAGTATTTACCTCGAGTTTGTGGAGGGCTAGGCTCTAGATACTGACTGTCTTAGGATGACGATTGAGGAGCCACAGGCATTGAGCGAACCCGTTATGGCAAATTTGCTTTACGGGAAAAGTGGCGTTAAACTTCCCATTTCACTTGTCTTCTCGAATACCCCAGACCTTGGATTTGCTTTGTTGTATCTATTTTTTCTTTACTTTACTAATGTTTATCAGCCGTGGCAATAACGGAGTATTTAATGTCTTTTGCCATTTTGTATACTTTCTCTTCTGGTATATTTGGTGGGAAGTCCTTACATTTAGTTATTTTGTCTGTGATCGCGTTGTTACCCCGCTCGTTTACTCTTTTTTTTACTCCTTGGTTATTTCTTTGCGAGTGCTAGTGCATATTTGGGATTGAACTCTATATTTTGAATCGTAGACCTGTTTATAATTTAAGGTAAGGATGCTGGTTCAAAAGTAGCAAATAAAAATAGAGATATTTCACCTTGCATTAACGCACTTCCATGCAGAAAAGCTTATTTGAACGTCAATCATTGTATCCTATCTCGCTTGTGCTGGCGATTTTTTACTACCTTTGCTCTTTTCTCCCCGGGGACACTTATTGTTTAGGGACATCCCTGACATATATCTAGTGCTTCCATACACATTGCATAGGCGCATATATGATTATGAATTCATATCATTGATATTTGTAGATACATGTATATGCATGTGTACCTAAATACATAACATATGTGCTCAGTTGTGGCAATCCAAATCCTCCGGCGCCCAGATATTCCATAATCCGGCGCAGGTATCGAGGATCACCACCAAATAAACCAATGCCTGCGGATATGGGGTTGAGGCCATAAGTAAATGACGCTGAATTTGAAGGCTATTAGGCTTGAGAACATGCTCGGCACGATTAAAATTAGCCAAAGTGCCCGCATTATGCTCTATTGGTAAATAGCAATGACCCCGGCTACGTGCCTACGCCTGAGACACCCGGAATCGTTTCATGTTCATTGGGTTCATTACCACCAATCTGCAAACCAGCACCATTGTTGTCCGAGTCGAATCTCTCTTATAATGATAGTATTATGGAAACCAGAGAACTGGGAACATATATTTCCAGCAATAAGGTTTGGCACCATTGATCTGATGCCTCGAATAGAGACTAGGTCCAAACTCATCGTAGTGAGATGGGTTTAAGCTATGTATGTACATTTGTCCCGCTGCGAAGTCTCACTCGGTATTCGAGAAGCTGATAGATCCAATGAGCTGGTGTATTCGGGGCCAAGAACTGCACGAGGCATCTCCATTGGTATTTTTTATAAGGCTCGGTATCCTAGTTGACACAATTGTTCTTAGGCTTCAGTGGACCGGCATACTCTAGAATCTCAGACCTGTTTGTATCTATAGAGTACATTTTTGCCTAATACCGTCCTTTCCGGATGCTTCTGTACCTATGTAGTACACGCTCGATCACTCGCTCACTACCTAGGCGTCGAGGCATTGACTTCTGGCCCAAGAGATGATCCAACGTCAGCCTCGTGCAGCAGTATCCTGAATCTCCCAGGCCCTGCGACACAAGTAGTTAGCCGTCCTACATGTAGCATCAATACCGCGCCGTTATTTAACGTTACTCAGGAAAAGAAAAATTCTCATGCATGATTCCAATTCCCGGGAGTGAGATTTCCCCCGTGCCTAATCGTAGAAGCACACGGTGAGGGGAAGCAAGAACGGTCCTCGGTAATCACCGCCAACATTGATCCTGGAAACAAATTCCCCAGATGTCGAACGGCATTCTCCGCATCTGCTACACGAGCCTCATACTTGGCGAAACCCTCGGTTGAAAGCTTGGCAAGCTAACTTTTTTTTCCGAATATCGAAATCTTAGTTGAACTTAGTTGAACCTTAGCAAAGCAAAGACAGAATCAACCAAACTTACAATGACACTCCCAACTTCCCCTGCTCCAACAGCAGCGCCAGCCAAAAAACAGCGCCCACGTAAGCAGGTGCGCCTCAAGAAACGCAAACTCGCCGAGGCCACCGCAGGCGCAGAGTCGGAGGATGAGGATTCGAGAGCAGCGAAGGAACACCAGGAGCAGCAGCCCAAGAAGATGGTAGAGAAGTCAGAGCCACAAGAGATACAGCAGCCCAAACTCCAGGGGAAGCCTGTCTCAACCAAACGGAAGGCAGATACAGCTGTAGGAGCAGGAGGAAAGAAGCCCAGACTACCGAAAAATAAGAGAGCAAAAGCGAAAGCCGCAGAGGAAAACCCAGAGGAGGAAGAAGCGGTGGACGAAGAAGTAGAAGGAGTAGAGGCGGAGGCCGTTGTGAAGAAGGATCCCCGGTTTATCGTATTCATTGGTATACCGATCCAATGCACCTTCCAACGCTCTCCTCACTAATTTTCACAAGGAAATCTCCCATTCACGACCACAAAGGCTGCACTGGAGAAGCATTTTGCTGCTGTCCAACCGAAATCCGTTCGCATAATCACACATCGCGATGACCCAAAAAAATGTAAAGGTTTCGCATTCCTCGAGTTCGAGGGTTATGATCGTATGCAGAGTTGTCTTCTCAAGTTTCACCACACAATTTTCAATGATGGGTCGGGAGATCGCAAAATCAATGTAGAATTGACGTAAAGTACACCTTCGCAATTTTACGGCGACATAAGCTAATGGGGATACAGTGCCGGTGGTGGTGGTGGAAAGAGTGAAGCCCGGAAGACAAAATTGGAAACCAAGAATCAGAAACTTGACGAACAGCGGAAGCGCAAAATCGAGGAGGAGGAAAAGCTCAAGGCGGAGAAAAAGGCGAAGCAGCCACAGGGTGACGATGAAGGTCAGGTTGGGATACATCCAAGTAGGAGACGTCAAGTGAGGTAGCAGGATGTATGATGTCATATTCAATATTCCACGAGTAATCAGAATCACGCTGGAGCTTGTATAGCAAGGCAGAAACCCAGAGCTTTGCTTCTAGGGTTGTCTCATAGGTACGCATAAAGACATTGCGCAAAAAAGAAAAAAAAAATATAATGTATAAAAGAAAGAGAAATACAAGACATACCGTAAGCAAATTTGACGGTCAACAAAGATACGACACATGGCTGCAACCTAGGGAATGTCGTGCTAAAAAAAAACTAAAAAAATAACAAACTGCAACATAAAAAAACAAGAAAAACACCTTTGCCCATGGGAAATTATAGCCACAACCAGGACATATACCGATGAAAAACAACTGTAATCGCTAACCCACAAGCAAATTCTGTCCCGTCCGCTCGCTCATGATTCGAGATGCCTCATATCAAACGGCCTTAGTCCTCTGACCACCACTATCACTATTCATTATATCTCCAATGTGCGCCTATAGTATGGTGCAGCCCTTCTTGACATTCTTCTTGGGGGCGGGCATCAAGACAGCTCTGTGTACAGAATATGTCGTTAGTTTACGATCACCCTCCGAACAGATTGTTGCATTTGGGCTCACCTGATGGCCTCATCGAAAACATTCTTCAAACCCTTCTGGGTGAGCGCTGAGCACTCCAAGTACCGAACAGCATTGATCTCCTTAGCTCTCTGCATACCCTGGGGGTAGGAGATTGGTGCCATCCGCTTCTCACGAAGCCCTTGTGCTGTCTTCGCATCATCACGAAGATCCAGCTTAGTACCGACAAGGATTATAGGAATATTGGGTGCGTGGTGGGAAATCTCTGGGAACCACTAGAAATACGACTAATGTTAGAAGTCTAAATCCTTGCCACATTCCTGCATAGCACGATGTATATCTCAAAAGCTTCCGACGAATGACAGACCTTTGACAGAACGTTGTCGAATGATGGCGGGCTGACAATCGAAAAGCAAACAAGAAACACATCTGTCTGAGGGTATGATAGAGGGCGAAGACGGTCGTAATCTTCCTGCCCGGCAGTATCCCAAAGGCCCAAACTGATCGGCTTCCCATCTACCATAACGTTGGCAGAGTAGTTATCGAAGCTGATATCGAAAGTTAATTGGCATTCATATGAATCGATGACTAGATGGATGTAAACACCGGGACTTACACAGTAGGAATATACTCCCCAGGAAAGGCATTCGTGGTATAACTAATAAGCAAACAAGTCTATCATACTGGTTAGATAAAATGTGGAAACAATTGTCGGTGATGTAGGAAGCCAAGGGGGTGAATATGAAGGTACCTTTCCAACTGCACCGTCACCAGTTACAACACACTACATCATTACCAGGTCAGTAAACTTGGATAAGAACAACAGCAACACATAGCAAGCAGTGATAGATACTACTACTAACCTTGAGTGATTTTGTAGCAGCAGCCATTTTAAAACTATAAGCTTAGTGTTACTGAGTTTTGATGTTATTGATATCTAAACTAAAGTGTTAACAATTCAGATGTTAGTTTTAGTGATGTACGAGAGAGTTGCTTGAATTTTTGGTGTTTTATTTCGATTGTCGGAGGGGGAGGGGATAGAAGAGGGTTTGGGCCGAAGTAGTCTGTCCGGGATGGCAAGAAGCGAGGGGGGAGCTTTTAGAAGAGTTAAGCGCTGACCTCTCTGATTATGGCAGGAACACTGAGGGGTGACAGAAGTGGCGTTACGGTGAGAAATGTAGCAGAAGGAGCTTGGGGTGTGAAAGATTTCTATTCTAATGTGATGCCGAACACGGGATGTGTGAAGGAATACAAGTGACAGAATAGAAGGGAGCAGAGAAGACGTAGAGAAGGGGAGGGCCGGAAAATCAGAAAGGGGACAACAGAGTCGATACAGTACTTACAGCAAGTCAAGCAAGAAGAGAGCAGCAGCAGGACACAACAGTAGGTATGCAATGTATGTAATGTACGTATGTTATGTATGTAGGTATCAGCAGCAACAGGCAACACAGGGCAACAGAAACAGAACAGGTTCTGTGAACACGGGGGAGTGCCTAGGGTGGATAAACCTAGATGGGATGAGACGGGATGGGATGGGATGGGTTCACAGAGGAGGAGCGAAAAGTGCTGGGGGGCCGCTGGGGGGGAAGGAGGAGCGAGAGAGAGGCAGAAGCCGTGTGGCTGGAGAATTGTGGAATGGGCGAGTGAGTGAGCCTGTGCGAATAGACTGGCCGAGAAAGGGTAGGCAGGGAAGTGGCCCGATAGAGATGGTCTGTGAATACCGGCTGCCCTTTGCTTAGTACCTGTTGGTCCAGAGAGGCTCGGCTAAAATGAGGAGGGGATGTATGTACTGGGATCCGTCGGCTGCTGCGACTGCTAGATGCAGGGTCGGGGATCAATCGCACGTGGCAAGAAGCAGATGGATTCACTAACTGAGAAAACGCCAGAGAGAAGGAAGATTGTTGCTACGAATATGGTTTAGAGACTGAGTGGCCATAGGCATACCTACATGTATTGGATGGATGATATCTCCAGAGAGATTCCACTCGGTGAAGACTTATCTATAGGCTGGGTTTAATTTGGTGCCAAAGATCATTGAACTATTTTTAAAGGGGCGAGAGCCCGTGGCACATTTAAACTCATACATCATATGAATCGGCTTGCCGGTTCTTTGTTTATGGCATGCCGGCATTACACTTGGCTGATACGGCCACCGGAAATCATTCCCATCCCTGTAGCGCTGAGTGAGAACCTATGCACCAAGATCATGGTAGCTTGTTGGTAAAGATATCTTTGCTGTCCCAAGACGAAAGGAATATCTAGCACTGGGACAAGAAACAGGGCGTCCTTAACAACCCAAAAGATTTAAACAAAAAACATGCGTCTAATCATTTCCAGTAGTACATGCGTGGTTAATCAATCCGTCCTATTGACGGCCTCACCCTCCTTGAGCTCGCTCTTATTGTTTTCAAGTTCTTTGATCTCGTCTCGCAAGATGGGGGTAACAGTCCGCGCAAACCAAACAGTTGAATAGAATAGCCCAGAAAAATCCATATCATACCTTCACAGACCACAAATCAGTACTTAGTAATGTCATAAAGTTTGGGCCATTCTGCTTACCAGTAATTGACGGCGCAGCAAACCCCTTCCTCACCACATTCCTGTGAGACTTTATGATACCACAAAGCTGGAAGGTAAAACATATCTCCAGGCTCCAATGTCACCCTGAGCGGTCTAGAATACTTCCAGAACACTCCCGCTCTTTCCAAAGGGCTATCGGGATCAACTGTTGCCCATCCTGGCAGCCAATCTTCCGGTTCATCGGGCACTATTTTCCAGTCGCCCTTTGCGTCGGGTACATACTTCGCTGTAGGTAACTCCCGCTCCTCTACACACGCAATTTCAAGCGGGGAAAGAATCACAAAATTCTTCTTCCCAGACACCTGACAGTATAGGTTCTCATAATGATCTTTATGCAGTGTAGTTACCGAGCGGTCGTTACCAATCCAAATATTTGTAGCATCGGGCTCGCGCTCAAAGAACTCAGTCGCAAAGCCCACGTCGGCCGGAATATCAGACAAGAGCGGTAAATACTCGTCATGGAGATTGTTATCTTCTACACGCTATTTAGACCCAAATTCTAGAAAAGAAAAGAAGGAAGAGTTATTATATCGAACTCACGGGATTGAGCATATTTCACTGTTGTGCTATCCTCCACCGGAGCCCGCAGGTAGTCTACGAACTCAGCGAAAGGCTCCTCTAATGTGTGCGGCTGCACAAAGTAGTCCACCCCATTCACAGAGACCACCGAGTCGGCATTCCTAACGGCCAGTCAGCCACAGCCACAGACTAATTCTCCGATAGACTCACCCGAATGGCGTCATGGCAACCTTAATATCTCTCCCCTCCATCTTCTGTTTCAGATACCCCACCTTCCACTTCTTTACGGCTTCCCAGTTTGCGGTTGCACCCCGGAAAACAACCGGCTGGTTCTTTGCTACATATCGAGCAAATTGTAGCGATGTCGGGGCGCCATCTACACTTTCGACCCGGGGCGGGTTGAATTCATGGTACATGGTTAGAAGATCTGTGAACGCATCTCCGACGTTCGGGACGTTGGACACAATGCTGGACATGGTGATATGCTTTTTAATACCGAAGTAGCTGGCGGCGTCGGTTTGGTGTTTCTGAACAGGGTTGCGGTTGACAGCCCACTAAGGATGCGAACCTACAGTATGTACAGTAGCTACCTACATATAAGCTAGAAGCCCTGCAACATTAAACCTCCGGTCAAACGAAGATCTTATGTCTAATAATCAAGACTACATTTACGAAACTAACCGCATAAGATTGATTTAATTCGGTACTACTCGAGCTCTGAGTACATGTACATGGTACAGTCGCCATGTAACTGGCGCAGCGTTCATTTGTGCCTGCCTACCAGGTTAAACTGGAACCCAGCACTATTAATTTGAGAAACCATATATGCAGCAAATCTACACACCATCTTTATCCACGGGTTTTGACTGGCAAGGCCATCTATCTACATCTGTGTAGAATATATCTTTCCAAAATATCGATCATGCACATACTATAGCCCATTAAGCCATGTTTCCACAAGCCTTAATTATAGGCCTTATCTCTGTGTATGTATTTGTATTTAAATGTTGGCGTCACAGTTTTTGTATTTACCTAGCAGTTTTCCCAGGCCATGAATGAGGAAGTTTATGCATGTAGATACCATGACGTCGAATAGATATAATGTACGTACATCATAACACAAGGGAGGGACAGCAAATTTGGGACTGCACATGGCTACATATATCTCAAAATTGGAGTTATAAATCCCCAGTCCGAGGTGATACCAGGATGACTCCCGTCAATACAGGGAGTATGCGAGTTTTTGACCCAATGTCAAGGAAATATTTCTATGACCGGCGTGACCCCTTCCAGTCATAAGAGCACCCAAGATTCTCAGGATAGGCACCTTTAGCTAACGTCCACAGCTAGGAGGTAGCTCTTTCTCAGCACCTTGCACCCTTCTCGCGATCACGGAGTATCAACTACCAACAGTCGAGGGCCGGCGCCAGATTTACATGTAACGTACAGCATTCCCATGCGGAAATTCCTAACATAGCAGCCAGATTTGCAACCTCTAACAAGACCTTAGTATAGCCTAAGAATCTATCCAATACCCAACAGAACGAGAACCAGTCTCCGCACCTCAGTGGTCTGATGATCTCGAGCGTCGATACACAAACCAATCGAAATAAACTTACTCACAGAAAATCACTCGGTGTTCACACTAGCGATTCCAGCTACAACAAACCTCTCAACGAGCGCAGTAAGACCGTAGCCCTTGGAAGATCACATAATTAGATTTTATAGTATTAACGAGCCCCCCATGGAGCTAAAAGCAGCAAAGGAAAGAAGGTGAACATGGGGTTGGACGTGGCCCAGCGGTATAGAGCTCACACTCTGTACCGAACTTGTGAGCGTTCAACCCCCCCTCCGGACGTAGAAAGACGTAGCAACCGAGGCCTAGGCAGTGTTGTGAACTTTTTTGTTTTGTTTTGTAAATTATTGATGTCGAGCGGGTTTTTTTTATTTTTATTATAATATTCGAGCAACAGCTATGGTACTTGAGGTTACTGGTAAAAGTATGATATATAGGTTGTCGGCCATAGTCACAAACCCATACGAACAATCCAGTATGTTCTCACCAAGCCGAATTAACCATTGTTCCTACTCAGCATTGTTCCTACCCAGCTAGCCAAACCAATCAGCAACCCGCATTTGCGAAATTTTACTCGTCCTGACATTTTATATTATAAGAGATTCAGGGACAAACAGACAACAAGTGCACAGAAGGGATTCTCCCAAATGAGCCCCCCTTCGATCAGTCAAAGCCCCAGCCCAATCCCGCACCTAGCACTGGTTTGCTACACGCACGTACCGCGCCTAGTACTAGCCTGCGCACAAGTCAAGATCCCGCACACACGGCTACATTATCCCCTCTCCCGTCGCCCTTGGATCCCGCTTTCAACATCAACAAAAATATCAATGCACCTAGCTTCCTCCCCATATTCTTGGCTCTCCATCAGCACCCCTACGATCAATATCATATGTATCAGAACTGAAAGTTTGTGAGTGTCTAATCCCACTTATCTCTTACCTCTTAGATCCCCACTCCCTTTTACCCCACCACCCTCTGTTTGGGAACATCGAGTCCCTTTTTCTCCATACACTCACCCCGTCCCTCTTCTACACCTCATTATTCATTATTACCCTTCAACCTCCCCTTCAAGAGCGACCCCCCCCCCCCCCCCAACAAACCCAAACCCATCTCGTCTCGATTTCCTTTTATCCTGCAGTCGATTAGCATTCGAGTGAGATTTCATGACTAAGCCCTCGAAGTTCTCACTAATGTGGAGAGGGTGATTGATGCTGTTATTTGACTCCACAAACACATATATATACTAATTGTTTTCATTCTCGACATTACTAACAAGGGCACACAGCGTATCCGACGACACATGAAAAGAAAATAAAAAAGAGAAATCCTATTTACTCAAAAGCGGCGCATAACCTATCTACCCGCACCAGTCCCTATACAGTAACATTAACATTACTAGCCATACACACTACATAGCAGTAACCCTCTCCGGTGCATGCTTGAATCCGCCCCTCTCAGCATCTGTAATGATGCTATCGTCTTCTCTCACCCTATCATCAAACACCACCGGCGGTGGGAGGGGCTTATCGAAGCACCCAAAGTGTCTTCCGGTGGTTTTACAGAACACCCATGTGGCAGAAGTCCTCACTACCACCGAGAGAGCGAGGAATACGATCGATCCGACAGGAGCGGCAACAAATGTTCCTATAATCAAATATTAGTAAAAATGTCTTATTATATAACTGGAAAGGGGGTCTCAGGCATACCGAAAACACTCCAGTCATTGGCATACAGCCCGTTCACCAAGATGAGGAGCTGCGCGCCATCATAGGCGTTTCCGTAGTAGATGGTACCAAAGATCCAGACACTGAGGATACCGCCAAAGCCACCGATAACAGCGTCGAACCCGTTGACGAAGTACAAGCTGGGGAACAACCCGAGCAAGAAAGCTGGGATACATGCGGCAGAGAAGATGTCACTAATGAGGAATATACGCAGAATACTGGGCGACTTGAGTGCGATGACAATTGTGGGAATGATAATGATGATCGTGATAACACGGACATAGATCAACGGCAGTTTGTTGCGGAACATGTCATTGGAGATTGTGGAAACCATTGCCGACTGCAGGGAGTCGAATACTAATCATAGGGTCAATGATTGATCAAATGAGAGCTAGGAGAAGAAGAGGCTTACCTGCACAGGAAAGACAGCACACCATGATAATGACAAATCCAACGACCCAGGCGGGAAGTTTTTCAACCAAAAGGAAGAAAGCAAGACCTCCGTATTCACCTGGGGTCCAGACACCTGACCAGGCGGCGATGAGACCGGTTGAGGCGATAAGCAAAAGGATAACAAAAATAACCACTGTAGCAATTGAAACACCAATCCAAAGGTCCTTATCAGTCTTAGACGCAAAGGCACGCATCCAGAAACTAGAGAGGAACATGTCGTTTGTAATAATAGCAACCAAGAGGATGTAAATGAGCTGGTATCCAAGCTCAGAGTCCTGTGTAAGTTCTGAGGGGCCGATTGCCGTTCTATCGATGGAGACAGAGGTTCCAATGGCAATGGCACAGATGATAATGAGCAGACCCATGATGGCACCCTGGACGTTATCTGTAATGAAGGAGATCCGGAAACCACCGAGAGAGGTATAGATCGAAGTAACAGCAACTTCAACGATCATAATTGGCAATGGATCGAGTCCAGTCAAAGAGCCCAAGACCTGTTGTATCGAGGAGAGCTCGGCAACCATGTATAGGAACATGGTAGCGACAGTCAAGAAACTCAAGTACAGACTGGCAATGGTTCCAAATCGATCCTTAACCCACATAGTGAGAATAAAGCCGTCGGGAGACCTCCTACGGATTATGGGAGCCAAGATAGCGAATCCCATGAGAGGGAGCGCGGAACACGCAGCATAAGTGATAGCTCCTTGAAGACCAGCGATTGTCGCGATTTCAGGGTACGAAACCAAAATTGAAGATCCAAGTGCTGTAACACAAAGTCAGTACTACAGCAAAAGCGGGGGAACAGGGGAGTGAGAGGTGGATCCTAGGTGCTAGAGGATCGGGAGATCTAGATGAAGGAGCTTTCCACAAATATTCCCCGTTCTCTAGCAGCCAAGGATCCTGGAAGCGGCAACACGTTTCCCACGCAAGTATTAACTTGTTCGAGTGCAAACGGTTCATTCTCAGCCTGAATCATCTGGCCCCGCCGCAGGATCTCTTTCCAAAATCCCCAGAGGAGTAGAAGAGTTGGATCCCACGGATCGAGGCCACACGCCCAAGCACCCGTAGTGAAGCCATGCAAATTCGCCCTCCTACCTTTTCTTTAGGGAGCGGGAGGGAGGGCGAAACAAGCATTGTATTTTTCTTCATACGAACCTGCTCGCTACATGTATTCATGATAGCTTTTGCTCAAGAAACTCTAATGTTGCCGCAACCCATCAACCTCGATTGATAGCTGCACTCACCAGAGGCGACAAAATTGAGTGCGACGGGAATTGCTGCAAATTTTTTGATAATCAGCTGGAAGCTCTCTCATAAGCTGCGCCAAAAAAAAAAGCTGAAGAATAAGAGTTTGCGAAAAGCTTCATTACTGCATACGCACCCGTCTGGGTTCTGCCTGAATGGATGAAATCCATCTTGGTCTGTTTTCGAAATTTCCATGCCAGGAACAAACCCATAACGCTTTTTCACAACCAAACATCAGCGCACAACTCCTTCCCTAGCGAAGCATCACGATACTTACAGGAATGCCGCAAAGGTAAGGTAAATAAGCACCTGCGATACAGGCTCCGAAGGGCTCCCCATCTTGTCGAATATACCAAATAAAAAAGGTTCGTCGCTGGGGGATTGGTAGAGAGCGAGAGGAAAAATCTTCCAAACAGGCGGGGCGGGAGGGGGAAGAGGCAGTGGAGGCGGTGGACAAACGAGGTGGGAGTTAAATACCTATCTCAACGGGTAGGTAGGTAGGGCCCTATCTGCAGCCCACCTGCCTGCTGCCCTACCACTTTTTTTTCCCCATCCGCTCTGAAACCCGGCACCAGCCATTCCCCATCTAGGTGATGTCAAAAGCCCTCGCTTCTCGCGTGGTGCACTGCAGAAAAAAAAGAAGGAACATGCATGGCGTAATCCCTGCACCGATAAGTGCGTGCGTGATTAGCCGCGCAAGAAACTGCATGACTTCGCGTACGATGAGAGCTCAAGCTTTTTACAGGTCATATTTTTCTTATTTGTGGTCATGGGAGCCGATGCCCTGGGACAATTGGGAATCGGAACATCTTTTCTAGCGTAGCCCTAAGTTCTAACATTGAGTTGAAAGTCTTGGGCGCAATTTTACTTTTTAGTTAGCCCCGAAGAAAGAATTTTGCATGGCTTTTCGGTAGTCTGCTGCTAACTAGTAGTGTTCATGAGTCGTCACTCGATGGTAACGCAGTGAGACTTCATGACGCCCGGATGGAACCTCGCCAAAGAATAGCAATTCATACAAGTGGCCAGCCAGATGGATGGAACGTCGTCGATGAACAGCATCGTCGCTGCGAATATATCTATATACAAACCTTTTTGTTTTGGCACACTCCCGAGGGAAGGATTGCAGCTGGATTATTCACGAATCTATTCCGGGCAATAGAATATGAGAAACGGGCTAGTGAGCACGAGATGACACCATTGTCCGTTCTTCCACACCGATTTTTCCGAACCTTGAGCTCAGTGCCGACACGCTACTGCTAGATACTATATCCACCCCCGATACGGGAACACTCAACAGCGCTGCCAAGGATTCTCGAAACCTGTAAGGTGGATATGGACAAAGCAGTTATATAAATACATGTAGTAGATCTGCTTATTGAGGGCACGAGTGAGAGTTTATGCTCGACCGTAGCGCGGGAGGGGGGCCCGGGGCGGCGACCAGGGCGTGATAGTAAGAGATATTTCTGCACCCTACCTAGTCTGCAACCAATGATAATTTTTTACGAGCGGGAATCCCTCTATATATGAGTAGATGCATACCTTCAATCTACACATCTTACTTGGCGGAATTGGTTCTCGCATAAAACTGTATCCACCCTTACCTTCAAGTTCAAATAGTTACTATACCACCCCATTTAAGATACCCGGCCCGGATGGACCAGCAATCGATATCCTGTAGAGTATATGTAGGTCAAAGTAACAGTGAAATTCGCATTTTTTTTTGATAAAAGACAACGAGGAAAAAAAGGCCAAGAACACAGAGACAAGGAAACAAGGAAACAAAAGGAGAAAGCTGAAGAGGAACACACACCAGATCATCAGTCACCTATCTATCCTATCCAGCCTTCGCTCGGCCAGTCAGTAGTATGATGGTTATTTGAGTATCTAGCACACATGATGAAGAAGTAGAGTAAGAAAAAAAAGAAGAAACCCACAGTGCATGTAATATCGGTCCAAAATCGCAAAGACGAGAAAGGAAAAAAAGAGAGAAAAAAAGAAACTCCCACCTCACTCACTCACTCACTCCTTCCTCTCCTTCCCCTTCTCATCCCTCTTCGGCTCAAAATCCAGCTACCCAGCACCCACCACACCATCAGCACAAGCTCTCACAAGTGCACAACAACAACAACAACAACAACTAAAAAAAAAACCATCATTATATCATACCTGATTCCCATTATAGTACTTCCTCCCCACCTCCTCCTTCCCCCCTCCCCCTCCGGCGCATCATACAGCGTCCGAATCCTGCCATTCGCACTACTCGCCCTACTAACACTCCCCTGCCCCTGCCCCTCCCTCACCTCACTCCTCCCCGCACGCCCCAACGTCGCCCCCACCCTCGCCTCCCTCTCCCTCTCCCTCTCCCGCTCCCTCTCCCTCTCCCTATCCCTCCCCGCCGTCGTCGTCGTCGCCTCCACCGGCGCAGCCTGCACAGCCACCGGCGCACGCGCCGGATACCCCACGCCCAGCACCGTCGAAACCGCGCCATAAATCAGACCATACGCCCTGCCCAGCAGCCCGACCTCGCTGCTGGCCCCGCCGCCGCTATACGCGCTGACATAGCTCTGCGCGGGGACCAAGACGAGCGTCGCCGTCGGCGCGAGGCCAAGCTCGATGAGGGTGCTCCCCTCGTCGCTGAGCGAGAGCTGCTTATTCGGCGCTGGCGCCAGGATCTGCAGGAAGCTGTAGGGGTGGTCGCTGTTGTCTGTTCTGTGGGCGTCGAGCCATGCGCGCACGTCTGTGGCGAGTGTGGCGGTGGAGGGGAAGCGCGACTTGAGGGATGAGCCGTCGAGGAGGCGGAAGGAGAGTGCTGTTTCTGCCGGTGTTGAGCGCGGGGGTGGTGGTGTGCTCGTGGTAGTGGGTGGTGTGGGTGCGGTGGTGGTGGTGGAGGCGCGTTGGCGCCGCTCGATTTTGTCGTTTTCGAGGAGTTGCAGGACGCGTTTGCGGTCTTCGGCGGCGGCGAGCTGGCGCTTGCGCTGCTGCTCGAGGTAGGCGAGGTGGCCGGCGGAGGATTCGCGGCGGGAGGAGGAGCTGGGGGCGGGGGTTGTGGAGCCGCGGCGGGCGGCAGCGGCAGCGGGAGTGGTGGAGTCGCGGCGGGCGGAGGAGGGTGGTGCGGGGGAGGTGGAGGGTTGTGGGGGTACTACAGTCGTGGGTACGGCAGAGGCAGCGGCGGCGGCGGCGGTGATGGGCTGCGGGAGGTTAACTGAAGCTGGGGCTGGAGCTGGGGCAGCGGCGGTGGCAGCGACGGCAGCAGGAACATCTTCGGGGGTCTCAGTCTCTGTCAGGGCTGCCTTAATCCCATCCATAAACTCGTCTCTTGTCGCTCCAGCCGCAACATTTGCCACCATCGCTCCATTCCTACACACACATCCCAAGCACTCATTAGCTACACTCCCCATCTAGCCCGCCTCCCCACTCCCCCCCTCCCCACGCCGGAATGCACATACTTGACAACAACCAGATACGGCACGGCCTGTATCGGGCAAAACGCCGCCAAAAAACCCGCCTCCACCGACCCCGCCTGCAGCCTCAGCAGCACGCACCGGCTCCGCAGCAACGGCAGCACCTATATCACACACACACACACACAGCACACTGGTCAACTCACGGCCCCTTTTTCCCCAGGCAGGGGGAGATGGGGTTTACCTCCTCGTCCTGCATGTACTCGTCCTGCCATGTCGAGCTCACCGCGCCGTCGTCTGTGCCAGCCAGTCAGTCAGTATGAATGAATGAACGGAACGAGCACGTGGGGGGACGCGTAACAGCGCGCTTACCGGCTATGAAGCAAGCGAGCGGGAGGCCCTGAGTGATTGACGCTGTGACGGCGGCCTCGATGGGGCCCGTGAAGAAGAGGGGGGCATCGGGAGCTGTCGTGGTGGTGGGAGTGGGAGTGGGAGTGTCGGACATGGTTGGTTGTGGTGGTGGGGGAAGAAGAGAAGGCAAGGTGTGGTGGTTGTTAGTGGGTGGTCGAGGTGCAGATCCCCGCCACAGCTGAGGCTCTGCAGGGAAGGGAAGAAGCGCGCATGGATCACACAGACAGACAAGGCTTGGCCGTGACTTCATTGTGGGGAGTGGGAGGGAGGACATGTACGGCCCTGCACAGCGGTCTCGAGACCCGGGAGTCGCGATATCAGAAACCTCCAACTACAGTACATACTCTACCACAACAACCATCACCAGTGCACTCCCACCACAAATTGCCCCCAACCATGAGCTGCCGTCCCCTTCTCCGTCCCCTCCGCCCCTTCACCCTCCTCCTCCGCCCCACCCTTCGCACCCCCCGGACCCCCGCCATCCCCCGCCGCCACGCCCACTCCCCCGCCGACGACCCCAACTTCACCTCCATCCTCGACCAACCGCCCACGCTCATCCGCAGCGGCCGCAAAAAGCACGGCCCGGGCCTCCTCATCCTCGCCGCCATCCCCATCACCGCCTTCGCCCTCGGCACCTGGCAGCTGCAGCGTCTCGACTGGAAAACCCGGCTCATAACCACCTACACCGAGCGTCTCCTCCGCGACCCCCTCCCGCTACCCCCCCACATCAACACAGCGCTCATCCCCGAATTCGACTACCGGCGCGTCCTCGCCACGGGGCGCTTCCGGCACGACCAGGAGATGCTTCTCGGGCCACGGGTGCGCGAGGGCGAGAACGGGTATCTGGTCATCACGCCGCTGGAGCGCGAGAACGGGTCGACGATACTGGTGAACAGGGGCTGGATCGCGAAGGAGAAGAAGGAGCACAAGAGTCGGGCGCCGGAGGCCCTGCCGAGGGGGGAGGTGCAGGTGCTGGGGCTGATGAGGATGCCGTGGAAGAGGAATATGTTTACGCCGCCGAATGCGCCCGAGAAGGGGGAGTTCTATTTTCCGGATGTGGCGGGGATGGCGAGGCTGGTGGGGGCGCAGGAGGTGTGGGTGGAGGAGACGACGGGTGAGTGATATGAGAGAGGGGGAAATGTGAAATGAGGAGGGAGGATGGTGGAGGGAGAGGGAGAGAGAGAGAGAGAGAGGAGAGTGTTGACGGGTGTATGTGTGGTGGGCAGATCCGGATTATATTGCGGCCATGGACCACGCGGTGAAGGGGATCCCGATTGCGAGGGCCGCGGAGGTCAACATCAGGAACAACCACATGCAGTACATCTTCACCTGGTGAGCCACTCCTCCTCCGCTCCCCCAATTAGCCATATCAGACAGAGAGTCTGACTTGCGAAAGGTACGGCCTCTCGCTCGCCACCTCGGTCATGTTCTACATCCTCGTCAAGCGCCCGCCGCCAGACATCACCAAGCGTGTGCGGCAGTCGGGCGAGTGGGCGTAGAAGAGCAGACCCAGTACAGCACAGTACAGCACAGTGCACCCGCATTATAGCATAGTGGCTACATAGAAAGCTGCGTGTGAAAAGGCCGGCTTCTGATTGTTCTTACACTGCTGGTAGTTCGTTCGTTCCTATTGTACATTTACAACACCTATCCCATCCATTCCTGTATAAAATTACAGCTAGCTACTATTGACGAGAAGAAGTAAGAAAAATAAAATAAAAAGTAGAAGAGTAGAACAAGAAAAGAGAAACTCCTAATAAAAGCAAAACTAAATGAAATGAAAGCCATGTTAATCTTGCTACTTACTGCCTGCCTGACTGACCGACTATGTCTCCCCATTCTCCTCGGCCTCCACCTCCACCTCCACCTCCACAGCCTTCCCCTTCCCCCTCCCCTTCCCCTTCCCCGCCGCCTTCCTCTTCCTTCCCCTCGCACCCTTCACCACCGGCATCCTCACCTGCTGCAGCAACTCCCTCGGCAGATGTCTCTGCGCCAACGAAAACAGCGTCGACCCCTCCGTAATCTGTCTCTGCCTACACTCCACACTCTCCACATTAGCACCCACTCACACCACACCAACCATACCCCCCACATCCACCCCACCCCTCCCCAAGAATTTACTCACCTCCCCATCAGCACCACCACATCCCCCTCCTCAATCGTCCTCCTCCCCGCATGCCCCGCATACACCGCCAAGTCCCCCGCCACCTGCTCCCAAAACGCATCCGACGCCTTCACCAGCGCCTCCAGCGCCTCGCCGCCAATCGACGCGCCGCCAGCAAACGTCTGCGCCATCTTCTTTATCGTTGCGCGCGGGAAGGGCGGCAGCGGGTGGCCGTGGCGCGAGAGCGGGTGTTGCTTGCGTTTCGCCTTTTGTGTTTTTTGGGCTGCTGCGATGTTGCGGGCGGTGGCGGTGGTGGGGGCGTCGTTGTCGTTGTCGTTGTCGAGGCCGGGGGAGTACTCGGGGGGGGCGCCGGTGTCGTCGGAGTCGTGAGCGGGCGCGGGGGCGGGGGAGCCGTCGGGTTCGGTGGGCATGGGGAGGAAGTAGGAGTCGCCTTCGTCGAAGGCCAGCTCCTCCCTTCCCATGCCCATCGTGACATCGCCCTCCTCGTCCTCGTCGTCGTCCTCCTCCTCGGGCACAAATCCCATCTTCACCTTCCCCAAAGACTCCTCACCGACACTAATCCCCCCCACCGTGACATCCCCCACCCCCATACTCACATCCGCCACCGTCGTCTCCCCCGCCCCCTCCTCCCCCTCTTCCCCCCCCTGCTCCCGCAGCGCATCCAAATCCGCAAACCGATCATCCCACGTTATGCCAAAGCTCCCCCTCCCCCCCCACGGCTGCTCACTCACCGCGCGCCGTCCCCTCTCCACGCTCCTCGCCGCATCGGGCCGCTCAAGCACCTCCCACTCCTCCTCGCCATCATCATAAAAATTCACCTCCGTGCGCGGCCGCTCCTCCTCCTCCCCCGGGTCGGAGAAATACATCATCTCCTCCTCCCGCACGCGCGGCGTCTGCACGGGCGTCGGCACGAACGGCGCCGCGGTGGGCGCCAGGATGCCGCTGAGCTTCAGCAGCCAGTCGCGCGGCGACTCGCGCGCGGGGGCGTTGTAGCGGCCGGACTTGCGGCGCGAGGGGGTCGCGGCGCGCCGCGTGAATGCGCGGATGGCGTGTGGGGAGCGTGCGGTGAGTTTGGGGGCTAGGCGGTGCGCGCCGGGGGTGCGGCGGGTGGAGGGGTGGGGGCGTAGGTGGTGCGGCGTGGTGGGGGGGGGGCGGTTGAGGCCTGCGGCAAGGGTGAGGAGGTTTCGTTGCGGGGTGGCTTGTGGGGATGTGGTCGTGGTTGTGGTGCGGGGGGCTGTGGGCGTTGGCTGCGGTGCTGCCTCTGCTTCTGGCTCTCGTGGTGGTGATGCTGCGGGTGGTGGTGTTGGGGTCGCTGATACAGGCGCACTCTTCACCACCGGCGACCTCCTGATAGACTTAGTCGTTGGTATCGGCGTCGGGTTTGGCGTGCCAGCAGCACTGCGTGTCTTCCTGCCACTGCTCGCAGCTGCAAACGGACTGCTCACAGCAGTGATCTCTGCACTTCCCGCATCCACCGGCGTGCCTGTGATCTGGGAGCTGCTCTGTACCACCTGGGTTTCTGCCTGCGATGCCGGCACTGGTGCTGACGCTGATGCTTCTTCTGCAGGTGTGGCGGTGGGTGTAGCTTCTACTTGTACTTGCGCCTGTGTTTCCTCCTCGGGGAACTCGGTCATGTAGTTTGTTGGCTGCGGCGGGGGAGCTGCCATGCCGGGTGGGGGGGTCCTGCGGAGTCCCATTGCGTGCTGTATCTTTGTTCTTCAGTCTTTGGGTAGATAACTGGTGGTGGTGGTTGTGGCAGATGGCCGATATCGGTGTTTGTGTCGATGTCTGTCGGTGTTGGTGTTGAGGCGTTGAAGTGTCAATGATCCCACCGTCGTCGTCGCGTATTCCTTGTTCAGAACGAACGCGGCGTGCACGTGACGCCCCGCAGCCATCCCAGCAGCCCGGGTGCGTGTTACCCTGCCCACCCACACTCCCACCCGGCGCACTTTCTCTGTGCAACACCGAAAGAAAAAAAAGGTTCCCAGCCTGAGCAGCGCAGCGCAGAGCTTCAACCCAACACCACCACCAAAGATCTCGAATATCCCCACCACCACCACCACCAAAAACCTCAATTGCATAACCATGGACGACGACTTTGACGGCGCCGACGTCCGCGTCGAGGCCACCACTCCCGCCGCACCCTCCACCGACGCCCTCTCAAAGCGAAAACGCAAGCGCGAGAAAGAAAAAGCCAATAAAGCCGCCGCCGCTACCTCTTCAACCCCCACTACCAACTCCTCCACCAACTCCACCTCCCACCCCTCCAAAAAGGCCAAACCAGCCCCCAAATCCACCCCCATCACCACCACCCCCGACGACGGCTCCATCGACCCCACAATCGCCCACATGGACCCCACCCTCCTCGCCGACCACCTCATCTCGCGCCACAAGCACTGGCACCCCGCGCTCAGCGCCGTCGAGCTACACGACGCCCACATCCCCGCCACGCACTTTTCCGACACGACGCACTGGCAGTCACAGCGGTCGCTCGCAAATCTGCCAAACTACCTTGAAAAGTGCTGCCGCGTTGCCGGCGCGAAGAAGTTCCGCCTGGACCAGGCGGCAGAGGCGTGCGGCGCGCCGCATACGCTGGTTGTGACGGCGGCGGCGCTGCGCGCGTCGAGGGTCGCGAGTGCGCTGAGGAAGTACCAGAGTAAGGATGCGATGGTGGCGAAGCTGTTTGCGAAGCATATTAAGCTGGCGGAGAGTGTGGAGATGTGTAAGAACAACAGGTATACCCCCACCCCCCCCCTCCCTTTCTTACCTGTGGAGCGTTGTGGCTAACGGGGGAGAGTAGAATCGGCATAGCCGTCGGCACACCCTCTCGAATCCTCGACGTGCTCAAGGAAGAGGTGCTGCATCTGGACGAGCTGCGGTGGATCGTGGTGGACGCGAGCTATGTGGACAAGAAGGGGTTTGGCGTGCTTGGGATCCGCGAGGTGCAGGAGGGCGTCATGGAGCTGTTTGGGCATGAGAAGGTGAAGAAGCGGTTTGAGGAGGGGCTGAAGATTCTGTTTTTTTAGACATAAAAAGTTGGTGGGACTGTATATTAGTGGAGTTTAATAATGTCGTGTGCTTGCAGTTGCTTTGTGGGTGCTGGTACATATGTGGAATAGCGCATTTAGAGACGGGAGATGGGGAAACACTACCTCGATCCAGAAGTTAGTATTGAGCAGCCTCAGAAGATTCCGTTACTAGCAGCCCGAGCCTTACACGCACCTCGAATTCCCCGGCACTCCCTTTCGCCGCCATTGAAGCCAAGTTTGCGAGCTAAAGGGCCGAGTGATGACCCATGACGCACAAGACTCTCTACTCCAACCTCAGTCCCTCAGGTCAAAAGCAAGTTCCATAACCTAGAGAGGCTCTGAATCCGCAAGAGATACCATAATAGACCCCTTTCACGGGTGCATAGCCAAAACAGGGGTGGTCAATTCCAAGGTCCCGCCCCCTGCGCACCGCTCATCACACAGGCGTATATCTGAGGCCGACCAGTTTGCTCTGTGCTGCCCAGTGAAAGCGCCATGGGCTACCACTGCCTAGCCGCAATTCAAAAAAAAAAAGAAACGGGAGCCGCCAAGGCAGGAAATTTCCAGAGGCGTGAACGTCGTTGCGACTCTTCCATAACAGGAGGTATGACAACCACGCCTAGCGTAAGAGCTATAGTACCTACATGTCGCATGTGTGCATCACCACCCGCGGTCGGCTTCGGACACGAATCTAGAGTAGCCGAGTTTCAAGTTACCATACCATGTAGTAGCACGGGCGATAACTCCTGTTTGTAGGTGCACTCTTTGCAAACCTTCAGATTCGGGATTGGTTGTCATGTGTTGGATCATGGGATATCACTCGGTGGTCTTTCGCGCTGGATGGATCTCGGGCGGGGTCGCTATGGGTACTAGGAGGAAAAGACGTGCTTGAGAAGTGTTTGGGCGCTTTCTAAATGGGTTTTGGTCAAGGTGTCGCTTTTTCACATGCCGAGATATAGGTTTTCTACAATGGTATTGTTTTTTCTCATCACGCTAAGTTAGTGTCAATGATAGTTTGACCGGTAGTTGAGACACGGGTGTACCATGCTTGTTGCTACATGTATATACGTAAAACACATCACAGCGAGCTCACAAGCACAAGAATCACTGACGGACTGTAGTATTCAGTTACACAACAATTTATTTATCAGTCTATGATGCGAAAAGCATCTACTCAATAACATAACAATATCCAATTTCCTATACAAGAATCAATAACATGCATGACATCCAATCTATATCTCCAATTTCCTAACATAAACCAACAACAAATCTATAAAATAAAAAAAAATCACAATATCCAATTTCAAAAAGTCCCAAAGCCCCGCACCTATAATCCCCACCTACGTCTACGTCTATTCAAGCTCCGACAAATTCCTCTATACCCTATCTCTATACAATGAGAACAACGGGCCAACCCAGTAGGTCTAGACGCAGCTGTCAAACTCACTGGAACTTCTTCCAATGAGTCGGAACCGCGGACCACATTTCCGCCCCAATCGACCTCAGGTGTTGTTTCCTCTCCGTCTCCACCTGGCTGGATACGCACACCCGCAGGATTGTTTCCATTGCTGGACGAAGCCTCTTCATTGTCATTGGGCTCATCGTCGTCGTCGCCTTCATCATCGGCATCGTCATCGGCATCGTTGGCTTCTTGGTCGCCGTCTGATTGGTAGTCACCGTTGAGATCGTAGCCATCATCTGAATGGTTGTCATACTGGTTGACATGGACATAATCGTCGCCATTGTCATCACCGGAACCATTGCCACCATTATCTGAGCCATTGCCATCATCGAAGTCATCGCCATTATCGGAATCATTATCATCATCCGAGCTATTGACGTAATCGTGGCCATTATCGGGACCTCTATACGGGAAGCCAGCGGGAGGTTCAGGGCCACTACCATACACGTAGTCGAGGCTGCATGTCGCGCAATGATCGGCATACCGGACATACTCGCCATCGAAAACACCATCGTCGTTGTATCTGCCCCTCAGGTAACCATGACCATCATCGGGATTCATCCAGTAATGATACCCGGAGTCGTCGATGTCGGTGTTGTACAGGAAGTATTCGCCCTCAAAGTCGCCGTTGTCGTTCCATGCACCGACCCAGTAACCAACGCGGTCATCGGGATTAATCCAGGTACTGTGCACGAAGGGGTTGCCCCAGATGCCATACCCTACGAAGAGGCTTGTCCAGTAGCCCTCCCCGGCAACGGGACACGGGCCCATACAACCGCAATCCTCGAAGGGAGTCACCCAGTAAATGGCCTCGCCAAAGGGGTTTATCCAGTAGCCATTACCGATATAGCTCCAATAGTCAACACGAATCTCGCCATCATCGGTGAAGTCGAGGTTTTCACTCCACTCACTCCGAGAATCAGAGCTAGGGTACTGGACATCGAGACTTCCGTGATCTCCGTTCACGTCGTTGAAGTCACTATCATCATCGAAGTTGATGGGCTCATCATCGCCGCAAAGACTTCCGCTCTCTTGAGTAGAACCGAGTGACCTGATATCACAATCGGAGTCAGGGTGCTCGACTGTACAATACTCGGAGCCGATCTGTTCAGCTACATCGGAATCGGAGTCGGAGTCGGAGTCGGAAGGTTGAGCTTCATCAGGATTGGGATTGAGACGTTCATCATCACCAGAACCGGAGTCGGAAGACTCAGCTCCATCAGAACCGGAGCCGGAAGGCTCAGTGTCAATAAGGCCGGGCCAAACACCATCGTCATCATCAGGAAGATTTGGCAGCTCGATATCAACGTCGACAGTAACGGACCATGCTTGGATATCGGCATCCGTAGCATTATCGATCTCCAAGAAGGCGGTCTTCACAAATTCCTCATCGACAGGCACACCATTCCTCAATGCCATCCTCAACTTCGCCTGCAACAGCACCATCTTCCACATCTCGATCCCATGTGGTGGAGGTATTTTTGAGAGATCGATCTGTGCCAGCATCTCATACATCTCGTTTGCACAGCAGAAGCTGAGCTTTCCATGCCTGATGTACATATCGATGGTGCTAGAGTCATATCGGCCCTCGATGTAGGACACGACATACCGCCACTCGGCGTGGTTGACGAATGGCCGGTAAAACGGGCAAGGACAAGGAAAGTCCGGGCCGGGTGACGGCGGCGGTGACGGCGGCGGTGAAGGTGATTGTGAAGGTGATTGCGAAGGTGATGGCGGCGGCGGTGCGGGCTCGTCATAGGATTCATCGGAATCGGAATCGGAATCGGAATCGGAATCGGAATCGGAATCGGAATCGGAATCGGAGTCAGAGTCAGAATCGGAATCGGAATCCGAGCTTTTATCGGAATCCGAACTGTCTTCGGAATCTGAACTTTCACCGGAATCCGAGTTTCTATCGGAATCCGAGTTTTTATCGGAGTCTGAACCGTCTTCGGGATCTGAGCTTTTATCAGAATCCAAGCTTCTATCGAAGTCTAAGCTTTTATCGGAGTCTGAGCTTTTATCGGAGTCTGAACTATCTTCGGGATCTGAATTTTCACCGGAATCTGAACTTTCATCGGTATCTGAACTTCCATCGGAATCCGAGCTCTTATTCGAATCTTTGCTCTTCTCCTCATCACCATCGGTTTCCTTGAGGAAGTTTTCCCATTCCTCGACTTCTTCGTCGTCAAGCATTTCATCATCCTCATCCCAATTATCAGTCCCACACTCACGCCTATAATCGCGCTCATACTCATCCAGGTCTAGACCATCGTCCTCATCCTCATCCTTATATTTGTTCTCATTTCCGCTCTCGCTCTCACTCTCGTCTTCATCCTCAATCTCATACTCATACTCATACTCATACTCATACTCATACTCATACTCATACTCATACTCATACTCATACTCATCCTCATCCTCATCCTCATCCTCATACTCCCCATCATTCTCACTCTCGCCTTCACTTTCATCACCACCCACACCCTCGTCTTTATCTTCGATCCCATCTTTATCTTCGGCTTCATTTTCACTCTCATATTCATCCTCTTTATTTTTGCCCTCACCACCATCATCTTGGGAGATCTGGTCAACGACTTCATTGAGGGTAAAAAAATACTCATTCTCATATATATCATCGTCATCGTCCACTTCATTATTCTCTTCTCTTTCGTCATCAGCATCCATTCCCTCATCAGGGGAGATTTCACATCCGGATGCGATATTTTGAGATGCAGTGCTTTGAGATGCAGTGCTTTGAGATGCAGTGCTTTGAGATGTAGCGCTTTGGGATGCGGTGTTTTGGGAACCACTCGCGATTTCGCTGCCAGCTTGGGCTCGGCGACCGGAAATTGATGCTCCGCTTTGGTCGGTAATTGGACTCACGACAACCCCCGCAAGATTGTCGGCAACCCTTTGAACTACGGCGTTGAAAGTCCTGGAACCACGGCGCCAAGGACGTGCCGGGAACATGAACATGCAGACAGGTTTGTTTTCAACGTAGTCAGACATTTTGAGGTAAGGTAATAAGGTTTTTAAGGCGTAAGATTTTTAAAGAGAGGATGATATCCGAGAGAATAAGTTATTCGAAGAGAAGATGAAATTGGGAGGGGGTACGATATCCGAAGAGATGATATTCGAAGAGATGAAGTTGGAAGAGAGGATGATATTCGAAGAGAAGTGACGTTCGAAGAGAGGATGACTTCCGCGGAGAAGATGATGCTCGAAGAGAAGATGACGTTCGAAAAGAGATATTTGAAAAGAGTAGTATATTCCAATAGGGGATAATATTCGAATAGAGGAAAGTATACGAAGAGGTAGTAGTATTCTAAGAGGCTATGATATTCAAAGAGATGATCTTCGAAAGAAGCGATAGATTTCAGAAAATAGTAAGAGACTTGAATGTTATATTTTCTGAAGTAAAGAATACTGAGTTAGTTTGATAGTGAAGAAAATATGTGGGGGGTTTGGGGGGTGGCTAGGGCTTAAATACATATACTCAGAAGAGCTCGTAGTTCCTGCTTAAGATAACAGCAGTTACCTCATGTACATGTTAAATTGAAAAATCGTTAATCCAGTACATAATAGATAGTCACACTCACGGAGATATGACGACCACGGAGGTAACGCTTCTATTGCAACGCTGAAAAATAACAAAACCTATTTGTAAATGGATATGTCGTTGTTTTTAGCAAATAGGCCCGTGGGATTGAAGCGAAGTTGTGGCTAAAAGAAAGGGAAACAAGACTTGCTAATTGGCTCAAGTTACGAATATAGTATACCACCATTTTCCTCTGAATTTACTCCTACAACCTTGCCTTAAGCCCATGGATTTATTTGCCAGCTAGAATTCTTCGGGTTTCATACAATATTTTGAATTTACTAAATTTGTAAGTTTGGCAGTCCCGCGGACGGAAACAAACCAAATATCCCCACAGGCCGTCTACTCTATCACTCGTTGTTTTGCAGTAATGGTGGTAATGATTATCTGCACATGTTCTTAGTAATACCTCTAGCCTCATTCGGGCAAGCTTGATGAGTCCCACCCAAAATGGCAACATCAAAATCTATTCATGTAGCGACTTCTTGATAAAAGTAGTAACAATGACAAATTATTACGCTCTACGAGTACTTATAATTACACTCCACGAGTAATCGCCAAAAATCGGGATTACACGGATGCGCACAACGACTAGCATACATTATATTCCGAGCCGTGTCCCATAATTCACTCCGCGCCGCCCTATCTACATGTAGTTTCTCGCTCTTTCATTGCAATCCAATGGTAACTATAACTGACCTAGAACACTACGACAATATGTCCTAGTATTTTCTTTTCTTTTTTGTCAGGCCTTAAGGAGGGAATTCACCTACCTCTGAGGTGAGAGATAAATTTCCTCAACGGCAGCTGCAGCCGTCTTGGCAACGCTTTGTTAAGAGATATGTAATTTATTTGTTTGGGGACGGAGCAGAGATTTCTACGTTCAACACGAAGTTTTGGTAAGAAGAATTGGGAGTGTGTGGCCTAAGGTTAGGTGAGTTCCCGAGGGTTAGGTCAGGGCTAGGTGAGTTTCTACACGTTAAACAGAGGGAAATTCAGGGCTAGGGTTTCTTCTCTCTCTGTCCGATGACATTGAACTCTTCCCGACTCTGTGGAAACACAAAATTATTTTGTCCCACTCCTCCTACCCGAATCCAAACACACATTAAAGAAGCTTCTGGTGATACTGTAGTCACACCGATGCCAGTGATTCTGCTGTTCAACTTCTACAGCACACAAAGATGCGTAGAGTATAATGGACCTAGGCCGGTCCGAGACTGTTTTCACACACGGGATGTTGACAGCATGTAGCCTTGGGTATTGAAAGACTGTTCCATTTCCGGTTTTGTCCGTCAATACGTAAACTACGTGTAGCTGTTCTCATAATGTCTGCTGTCACATACACATTAAGCGAGAGCCCTTTTAGGTAACTGTGTACGTATGCAAGTCAGTGCGGACAGACAATACGAAAAGAGTTGTAATTGCTATGATGTATGTATAACCAGTGATCTTGCCCTCTACACGGTGAAAACCCGGGAAATACGCTGAGGCGTAAGAAACACAAGATAGAAACTACAAATTACGAGACTTCCTATATCATATCAGTAGGCCTTTCTAGTGGGAAAGTCACTGCTCCACAGTGGTAGCCTGTGGCTTAGTGTTAGTGATGGAGAAGCCTACTGTAGTTCCTACGAGATACCCGTTGAAGTATCTTGTTAAAGTTTCGGCAGGATCGCCTAATTGAGTAACAAACTACATGTAAGCTTACACCGCCCCGGCCGACCACTCCACGTGGAACCCCAACTACAACCTGTCAATACTCTAAATAATTACATGTAGACTGCTTAACTGCCCCTCCTTGCGAACGAGGATAAATCCGCGCGAGCTAGGAGGTACTTGCATGATGTACCTAGGAAGTACATGTAATTCAGGGCCTTTGTCCAGTTCCAAGTATTTACGACCGCCAGGCCCAGGCAGGGTCTCTCGAGGAGGATACCTAGGGTCAAAGTCCAGGGTGTCGTTTATTTAAAAGCAGGGCACATTTTGACATGTCGATGACACTCACTATGGTTGGTGCGTACACCATACCGCGGAAGTAGTCGCCACCCACACCCTCTCTTTTTTTTTTAGTCTCGCACTCCCGACTCAATCTAACCCCGTTACAGAAAAGCTCTTCTACTTTCATTTGTTTCCCTTGTATTTCGAATCACGCTCATACCTGTCACAAGATTTACTACTCATATCGACCTCATCACTAAAGTAACACAAACGACATGATACATTAAACAAAAAAAAAAAAAAAAAAACATGATACCCTTAGACCTCCCCTGCGTCACTATTTGGCATGCTTCAATGGCATGTATGTAGTCTAGAACGTAAGAAATCCGAGATTTTGAAATTGATCCCTATGGTTATTTTTAAATTAGCGGGTTTGTGGGACGTGGATGGGTCTGCTATGGTATAAAGGAGTATATGGGTAAAAACCGGGAAACCCCAACCTAGACCCATTGAATAGAGTCAAACTAGGATAAAGAGGAAATGGTACCAAAGATCAAGAGAGAAGCCAAGGGAGCTGGCAGGCTTGGGGGGAATAGGCTCTACAATATAGAAGTAATTTTTAGAAAGGACCCCGGGTGGAACCCCCAAGACACCCTCGTAAGTATGTATGTATGTAGATACTAGCAAAGACGCAAAGTCTCCACGTAATGTGTAGGCTGTGTTTTGACATCAGAATGAGAGACCTAAGGTTGAGAGATACATGTATGGAGCCCAGAGAATGTGCGTGTTTGTATCATCCGTCCAACCGATAGCCGAGTGATTGTTCATGATGCACGATTTCAATGTCCACAGAGAATAGGTAAGCCTTAAATGGTGGATAAACCTGAATGGCCCAAAAAGCTTGTTCGTTATTCACTGAAACTCTTTGCTGTATAGTCTTTCCTGTTGGATATTCAATCTATATAGGGGAATTCAAAAGGGCAACTCGATTGCTAGTTAAATGACAATATAACTGAGATAAATATTCGTATAAAAGCCTGATAGCCAATAGAGACAAGAAAAAAAAGTGCACGATGGAGAAATCCACGGTCACATCATCCAGAGAGGCCGAATTATTTGAAAGAGATATAGTTTTAAGAAGAGTAAAAAATATATTCCACATGACTAGACAATTAGTAAAGACCACAAAAACGGTAGTTTTTTCCCGGCCCTGAGTATGAGCACACACCATTCATTCCAAGGCCTTAGTCTGAATCCTGAACATATGAGTGCTTCCTCATCTCCCCAAGCCTGAAACGAGCTTGAGTCAACCTGTTTTCGAGTTCTTTGATTTCAACCTAAACAACAACCAAGAGATTAATGTTAGGTATAAAATATTTAGGTAGAAATCACATACCTGTTGTTCCATCTCTTGGACCTTAATCTCGTATCCACTGAGTTTGGAGTAATCCATAGCCTCATTCTCATCATTATTCTTTGCCGCAATGATTTCTTGAACCTGTTTGACCAGTGATCTGCACGCGCCTGTCACGGCCTTTGAGGCAGTTTCCAGACGTTCTTGCGATTTAGACATGAAAGACGCCTTGACCCGAGAAGCTGCGACAAGCTGCGCAGTTGAAGCGGCAACATCATTGGCAACGACAATCCTATATCGTTATTAGCCTGTATGTAAATTGTACCAAAAATGAAAGCCATACAATTGCTCCAGCTTGTTACGTCCACTAAGCACACCATCGGCTGTTTCGATAAGCATATTGGTGGAGGTAGCCACTGCCTTGGCAGCGGAGATCAACCCTTCTGTCCAACGATTGTTTCGTTTGTAGAAAGCAGTCCGAGAACTGTTTCCTTTGCCTTGGGCCACAATCTGAAAAAAATGTTAATCTATATACCTAAACAGTGGCCAGGGTATAATTACCTCTTTTTGAGAGATAGTGGCAGCCTTGAGGAGCTGAGCAATTGCATTCGTAACTGCAATTGCAGCGTCCAAGATTGAGCTACAATATATAGTTAGCTATCAGACTCTATAATAACGAAAAGGAAAAAAAAAGAGAAAAAAATTAGATCTGACGTACTCATGGATTCTAATCTCAAAAGTCGAAAAGGCATCTTTCGGCTTCTTCATGAGTTGGGCCAAGCGTGCCGCAGCGGCATCGATAGCGTCCGCAACCTTACTGAGCTCATTGTCCACAAGATCACCAATGTCTCCACTAGCCTTTGACAGATCAGCCCCTTTGGTCATGAACTGTTCGGCAAGTTTCGTCAATTTCTGGAGGTTCTTTTGAACTTCCAAATTACTGGATACAACGACATCCATCTTCTGATCTTGGCTCAGCCCGTCCAAACGGAAAGACATGAGGTTCTGGAAAAACTTGACACTAGTATTCGCAGATTGTCTTGCTGCTGCCATGATGGCATCGCTTTTATTCTCGTCAGTGGCTAATCGTGTAACACCTTTAGCATTGGCCAACACATCCGAGATTGCTCCCGCAAAGACATGAAGCGTCTTGATGATTGAAGACTGAGGGCTATTGGGGCCATCAACAACAAAGTTGTTAAATTGGGTGGCAAATTCCGTAGCGCTAAGCTGGGCTTTCTCTACCTGTGAGAGAAGATAGCCCGGCGATGCGCTCTGGTTTCCTGCATTCATGGGAGACTCAAGCTCGTACAAAGCGTCGTCCACTCGCTGAACACCGCTCTGTAATACAGAATCTGTCCGATGTCGTCAATAGGCTTTCAATTTTCAGATTAAGCTAGCTTCATACCTATGATTTCTGTCAATCTCTTCAATTGATCTAAAATTACCCCGTCAATTTGTGCTTCTAGAACAATATCGCTCTCGTTGTTGTGCTAAACATAATGTTAGAATAGAGACATCAACATATCAAAACTTAACGAATTCATACCAATCGCATTTCGTTGAGCTCCAGGAGAGTCTGATCCATCCCTGCCTTGAATATCTCTAGTTCTTCCTCCTTCTCCCGTAATCGTCTCTCCATGTCATGGTCTCTGTCACCAACTCTAGATTGTAGTTCGTCCAAGGCTCGTTGCTTACTACGCAACAGCTCTTCCATTTCCGCCATTTCTCTGTTGTGTCGAGATAGCAAGGCTGAGAGTTCAGTGCCTTTGGATTTTTCGTTATTTTCGGCTTTTTCTTGAGCAAATCGAAGCTCTCTTCGAACCTTTTCAACCTCTTCTTTCTGGGTCTGGAACATATGGTTAATACTAACACTTATTAAAAATCTGTTGAAAATAAACTTACTCCTTTAACACGGTCTAGATCGTATAATGCACGATCTCGTTCTCGAATCATGTCTGCCAGCTCAAGATTTTTGGATTTCATTTCTCGCTCCAATTTTTCTCGTTTATCGTTTGCCTCTTGTGCGGATGCAGCCTTGAGCTGGATTTGTTTGAATTTACCAAGCAACTCCAAGTGTTCGTGCCGAAGCTGGGAGTAAAGCTTTGCTAAAGCCTCGTACTTATTCTTCCACATGTTCACTTGCTCTATAAACAGTTAGCATACCAATAAATAAGCTTTTATCGGATACCTTACCCTGCAAAGACCTGATTAGATCATCCTTAGACGCTAGTTGCTGTCCGATGTTGGATTGAAGATTTGCAATTTCACTCTCCAAAGCTTTTACTTTTTGATCATACGATTCGAGCAATAGCAAATGCTGATCGTGGTGTCCTTTATATTCTAGCAATTGTCGTTCGAGTTCTGCAACATGCCCTTGAGCTTGTCTCGCCATTTGATCTCTCATTAATTGCTCTTGAGCTAACCGCTGCTGCTCCATTTGTTGCCTCTGCATCTCTTCGAACTGAGCTTGCTGTTGCATTGCTAGCATTTGTTGTCGCCGAAGCTCTTCCGCTCTTTGCAGCTCCAATTGGTTTTGTTGTTCCTCATAATCCCGCTGTTGCTGTTGCAGCTTTTCACTTGACCAGAAATCAGAAATTGCCTCAGCTTCTGGTTGTGCTGGAGGAGGCGGGGGCGGAGGTGCGGTTTCCTGGGCCTCAACTGGCCTACGTGGAAGAGCCGGGGCAGTCTCTCCATTGCCCAGCAAATTGGGCGGATCCTATCTTATGTGAGTACAAACTAAACGGCCAGAATTAAGCTAGCATTACCTGCGGCAACTTCGGTGGAGATATCAACTCAGTCAAGTATCGAAGATTTGAGCACTCGTAGTAAAACCGGACTAAACGATAATGTTGACCGTTGTAGCGTTCCCGCAAAGGTGCGAGAGCATCATCATCACCAGTCGCTATTCTAAGTTAGAGAACTATACTGAGAAAAAGGCTTAATAGAGATTTACTTTGATGCATAGCCCTCAACATGCTGGTGATAAATTTATAGATTCCATAACTTTCCTGAACCAATGGTACCAGAGCAGAAATACGACATTCATTGTCAACACCATGCCGGAAATGAGAGAAAATTAGTTTTTGGAAAGTCTCAATTTGGTCTTGCAGAGTCATCAAATCCATAATTGTCTCGTATCTGTAAAGAGTTAGCTAGTGTTTAGCAACATACCAGAACGTCTAAATGATACCCTTCATTTGGATCATTGATCGTTTTAAGACTGATATATTCTTCATAATCAAATACACCTGTGTGGAAATTAGTTTTCACTTCTTAAAAAGAAAGATCGAGCTCCCATACCATCGAACTCCGGGTGATGCCGGTGGAATGCAAGCTTGGCCAAAAGGAAATAGACATATTCCCGAATCAATGGTCCATAACCTGATCTTGGAGTTAGCTGTTCGGCAAGATGATTGTTATTTCCGAATGATACTGCCGTACCCCGAATGCCTTCATCGGAGGTCCCGTTAGTAAGTGATTCCAGCCACCCGGTATGGGCATGCGCTTCTCTGATTGTGACTGGATGGCCTTCTTGGAGAACTTTATGGATGCAGATCAAGGCTTTGAAGGTCTGAACTTCGCTTTGTAAGATGGGTAACCTGTGAAGTGAGCTCCGGTGTCAGCGCACGGACTTGCTTGAAATAATAGGAGTAAAGCTATAGACCTACACTTTCAAGCCTGACCAAAACGATGTCGATGATTTGTGATCCCAGGTGTAGACGATGCACGACCGGACATGCTTCCCTATAATTGGAGTTCTTTAAGCTCTATGCCCCTGGATCCCGTAGCTTCGAAGGAGCAACACACGTTTAGGGGCCTTTTCCTCTATGTTTTAATACAAAGGTTAGCCGATTATCTACCAACCAAGTTGTATAAATAAGATGTTAAATACCAATATTGGTAGCTTTCTTAATGTTGATTGAGAGGTCCGTCTCGGTTCTATGAGGGGTTCAGAATGAACTCGTCATTAGTCTCGATTTCTCCCAGCTATGTCTAGTCAACGAAAAGGTGTACTAGGGAGTCTTTCTAACCTAGTCATATCGACATTTCGCGACGCGCCGCTGTAGGACATGGTGAACAATAAGTACGGTTCCCGATGCTGAGGTAGTTATTGGAAGTCTCGTGGTTAATCACTGAAGCTGGGAGTTGAGAGGAACGCAAGCGATGCGAGGGCAGAAAAGATACCCTGGCTGTGTAGGTACTTGACGGGAAGGTTTGTTAGGGCGGGGGGTGCTCCGTGGGGTGTTTATGTATGTACCTAGTACACTCACTAGCACTGTAAGGTATTACCTGGGGAACCGGCGTGGTGAAGCAGTGAAGCTCTGCCAAGCCGGGAACTCGAGGTGGTGAGGCGCTGGGGCCGCGCAACTGTCTGACGACTACAGAAATCACATCGTGATTGAATATAAGGACTCAGAATAGGACAATCTACCTATTTGAGTAGTTCCGCTTCTATTTCGATAACTAAATGCGCATTAATACCATACATGAAGCTCATAACTACATGTGCATGTCTACCAGTATACATAGAGGAAGAAAAAGAGGAAATGCCTACTATAAGCACTTATGATTATATCCTGTTTCCAGAGATTTTAAAACATAGTTCTATAGAACGAATAATTCTTAAGCACTTGACAGTAAGATATTCTCTATTAACAATCAAATTGAGGAAGTTCAAAGTGTGGGTTAGGTTTGGGAATTCTGATAAGTGGAAGCATAAGAGCGATTGATCTCTACCATGAGTCTCGAATAAGGCACAAAACGAAAAGGGCATGAGCAAACAACTTCTAACCGCAAATAAACCACAGATTGACCTCTACATAGGAGACATCATATCGAAATACGCAATAATCAAGCACCCAGGACAGTTGCAGTACAGGCCGTGTATTCACAAAGGAGACTTATGAAAAAGAAGAAAAGAAGAAACCTAGTTCTTGTTCATGATTAAACCAGCTGCCTCTTACAAACAGGAGGGCAAAGGTGGATTTCATATAACAAAGTACACATGCTGCAGAAGCTCACGAAGCAAAGCACTGATATCGCTGGCGAGAACTCTCCCCTCGAAACGTTGATCTTGCGTAATGTCATATGATAGCTGATGGTGAGCACCTGGAATGGAGAGTAAATACGTTAAGCGGGTAAGAGTGGTCGGTAGTGATATTGACAAAACCATACTCACAAAGGCTATGAATATCCACGCTGGAAGAAACGTTTGTGGCTTGTTATTTCCACCCACAAGCTGGAGTGTCCAAGAAGTCAAATAAGCGTTTATTGCGCCGATTGAGAAGAGTCGAACTATGGTGGCTAGTTATCCATTATCAGTCGTCAGCCTGATTCATATGGCATCCCAAGCTGTTGTAAACCGCTTTAACGCCATGGGTGAAGAAAGAAAGGGGAAGACCTTTGGGCGTGTAGTAAATGAGCCTAGCAATATCAGCAAAAGCTCGCGAACAGAATTCGGATCGGTGCCTACCATCTCGCCATAAGGTTATTAATTAAGATATATGAAAGATATGCAGAAGTACCACACTATTGATGAATGGTTAGAATCATTATTCTACATGAACGTAAAGCTTTAGACCTCTAGCTGTACGCACCCAAAGGCATGCCAACCAAAGCTCAACTCCGGAACACCTCAAGCCTGCGTTGCCCAAAATTGCCAAAGCACACCTAGAAAGTCCTAGTATACTCGGGCATACCGAAAGCCCTCGGCATAATATCAAGGGAATATGGTAGCATCTATCGACTCCCAAGATCGAAGCCACTCGGGGGTGCTGGAGGTTGGCCCTGGAAGGTTTTGTGGGATCGCGAGGGTCCTCTCGCGCAGACGCCGGAGCCAGCTGAGCTGTCTACGCGGCAATATGCTGCCGCGATGCACTATATAGGGTGCTTTTAGGGGAAAAGATGATGCCGAAATTCTGTATGATACGAAAGCTATGGTAGGCTGTGAAGGTTGGAACGTTAGTGAAGACAATTGACGCTACCGAGACAAGAAAGGAGCTAGGCATGAAGCAAGGTACAAGGGACAAGTGGAGGGATGAGGCTCAGGCGGGGCAAGCCGAGGTGTTTCAATATATGTAAATTTTGTGATACGAAAACTGGCACCAATATATGAGAAGTATAGATAAATGCACTCATATGAGAGTGTTTGAATAGAGCCGGTTTTATGTATATCTTACCTGTTGTATACGACTGTTCCATTTCCGTACTACGAGCATTTTCTTACAACTTTGAAACAAACCTTGTGAACCCCACATCGTCGTCACCACAAACCACCACAATGGCACATTGTCTCCTGCGAGCGCGAAGTACTATCTTCCCCAAAGCCTCCCCCGTTTTGCAATTTCTGCGGTACAAACATGCTGGCCAGGCAATGACGATGCCGTCGTCGTCGAGGGTACAGCGGAGTGCGTCGGTGGCTCAAAGGGAGCTTATTGGAGATGCGACAACAGACATTGGGCTACTTACTGGTAGCGTAGGCCCTATTTTCCCTTTAGTCGTTCCCTTATTGAATAGAAATATCAATTTCTCATAGATACATTTATTATGCCCACTGGGGCGAACTTGCCTTCGTTATTCAGCAAGCCGGGGGAGCGCCTCTCCTTGATCAAGTTCCGAATAAAGCAGCGCCTCTATGATATAAGAGAGTAAGTCAACTATAGCAGAGATTCCTTTTACATACCTCCAGAAAAAATCATAATTTTTATTTCACAGTATGGCGGTCTTCAAATGGACTACAAAACAGAAACTTCGGATTTGGGAGCCTAAAAAAGTAGCGCCGTCGCTTCACAAGGACATGTACACCGCTTTCGCCGAGTGAGAGGCCTGAATTCGTTCCCAATGCCTACCTAGACTAATTTGAAAAACAAGTGGAGATTTAGACAGTCTTCGGCTGCTGTGCGGTGATGGTCTACTAAACTCGTTTCAGAAGCGAATCGCAGCGCGGAGACACACTCAAATGAAATGGAAGCTACACAAATTGTTAAGTAGACCAAAAGTCGTCTCTAACAAAGCACATCACTATATGGGTTATGATCAGGACAGACGGCAAGCTATTGTCAGGATCCACTCACTGCAGGTTCTTCCCCACGCACATACTCCGCAACAGCATAAGATAAAGTACTAAGTCTGCATACAGAGCCTTTCCAAATTCGACGCTCAAGGAAAACTCCTTAAGGGCGAGCCAAAGGAAGTTGTCGAATACTTAGTAATTGAGAAAAACTATCACATGGGGAAGGAGAGTCCTTGGTACGTCTGGGGGACAACCGAGGAGACTACAAGTACGTACCTTTTTTACCCTCTTTTGTGTTCAAGCATACTGATTTTCCGGCAAGTGCAACGTTTCATTGAGGAAAATAGGAAGAAAGAAGCTAGAACCAAACACGCTTATCAATAAATCAGAATGGATGTCTGATAGAGGGCACTATCATTGATAGAGGGCACTATCATTGATAGAGGGCACTATCATTGATAGAGGGCACTATCATTGATAGAGGGCACTATCATTGACATGTATATTATAGCCCTACATGGATATATTTACAATGATGTATCAATGCAGTACATAAACTTTACTTTTCATGTTTAGGACTAGCCCTCGGTCCTGCCTGCCACAAGTAGGCTATTTGATGTAATAAATACCTCGCTCCTAGAACATATTTTGATCTATGTAAATTTATATTATTTACTTTGCGATCAAATGGTTTGACACAAGGAGTGATTTTCTATCCCAGTTTTTGAGAAAGCTACATGTATGTATGTAGGTACATGACCCTGGAATTTAGTACTGCCAGATGATTCCCCTATGTATCAAGTTATCTTTTACTGATTGGTATAAGTTATATCTTAAATTGGTAGGCTCTGGGGCTATTTGAAAATGGCTGGTTTTGGCGTTTTTTGGTGTGGTTTTGCTTCGCAACGATGATCTACGTCCAAGAACTATACATACTAGCAAAGACGCTGCGCAAAGTCTCCGGGTCCCGTAACGCTTAATCGTAGCCCTCCTATACGTAACCGGAGACTTTGCATCTTTGCTAGTACCATAGCTCCTTTGATATAAGGAGGATTTATATAGTACCTTTCATCATCCTTTGCGGTAACTCATCTAGGCTTAGTACTGTAACGTTGCTTTGGCGAACTAGAATACATGTATGGCGCGAGAAGGCATAGGGGGTGGGTGTGTCAACTTCAGAGGAACTTTTTTTGTATGGGAATTAGAGAAAATTCCACCGTCAGGCTAGGCGCTAGTACCATTATGGGGGTAGATCTCCCAATTCCTATAGATTGATTGGCTGCAAACGCCGAAGTTTACACACCTACCCACCATAGCTTCTCGAGCCATATGTGCTCGAAGATCAGGATTATTACTTACCATACGAGTGATATTTGATGAAGGATTTTAATAGTACTGGTCCTCGAAAACCGTACATGTATTCAACGAACAAGCGTAAGCCTACATATACTTATGTTATTTGAGAGGCTTGGCAAACGTATTTTGATTTGATGGATCATGTACATATGTAGTTATGGCTAATCTATATCTCTGATTACCTACTAGTACATGCACAGTCAACATGAGTATAATTATAAGGACCGGCATGGTATTAAACATCTACACCATCAAAATCTCGATGGTAAAGAAAACTCAGCACAAAGTTCCGCTCAACTCGCACACTTAATGGATAGCTTCACCGGCCGCCTAGCAACGGTTAGCACATATATAGTCGATCACCTGACTTGCTTCTCAATCTCTATTTTTCTTTATAGTTACCACTGGCCGTTGGCCAGAGTCATATCGGAAAGTCAAGATCTCTAGTTAGAGCTCACGTGATCACCGTAAGGTCTCACTGATTACGCAATTGCATAATTATATAAGTCGATCTACTTACCACTTTGTCATTACAAAAGTGCTTTTTCTTCTTTTTTTCCCTTTCAAAACAATACTAGTAAATACTTCAGAAAGAAATTGCTGTAACAAAGGTTTTCTATAGTAACTCAAATATGTTACTGGTATTTCGAACTTTTCAAAACGAGTACTAGTCGACTACAACTAATTGCCCTTGAGCTTGCTACCACGCGCGCCGCGTAAGTATATGGCGTCTGAGAAAGTGATTTATAGGTTGGTGGTTTCTGAATAATCATATGGTGAACTATGAAATAAATATCGAGTCCCGAGTACTAGTGGATCCGGGAAGTAGAGAAGAAGAAAGATATTACACAGTTCTCATCTCAATCCTATTTTGTGTTTTGATGTCCATTTTAAATTTCGATATATCGCAGCCGCAAAACTCATCCAAAGATTAGCATATACTTAGAGCGAATAGGTAGATATATATATGTGCATCATGAGTTTCTATTTAGGTACTTGATTTCACGTAGCTCTAGAATTATGTAATTCTATCAAAGAAAGCTAAATGTTCAAAGAAAGGTTCAAGGGGAGGTCCAAACAAACACCAAACAAACAAATCAGTAAAGATAGCACCGTATAGACAAAGAGTAAAGGTCCAGAAAGACAAAAACAAATTAAAATTAAAATGTCATCGCACTGACAAAAGAAGATGAGCAGAATCTCAGATAAGCGTAAAATCCCAGACAACAAATATTACGGGTTCAAACCCCGTCAATCAAACAAAGAAGGAGGGTCGATGGAAAGAGAATTGATGGAAAGAGAATCGAGAGAAAGAGAATTGAATAGAAAGAAAATTGAATAGAAAGAGAATTGAATAGATAAACAGTGAAAGTCTATAGAAACACTAATCAGTCCAGGGAGATCGGATGGAATGAACAACCCTCACGGGTAGTATTCCAATTTAAAAATCCGCAAGGTTGTTGTCGGTGGCAACTCCCAAAGCATGATCAAATCCCTCCATTAAGGCATCAAAATTCTGGGCAGTTGGCTCTTGTACCCAGATGTTGGTCAGATCATCAAGATTGAGGTACCCTTGGCTTTGGTGTTGAATTGTTGGGTGTGGTGGTGGAGGTGGATGTGGAGGAGGAGATGGAATCGCCAGACTACTGCTGCGATGAATAGCTGGGTTACGGATATGCTCAGTATTATCACCAACCATAGCTGACCTCTTGCGGCGGCGAACAACATCTTCAGGTTTCCGAGGTGTATACTTATACCCAGGGTGCTTTACGTGGTGCTCTCGTGCAGATTTTGCGGCCAAATCCTTTTCTAGATTAGCAATATGAGCATATTTACTTGAAGAAGTGATTGTTTTAATTCACCTTGTAATGCTCTCTAATCTTAGGGTCAAGCTCTCGCCACCGTTGCCCGACAATCCGCGCTACAACGTAAATTGTCAATAAAATAATCAAAAGGCCCAAAACGAACACATATTATCAGATTCTGAAGGATAAATGAGCAACAAAAAACCTACAAACATCGTTGTTCCCAATCCCCGGGTATTTCTGGCGAACAGCCTTCATCTCTGTGTTGCGATAGATTATAAAACTATCCGCATCCATATTAAGCATCTCAAATCATTCGAAGGATTATACCAATAAACTTACGCATTCATAGGACGAGGAACATGCTCTAATAAATTCTTCTTGGTAACTCGACTCACGCCTTGCGCTGACAGCTGTGGATCCACAAAATTTCCATGGCCTTGGTAAATTGTTTCTGCAGAAGTGACAGTAGAGTCATAAACGAAGACCAGATCACCCTCATTGGTCTTAACACAAGGATAACCGTTTATATGGTTGGTTTTTTCTAAAACAGTAAATGTTTGGGGCCCATGGTCATCACTTTCTTTCCCTGGCCCTCGTTGGTCCAGAGATAAAACCTTAACTCTCAGGATATGGCCGTCTGATCCAGTGAAATCGAAAGAAGGAGGGTCACGGCGAGGTTTAAGTCCTGCCAATCTATCTAAAGCGGTCTTTTCATTTGAATTGGCAAAGCTCTGATTGATATGACCCATAGCTTCTTCGAGCATCTGTTCTGGCCGAAGAGTAGAGCTATTCTTCGGACGCAACCCAGGCTTTTGGAGGCCTGGAAACATGGAACCTCTTTATCGATGAACTGATAGGGTGGTAAGAGTAGAAAAAGCTCAGAGATGGGCGGCTAACAGAATAAGATGTTTCAAAGAGGTGACCGGAATAGTAAAGATCGAAGAAATTACGGGCGTGGTTGATATACGTCGAAATAGGTTTGATTTATATATATATGTTATAAATGGCAGAAAATGTTAGGTGATTAGAAATTGAACGATTTCTAGAAGGAAGTCAGTCAGATTTGAGTCTCTGTGAGCGAAATCGAGAGCAGTACCAGTTTAATCGTGGCTGTCGACCGACTACATATGAGCTGAGTAAAAGGCGCACGTAATCTGAGAGTCGGTCCTCTTGAATGCTGTTATCTCCTGAGCTTGAGCTTCTAGTATGTAGCTACGTAGGTGTTATATATATGTTGAGAACTTGAAAGTATTTCAAGGTGCGGTCCGTGTCCATGGTTGTTGTGAACAAAGAGAAGAGGCCCCTTGGTGAAATCCAAGCGAACTGGGTTAGGGCCCATTGAATGAAACATTGAATAAAGATAATTTAGCACTGTATAAGTAGCCAAGTTATAACGAGGCTACAGGGATGTTTGTTAACTATTTATCTTGCTTAGAAGACAGTACTAGTACACGTAACCTATTTATCTATTCGATCTGAAACTCTCCACAAAACATTCTGTAGAGACGTTCTCAACCCACAGTACCCCCGACCAACTCCATTAGCGAGTGAGCCTGAAGACTCAAATCAGACGCTCTTGTGGCTCTTGGATCGAGTGAAACAGAATAATTGCATATTCTGGAACACGCATATGGTGCACTGGTTGGTCTACGTAAATGTATATCAATATTAATTTAGTACATGTATTAATTGAGACTTGTATTACTCAGAAAAACTATCCCCACAAATTAAAGCTCTTATAATAACATGATTTATGCAAGATAGTTAAGACAGTAAAATACCAATAGAATTGGATATCAGTACAAAATTAATTTTCAACTATGTAATTGTACATGCCGGTACTTTGTTTGGGAACATCTGGTATGGTATGCGGTTGCTAGCGCTAAACCCTTGCATCAATCAATAAGAGGCACATGCAGGTACCACTAGTCCACCATTTCTTTCCCTTATAAATTTTTTAACGTGTGAACACTAGGCTCGTCCCAACCCGTCTGCTTTCATACTTTGGGTACTTGATTATGTGAACACATGTACATCGACATAAACACATATATATGAGTACGTTTCCTACTCTTACAATCAATTATGAAATCGGAATAGAGAAAAACTGCGATTCTTCACTGAGAACCTCTCTCCAAAGGTGCCAGGTTTCGGATATAATCGTTCCATGAGTGCATGATGGAATTTCACTTCTACTGGCAACAATTCTGTTATTCTGATTTTTATAACTATCGCGTATCATCTACAACAACATTGACTGCAGGCGGTTTCCTACGCCCCTAAACGTCTCGCGCGGCATTGAAAGTCTGACCATCAATAGAAAATTTTTTGAAACGCTAAGTTACCTATATATGTGGTATCATTTAAAAGCCTTCTCGCGGACTTAATAAACCCATTATTCCTCAGGCTAGTAATTAGCTATAGTGCTCATCGACATATCGTAAAAAGAGGACAACCCATCGGTTATATATTCAAGACGGTGGTCAATGATTGGTTCATCAAAGGAACCGGCCACTAGTATATATAGTACTCTATGAAAAAGATTAGCGGATTTGATCGTTATATACACTGGGAGCGGGCCCAGCACACCTACCATACACCAAGAGAAGTGCGGGAAACGAGCATATAAATACTGGGCCTAGAGTATATTTTTTATCAATATAATTCTTATTCCTTCAATTAAGCCCCAGGGCCTCAAGACCCTTTTAATATCTTAGAGAAATTAACATTACCTATAAGTCACAGGAAAAAATAGGATAAGGCCCATCAGCTCCATATCACCCTCTTCTCGTCCCGTACCTATCGTTGAGACAGCCTTCATAGTTTTTCGATACTGAGTTGATAATGGCCAAACGATATTCATGAGGTCTCCACTGGATGGATCGAGGGATCCGGGAGTTTGCCAAAAGGCCAAGTACATATATGTAGTAAGCTGAGTTGATCTGATGCCTGAATTCCTCCCATTCTATCGGCTAGCTATGTTATACGGCTTTCCCCAAGGTACAGCGCATGTAGACTAGAACTCCTAAAATTGTGGCTGCATACCTGAATCAATTAAAAAAAAATTTAAAAAAATTAGCGGATATTAAACTCGGTGTCCCATATTCACCCAGCCCCAACTTCTAAGAGAAGGTAACGCACAAGTTAACAGATGTGCGGTAAAAACTACATATGATTAATTAAATCCCCTATGATCTAGATCTTCTGATAATAGCATTCATTGACAACAAGAAGAAGCTATTCCTGAGTTGAACAGCTCCATCAGCTTTAACCGCTGTGCACGTGCCGGAGTTGACTGGGCCACAACCTGGGAGTACTAGAGCGTATTTGACAACTGTCGATTCCGACAATTGACAGTTCGCCGGCTGCAATAGCGGTTTGCCGAACCGTCAATTTTGATTGATGAGGGTATCGGCACATGGTACCGGAACTTGGAGCTGGACTCTATCAATGCGCAAAAGGCCTTATGTCTCGATCTCGTCACCACTGATAATGGTCGAGATCTAGTAAATAATTTGAGAGTTCGTGAAGCATAATGTCAATTTTGCGACCCGCAACTGTCAAAGCCGAACAGTCAATTGTCGAAATCGACAGTTGTCAAATACGCTCTACTCCAGCTCATCATTTAGGACATTCGAGCTCCAAAAACGCATGTAATGCATACGACAAAAGGCCAAACACTTTTAGGGGGCTATCATGATCTGTTAGGTGCCTCCGTGCATGTATGTATACATGTAGTCTATGTTCCCTGACCAGCTGAGGTCATTAATGCCGTGGGCCAGAGCTAGAGTAGATGATTCCAGTTTAAACCCCTGATTATCTGAGTGGCCGATGGGAGAATCTACACCAATCAGGTTACCGGAAAATTGAGCTGGAGTCTTTTCGCAAATTCGTGGTTTCGAGAAACAAAATAGATCTGTAAACTGGCTTCCTAGTTAAGGTTTTTCATAAGCCTGGGTCGCTTCTAGAAACTCGGTTCCTGGGCTCCGCCCAAATTTAGTTTTGGATGGTGTCTGGGCCGAGTGATGATCCCATGAAGCAGAAGCCCTTGGACCTAGCGCCTGCACCCCAGTGACGACACACACCCCCGGTAGCACACGCACCAATCACAACAATGCCGTTAGCAACCTACCCCGCCAAGCACCCTCCCCCGGGAGTCTCCTTCATTAGCTAAGCAGCGCAACCCGATTCCCGAGGTTGAAAGGGATTTGATTTTCCGTGGGCATCGATACAATCACGAGCCCCTCCAAACCTCTTGGAAACGCCGCTCGCCGCACTTCACCTCTTCTTCCTCCTTTCCCATCCCATCTTGCCTGGGAATTTATAAGGAACCTCACCTATCCCTGCGGAATTCAATTCGCCTCTGGCAACTCATATCTAGATACACCTTACTACTCCATCAACTCCACTCACTCTATCATGTCCGCCTCAATTCTCTCGCGCACAGCCCTGCGCGCCTCCTCTTCGGTCTTCCGCCCCACCGCCGTCCGCACTCTTGCCTCCGTAGCAACATCACAGAGCGCCCCCGCCGAGAAGAAAGCCAATATCAAGAAGTTTGAGATTTACCGATGGAACCCCGATACGCCTGAGAAGAAGCCGTTCATGCAGACATACGAGCTCGACCTCAATCAGACCGGACCCATGGTGCTGGATGCGCTCATTAGGTTGAAGAATGAGGTTGATCCTACATTGACCTTCAGACGAAGCTGCAGAGAGGGTATTTGCGGGAGTTGTGCCATGAACATCCAGGGTAGCAACACCCTGGCCTGTCTATGTAAGTTTAACCACCACCCCCGGGCCACCCCGGCCAGGAACGAGTGATAGCTAATGAGTTTAGGCCGCATTGATACTTCGTCCAGCGCTCCCGTCAAGATCTACCCGCTCCCCCACACATACATCGTCAAGGATCTAGTGCCCGACTTGACACAGTTCTACAAGCAATACAAGTCCATCAAGCCGTACTTGCAGCGCAAGACTGCTACCGAGGACGGAAAGGAGAACCGCCAATCCATTGCTGACCGTAAGAAGCTCGATGGATTGTACGAGTGCATTTTGTGCGCCTGCTGCGCTACCTCTTGCCCATCATACTGGTAAGTTTCTCCCCCCCCCCCCTTTTTTTTCTCCAGTTAGATACTAACGCAACTGTTAGGTGGAACTCATCTGACTACCTCGGACCCGCTGTTCTCCTTCAATCCTACCGTTGGATCGCCGATTCAAGAGACGAGTTCAAGGCCGAGAGGAAGATGGCTTTGGAGAACGAGATGAGTTTGTACAGATGTCACACCATCATGAACTGCGCTAAGACTTGTCCCAAGGGTCTGAACCCGGGTCAGGCCATTGCTAACGTAAATCCACTCACTTCCCCGTACCTATAGCTTGGTGGATGCTAACTATTGTGAACAGATCAAGAAGGAAATGGCGTTCGGTTCATAGCTATGACGACGTGTAGATTTGGTTTTGGCGCTTGGGAGCGATGGGCGGTAGTGCTGTCTTTTTTTACCTGAATGCTATTAAACGCATGGCTCAAGAATCAAGGGCTTAAAAAACAAAAAGGACCGGCTATTATTGTTATTAAACAGAGGGGACTGCGATTCCACGAACCTTTTTTCTTTTTTTTTCCCTGTATATGGGTGGATGAATAGGGCAGGATAGCCGGATGTAACAACCCAGTTAATGTCATGTTTCTTTCCTTCTTTAGAGCAATCGAGTGCGCTTTATATTTGGACCTCTTTTTTTTCTTTTTCTTACTATTTTTGGTTTCCTTCACCATTTTGCACTCGTCTGTTTCGTTTCGTTTCACAGCCATCCATGTGCGTATCCTAGCGAAGAAAAATAGAGAAAAAAAATTAAAAGACATCACAACGGCAAGTTCTACAGCATAGTTAGATAAAAAGAGCCCCCCATTTTTTGATTTTTTCCCTTTGCAACTTCACATTTCAATACACATGCCTGCTTGCTTATTCTTTACACTCAAAAAATTCTATATTCCCATCGGAGTGAGGTGGGTGTCCGAAAAAAAGCTATCACCACATAAACCCTTTAGGCCTTTCCGGCAGCGATAATTCCTATCACACAATTAGTTGCCATTAACTCGGGCACACGATGAGAATAACGTACTCTCAACATCAGCAATGCTCTGCTGCAGAATCTGCTGGAGGGCCTTAGGGTTCTCGAGCTCCTTCTTGACCTTGGCAATCAAGGTCTCAGCGAGCTCCTTCTGCTCGCGCTGCTTAACCTGAGCCTCGTAGCGGACCCAGGAGTCGAGGACTGACTTAGCCTCGGACACGAAGGTGGTTTTCTGTTCGAGCTCAAAGGCCTTGGCCTCGAGTTGAGCAGTTTCCTATCCCTCCCATCAGCAAATCCATCCATTCAATATATGTCCCCCCCCCCCCCAAAATCCTTCCATATCCATCTCAATTCATCCATTGAATCCCTGCCCCATGTATCCCCACTCAGTACGCACCTTGGAAACCGCGAACAAGTCCCTTGTAACCTCCACAACAGTTCCCATCTGCCCAACGCTATCAATTCTGTCCTTCACAGCCTGGGTGTGGTCCGCTCTGGCGCTGTTCAAGATGTCCCTAATCTTGGCGACCTGTGTGTCGGCCCATTCCTTGTAGAGAGGTCCTCCGTACTTGGCGATCGCGGTGAAGACACTCAACAGACAGAAGGCGACGATGGTCTCCTCATTGACGACGTAGAGTTCGTTAGAGATGGCCCAGATGCTGACACCGGCGGCCGAGGAGAGAATGGCGGTCTTGCTGATGAGGGAGTTGCCGGGGAGCGAGTCGAGGATCGATTGGGCCTTTGTCTTTGGGTCCACAGAAGCCGGGGGAGTGGTGGACTGGAAGCGGACGGATGGGGCGGCCACGGTCAAACGGGGGAGGAGGGAGGTGGTGGGTCGGAGGCGTGCAGCACCTGTGCGGGGTTTGGGGGTTAATATCCACATTCTGCTTCCATCGGCGGGGGTGCGGGAGGCTTACCCGAGAGAGATTTGGCCAACCGCATAGACATTGTGGATCAGTAACGGGGGGGTGAGACAATTGCTTGTTGAGGGGAGATGAGGAGGTTTTTTGCTACGGCGATGGTTGATTTTGTTTTCCGGGTGATGAAACGACGTCGGGAATTGTCGCCGCCCGAGAATTATCAAATCAGGCTTGGGGTGGAGGGTTCAGGGTTAGGGTGGGTGTGCAGGGGTGAAGAAGTCCACTTGTTTCCGAGGTTATTGGGATTATCACTCGGCCGAAGGCACTGAAAGGACAATTCCTGCAATATATATACGGCAACAGTGAAAATTCTATAGAAAGAGCATCATTGATACCAGCAGCACAGCCCATTCAGTCATCAGCGTTCCATATTTAATTGAGGAATTTTTACATGTTCGGAGGCAGGCATGGAGATCGATCTAAACCACCGAAAAAACAGACTGAGATTAAGGAAATCGTAGACTTAGTGGTAATAATAAACCTGATAAAGAGAAAATTCTGAGGCTATATCAAGCGCATATGGCTTCTTTTCCATTAATACCAAGCAAGAGCCCTGTTTACGATGTCCGGTCAGATCGTGACTAGTTACCGTGACTTTCTATGATGTAAATTTATCGATTCTTTTCATCTATGTAAGAATTATCCCACCTGCGCAGTTCCCAGACATGTCCCAGCATCAACTTGCATTATGTGCAACGAAGACCGCCAATACATCTATACTTCCCTCGTCCCAGCGAACGAGATAACAAGTAGTGAAAGACGCAGCAGTGACTGGTAGTCACCAATTAAGAGAAGTTCTCCCTCAACGAAAGAAAATTAAGAACGAGTAAAATATGCCTGACCCTAGCTTTTCATTTAGTCCTTATTGTCCCTTCCGAGAGTAAAATCAGATCCATAATAAATATCTCATCGACACGCCTTCATACCCATCTATAAGTTTCTAGTGAGCATTGTCCAGGGGAAAGTCCAAAGCAATAGCTGCTTTCTCTCCCCTGTATTTTCTCATGTTCAAATCTTTGGGCCACTCACCCACCCAAACTGCCACAGGTCTGTATAAATAGTAAAAGAGATATAAAATAAAATAAAACGTACCGCCCGGAGACTGAAAAGGGAAGGTTAGATTCGACTATACATCTTCGAAATCTGCCTCCTCATCTGAGTCATCCTCCTCCTCTTCTGGCTCTGCCAGTTTTTGCTTCTTTTGCGCCGGCGCAGTTGAAGAATCATCATCCGAATCGTCTGCACTCTTGGTGCCCCCATTTCCATTCCCATTCTTTGAGAGGACAGCTGCGGCAGCTGCCACTGGCGGGGTTGCGGCATTACTATTAACGACGTCTTCGAATGCGTCTTCTTCCTCTTCATCATCGTCATCATCGTCTTCTTCTTCCTGTTCTTCCGCTTCCTCTTTCGCCTTTTGTGCGGCAAGTGCAGCGTAGTATTCCGCGATTGCTGTAGGTTGTCAATATAATTCTAACATAAGACACAGAGATAGAGAAGATAGTACCATCTGCCTGTACCCCATTCGCCCCTTCCGCTGCAGCCGCCTTCTTCTCCTCCTCTTCTCTTGATTTTGCAGCAATTCCAATTCCGTCCAGCGCCCTAGCCTCTTTTTCGGCGGCTTCTTTCGCACCTGCCGTAGTAATGGCTGTAGGGTCAACTGTAGACTGTGTATGCCATACCGGCAGTGCGTTCTTCTCGGCCTGCATCTGCTTCTTGGCTTGCTCTGCCGCCAACTCTGCGGCGGTTTTGTCGGAGGTGGAGGTAATGTTGATCTCGAGAGATGTCGTTGCATTGGCACGAGAAGTTGATGTTGATTTGCCACTGTTTGCCGGAATCGAAGAGAGCTGGTTCTTGTCGCGGGGTACGGGTACGGAGTTTGCAATAGCAGTATCAAAGTCGTTTCTAAAGATTCACTGTTAAGAACCCCCATAAAGGTGCGAAAGGGTGAATGTGCGCAGAGATACATACGCCGGGACCACCACATCATCAATCATTTTCAACAGCTCGATGATTTTCTTCATCTGTTCCATCAATCTCCCTAAGCGCTCCTGACTCGTCTTTACTTCAACACTATCATCATCGTCTACCAATCCTGTAGAGCACCGGTCGCACACAAACATCCCGTCATCGTCCCTATCCAGTGATACTGCATCGAGTACCGAGAACCGCTTTTGACAGCGCGGACACACATATCCCTTTGTGTCGGCATCCTTGTTCATTTTCTTCTCTACCTCTTTCACAACGCCATGCATTCGAAATTTGCACGCATCTATTGTCCCCCGAAATTCAACGTAGTAGTAGGTACGGTTCACCGGGCGCTGTTGTCCCTCCTTGGTCTCGGGACGGGTATGTCTACATTCTTCAGCTACCCTGGAGCCACTCGGAATCTCTGGGAAACATACACATTGAGCATGCGATCTTCTTTTAACTTTCCGCAAAGCTTGTGAAGATCCTTTGTCTGCAGGCCAAGTAGTCTCGCCAGCTCATCGTCGCGGACTCTACAGAAATCAGTAATTTACTCCCCCGAAACCCCCCGTAGCTATACTCAGTGGACATACGCGTTGTGTATCATGAGCGCATCCACGACCAAAATATGCTTCGTATCATAGAACGCGCGCGCAACGCATTTGACAAGCGATTTCGCGGTATCCATCGCGACCAGTTTCGAGTATTGGTTTTGTTTAGGGCTGCGTGGTATGTGGTGAGGGTAATCAAGCGAGCGAGTAGACAGGTGACAGCTTCTTTATTCTATTTCTATTTCGTTCAGGAGAATGGCGTACGTGATGGGCGATGTATGTCGACGGCTAAGGTATGGGGGCTGTATCTGTGTCTGGGAGAAGAGTTGTGTCGAGTCGAGAGGCTCTGTTGGTTGTTACGGGTGTCCGCGTCGCTGGGCCCGGAAAAAAGAAATGACGAATAAGGACCTCCGGGTTCTGGATCTGTGTTGTGGTTTTCTATTTTTTTCAAACGGGGGAGATCCCTGTCTGCATATGTACGTAGGCACACTTCTATGATGTGCGAATAATGGAGGGTGTGAGGGGCTAGCTTCAGCTTTTGTTTGTGTCAGAAATATTTGTTTCCTTTGTTTGCGGGATCGATCACGAGTGCTTCCATGATCGCACAATGCGGGCTGCCTCTCTGCATCGTCCTTTGCTGTCCACAGCCTGATAGTCAAACAGCGCACTGCTGGCCAAACATGACGTGCGCCTTAGTGTATGTTTATTGCATCTACATAAAGCTTCGGCCCTAAGTTTTGAGTGCCTCCTTAACGGATCGGTGGATACACGTGGTAACAAATAAGGATTTGGAGACCGAGTGATATCTGATGAAGTATCGATAGTTCCTGGCTGATAAACGAATAATTTAGAGTACCTACACTGACATGATCATATAACAATCATCACAAGAACGGAAGCTGCCAATCACATCAGGCAAAACATTAGATTGGTATTTACTCTCTCCCATATCATAAGAACTGGAAAACTCAGATAACACTACGTCGTACGTGATTACTTCTAAAAAAGAAAATCCTGTGGTGATACTCTCAATGCCAACAAATCGTGGTCAAAGTCCAAGTAAGTCCAGGCTTGAAAAGAACAAAAGAATTCCTAGAAATGTTACGACAATAAAAGTAGTACTTGAGATAAAGTCCTGACAGCACAAAAACTCCAACAGCGGCAAGATTCAATTTTTGGGAAAAGAAAAGGAAGTAAAAAGAAAACCTATAAAAGTACTAAAAAAGATTTTTAGAGTAAAACTACAAGGGCGACAAAGGTTAAAGTGGAAAAAATAATATGACGAAAAGCGAGATGGAAGAAGAGAGAGAAAAAAAAGAAAAAAAAAGAGAAAAAAAAACCTCCTGGCCCTAGACAAACCCTCGTTTTTCAATCAAGATCGTTCTGTAAATCCTTCATAAGACAAAGGAAATGTGAGTATAAAAGGAATAGGCGAAAAGAGATTCCCCCAGATACAAATGAGAAACACCCAGTGTAGAAGAAAGATTGTGATCTTTTTAGCCTTAGCCTCTGAAAGTTCCGCTTATCGTTTGGTAACTTTCATGAGTGGTAGAAAATGGAGACATTTACTCATTTCGAGGTCTCTTGTTGGGGTGAGGATTGTGGGAATCCCACTGTCCTTGGTTTCCACCCTGTGGTCCTCCAGGGAAAAACGCCGGGTTGAAATGAGGCGCTGGAAAGCCACCAGGTCCTGCTGCAGTTGGATAGGTGGTAAGTGAACGCGCACCGGTTTGGAATCCTTGACTGTTATACATACCCATACCGGTAGGGTTGAAACCGCCCATTCCCATTGGATTGAACATCGCGCCCATGTCGCCGCCGCCCATCTGGCCACCCATGGCTCCACCCATCCCACCCATGTTGTTTCCCATTCCCATACCGCCGCCCATGTTACCGCCCATACCTGGCATTCCTCCTGCCATCATACCGTTGGGTCCCATACCCCTACCACCACGCATACCACCTGCACCTCTCATCTGGTTCATACCGCCACGAGGAGGGAAATTGCCCCCACCCTGAAAATTTCCGCCGCCAAATTGCTGCATAGGCATTCCCTGTGCGCCAAAGCCGGTCATCGGGGCTTGGAACCCTTGCTGCGGGGAGCCTTGCGGAGCTCCAACGGGTCCACCGAAACCACCGCCGCCGCGATTACCCATAAATCCTCCACCTCCCATGTTTCCACGGGCACCTCCAAATCCTCCACGGTTACCACCTCTAAAGTTTCCACCTCCTCCTGCGTTCATACCTCCACCTGTATTCATACTTACGGGGGGCATGTTCGGAGGGGCAGAATGTCCTGAACGGTCATTACCGGCGCCGCTGCTGCCACTTCCTCCTCTACCACCCTGGAACCCATCACGAGGCCTGTCACGCTGAGGAGCATCTTTGGGAAGAGTGCGGAATGGATTAACAGCAGGATTTGTATATGAGACAGTATGACGCTTGCCCATGTAAGCTGGTTGATTCCCACCAGCCTCGATTTTGAGCTTGACGGCGGCCGCTGCTTGGGGTGAGGTAAATTCGACGAAGGCGACCCTAATAAAGAGAGATGAATGTCAGTGTGATAATTATAAATAAAGGCTTTCGGGGTCGTAACATACCCCTTAGATTTTCCATTCACTTTGTGCTCGCTAAAAGTAATGTCTTTGAGTTCCTCCTCACAGCCACACTGGTTAACCCAACCACGAATGTCATCATCAGTAGTCCACCAATGCAAGTCAGCGATATACAAGGCGCTGGTTGCCGTTGGGTCATATGGCCTGTCGTCTGGGACCTTTCTTTTTTGCTTCTGCTGGGTACTCTCCTCTTCTTTCACGTTATTTGAATTACCGGAGTTATCACCATCACCAGCGGCAGAGCCCATGTTCGTATCCTCACCAGTAGGCTCAGTTTTAACTTCGGTTGAATCGCCCTGGTTACCAGGATCATCGAGTAGTAACTCATCATCCTCCTTCTTGAACGCTGTAGTGGGTTCATCGGGATTGAGGTCCCCATAGATATCGATGTCGAAATCGTCGGCCATTTTGATATGGGTGAATTCACGAGATATGTGCGAAGTATAGACTGCTTTGTTTTTTTTAGGTGATTTGCTCTGCTTCCAAATTTCTCTTTTTCTTGCTCTGTCAAGGAACAAGTTACAGGAGGGTCTGTACAATTCATCTCGTAAATCAGCTTCCAAGAAGACATTGCAAGGTGAAATAGGCAGATTTCAGCATAGAAAGTAAAACAACGCGTAAGAATGAAGACAAAGTCTAGCAAAGCAGAGCGAGCAAAGAACAGGGGAGTAAAAGGAAGGCCAAACGCCAGAAAATAAAAGCAAAATCTCGCTGTCAAAATCCACGCCCAGGCTGGGTTCACCGCAACCCAAGCCTATACAGAACAAAAAGGGTGGTGATACGTACACTGCCGAAAGTGTGAATACTAGCTTGCTTCTGTCTATATCTCTCTCTCTCGTAGCACAGGATAGTCTTTTGCTCACTCGCTTGCTTGTTACACCAAGAAATGATCTTTATATCCCCAGCAAAAATGATTGTTTTCCCTCACAGGCGAGGATACAAGACTTGTCAGTGTGCTGCACCAGCGACAACAAGAGAATAAAGAAACAGAATGTCGTCTCAGTTCAAAAACAGAAGAGAAATAATTTGTCCACAATCAGAGCCCGATAGTACTCGATGATACGAGTCTTGAGTGGGAAGGCTGGTGAAGCTGGAGTGAGTCGCGTCTTCCTGGATCGATTGATGGAAGATAACGAATAGAAGTTACAAATCAAGGAAGGAGATGGATGAAGAGAAACCTTAAGGAGGAGGGGGGGACAAGGAGTGGGTGAGCAGATGGGAAAGGAGGTTGAAATGGGAGTACGCGAGCAAAGAGACGCACGCAGCTGGGGGAAAGAACGGGTGAAGGAGGGTGACGAAGATCCGGGTTTGACCAGGCTGGGAAAGCTATGCACCCTAAACCCTTCTTGGTACGTTTTGCCCGCCACCGTCAACTGTGTCACCACCCAAACAGCATCCAAAAAAAGCCATGGAAACGCTACATAGTATTAGTCGGCGTGATTTGCGTGTGTAGTTACCGGCATTTCCATTGAATATTATCAATTTGTATTGCTGTTCCCTGCATGCATGAAAACAAAATAGTATACATACATGTACATACACGTTTGTTGTTTTCATGCGATGACATGACAGAAACTCTAAATGATTGCCTGATGAGGTTATCCGTCGTCTCCAAATTAATGAGGGAGGGTCTATGTCTTCGAGGGTTTCACTCTGCACTACATGTAAAGTAGGTATTTACTTTACAGTGTGCATTATATAAGCTCTGAGGTTTCTATTAGAGCTGTCACGTACAGCAGGCTCTTTATTTCTCCATAAATCTATACAGCAGATTAAAACGTAGCTAAATGCTCATTGTAGGCACGAGCCCCTGATCATGATCAATAAATATAGAATATACAAGTAATTTCAAGTATATACATGTATCTAATATAGATAGCAGGGTGTGAAAGTTAATATTCAGGACAACTTAAGCTTTTTGCTCTGGGCTTCTGTTTTATGAGCTTCTACAAATTGCTGTTGAGTCGAACATGTAATGTAGAGTGCATTCGCCATAACAAGGTGTAATTGCGGTTCGCAGAATGCCTCATCTGATATTTGATATCTCTATAGATTACAGCTTAGTGGTTGATCAGAGCAAACGCTAACGGACAAAACTTGACAACTGCAGGCATTTGTCTCAAAAACTATCTGCCAAGATATGGCAAGTTAGGCACCCTATTTTAAGGGTTCTGGTGGGAATCGACCACGTTTTCACGAGATTATTATCGAGAAGCGTATGTGCATGCCTATCAAAAGCGGAGGCTCTAATTCAAAAAAGATGTTTAAAAAGAATAATGTATTTACTAAGAGACAACCCAAATCTTATGGCCCAATGGTATTGCTATTCTAAAAGATTTACATCGATGGCCGCTTTTGACTGCCACCGCGTTGTGACTGAATTGTGGGTGAGCTACCCTACTCGCACGAGTGAACTAATCGTCCCGCTTGTGGTAGTTGACTGAGTCGTTCCAGCTAATTCCAGAAGTCAGCAACAGCTTTGAAGCATCGTAATCAATCATTGGCGAGTTCTTACAAGATTGTCTATAATCATTAGCACTTTTCAACAGAATATGAAACTAGAGACAGAGAACTAACCTTATCACCATCACCCCAAAAGTAGTTCTTGGACCTGATGTTCTGGTAAGGGTATTCAGCACGCTCCTCAAGGGCAGGCATGTGTTTCCAGTGCTCCCAATGTTCGTTCCAAAGATTGTAGGCGTTGATAGAACTGAGGACTAGGCATGGTGGAACAACACTGTATTTGTATCAAGGATGATTGAGTCAAAATCATTCAATCTCTGCTATATGTCGCTTTTTTGAAATGGGGCTGAGGTAAGACAAACTAGAGGGAGATCTTGCGCCAGAGTTCTGGATATATGTCAGTAGACTTCATCGATTAGTATCATATTGAGGAAACGAACCACTTGATTCAGCGGCATGGTGCTTGACAGCTTCTCTTTCCTTGACAAAGGTACTTTCAGTTGCCTTGGAAGTCTCGGAAGCGAATCTTCTGGCCTGGAGAGCAATACGCGATTGCTGTGGCCTTGCGATAACGCGGGCGGTTGCGCGGGCGAGGGTCTGAGTGGAGAGCATTATGATTGTTTGAGTTCGGAACAGAAACGTTGAGGGGAAAATCTGGCCGAGGATGGCGTGGGGCGATGGGGTGAGGTTTTCAAGATTGTGATTCGGACTATATTATATAATAAATGTGTCATGGTCTAACCGATGACGGCATCGGCGCTCCGGGGTAGTGGAAGAGGAACTCAGTATTACATAAATATTCTAAGAGTAAGAAACAGTACTGAAGGTTCTCGGTGAAAAATTCTTTAGCTAGAAAATTTGAATAATATTTCTAGTGTTGTGAAACACGTATGTAGCTTAGAACGTGTGATATCATAAAGATGTCGCGTCTCCTCATGACTTCCGCCCCCCCAAGCCTAGAAAACACTGTAACCAAGTGGTACCTAACCATTCTTTGTAAAACCAAAGTCAAGAAAATAGAGTAATGAGTTTACGAATAACAACATGGAATGGTAAGTAATTCTTTTAAACCTAAGGAATCTAGTTTACTGACTGCGCAATGGTCTTGCTACAGTCAATGGTATTCGGTGAGGAAAATTGACCAAAGATTCTGAGGCAAATCTGATTTCAATTCCCAGAAATCCATTTTCACACCACCCGTGGTTTGGCAAGACCTTCCAAGTATGTTTTCTTCAATATCAAACAGCATGTTTCTCATTCTTATCAAGTGTGTGACTTTCCATGAATTAGGCAATGTTCGACACCTTAGAAGCCGATATCGTCTGCATCCAGGAGCTTAGAATACAAAAGAAAGATCTTAAGGATGACATGGTCCTAGTTCCGGGCTGGGATTGCTTCTGTACGTTTCCCAAGCATAAGAAAGGTATGATCTGGTGTAGATGTGTTTCTTTAACGAGAACCGTTGTTGAAGCCCAACACGGAGCTATGCAGGCTATAGCGGTGTAGCAATCTATACCCGTCAATCAAAATGCAATCCCGTGAACGCCGAGGAAGGCATAACTGGAATTCTCGTACCCCCTGGTCGCGACGGAATGACATACTTATCCTTGCCATCGTCTGAGAGCATTGGTGGTTATCCCAAGCTTTCGCCCGAGGAAGCTACCTTACTTGATAGTGAAGGCCGATGTCTTATCTTAGACTTTGGGGCATTCATCCTAATCGGTTTATATTGTCCAGCGGATACGGACCCAGCTAGGGACGATATCCGTATTGCGTTCGCTGCGGTAGTGGATGAACGGATTCGAAACTTGATAGAGGTTGAAAAGCGGAGAGTAATAGTCGTTGGAGATATGAACATTGCGAGAGATGAGATTGATAATGCCGCTGCAAAGGAAATTATGATGGAATCTAATTTAGACAATTACAAAGACACGCCAACACGCCAAATTCTTCACAATTTGTTGGAGCCACATACTAATGGTGTCATGGTCGACCTTTGTAGAGAGTTCTTCCCAGAAAGGCGTGGGATGTACACGTGTAAGTCATATTTTGCTCAAACCTGGCGATTTTTGAGGCCGAAGACTTCTTCGAGCGCTGTTTCCGACAATATGATATCAAATTCGAGGGGTTTCTAATGACATTTATCGGCGGATATCATTGCTAACCAACTCATAGGTTGGTCTGTTAAAGAAAACGCAAGGTCAGTTATAAAGCTTCGGGGAATTGGTATTGCGAGATACTGAGCACCCAGCCTCCAAAACACAGATATTCCTATTATTATCATATCCACCTTGAAGTGAAGTGAGCTCCAGAAAGTATTGTTATCAAAATCTAACGCCTTTATGTTTCTTCTAGGCCAGGAAACTACGGTATTAACACATCTGAATAACACATCGTACAACTGCTGAAGGTTTACCATGTCTATAGGGAAGCGCATAGACTATGTATTATGTTCTTCAGACATGAGAACATGGTTTAAAGAAGCAAATATACAAGAGGGTTTGATGGTAGTGACTTACGTCTCGTTTTAAATCTCTTCATAAAGCTAATTCTACTCAGGGTTCCGATCACTGCCCAGTCTATGGAGTAATCAGTGAGAAAATAATCGTCGGGGAACGTGAGCAATATCTTCTTGATATTGTAAACCCCCCTGGCCTTTTTGTTGATGGAAAGCGCCTGCCTCATAAAACCGCCCCGAAGTTAAAGCTATCTGCACAAGCATCTAGTGAGTATGCTACGAGGCAGAATATACGGGACATGTTTTCAAAAGTTGCGGCCCAACCAAGCTCCAGTCTCCAAGCGAAAAAAGCTCTTAATACTCATCCACTCTCAAACACGCTCGGAACATCCTTTGCGACTATTAGCGGATCCACGCAATATGACCCAGCGATTTCAGCGCCTTTAGGCACTACGAGAGAGCTTTCTAGTTTTCATAAAAGCCTGCCATTAGTCGGGCCGCCAGCAAAACGGCAAAAAATCGTTCCATCGGGCCCACCCGGGAAGAAACCCGTTAACGCGACCCCTAAGAAATCTCATGGCCAGCAGAGCTTAGTGAGTTTCTTTAAAAAGCAAACATCTACACAGGAGAGTTCAACTACGTCATCTGAACCTTCGTCGAGTCGGCAAAGTCCTAAAGGCCCATCCGCTTCGATTTCGAGAACCAACATCGACGCCGAATTGCAGGATGTAGATTCGACCCAAGATTCATACATAGATGAGGCATTGACAGAGAGTGGGCTCATAATGCCATTTCAAGAGGGGGAAGGCGCATTTCCTTTTGTTGATCCCATCGAATCTAAGGAAAAATGGTCACAATTATTCACAAGGCCTGCTGTGCCGAGATGTGAGGCACATAACGAGCCTTGTATCAGGTTAATAACCAAGAAACCTGGCCCAAATGTCGGTAGAGCGTTTTGGATGTGTTCGAGGTAAGGGTTTCCTCTTCTTTATAATTTATAATTTCTTATAATAATGAATGCATTGATTAGACCACTTGGGCCTAGTGGGAGCAAGCTCACTAGTGGCCAGGCAGGAGAATGGAGATGCAATTTTTTCAAGTGGAGTAGTGATAAACCTAAAGTTTAGATCGCCCCTTGAGTATTCCCCCGTATTCTAGGTGGGAATACGCCCAACGAATAGTAATTAAAAAGGAAGATTTACAACACTGTACGGATAGAGATACTCTCTATAATGGGCATATCTCACCATTCTGGGCTATAAATATAGAGTTAATTGTCGCATTAATTATTTATCCCATATGTCAATTAGCGTCCAAATAATTGGTATATCCGCTTGATGGATTCCGGAAATTTTTTTTTGTTAAAATATCTGTAGATTCAAATACTACTACATAGGTCTTTGTCGTCAACTATATAGTTAATCACCTTTGAAGCCGGGAGCATCTGTAATTCATATTCGAGTGGGTACAATTATATTTACTTAGGATTCTAGTCTTAACAAGAATTTAGGAAACGGTGATGGTTCACCACCGTGGTCTGCAACCTACAACAACCGATGGTACAAACGGCCGGAAAATCTATTTGATATTCCAGCCAATGCCGGAGAAATCGCTGAGTTTCTGGATAAACATCAAATATAATGTAGCATAAACACATGACCTGATGTCTTTTTCTACTGGGGTTTTACGGTGACGCTTGCGAGATCGGAATCATCGAGTGATATCCTATGATCCGGCACTAATTAATACTTTTGGGGCTTACTAGACTGGTATCAGTTGCGACACCAGGGCTCATCATATAATTCAGAGATGTAATCTTTGATCATATTTACAAGTAAATATTGTCATCAAGCCACAACGGTATCCAGCTTCTTTCCCTGGCTCCATTCCAGCGGCTTCGGGGTCATATAGCTCTTTACGACCTCGTCTGTGATAGCCTTCTTCCTTTCTTGGAATGCGGCAACAAACCCTTGTAGCTCTTTAACACATCTTGCCTTTAGCTCGCCCGTGAGTAATTCGCCTTTAAGATAACTTTGTCGGATGGATTCGAGCTCCTCATCGTCTTCAAGGAAGAATGTAAGGTATTGGAATGACACATCAACGTCAGGATTGCCACCAAACTTGCGTTGTTCTTCGGTAGTGGTTTGTCCTCCGGAGAAAGCGTACTTATTAATCTTCTTTTTACTGTGCAGAGTAGATCACAGGTTAGCACTCGGTTGGAATCAGGAGAGAGGGGAGGAATACATGGCGTTCATGGTATCATTCATGAATATAGCACTGGTATCGATTGATGCGCTCATCTTGCTTCCAGGGCCTCCGAGGGCAGGAAAGAACTGAGCATGAATCAAAGAAGGTTTTTGGTATTTAAGTCTACCTGCTACATCCCGAGTGAGGCGGAAGTATGGGTCTTGGTCGATGGCGCATGGAATCAAGGAAGGGATGTCTTTGACTTTACTGAAATCTTCCCCAAAAATGTGAGGGAATGTTGTGGCGAAAGCTGTAGAGGCTTGAATAGCTGTGAAGTGAAGCTTTCCAATGTTGTCACTACTCATCTTAATTAACATATACTTTCTAATTAGGGAAGGACGAGAGAGTTACATATCGGTGAAACCGAAAGTGGCTTTACTTTGGTTTGCTGTGATACACCGAGAGACCTTGACGACGTTCTCATAGAAGGCTCCTCCCATGAAATCCAAGTCGGAAAAGATAAAGGTCTTCTTTACGTCAAATCCAACAGCAATGATATCCCTAGCGTTATTTCGAGAGAAGCCCTTGACGTCTGCAATAGTGAGGTTCTGTTTGAACAAGAATTTCTCATCATCTGTCATCATGATGACCAGAGGAACGTTAAAGACGTCTTGTAGCCACCTAATAATTGCCCAGGTCAGCGCAGCAAAAACCAAACATTCCTAGTGTGTAATTACTTCGTAAACATGAAAGGAATCATATGACCCAAATGCATGCTCTCACTACTAGGCCCCCTCCCAGTGTATAGGAAGAATGGTTTCCCTTGCTCAAATCTATCGAGAATTTTCTCCAAATCTCTATGTGAGAAGAACATTCCTCTCCTCAGAAATATATGAGGTTTGTGGCCGGTGAGTTTCTCAAATCGTTCCAAAAGCTCGGGTGAGATACGACGGGTACCAAAATCTTTAATAAGCTTTTCATAATCAATCGCCAGGACCTTGCCATCAACTACAGCGCCCTTAACGTCGAAGGGGTCAATCTTCTGTTCCTGGCTAGCAGGAACTTCGGTAGAGACAGGAACTTCTTTGGATGTCGTAGGGAGAGCATTAGGCTCTAGAGTTGGGGGCTGAGGATCGTTTGTAGCCATCTTTTAAAAACGAGCCACTTGGTATTTGGAGTATTGTTGAAAAGAGGGGACGTATCCAGTGGATCTGTTTATTCGTATGACTGTTTTAGATTAAGCATCAACGGTTAAACTATTTTGGCGGGGTGCATGTGGCTGAGAGCATCGAGGGGCATCTCTACCAGCCACGGCTAGCCCCCAAATCCAGGTCACATGACCCATAGTATTGTCAGTGCTCGTAGATCATGGCTACTAGACTCCACCAATCAGGTTACCAGAGAGCTGGAATCCTCTTAAAGCAGTGATATAGAGTACCGATATTTCTGGGTTATACGCCCATGAGCTTAAAGCAAAGTGGTGGGAGAAAAGTCAAAGGAAACTGGTATTCTCGTGACTTAAGCAAATCAGCAAGCATTTTCTACCAGTACTTTGCTTTAAGCCCATGGGCGTATAACCCAGAAATGTCGGTAATCCAATCCATTGTGAGAATTTAACTAGAGTTGCGAATCAAGCTTTGCCCGCCGCGCGCCGAGGTCATATTTGTCATCGCACATTTACACAATCACCCCTAACCCAAACGTGGCCTTTACCCTACCAAGTTCAGGCACACCTGAAGACTAGAGCTAGCTAAGAGCATCTCCGGAATTATCCTTTTAACGACACGATTGAATTTCTGGACCCCTCGCGGGCTTATCTTAGGAGTTTCTCCTTCAGATTCAAACAGTTCAAAAAAAATAAACATGCAGCAATCCGGCTTTCGTTCGGCGCCTGTTTCAAAAGCGTTCCTCTTTACTCTTGTCGCAACTTCTCTTTTGGCCTCAATCGTTGATGTCAAGCATTACTTCCATATCCAAATTGTACCACATCTTTGGGTCTATAGACAGCTATGGCGCGTATTGATATGGCAGGTGTGTTCCTGCTTTTAAGCCCCTTCCCATGGTCACCTGAGTCGGACCTGACAGTTATCCGCAGACATGCTATGCCAACGCCGGTGAGCTCTTATTTGCCTCCCTAGTAATCTATCACCTCCGTACCATCGAGCGCCTTTTCGGCACGCGCAAATTCTCCTCCTTTCTTGTCTACTCCTTCATTGCAACTTCGGTCATAGCACCTATTCTCCTTGCGCTTATCTTCCGGCCCTTCACAGCATGGCATATGAACTATCTCCCTCCAGGGCCAACACCAATCATCTTCGCTGCGCTCGCTCAATACCACGCCAGTATTCCTGGCATCTACAAATTTAAATTACTCACTACGAGCTCCTCTGCCGACGGCGATGCCGATGCTCCCGGCATCACATTGTCTGACAAATTTTACGTTTACTTCCTGTCTGCTCAACTGGCACTCTGCCAGCCTCCTGGATCCATGCTTTCTGCTGCTGTAGGATGGGTTGTTGGTTATGCATGGAGAATGGATCTTTTGCCGAAGAGTAAGTGGAGATTGCCGAGTTGGCTGTTTACAGATAGCCAAGCTGGCGAGTTTGAAACTTTAAGGAGAAGGTTGAGGGACCAAGACGGAGTGACGACAGGGGCAGCCCAGACAGCTGTGCCCACAGCACCAAGACCTTTGGTGAGGCAAGTTTTGGATCAGTTCAGGGGTTCATTTTAAATGGTAGTGGCGAGTTACGAGTTTAATGGAGAGTAATTTTAGACACAGATCGGTGTATAGTATTAGACGCTTCAAATGGATCTGTACAAAACTTTGAATCTATTTATGTGTGATCTGGAGTTGACACTCGCCATTCTGGTCCATTGCGTACAATTCTACATGTTTGCATATATCCTGAATTTATTTAAGGGTCAAATAGGCCTAAAAACTACAGGCATTGTTTAACCATTATTCTTCTGGGTTTGTGGGATGAATTAATCGATTTCACTCCTCTTCGAGGCTGTTTATAAAACTTAGAACCAGCTAAAATTACCCCGACCCTAGTCCCAAATCGAATACTTTAATAATTTTACAATTAAGTCGAGTTCGAATACTTAATACCTCAGGATCTTTAGGCCCGTTTGAGAGCCGTTCAAAACAGAGTTATTGGGGCTTAAGGCTCCGTTCTGAGAAAATGGGTTGTGTTTGGAGACCCATTTTGCGGGCCATGAAAACGCAAGTTTCCAATAAGCATGCGCAACTAGGACCTACTTTTTCGCTTAAAACTCCGTTTCGTGAAATTTCTCCGTATCACAACCATTAACGGAGGATGGTTGGGCGTTGTTTTCTACTGAAGCCAGCTCCCAAACGGGCCCTTATAAACACAAAGACGTTAATCGATCATTAATCAAGTATTGCTAAGTGTAGTGTAACTCCGGATGCAGATCCAGTATGATGAAGGTATCAAAATTCACGTAGAATATTTACAAAAACATGTATGTGCATAAATTACATGTGTGATCGAACACTCTCCGTGTGCGAGTAGACCGGGCAGGCCTCGAGGTACTGACATTTTATGAAGGGAATTGGGTGCATGTGATGTTTCCACAAATTAAAACCACGAAATCTTCGATATAAAAGATATACTACATGTACTTTGGGGCACACATTTTAAGCTAAGACATATGATCTCTACATTATATGTATTCATGATCACCATGTATGTAAGATCCTATTAATGTAATACAAGGTCTCCGCACATTTTCTAAAGAGAGAAAGAAAACAGCACAATATATTGTTATAGTGATTAGTTTGGGTTTCAAGACCTTCAGATATTTCCCCTGACTGTTAAATCTTATTGCATCGATTTTGTAAGGTTTGTAATAGTTTGTAGTTGTACAGTCATTTGAAAAAGGGTGACTAGCTTTGAGGTGTAGGTACGTTTTAAATTTGTAATTTATGTACTATATATAAGCTCTAGTCATGAGGGATCACTCAGCTTTGGGAGCGCCCCAGCCGATTTATTGAACGATAAGATTAGATCCTAAGACACGCACGACGTTGAATGACGACGCATGAGTGCTAGTGCGGCTCCAAGGCACCCCAACGTTCAACCATCTCGCCTGTGTCCCGATATCAGAGCACGATAAGGATACCATTTTGTATGGCCGTTACAAGCAGTCGTTCCAATATTACACCAACATACACAAAATTGCACTCTACTGATATAACTACAACGTGAGCGCCACTTCACGTATTCTCTGCATGTTGCAAGGGCCGAAAAGAAGGAAAATCCAGTCTTATTGATTGGAGGTCTCCGAGGAAGAAGCTAGCTCAGGGGAAACCATACAGGTTAGAACGAGCTTAAACACCTGTTATATATTGTCTTGCTAGCTTGAAGTATGGCGATACTAGGTTTGTTAAGTCCGTGGTGAGCTGTATGCGTGTCAGAATTTAATCCATAGTGTAGATATATTCCTTGGATTACTTCACGTAACCGTGATAGTTCTACACCTGTTGGTAGCACCATACACGAAAGTCGAAGAATCGTTCAATTTGCAAGCGACCCATGATATATTGCGGTATGGTATATCGACAACCAACGTTACAGCGTCTCTCGTACAGGATTATGATCATTTTGAGTTCCCTGGAGTAGTCCCAAGGACCTTCGTTGGCCCGGTTGTGTTGGCTGGACTCAGTAAGCCAATAATTGATCTATTTGGGGATTTCATAAACGATCAGGTTATCGGTGCGTATTTAAAATTCAGTTTTTGAACTGGAAAAAGTATTGATAGGTGAAATGTATTTAGTGCGAGGTGTCCTTGGACTACTCACTGCGCTCTCGCTGATCCTATATACTCGCGCCATACGTCGTGCATACGGCCGTACAACAGCAGTATTCTACACTCTCCTTCAGATATCGCAATTCCATCTACCGTATTACGCTTCACGACCACTACCAAATACCTTTGCTTTGATACTTTCTACCACGGCGCTATCTTTCCTCCTTCCACGCCCTGGATTCACTCCAAAGCAACGTAGAGGGACTTATAAGCTCGGAATCTATATTCTCACCTTTACTGCCGTAGTATTCCGCTCCGAACTCGCAATATTACTCTTTTTTGTAGTCTTGCAACTACTCCTCACACGTCGTGTCTCTTTGTTTCGAGATGTTATTCCTGCCGGAATTGCTGGGGGTTCAGTGGGTCTTGCAATAACACTTACAGTTGATTCATATTTCTGGCAATCCCATAATCCAGAAGTCAGACATTTCACGACCCCGTTCCTCACCGAAAAAACAGGCTTGATCTGGCCGGAATTATCGGGATTCTTGTACAATGCCATTGAAAATAAGTCTTCAGAATGGGGTGTCTCTGTGTGGCACTACTATTTCAGCTCTTCGTTACCAAAGCTGCTACTAAACCCGTCGGTATTACTCGTCTCGTTACCATTCTGCCTTTACGGGTTTTCACAGACTGCAAAAGAGCTCCTGATCCCGGCGTTGGGTTATGTAGCGGTATATTCGTATCTGCCACACAAAGAATGGCGATTTGTTGTATACATAATTCCTGCGTTAACGCTATGTGGCGCACTTGGAAATGCGTGGATATGGAACAGGAGGACCAAGAACGCCATATATGCACTCCTGGCGATGGGAACTTGCGGTTCCATCGTGCTGGCGGCATTGGGGGGGATGGGTATGATGCTCATTAGCTCGTGGAACTATCCCGGTGGGGATGCAGTGACGAAGCTACATCATGTTTTTACTAAAGAGGGAGTAAGTGGGGTAGAGACCGTCCACCTAGACACATTTGTTTGTATGACAGGTGCTACTCGGTTTCTACAAGAACGTCCGTTGATCTCACTTTCAGCTACAGAAAACGATAAGTGGAACACAGCGATCAAAGGGGTTGTATTTGATAAGACAGAGAACGAAGATGATTTACTTTCGGCGAAATTTTGGGAAGATATCGATTGGGCCGTCACCAGTGATGTTTCGCGTGTTATTGGGAAATGGAGGATTGTGGATAGTGTTGTTGGTTGGAAGGGTGTTAAAATTTATAAACCCGGTGAAGTTGTTCATGTAGGTGCTATAGGGATAGGGGAGAAGGAAGCAGAGGAGTTAGGGTTGGTAAAAGAAATGGAACCTTCAACTGTGTGGTGGAAGAGGGCATTGGAGGATGGGTATGGGTTAAGAGAAAACATATTTAAGGGTTACTGGGTAGGTGTGAGGATTGAGGAAATGGTTTGGATTTTGAAGAAGGAGACGTGATTATAGCATTTCTTAGTTTATTTCATCACCTTGCATGTATGGCCGGATTTTGTTTCTCTTCATTCAGGTTTATTTTAGTTGCTTGATATCAAATCCATGACTTTGAATAATTGTAGATGAGTATCAACGCGGGGCAATTGTCATCTACATGTAGGTGTTATTGTTACCAGTGTTTGGGTCACCAAGAAACAGGCGGTATACGAAAGCAACAACTTATAATATAGTAGCAGTTAAGTACTTGTTAAGGTTTATCGCTAAGGCTACGCGTGAGTATAGTACATACATGTAGTACATACCTGTAGCTGACGGAGGCTCTGCTGAACCCTCACCCTACAGGCGCTCAAGCCACACCTACTACGCAACTCTTCCCCCGCTTGGTGCTAGGAACATCACCAACCTCTCAACCACAACAGCATCAGCATTCTAACCTATCACGCTTCTCTTCTTCCCCTGGGTCTTTTTTTTCTCCAGCTTCATCAAAATGGCTAATCAAACTCCCGCCGTTGTCATGGACAAGTGAGCACCTTTGTTTAATGCATCGTTTACTTAAGCTAACTGTCCACAGCGGTACGGGTTACTCGAAGCTAGGTGTGTCCATGTCAGTTGTTCAATGCTTTCTACCAGCATGCTAATAGCTCATAAATAGGGTTTGCCGGGAACGATTCCCCATCCTTCGTCTTTCCCACTGCCATCGCTATAAAAGGTCCCACAGGTGGAGGGGGTGGTTCCGGTTCGGGACGACCGGCAGTGGCTCAGAAGCCATCGTACCTTACCGGAGGAGCCGGACCGAGTGGGCATTTAAGTGCGAAGAGGGGTACCGAGGATTTGGATTACTTTATTGGTGATGAAGCACTTGCACAAGGCAGTGGACCGGGTACGAATCTGCTATTTTGTTGGTCGGTTAAGGAGGAGGGACAGACAAAGGAGTTAGCTTGGTGGACAATTCTGTGGGCCATAATGCTGACATGATGTGCTATTAGGATATGGAGTTCACTATCCCATTAGACACGGCCAGGTTGATAACTGGGTATGTGCTTTACAGTTGCTTCGAAGTTCAATGGTAGCTGGGGGGGGGGGGGTTGTATTTGCTAATTAGCTTTGTAGGATCATATGGAGCGCTTCTGGCAGAATTCCATCTTTAAGTACCTTCGAGTCGAACCTGAGGACCACTATTTCCTCCTCACTGAACCGGTAATTCCCATCTACCATAATTCTACAACGTACGAAGATGCTAAGCCCTTATACCACAGCCCCTAAACCCCCCAGAATCGCGTGAAAATACAGCCGAAATCATGTTCGAAACCTTCAATTGTGCCGGTTTATATATTGCCGTGCAGGCTGTGTTAGCACTGGCAGCGAGTTGGACCAGTAGCAAGGTTCAAGACCGAAGTTTGACGGGAACTGTGATTGATTCTGGTGATGGTGTCACTCATGTTATCCCGGTGGTACGTCTCCATATGATCAATTGGAATTGCACTTCACCCATTGACGTCTCATATAGGCCGAGGGCTATGTCATTGGTTCATCCATCAAGTCGATCCCTATTGCCGGTCGCGACATCACATTCTTCGTACAATCTCTCCTACGTGATCGTGGCGAAGCGGATTCATCTCTGAAGACAGCCGAGCGCATCAAGGAAGAGTTTTGTTATGTCTCTCCCGACATTGTGAAGGAATTTACACGGTTTGATAAAGAGCCAGAACGGTTCCAGAAGTATGTTGTCGAGCAAGCCGGTGGCCGCAGCGTCACAGTGGATGTGGGTTATGAACGATTCTTGGCGCCAGAGATCTTCTTCAATCCGGAAATTCATTCGAGTGATTTTTTGACACCATTACCGAACGTTGTGGATACTGTTATTCAGTCCAGCCCAATTGATGTGAGAAGGGGGCTATATAAGGTACAGTTAAATACAGAGAATTCCTATATATATATAAAAGCTCACACTACTTAACTGCTTTAGAATATCGTTCTTTCCGGCGGTTCTACTCTATACAAAGATTTTGGCCGCCGTCTCCAACGTGATATCCGCCACCTGGTTGATGCGCGTATCAAGAAGTCGGAGGAAAAGTCTGGTGGAGTGAAATCTGGAGGCCTTGAGGTCCAGGTTATCACACACAAGAGACAGCGCCACGGTCCATGGTTTGGTGGATCTCTATTGGGACAGACCCCAGAGTTCAGAAGCTACTGCCATACCAAAGCCGAATATGATGAGATAGGACCTAGCATTGTTAGAAGATTTGCGTTGTTGGGTGGGCCAGGTCAGTAGAAGTTCAGAAGATGGGATATTTGAAAGTAGAGGTAGAAATTAGTATGAGTGGAAGGGTGATTGAACAGGTGAATAAGCATGGCTAGCGGAAAGAATTTATATACCGGTAAACAGTAAAATTGTTTTTCTTTTTGCATTCGTACCTCTTGGTAGTTGAGTACTATGGTGTTTTTTTTTTTTTTTTTGCAGGCCTAATTTGAGTGAGTTAAAATGGTCCAGAAACCGGATCAGGGAGAGAGTGGCAAAGGCACAAGGATCCGTGCAGAATTTCTGGATGGATTGCTTAAATGCCCCTGCGTTACCGCGTCTCAGACAACCTCGAAGCCGTGTGTCTTTGACATTGGATACAAACAGGTAACCACCAGTGGGTGTTATCGTTGAGATATTCCCATATGTGATATGTACTATTCTGCAGAGTGGGACAAGTATGCAGGAAATGGGCATGGGGTTAGAAATCCCAAGGAACATACATGTACCTAGTATGTCCGAATTGTTAACCAGCCAATCAGTATTTGATCTATGCAGACGTACGTGCACGGCAGGAGCAAGGCTGAGAACAAGTATGTACATATAGCACAGCCCGGTGCTATATACTTCCAACATCGAACATCCTGCATATATATCCGACCATCCCCACTTATTGAGCCCTGAAACCCGGCTACCTACCGTCTAAATTCTTTTTTCACCTTAAGGCGTTCCCGGCTACTATACAGCCACGATGGCAGAGGCTTTTAGTGTTACAGAAAGTACTACTAATATCCTACAACTTACAGAGAAGCTGGTGGCGCTGGGTTATGAGTATATCGCAGGCATAAAAAACGCCCCAGACGATCTTCGGCAGCTATTGAACGAACTTCTCTCGCTCAGTAATGTCCTTTTTATGTTACAAGACCATCTGCAGAACTCAACAAATTCAACAGCCCCAAATGCAGTATTAGGCAGTAAGAATGATCTAATGTCAGAATGCACGCTTGGTTTGAAACAACTGAAGCTCAAGCTGGAGTTCAAGAAACGGATCCGGGGAAAGATGACGTGTCTTGTGTGGCCATTAAAGAAGAGGGAAACCATGAAGTGGATATCCCAATTGGTACTTTATAATAGTCTTTTCTCATTAATTCTGACGACATATCAATCGTGAGTTACCTCTAGATCTCTCATTTTATAGCAGGAAGCTGTGCTGACCTCCTAATAGCACCCTTTCAAAAGGCAATGAGAGGCATGCCCGGGATACCAATATAAACAGCTTACCGGATGAGTCTTCACGCGTGTAAGCAAACCTACGCCTATATAATCGATATCTGGTCTTCAAACTATTTTGACACCTAAGCCAGGTCTTTATCGGAGGAAATTAGAGCGTGTACCCAGGAATCAAATTTCGGCGCACACAGCTTTCAAACAGATTATAGGGGTCAGTCCACCAGGAAAGAAAGACAAGATCGAGCCAAGATCGGTAAGGGGGAAAATTCAAAGATAAACCAATTATTGATGCTAATATATTTACTTCAGAAAAGGATCAAAATAGTATTCTTAATTGGTTATTTCCTGGGAATTTTGATATCAAACATCTTGAGATCAGTGGGGAAAGACTAAGAGGTACTGGGAAATGGCTAATGGAGACGCTCGAATTCGAAAACTGGATTAAAGGACGTCAAGATTATTTATTGCTTTGGGGTTATGGAATTCGTATGTATAGCAAATTCTTAAATCTGTCCACAAGACCAAATAATCCGGTTTATTGCAGCCGTTTCTTCACCACATGAGCATGTGTGGTTTCGGAGTATGTACTCGGCCAGCTCACAGATATCTGGTTATGGGGCTCTTTACAGTTAATGTGTCCGTGTTGGTGTGAATCAACCGACCCAATAAACTGGATTATTTGGTCTTTAAATTTGCCGAGCAGGTCAGATCAAATTACTAATTCTATGGACCAAATAGCTGGTGCTGGAAAAACATACTTGAGGTAGCTCTTTGTTACGATTCAGATCGGCTATATCCAGTCTAACAGCACCGTCCTAGCTCACTGGTTATTGATCGTTTGCAGACGATTAAAGCCTCGTCAGAAAACTATGGGTTGGCTTATATATACTTTGACTACATCGAAAAAGATCGACAGGGGCCTGTCCAAGTTATGGCAAGCCTAATCAAACAACTTTCCACTCAGACATCGACATCACTTCCTGAAGAAACCAGGAAACTCTACAGCAAATTGAAAAGAGAAGAAAAAAGAAAACCGAATTTCGAAGAATTGTATAGTGTTTTTCTCGCAACGTGTGGGAAATTTAGTCGAGTCTTTCTGGTTTTTGATGCTTTGGACGAATGTGACCAAGACAGTGGGCGAGGATATTTACTTAGTTCATTTCAACGCCTCTTGGAAGAGAAACAACAAATTAGTATTTTTTTGACAAGCCAGCCATACCCAGAGGATATTCAAAGGTACCTTCAACATGCGCCTAAGGTAGAAATTTCAGCACACCAAGAAGATATTGGAATGTATATAGAGAAGAAGGTAGGCGAGAACGCACGAGCAAAGTGCCTCATTGAGCAAAGCAAATGCAAAAACAAGATTATACGCAAGCTTGCTGAATGTGCTAAAGGAACGTAAGTACATGTAATTGGATTTTATATGCATGGATTTCTATATACTAACTTGGTTATTGCAGATTTCTCCGTGTTATTTTTCATATTGAACATATATGTCAACAAACCACAGTAAATCAAATCTTCACAGAGTTAGACAGGCTCAATATTCTAGGATATGAGGAATCGAGGCCTTTGGATTTTACTTACGACATAATCATGAATATCATCTATAGGAAGCCGGGACGCTGCAAAGAACTGGCATTAAGCGTTTTCTCATGGCTTGTGAAAGCTAAACGAAAATTGACAGTGGAAGAGATTCGAGAAGCGGTTTCTATCACATTGGATGCAAGTGGACTTGATGCAAGGGACCTACCCGATCAGTCGATATTGCTGGATGCCTGTGCCGGGTTGGTTAAAATCGACAAGAACGGAGCAGCCCGATTTACCCATTATACAATCCAGGAATACATCCTGAAGAACAGTATACTTCCTGCGGACACGAACTTTAAGATAGCAGCAGCATGTGCTAGTTATCTCTTATTCGATGATTTCAGTTGTCATAATTTCCTCAGGATAGATGGTTCTGGATTGCATACGTTTCTAGGATACGCCTGTGATTATGTATTTTCTCACTTGAGGTGTTGTGATCATCCTTTAACGGCCATTTCCTTCCTCAATCTCTTTGAGAAATTAAACCGTGGTATTATGCCTGGCTGCGGGCTCCACCTCTGGCCTTCGAATATGCCGCTAGGAGCAGCGATTGATATGGGCCTTTATACTATTGCTCGACAATTACTGGAAATGGGATGTGATCGTTCTCCTCTAAACAGTTACAACCTCCATAAGGCAGTTATCGAAGATTCAAGAGAGATCATACAAATCCTTCTTGAAAACGGAGTTGAGAGTTCAGTCTGGGACGATAATGGAATGGCACCACTTCATCTTGCGGCGATAAAAGACAATATTGAGGTTGTTCGGTTATTTCTCCAACACGGGGCGGATATTTCTATCCAAGACGGGGAAGTAGGGCTAACAGCACTACACATGGCCGTGTCCCGAGGCCACAACGGAGTTGTATCTCTACTTCTGGAGAACGGGGCAGATATTTCTACTCCTGATGATGAGGGCCAGACAGCAATACATTCCGCAGTCCTGGGGTTTCGAAAGAATCCGGAGACATTGAGTCTTATTCTTCAGATGAGTGATAGTGCGGATGTATGGGCCCAGGATCAGTCCGGTTGCACAGCCTTTCATCTAGCAGCAACCCATGGCTTTGATGAAGTTATCCAATTGTTTATCGACAACGAGATAGACTTTAGTATTCCTATTAAAAGCAATTCCGGATCAACACCACTCCATAAAGCAGCTCTTCGAGGGCATAAATCATTTGTGCAGCTTCTCATAAGAGCTGGGGCGGCTGACGATATCTCCATTCAGGATAATCATGGGCGAACAGCACTCCATCTAGCATCGCGAGGAGGCCAACATGGATATTTTCATCCTTCAAGTGTTCAAAAGTATCAATCCAATGTTAGCTATCGTGGCGTCATCTTGGCACTTCTCGAAAACGGGGCAGATATCTCTATTCAGGATTATAGTGGGCTTACAGCCGTGGACGAGGCAGTATCTAGAGGCAATATCGACATCCTGCAGCTATTTCTCGAAGAGGGGGCCGATCTTTCGCTTTTCAAGGATCATGGATCAGAAGCATTCTACTTAGCAGTATCTCTGGGCAGTAAGGAGGTTGCTGGCCTACTCATCAAGAAAGGTGTCGATATTTGGAAAACTTCGGGTGATTATAAACAAACAGCGCTCCATGGCGCAGCATCTGGAGGGCACTACGAGATTGTAAAATCACTTCTTGACACCAAGGCGCGCCCGGAGATTTCTCTCCAGGACATATTCGGGCAAACAGCTCTTCACATTGCGACTCTAGGGGGGCACTATGAGATTGCGCGTCTTCTCCGAGAGAGAGATATCAACATCGAGCTTCGAACAATATCTGGACAAACAGCGGCTGATATTGCGGCCTCTACGGGCCACACCGAGATTGCACGATTGATTCTTGAAAGCGAAGTACCTCATCCGCCTAGATCAGTTATACCCCACGACACAGGCGTAAGCACAACTCGCCAGGGCGATTTTATGAGGAGAGCGGGTGTTTGGGCCACGGGTAATATGCAAGCGTCTCAAGGACAGGTAGCACACCACGGGTATAGATCGCCATATAGTACAATACAGGCAGAGAGCCAGGAGGCAGTACCAGATGAAAAGACAAGACAGCAACCGGACGCTAGAATTTTAAATAGGAACAAGCGAGCGAGACTAAACGAAACGCCGGCGCAGATAAGCCATTCAGAAGATATATTGAAAAAGCCACGAACGGACATAGAAGAATCCATAGAAGCTTCTTTTGCCTGCCGCGGGACTTCCCCTGAAGGTTCTGCGCGTACAAGGATCTCGTCTTTTGACCGGAATGCCGAAGCTCGAAGGTCAGAACAATAACAGAAGTAATGTGAAATCCCGACTGGGTCCCGACAGCTGGGAGATGACGGGGACTATGATTTGTTGGTTCTATAGCTGTAAGTTCTTATTTATGACCGTCAAAACTTTTTTTATTACTAATTGTTCTATGTCATGTGGTGCATTGAAGGTTATTTATTAAAACCGAGATTAAGGGCTCATCGCAGAGCTCGAAGTCCTTATCAAATGGAAGACAGCAAGTCTACATGTATATATTGACACCCAAAATGCATGTATCCCTTCTCTTACATATCTATATACCTGTAATTATTTTTAGTTTCGTTACAATCTGTGCACCCGATATCCCATCCAGTTAAAATCATGCGATATATTTTGATGTAATTAATTAGGTGAGCCCTAAATTCCTCTGAGACCCGATATATTGGGCACTTCAGAGGAGTTATTAAGAGATAGTTATTAAAGATCGGTGGTGTTGGGGACTCCGGGGAGAACCTAATATATACATGAATTCCCGAGCTACATCCTAGCTAATAAATAAACCATCGAGTGATACCTCATGACACAGCTACCTTCAGCCCTGCCCTAAAACCGGTATGATAACTCTATACTATCCGAGAATATTACTGGCCTATTTAAGTTGTATTCTCGGAAACATCCTCTATCCCTCTTACCAATCAAAAATACTTAATCCATGTATACAATCGATGGGCTGTCGACGTTAACGTTATATATATAGGCTTTGATCCCCCCCCCCCCCCCAAAAGAGAGACGGTAAACACGAGAGAGCCAAGTTCAACCCTCAAGGATAGGGATCAAATCTCCCTCTACTTTGAGTGTTCCGGTCAAGAAAAGTACTACTTAAGTAGTAGGCGCACATGGATGGATGGCCGATAACTGTGTTGGCCTTGGCGGCACAGGGTTAGGTGTGTAATATTCACTACCGGTAGGTACTAGGAGAAGGTATTCATGTTAGTGAGCTAGCTCCCAACCACCGATTCCACCGACCCTCAGCCCTACCAGCTGTGAAGCTCGAGTCGGAACCAGCAACAACCCCCTGTAAAGTATAGGGGTAAACTACATTTATGGCTGTGGCCTCCTCATCCTCCTCCTCTTCCTCAGCTCTTGAGTATAACTATGTCTTAGAGGCTTTAGCTACACGATGAAATAGCTCGATTAATCAACGGAAAAGCATCTAGTTAGTCATGTCCTATCTAACCTACCTATCAATCGACAAAACAACTCAATACAAGGCTCCAATTTGTTACGCCCGCTGCATACCGAGACTCGAAGAAACAGGGTGCTTTGAAACATCGGCGTGTGGGACTAGGATTCAAAGAACCATGCTGCGGTAATGTCAGTATCTCGAGCTACCGGGGGCTGGCACTTTAACTCCTGGGAAAGAAGCATGGAGGCGCACGTATGGCACGGGTCGAAGCTCGAGCGCTAAGATATTGACCGAGACGGCCTATTTGTGGTCCTGACCTTCTTACTTGAAGGTTAGATACTTTCACACACATGCAGATAAGCTCGTTAATCCCTATCTAGTGGCCGGTCGGTTCTTCTAGATGGACTATTGCACATTATCTGAGTTATCTCGAACGCCTTCATGGGCTGCGGATCAGAAATACGGCTCGAAAAGAGAGCATAGAACGGAGTTTATTACTTTATCTATGAGGAAAAACCAATCTCCCTTGACGCGGTCGGGCCCAATAGGAACTTTACTACTTGGTCATGAATTATCATTCGGTTATGGGCTCCTATGTAAAGTACATAGCCTCAAATCCCTTTTGGCCAACCGTTCAGCAACTGGTACTACTTATCCCCTCTACCATTTGGGCTAGCTGCTCTCCGCGGGTACCTGCATTCGACGTCTGCGTGTGCAGTGGTCCATCATGACACATCACTCGCCGTTGAAACACGTTTGTTTGGGTTCATAATCCTGGGCTTGCTGCTTCAACCTTCGCCACACGAGAACAGCCATACATAGGAGCTCTGGTCCTTATTATTGCAGGCCCATGTAGAATACCCTATTATTTATTACTGTGGGGTTCTAGGGTCCAGGATCCACGGCCGGGATGTAGCTCAAGCATCGCTATTTGTACAACTATGTGCCATACTCTGTTGTGATGCAAGACATAACTCGCGCCGGTCTTGGGACACAGTCCACTCCTGCCGCGTCCAGGGGTAATATCACCAAACCTCACGAAATGGGATGATCGCTGCCGGGAGGGGGGCAGATAAGATCACGTAGTCTTGGCGCCTCCTCCCAACATCCAACAGGTGAACAGTGCTCAGCCAACAGCATCTCCATACTTCATATTCTCGACATATGTGGAGCACCACTAATTAAATATTAGCACTAAAGTCTAATTAACTGACTGGCTACGGTCCTCTCGACGGCATCTCTCCCCGGCACTCACCTCCCTCCCTCTCCCCGCCATGTCACTCCTCTCACTCCCCAACGAGCTGCTCCTCCTGATCGTCGAGTCTCTCACCTCCGCGCGCGACCTCTGCTGCCTAGTATTCACCAACCGCCGCTTCTGCCACCTCCTCGCGCCCTCCCTCCTGCGCTATGCCATCCAAAAGGAGCATGCCATGACAGCACTCTTCTACGCGGCTGCCGTCGGGAACCGGCCCCTGATCCGCCTGATCCTCGAATCCGGCCCGCCGCTGATGGTTCTCGGCCACATCCGCGACCGAATCGGCGACTTTGGCATCCGCGTCATCTACAGCGCGCCCATGCGGTGCGCCGACGAGGCCGTCGACCGCATCCTCTCAATCGGCCCCGGCATCCAACTGACTCGGCTCTGGGAGGGGCGGGCATCTCCGCGCGCGCTGCTCCCCGCCCTCACACACGGAACCTTCCACGGCACCTTCCCGGCGCTGCACTGGGGCGTGTTGCAGGGTCACTACCGCCTCGTGCGCATGCTCCTGGCTCGCCCCGGTATCGACGTCAATGCGCGCATCCACATCTCGCTCAACCGCTGGGGCTACCGGGACCACGACGCGTACAGCCTGGAGACCGATGAGCGCGGCCCAAACAGGAGGATCTACAGGCGGCATTTCGCCCCCGGCGAGTTCAATGTCGCGCCGCTGCACCTCGCCGCATATCTGGGCCACAAGGAGATCGTGGAGCTGCTGCTCCACAGCGGGGCAGAGGTCGGGACAGTGGCTACGTACGATAACAAGACGGAGCTGCACCTAGCCGCGCAGATGGGCCATGAGAGCATCGTGCGCCTGCTGCTGGAGAAGGGCGCCGACGTGGACATGGCTGACGGCGGCGGGTGGCATCCACTCTTTGGGGCCGTCATGTTTGGCCATGAGGCCATGGTCGCACTGCTGCTAGACCGCGGTGCGGACACTAATCTAATTGGTTCGGGGGTGTTTAAGCAGTGGAGCGGCCGCACGCTGCTGCACTTCCTTGTGCTCCGTGATGAGATCAGGCCATACCGCTGCTGGCCTGAGGAGCGGAAAAAAATCTTGAGGCTGCTTCTGGAGGCCGGTGCTGACCCGACTATCCCGGATAGGTGTGGGGAGAGCGTGTATAACCTTGCGCAGGCCCTGGGCGACGACGACCTGGTAAAGGTACTGTCTGAGAACTACCTCTGGTACGGGGTGAGGTACTGGGAGTCGAGGAGCCGTGGCGCCCTTAGGAGGGAGAGGCAGAGGCTGTATATGGGATGGAAGCTGAGGCGGTGGTGTAGAGATAGACAGGATGTTGTCCTGAGGAGGTATAGGAAGACGCGCTCGTTCCTGTGCTTTATGTGTTGATGATATTAGTAGTAGTGGTTTTAGTTTATGATGTAGGTTATGGTAATTCATGGAGCGGAGGGGACGAGGAGGTGTATGACTATGTATGTATGTATGATAGGTACGAGTAGTTTATAATACTCTTAGTTTAGTTTCTGGATCTCTTGTAATGTATATAAATATGTAGCAAACAATATCACGATGTTATGAATCATGCCCGAGCTCTCTAAACACTGGAATGGATCTCCCCAGAGCTCGATTCAACTGAGGACCTCAAGTTTTACTTTAGAAGGTCAGTATAAAAGAAATCACAATTCTAGCTATACTCAAAGTAAGATTCCAGACAACTACCGGCTCTCCACTAAGCAGGTGGCTTCTAGCTAGCTACAGTAGGTATAAATACAAAAAGAGCAAACTTTTAAAAGACCAAAAAAAGAAGAAATCCCCATATAACGCCCAGGGTAGTTCATGCCTCCCCCCCTTGCTAGACAGACAGAAAAAAGAAAAAAAGAAAAATTATATACAAAACACCCGCCTTTTCATTCTTTTCAAGTCCACCTGCTGCTGCTACTTGTTTTTACATTAAGTTACTTTGCGACCCCGTCTCTCCTAAACGCATTCCCACTGGCACTCCTCCTCTCCTTCGGATCCCTTCCTCCGCTAGCACCACCTCTTCCGCCTCTACCACCTCTGCCACCTCTACCACCTCTACCACCTTCAGCACCACCCCGCTTAGACCCACTGGCAAAGAACGAGATCTCCCGATCGCCCATAATCTGCGCGGGCCCACCACGCTTGACCCGCCCGCCAGCACCCTCGCCCGAGGCCGCACGCGCGCCGAAGGACCTCTCTTTGTTGAGACGTTTCTGCACGCCCGAGGAGGGGTAGCCCCGCGTGTCGTGACCGCTCTTCTTGTACGACGAGGTTGAGATGCGCATCTCGGGCTCCGCCTTGGCCGCCTTCTTCTGGTGTGCCTTCTTGCTGCGCGCGGATTTCTGGTTGTGCTGCTTCCCGTCGTCCGAGTCTGGCTCCGAGTCGGATTCCGAGGAGGACGAGTCCGAGTCGAGATTGAGGCCCTTGGGGCGTGGTGCGGCGGCGTCCGAGTCGTCTTCTTCCTCGGCAGCGGTGCGGCCGCGGGGCTTGGTAGAGGGGTTGAGTTGTTGGAACTCGAGGGTGTTTTCGTCGACCTCGAAGTCGGGGTTCTGGAAGAGCTTGTTGAAACGGTCGTCCTTGAGGACCTTCTTTTCGTCTCTCGGTGCTGCTGCTGCCTCTTCGTCTGCTGCCTCCTCGTCGTCGGAGCCGGCGCCTTCCCGCTTGCGGGTGCGCTCCAGCTTCTGTTCGAGGGTGGCGAGACGCTCGGCGAGGCGCTTGTTGATCTTGACTTTTGGGCCCTTGCCGGTGGAGCGGATGCGGGACTCGCGCTCCTTGTCGATCTTGTCTTTGACCATGCGGGTGCGCTCGCGCTCCCACTCGAAGGGGTCGGCGATGAGGCGCGCCTCGTCGTAGAGGCGCTGGTCGATGAAGTAACCGTGCATGTATGGCCTGATGAGACTTCCGCCCTTCTGGGTGTTGCCGCCGAGGAGGTGGTCGAGGTTGAGGTTTGTGAGCTCGGCTTTGGTAAGGAACTTGTAGTTGTCGTATGTGACGATTTCGTTGGGGGCGGCGCCGGTGACGTAGGCATCGGGGTCGTTGATGAAGCGGTCGGCGAGCTGCTCGATCTGGGTGTCGAGGTGGGCGCACCACCAGGGGGAGGGGCCGAGTGCGGGGATCAGGAAGGAGTGCATCTCGCGGCCTTCGTTGGCGGTGAGGATCATGCCGGAGTTGGGTACGACACAGACGTCGTTGAGGTCTACGGAGGGCTCGATCGAGGTCCAGGGCTTGCCGTTGGTCGCATCCCAGATCTTGATGATACGCTTGCAGGAGGAGAGGACCTTGGGGTTGAGGTGGACTCGTAGGCGTTCTCGAGGCCGGATGCGCGGTTGGTCGAGGAGTGTAGGAAAGCCAGGTTTTGGATTGGGAAGCCGTATCCTTGGTCTTTCGACAGCAGTGGGGTCGGCGAACGCAAATCGTATAGTGTCACTATCCCGGCTGCGTTTCCGGTAGCAAGAGTGAGACCATTGGACGCAAACTCGACAGCTGTGACACCGGGGGTGGCGGCTTCCCCGAGCACGTTGTTGTAGATGCTAGTTTTTGGTGGCGGGGATAGCACGCCAATGCGGTTCCGGCTACGCGGGTCCCAGAACTCTGTGGTGCCTAGGTCGGTCCCAAAGGCCATGAGGCCGTGGCTGCCGTCGGCGACACCCACGCACTCGACGGAGTTGACGGTTGCGTCGATGTCGTCGTAGCCGCCGAGCTCGAAAGGTTTCAGGAAGCGGCCGCCTTCGAGGTCGAGACGGAAGACTTCTTTGCCTTCGGCAGGGACAATTACATGCGCAAAAGGCTTTAGATAGGCAAGGTCGCGGCCGTAGCGGGGGATACGAGTAGTGTGGTGACAGCCCATTGCCGTGTGGAACTCGAGGGAGCGGTCGGTCTGTAGATGAAGGGATTTTGTATAGTCGGTCGATAGGAGGATGAACTTGATATTTAGGGAGGAGGTGTGGCGGGCGTATTTCAATGCTGATGAGGGGAGGTGGTAGATGTGCTGTTGGGGTTTGTAGGTTCCTGCCAGTACAGCGTCAGCTCTTGTATCTCTAAGTCCATATCTACATCTCTCCCGGGAGATGTATAAAAATTCACTAACCAGTCGCCATAGCATACTCCCCATCCTCCGAGACCTTGATGCATTGACTTGCCTCCTCGAACTCAAAGTCCTGAATCAGTTCAATGCGGTTCATGTAGGCCTCGTCATTCTTGAGCGACCTCTTCCGTTTGCGCGCAAGCCAGTCGGGCAGCGAGCGGCCGGTGTTGGAGCCGCTGATGGTGTACACCGAGATCCCATTTTGCTGGGTGACTTTGAGGGACATTGTGGTGTTGTGTGAATGTCCGCAATTCGTGCTGTGGGGGTGTGTGGTGATAGGCGCGAGGTCAGGAATCTCGAGGTTTTTCTTCTGGCGAAAACTTTTGGAGCCGCTAGTGTGTCTTGGCGGAAATCTTGGCGCTGGCGAGTGATGCGTGGTGATTTTTATGGTTTTCTTCTTTGCAACCACTCCAAACTCAAGTAAGGTCGCAGAAATAAGTATCCGAGTATTTGTGTACTGCTGAGAACGGTTTAATGGGGCTTATCTGTGATTTGTTAGTGGATAATAGTTACGACGTTTGGACTAACAATTGTATAGGTTCGACCAACTGTCACCTCTGCTATAATCTTCACTGTTGCCGTCGGCGGTATCTGGCTTTTGTGATTTATAATCAGAAGCTGTTGATTGGAAGCACTCGCGCTGATGATGGTGGGGGGGGGTATCATCTGACCAACTACATACATCTGCATCATTATGGCTCTTTAGAGCCAGCGAATATCAACTAGAGTATCCGACCATTGTTAGCTATACGCAGGCAAGCGTTGGTAGATCTGCAGAGCGATTCCCACAATCGCCGCTGGCGGTTGAGTATCGCTAGTAGTCTGGCATTCCTATTCCCTAATAGTCCCGCAGCAGTTTACGACCCCTAACATTTTTAATAGTGCTGTAGTATGAATGCCGAATGAAATATCGCTTTCACGCACCTAGGCTCGTCCCCAGCCCCTTTGCTTGGATTCCGTCCTTGTTTTTGAAGGCTATCCAAGCGGTGGTGGTGATCGGAACAAAATGCGATGTAGTTCATAAATGGCAGGTTCTGTCTGCTCTAATGACTGAAATAATCCTACACTCTCCTGTATATCTCATTATCTATATCTACTATTTGTGATGGGCACGAGACGATGACATGCGGGTGAAATATTCGAAGTCTTGATACTGCTCTAGAAGTCTCGATACTTTCCCCCCGTAGAGAAACTTCTAAGGAGTGTACATGCCCTATCATGCCACATGTGGGGGAAGGGGGACCACCACCGAAGAATATAAAACTGGGCTCAGGACCTCAAAACCGCATGTATGGGTTCATATTCTGCTATCAGACAGCGTCCACCGGCGCGGGAGGCGGGTCATTATAATACATTTACCGCAATAATTTGCCTCAGTGGACGGTCACAGTATAGCACGTTGGGATTCTCCTATTTGTTCATTTGTCTTGAAAGGGCCCTCCAATCTTCCCTCATGTTCGCTGTTAGGGGCAATGTCGACGTCTTATGTAATAGTCTTCTGAGAGAAGTTGCTGCGGTATGTAAGTTATGCCAGAAGCATTCTAGTTCTATGTGCTACCGGTCCACTAAATATTGTATATTATTTACATACAAGGGGTAACCCAGTGGGTTCGTGGCAGATTATGATTGCAGGGTTAGGTGTGTCTCCCTAGCCCGCTCTGCCCTCACTCCCTTGAGTATTACTTCCCGGCCTTTGACAGTTGTGTGGGCGAGGTAGTCTAGTGGTAGACGCCTCGTCTTGCTACACCGCGTGTGTTGAGCCACTATGACCGTCCGGAGGTCATGGGTTCAACTCCGGGGGTGGGAGTGATGCTGGGGATGTATATTGGTAGCGGGAAATGGAGCTGCTAGTTGGGCCCATACCCCCGTGGAGGTATATGACCACAGCATCACTTTTTGTAAAAGTTTTATTTTTTTCAAAATTTATTGCCGCCAGCTTGATTATCCTAATTAGCAGCTCGTCCATAATTTGCATCTCCCTCTTAATTCTCCTTCCCCCATGGTCAGGGCCAATGGGATCTACGTAGGATTCGGCTAGTTTAGCGCGCGAAACTTGTTAACGTTTAGACCATATTCTTTTAGAGTATAGTAGATATGCTTATGCTTGAGCTTAACCTTCTGAGAGCCTCAATCAAAGAATTCTTAATAATTGAAGTAGATTGATGACCTAATACTTGATTAGATATTCTGTTGTTCACTCAGCAAGCTGTAACGTGATCATTACCTGCAAGTCAATCATTGACCCATCTGATGAGATAAGATAAGATTCTTCATCGCCAACGCTAAACACAAAAACAGGCGTTCGACCTCCCCAGCTCTCGCATCACCATCACAACCACTATCAACCCCTACCTTCAACACAAAAACCACAAAAACCCCACATCAAACACCCACAAATCACAGAAATAATGCCTAAGAGAAAAGCCCCGTCAGGTGAATCCTCCGCCGCTGACCAGGAGCCCCGCCGCTCAAAACTGAACCAAGTCGAATCCAGCACCGACACCTCACCTCCCGGCGACACCACCACCACCACGACCCAAGCAGCTGACGGCGCCCCCGATAACAAGACGCAAGACCGCTTCGAGCGCTGGAAAGCTCTCAAGGGCCGCGCCGTACCTCTCCCTGTACCCCCCTTCTCCCAAACCCACCGGCTAACCAACCCAACCGCAGAAAAAATCCGCAGAAGTAAACCGCAAGGAAGTCTACGCCGAGCGCCGCCGCCAGGCTATCGACCCCTCCGAGACATCGCGCCTGAACCGCCGACGCGCCGAGGCAGAGTTTAAGCTCGCCAAGGCCGACGCCGAGGACGAGGGCGAGGACTTTGAGCGCAAGAGGGCGTGGGATTGGACTGTTGAGGAGAGTGAGCGGTGGGACCGCCGGGTCGAGAAGAAGAAGAAGCATGTTGAGGATGTTGCGTTCCAAGGTTAGTCCTCTTTGATATTAGTGGTGGTAGTTGGGGGCGGGTGCTAACGGCGGTGGCGGCGCAGATTATACACAGACGGCCAGGAAGATCTATAAGAAGCAGATCCGCGAACTGAAGCCGGATATGGAGTCGTATGCGGCCGACAAGGCGAAGCTTGTGCGTGATGGGACGATCGTCGAGACGGAGGATGGGGAGCTGATTGCCATTGATCGGGATGGCGAGTTTTATGCGGATGCGGACTCGCTGGGCTTTATCGAGAACAAGCCGAGTAAGCAGGCCGTTGACCGTTTAGTGGGCGATCTGCGGAAGGCGGAGGATGCACGCATGGCGAGACGTAAGGGTGGTGACGAGGAGGACGTCACATATATCAATGACAAGAATAAGCAGTTCAACCAGAAGCTGGCGAGGTATTACAACAAGGTAGGTTTTGTAGCTCTTTCTTGGTTTGTAGAGATGGTACTGACTGGTGTACAGTATACTGGGGAAATCAGGGACAGTTTCGAGAGAGGAACTATGGTTTAGAGATGCCATTGGTGAGCGGGATAGAATGGGTACTTGGTGGAGGAATTTCTATACACTTTTTTTGTTGCATTAAGTTGCGGCGTAATGGGAATATTAACATCACAGATGATGGCAGGGTTTCTCTTTTTTCTCTTTTTTCTCTTTTATGAATGCTTTTTGTACACTACCAAGTTATCATTGATACTAGAATGGTTCTATTGGGTCTGAGCAATGATCTAGTTGAACGTGCTGTAATAAAAAAACTGTTAACCATTGGTGAGTTTTAGAAGCCATCGTCCTTGATAGTCTGGTATGTGCAAATAAAAATTGACTACTGCCGTTCACTTCACGTTTATTGACATCACTAAGAGCACGAAAGAGATGTTTGACCAATAGCTTTTGTTTTTGTTTCTATCCTTATTGCGTTATCAGCTTACATGACGACCCATAAATGGAAAAAAAAGAAAGGTATTCCCCAGGAAACCCATTTTTGAACAAAAAGAGACTCAAATCATGCAAACCAGCCTAGCGCCATCAAGACAAGGAAACAAACACTCTAGTAAAGGCGCTTAGGGGGAGACATGGAAGCTTTCTATACGGCAGAAAAAAACACAATTAGCCACCACCCCACCAACATAGATCTGAGAAAAACGAGGGGGAAATCCTTACGATAGTCAGGCTTCCAACGTTCTGCCATCCCTTCTTCAACAAAGAGACAAGGTAGTTGATGGCCAACATGATGTTTCCGATCAAGTGGTCCTCAGTCATGCCAACATTTCCGATAGCGACACCCAAGCAAAGAACCTTCTTGAGCTGGAACTTGATGGTGCTCTTGACGTCGGTGACCTTAGCGGCAAGGTCCTCGGCGTGGGAGACCGGGGTAGGGAACTTTCCGGCCTTGGAGAGACCGGGTCCGAGGAGACGGGGAATCTGCTTGATGAGCTGCTCAGAGGCGATGAAGGCATCGTACTTGCGAGCAAGCTTCTTGATGAGCTTCTTGTTCTTGTTGAGCTTCTTCAAGTCATCAACAGACATGGACTCGAAGGAGTGGTGCTTGGCACGATCGATATCGTGCTGGTCTCCGAGAATGCTAGTAACCCAGTTAGTTGGCCGCCTTGGCTTGCGTTTTGAGCGTCGAAATTGACATACCAGATGGACATGTTGGGCCTGGGGATCTGGGGGAGCTTGACGGTTCCGGAGAAACGCTTGTCTCTCTGGGGATCGTAGTTCTTGAGACCAATCTGGAGCTCGACGGTCTCGAGGAAGTTGCGCTTCTTCTCATTGTTGGAGTAGTCCAACAACTCCTTGACGTTACCACGGACTCCGGCTGTAATTCCATGCAAGAAAACTCATTAGTGACCCCAATTCCATCATGAAAAGTGAAAAGAAGCGTTTTTTTCGCCGTGAACGATTTGGGCGACATACCGACTGTGATTTTAGACATTTTGGGTCAGTCTTCCAAGCGAAAAATTACGTTTGGTGAGGAATTTGCGTGGTGGTTGTTGAGGTTTGATTAATCTCGATTGAGCGTGGCGATATTGGGCAGAATCGGTCGGTTTGTGTGCGAGCGAAGTCTTGGGTCTCTTGGCATAGAGACAGCATTGACAGTCACGCTGACTAAGACCCGGGTAATGGTCAGCTAGGCCGGTCATGGATTATCACCACCCATGGATCGAGTGATTTTCTGTGGGGAAAGAGGTTCATGCAAAGACCACTAATACACGTTTCTGAGCATACAAATCGAATGGCATGAATAATATATACACAAGCATGAACAATTCTCAAACCGAATATTGCTCTAATCCCCAATCTATTATTACACTACCAGCTTTTTGATATCCTCATACCCAAAGCCCTCGAGGCGGTTAGAAGGTCCGGTTAACTAACGAATCGTCATCGTTATCAGCTCCAAATGCGCTTATATCCTTGACCCCTTCTTCTCCTGCGCCAGCTTTGCCCCCGTAAGCGCTCCAGCAATCTCCATCATCTTCGGGTTCTTAGCAAATTCGCCGTGAATGTTCGAGACCTGGAGCAGCATATCCTCCACTGTTGGTGGCAATGACTTGTAGAGATGATCCATCGGCCCGAATTCCTTCTCAATTGCCTCGTCCAGCTGTTTCTCCGTTATGATAAAGTCCTTGGCGTTCAGGTACAGATTGTGGAAGCTCTCGATCCTAGCCGCTGCCTTGGCTGCCTCCTTCGCCTCCCTGAGCGCGCTCTTCTCAGCCAGCCTCTCCTGGGTAATCCGCTGCATAGTAGACCCATCATCGAGACGCAGAGTTGACAGTACCGATGGCAGTGTCAACCTCACATCCTCCCGTTGCTTCGCGTTCAGTTTTTCTTCACGCTCCTCAGTCCGCTTCTTGAGCACCTTTGCGCGGTGGGCTGCCTGGTTCTTCTGACGTAGCTGGAGCTCTGCAACACCTTCACGTAGATTGCGACGACGGTTTTCGGCGAGAGCACTCTTCCACTTGATGTATGCTTTGGTCTCCTCGCTAACACCCTCGAGAGACCTCTGCTCCGGGGAGGGCTCTGGTGTGGCGGGGGTAGCGTCGAGGTCCAATGGGAGAGATTTTGGGTGTGGGAGTTTTCCCTTTTTGCGGGGAGGCTGGATTGAGCGAATTTGTGGTGGGCGTGGGATCTCAATGTAGGAAGGGGACTCGGGGGATATGTTGAACGCCCGCGGTGTGGTTGAGAAGGCTCTGCGGCTTGCGCAGGAAAGCCCAGTTCGGAGGGGAGCGAGAGGCATTATTCTGGTGTAATTGAGGGGACAACCCTTCCGTCCTTCCTTCCGTCCTCGTAGCTGTTTTTCGATCTCGTGGGATTGGTTTGATATTCGGCGATCCGAATTGCTTGACGTTGGGAAATTTCACTTCGGCAGCCCTCCCAAAAGCCTTGGCGTCCAGAACCCCACGAAACCGCCGTGCTGACTAAGTCGGCTGCTGCTTTTCGTTTCATCCCGGGTGGTTTTCAGACCTCCATCATCGCCCGGTAACAAGAAAGAAGTCTTCAATCATCACCGCACCCCCGAATACCCGCTTCCCCGCGTATCAATTCATCTCCTCTCACCCCCACCGTCACCATGTCTGCTCCCGCAGTAAGTAGACCTCCAAATCATCAAATCTCACCTCTCAATCCCGTCCCAATGTCTAACACCCCACCCCGCAGAGAAGCGCCGCCCTCAAGATCGAGTGGGCCAAGATTACCTCCTCCCTCGGCCTAAAGGGTCAGACCGTCGCCTCCCTCCAGGCCTTCAAGAAGCGCAACGAGGAGGCCCGCCGCAAGCTCGTCGTTCTCAGTGCCCTGCCCCAGGAATTGGATATCGCCCACTACCGCGCTATCCTCAAGAACCAGGCCGTCGTTGACGAGATTGAGAGGGCCTACAAGACTTTCAAGCCCGTCACCGTCGATGTTACCAAGCAGTTGAAGACCATCGAGGCTTTCGAGGCCCAGGCTATCCAGAATGCCCAGGCCACCAAGGGCAAGGTTGATGCGGAGCTTGCGGACTTGCAGAAGACTTTGAAGAACATTGAGGAGGCCAGGCCATTCGATGACTTGACTGTGGTATGTATACGGATGCAGGGGATTGGATAGGGTGCTATGAAAGGAATAAGATGGGAAAGTTTGAGAGGAAGATTGGTCTACGGAGCTACATCCTTTTACCGACTACTTCCGGATATATTCATCTTCAATGGCACCCTTTCTGTACTCTCCGACCCACCTTCAGGAACGTAGCTGATCATTTATTCCTATAGGACGACATTGCCAAGGCTCGCCCCGACATCGATGCTCGCACCGAACAGATGGTTTCCAAGGGCCGATGGATGGTGCCTGGTTACAGGGTATGAGCTTACTTCCTGCGTTACAATGATATTATTTCCCGACTCTTGATCACTGACACCCACTGCAGGAGAAATTCGGAGACCTTGCTCTCATGTAAACAGCCAAATCGACCGAAACCCAAAATCATTTGTAGTACCCTATATCGTAGTTTGTTGATAAGATTAAGGGAAGGAGCAGAAACAGGTGGGGATTTTTTTAGAATTAAAGTCGTGCATTTGCATTAAATTGTACCAGTGTGGCCTGTCAATGCATGCGGGGGCCCATCCTTTATTGAAACGTTCCCAGAGAACATGACAGACAGACAGAATTGGAGCTACATACATACATGTATGCCTGCTGCAGCTGTCAAACCGGTCACGTTCTAGAGTACCTTCTCGATCTTGCTGTGAAGAATAGGCACATACATGTAACGATGTCTCGTAGCTGTAACGCGTTCCCCTATCCGCCCATTGCATGCTCGTCTTCCCTCCCCACGCTCCCCATCCCTCAGTTGTTGGAATGCCAAGACAGCTGTGCACGCACCGCCAAGGACTCCTTCAGAGACACCTGCATGGGCCAAATGGAAAAAGGGAAAAAAGAAAACATGGAAAGTAAACATGACTTCACTTTAATCACAAGCTCTCTCCACACCGCCCCAAAACCAAAACATTCTCCAACAACAATAACAATAGCCACACCCTGCCCCATATAACGTGCACATATAGCCCTCTCCCCTTTAATCCCCCATCCCTTCCTACCCTACCCACTCGAATCCCGTTTCACAACCGACAGTTTACAACCTTCATAGTAGTAGACTCCTCAATTCCCCACCCCCAAATGCTTTACTCCACGAAGCGCAAGCTACACAACCTTATAAATGGGCCCCCACCTGCCGCCCCTCCTGCACCTCCGGTAGAACCACCGAGCATACCACCTCCGGAATCCCCTCGGACCTCGCAGACGCGCACAAGAAGCGCAAGATCGGGCTCCCGAGCCGTTCCCGCCCGAGCATCCGCGCTGTCAGCCCCGGGGGATCTGTAAAGAGCACGGTATCAGCTAGCTCAGCGCTCGTGGGCTCGCCTCTTAAGAACAGCCACACCCATAGCAACCTTAACGAGCCATTGCAGACTCCTGCGTATGCGCCATGGGATAGAGCGGCGTTCTTGGAGCGCCTGAGGAGCTATAGCGTGGATAAATGGAGTGCGAAGCCAGCTCTTGTGAATGAGGTCGTGTGGGCAAAGAGAGGATGGGTCTGCACGGAGAAGAATAGGGTCAGGTGCACGGTGTGCAAGAAAGAAATGGTAGTCAAGGTCGAGGTGGACGAAGAGGTAGATCCTGATACGGGTGAGTCCGGCCCCGCCTGCATATGACTCTGGCCTGCTATAATACAGCTCTGCTAACTTCCAGATAGCTAGAGCAATTGTCGAACGCTACGGAACTATGATCATCAGCGAACACGAAGACTCTTGCCTCTGGAAGAAGCGCGGCTGTGACGAAACAATCTACCGCCTTCAGCTTGCCAACCCTACTGTTTCCCGCCCAGCATTCACGGAACGATATACCTCACTCCTCCGAGTGCGCAATGAGATCCCCCCGTCACTATCGCACCCTGAGCTCGACCTCTGCTCGATCAAGCACTCTTCCGAGGATACGGATAACGGGCCGATCTTTGAGTCGGCAGTTATACTAGCGCTCTTTGGATGGCAGAACGAAGACCCGGGGATTGCAAGCTTGGTTACTTGCTCAGCTTGCTTTAGACGATTGGGGCTGTGGCTGTTCAGGAAGAAGGCCAAGGCAGATGATATCATGGACGTGGACTCCGATGATGGGGAGGAGGAAGCAAGTGTTAGCAGACTGGATGTGATTGGAGAGCATCGTGAGGTATGTTTTGGAACTCAATTGATAGCGGGCGTTTGCTGATGTGAGTAGTACTGCCCATGGATCAATGCCGCCTCTCAAGGGAAGGAGGAAGGCTGGAAAATGCTTTTGCAAGTCTTGCAACAAAATCCTAAGCCTGCATCAAGCGCGCTGAGCACGTATAGTACCGTCAGCTCTGCACCACAAGAAAGAGAGGAGAGATCTGCAACTCCCGCAGAAAGGGATGCGGAGGATGATAGCAAGCTTAAAAGGCTACAGAGGCTGAAGTCTTTGTACTTTGGTAAGGGCAAGAAGAAGCCAAAGACCAAGGATATGTTTGTTGGGAAGGAGCGAGATGACGCCGAGAAATCATGAGAACAGCCATGATAACTTAAGCGGGTGAGGCACTAAATTTAATGTCTAATCTGTGTGGAGCATTCAAGGTGATATTGCGGCCTTTTTTATTATTTATTACTTTTCTTTTTCAGGTTCGAAAAATGGATGGATGGCGTTGGTGTTTAAGGGGATTACATAGTTTGGTAGGAGATGATGGCTTTTCCCAGAAAGAAAGCTCTCTTTTTTGGTTGACGGGTCTTTGTAGACCCGCGGGGGACGATCGGTGCACGCTTTATTTGTTTGTTTTTATATCTATTATATCTGCATCACACGTCTCTTTTTTCTTCTTGTTATTCCTCTTTAAGGTCCTTGCGGTGGTAAAATAAACGTTACTTTGTAACCTGTTCTTGGTATCTTTTTATCTTCACTCAACACAGCTCCCTTGGCAACTACACCAAACCGAATATCCCGCTTTGTTTTCTTCGCACGCATTCTAGTTTGTAGAGAAAAGAAATGAACCGATTTCGTCACAAAGGGGTTATTTAATCGAACTGCAGTGTACTCGTCAGCACGGGGGCAGGGGAAGAGGGGTCCAGGGGTCGTACAGGGGTCAAGAAAGCTTCGGCGACGAAACGGGCTCTGGCATTGAGAAAGAGCTTCATCTCGGAGATCTCCTTATCGACCTCCTCCATAAAGTGGATGATAAAATCGACAAGCTTGTGCTTCAACATAGCTTCCGTGTGGAAGTTTGTAATCAGGAAGGAGATGTCGTATCCCTATTGCTCGTTAGCCCGTGTCTCCTTGAATGCGGGGGGGGGGGGGGGGGAGGAGCAGAGCCCCTCCCCCTTCCTATCATCTGCTCCTAAATAACAAAACAGACCTTAACAGGCTTCCTCCTCAGGATAAAGAAGTTCTCCGCCCTCTGTGTCAGGAACCTCGTGAACTTGTGCACCAGGATATGCTCAATCTCATCCGCCTGCTTGATCTTGATGCTGACACGGATGGAGTTGACACTGGGCTCAATGAGGACCCTTTCGTTCTCATTACGGGAGATTGTGAGTGGGTTCAGCAGGACCTCCGGGGTCTTTCCGGACTCCACCTCGGGCACGTTATGGCGTTCGGCCGTCTGCGAGGCAAAGTTGGAGAGTGTGATTGCTGCGGTCAGCGACGACCGCACGCACTTGAGGTAGGGCCGTAATGATTGGGACTACGGGGGAGATGTTAGTTGGGGTGTAGTTTAGATGGAGTAGGGGGAAACATGCCATTGTGGGGGTTGGTGCTGTGAGCTGGTGTCGTGGTGAGCTCGAGGTGAGGAGGACTCGGAGCTTTGCGTGACGTTGGGGGGGCCTTGGCAACCCTAATCCATGTGTCGCGTACCCCACTAGTTAGTTGCGGAGTGCTAAGCTAAATATTAACATTCCCAATCGGTGACTTTGAAGTCTTTTTGATTCAGGAGATGGGAATCTACAAAACGGTGGTAAATAAAGGCCATAAGTGAGTACCTTGTGCAGGTCGGGTGTGTTTGGGTTTTGTGGCCGAGACATCACCTTCCGAAACACACTCTACAATCAGCGTTGGTTCCAGGTTCATTCATGAACAGCTAGCATCCGCATAACTATGACTGAATTTGATGACAGCTTTCTCGCAAAAGCTTTCATTTGGATATGAGCTCAATTAGTAAATAAGCGTCTTCATTATATCAATCAGGGCCAGGATCATACCGGCTTTCATGTCACAAGTCGGGTCATGATCAAGATAAACCCGACCTTTGACTCCAGCTGTTTTAGTTTTTCTAAAGACTTGAGAGACTAACCTCAAGGCATAAACTATACCCTCCACAAGACTTTAAATTATGTCATAACTCCTAAGAAATCGTTGGTACTGCTGCTCTCCAAAGTCGTTGATTGGCAACCTCGAGAATGCTCAGGACATAGCTGTCTTTTTGCATCGAGGATCGCAGACCCAATAGAAGCTATCCCGAGAAATAATAATTTGTTATCTGAGAATCGAGATATATCTATTATAACGAACGTTACTTCTGTAAATGACAGCCAACGGCAAATACTCCCCTCAGGCCACCTATTTCCAAAACTTTACAAGTCTGGAGATGCTGTTACGTCTCGGAAGAACTTAAACCTGTAAGGTCTCTGGCTCATTGTACAGAGACTCAAACTTCAAGTGACATGCCATTAAAGTTTGACTGTCTCATCGAAGTGGCTCGCGGGCTTGGAGCTACAAATATCTAACGTCAAGTATGTACCAGCACCAAAAAGTCAGAATCCCTATTGAAACACGAGAAAAGAACAGTAATTAATACAGATATAGCTATGCAGCGGCAGTGCTCCTACAACTAGGAACAGCACTCGACTAGCAAGTGATACCCCTATGGAATAATTCAGGATTAGACATCAGTTTTTACTGTGTATTGTGCTATGAGGGTCGTCCAGGGGGGTACTCTCCGCATAGGCCAAGGAAGCAATATCCGGGGAGCTACTCACAATAAGGAAAAGCAACTTCCTGGGCAGCCTCTGCCTTTTAGTGATATGTCTTTCTCTGTTTGAGTTAAGGAGACAATTCCTAGGGCTGCTCAAGCTACATGAGCTTAAAGTATCTAAGAAAACTCGCTGTGGTGATGAAGATCACTGAGCTGCTAAGGCAAGTTAGAAAAAGACAAAAGATACATCGTTTGCCAGTGTGAATTTACCTGTATTCACTAACACTCAGGGAATCTCCAGATTTGGATGCTGCTCTAGTATCGAGGGATATCTGCGATAGATAGAAACAAGAAGTATATGGCCACTTCTATGCACTCTAGGCAGGAGAAATGAGCAAATGAGCATAATCTAACATAACTATGTCTTATATTTGCATAACTTAAGGCCAGATATCCCAAGATAAAGCCTCGGGTGATGATGGCTCTTGCATGGATCTCATTTACAAGCTCTTTTTTCCTAGGTACTGGTAGCTGGAGATGTAAAATGAAAGACAATCTGTCCCTGCACTCAGGTTCCGGCAGGAGGTTGTTCCTAAATAATAAACCCCCAAGTTCTCTTAAATGGAGTTGATCGAAACATCCATGAAGCTGGGCTTTGCGCCTTGAAACCGTCAAAATTATGCCAGGTCGGGCATTCTCAGAAGTTCCTTATATTATGTACCGCCTTAAATGGCGTCATGGTCCTTACTATCCCCCTGAAAGTACATGTAGTTTCGAGGTCGAGTCTAACTACAGCTACAGCTACTCCGAGGATATACCTCCAAGAGTTTCCGGCCCGAGTTATCTTCCTCTCCTCTAGCGCCAGAGGAAGGAGCCTGGAGGATGTTGGAGGCGTTTATATTAAGTTAAGAGAAGAAGGGTTAATATTCATCGTTCTGATATACGAGACTATGCCTACGTGTGCGTTTACCATCTTCCCCAGCACGCAGTCCTTCCAGTTCTGTTTGTATATATAGTGGTATGTGCCTCCGGTTTAGGAAACTTATGGCGACAGCGGATACCGGGTTCCAGTCCCGCTTAGATCCGCTATACAAACTTTTTTTCCCCTCCTTTACCTCAGTTTTATTGTTGATAGACGTGGCAGCACAGTTTGTTCTCATGTGGCTTGCATTGGTCGAAACAAAACACCAAAGATATGAGAATTGTTGCAGGGCTTTGTCCGTATATGTAGATCTTGTAATTGATTTAATCCAGGTTACTACACAGATTGTCAATGCCGTGGTAGTGTGCAAAAACAAAAAAACAGAAACAAAAACAAAAACAAAAACAATCCAAAAGATTATACAACCCCCACCCCTAGGTTGAACCCGCTAACCTTCTGGTTAGCCCTTCTGTAGTCGAAGTTGGCGCAACCGTACGGCGTCCGTCCGGCTGGGGGCGAGTGTTAACCGTTATGTAGGCCACACTCGCCATGCCTGTTGATGGTCCTGGGTGCTAGGCTCAGGATATAGAGGCGCCTTGCAGTTCCAGGAGCTAGTGCCAGTGCCATTTTGCCTCATACACCACCACCACCATTCAGCCCGAGGCTTCATGCTGATAAAGAAACGGTAGCCTTGACAAGAGGAGCAGCTAGATAGTTGTCGGTGTAAGAAAGGCCTTCGAGAAATCTCCCGGGACCCGGCTAAGATTATACTATAGAGTACGTATACGATAAGTATTAAGCTGCTTCGTTAGATTAACTTGCGCTAGATGAGCATAAAGAAGAAGAAGAAGAAGAAGAAGAAGCTGGGGGCAATTAATAATGATTAGAGACTTACTAGCACCGTAGCCTTCTTCTCTCAAAGGTCTGTTGATGAAACCCCAATGAGATAATTACAAAGAATACCTACGCCGAAAGAGACTCGCACAGTTATCAAATACTTGTCCTATTACGGCCTCTCAACATTTCATCTGGCCAACCTGCAGTACCTACGCCTCCCACCCCGGACATCCCCGGGCCCGCCACGGTACAGCGGTAGGTAATAAGTGATGGAACGCCCTGAGACACAGTGATACCTGTTTTGGGTAAAACGCCACCAACATACGGTGTTTGCAGGTATAGCTGTATCTCAGGGCGTTCCATCACTTATTACCTACCGCTGTACATGCAGGCTAGGTGCTGGTTGGGGATGCCAAGACGTATGTCCGAGTGACCGCCCGTGATGATGGCGTCATGCGGTATCACTCGATGACTATCTACATGTATACACGTATGTAGCTGGCTTTTCTAGTCGACCACGCGTGTACTTATACTTATACCTATCCTATCCCATATGATGATGACTGTGTATAACGCTAGATAATTTACTATTACGGAACGATCTCTACGGAGACGTCTCTGATTGTCAGTACAGTACAGCTGGCGTTGGTTCGCCGAAAAACAAGCTTAAGATCTAGAGGAGCGGTGCGTGCGGGAGTCAGTGGTACATGGTGTGGGGTATATATATATATATAAATTGGGACCGTGGTGGAACTAGATCTAGCTAGATCTAGGGCTACTATCGGTATAAGTACTTGGATCTTAAACATCGATATCGGTCTACCTTAATTCCACTCATGCATCCAATATAATATCGTCACGATAGGCACAAGTTCTAATTGCAACTACAACACACCCTCTAGGAGTCATTGATAGGAGCATAACATGGACGTGCATGGGGAACCCCCCCCCCCCCCACTGAAACACAAGAAAAACAATGAATAATCCATCACTCGTGGCCCAACATAGTTACACTCCGACACACATATAAGTACTATTTACACCCACGTCCGAGCCACAAAACTAAAAACGAGATACAACAAAAAGAAGTATATAAAGAGCAAACTACACTCACTCTTAGAAATCCTCTTCCCCCCCCCCCCTCTCTTACAAACCACCAAACACATCTCACAAATAACAAGTGCCGCAAACACACATATGCAAAAACACAGAAACATAAAAAAACACAAGAGCAAAAAGAAGAAGAGAAGAACTACACATTAACATTCACAAAATCGTCCCGCGGCTGTATTTTTGCATGCTTAAAATACTTCATGCCAACCCAGGCCACCACGACCCACACCCACGCCATGACACACGTCAAGATGATGAGCGCGGGATAATACCCATCGATGGGGAAGGCGCCCTCGTACTGCTCCTGCTGGCCCTTTGCAAACGGGCTCTACCAATCCCACACACACCTCGTCAGTTCACCGCACAATCAAAGAGGAAGAAGAAGAAACTCACCCCCGGCACATCCCACGCCCACTCCCACACGCCCAACACGCTCCCCATGCCAACCACAAACACGACCCACGTCGCGCCCAGCACCACCCACCCCCAATACGCCGTATCCGCCGCACTGTCCATCTCCTCCTGCCTCGTCCTCGCCATCACAACAACCACGCTCCCCGACCTGCCCCTCACCGGATACGCCCTCTGCGCCATCCTCCCCCCACCCCCAACACCGCCAAACCCACCACCCTCGCTGTCATCAGCACTGTCATATACAGCACTCACCTTCGCCGCCGCAGTGGCAAGCTTCAACCCCGGCGACGCGCTCCGCCGACTCGCTAGACTCCCACCACCCACACTGCTGCCGCCACCAGTACTCGCGGGCGGCGGCTGTAGCAGCGGCGCCCCACCGCCCCCGCCAAGCACCATCCCGTTCCCCGGCCGCAGAAGCGCTGTCTTCCGTAAGCTTCTCCCGCGGCGGCGCTGCTTCCTTGCCGCGGTTGTCGCCGTGCTCTGCATCATCGGCGGCGGGGGCGGCGCAGCAAAGAGTGTGCGCTCGGGACTACCGCTGGAGGAGGAGGGCGAGGACGAGGACGAGGACGAGGAGTCAGTGCCGATTGTGAAGCCGCGGCGGCGGAGGCGCGGGGGTGTGGAGCGTTTTGGTAGCGGCGGACGGGGGGTAAGGTTGGTAGTGGTAGTGGGAGGGCCGGCGACAGGGCCGCTGCTGGGTGCGGTGGGTGGGTTCATGCATCAGCGCACATGGCACGGGGGGGGGGGGGGCCAATTGGGTGTTTTGAGTTGTTGGGGGCTCGGTGGTGAGCTTTCGGGGGTGCTGGTGGGTTGGAGGTAGTGACGCGCGTGGCCTCGGAGGGTATATATATATATATATATATATATGTTGTGTACTGAGGGACGAGTTGTCTCTGCCTGTGTTGCCTGTGTCGTGAGGGTTGAAGGTGAGATTTGTAGGTGTTGAGATTGTTGCTTGTGGTGTTGAGAGCTGGCTTCTGGGTACTTTGAGAGTAAACGGCGCTGGGGTTACACGGGAAATGAGTGCCGCTAGCCTGTTTGGGTGAAGGTACAGCCACGGGGAGATGGGCGCCACGGTGGGTGTCAGCCACAGTCGTGTTCTCGCACGCGGGGTTCTGATCTCGGCGGTGGGAGTGGAATTGCCTTTGTAGTCGGTGCAATGCAGAATGGAGCGATGGGAGAAGATGGATACACCGCTGCAGCAATAACCCCCCAATTCCAGAGACATAAGGCCACCCACCCAAAGTCTCCAAAGTCACCGCCTCCGGGTAACCTGCGGCTCTCCCCTCCACTTCCTGTGTCACCACCGCAGCTATCACTCGCTCCCAATCCCTGCCGCCTTGCCTTCCTTCTTATCCCAGACCACAATCTGATAGCAAACCCCCAACGAAGCTAAAATACCACAAACTCAACCTACAACCAAACCAAGCCCTTCCCCCCCAGACACATCGCAGCCATAGGTTCCTACCTGTCCCTCCCAGATCCTCCGCCAGCAGGAGCAGCAGCCGACATGCAGAGCTCCAATATCCCATATCAGAACTGGCTGCGTGCGCGCGGTGCCATGGCGCTAGGCGCTCCCCAGGTCGATTTCACGACGCTGGGCATGTTCATTATTGGTATATATACCCGCCCTTTTGTTTCTGGAGTATATTTTTGTTGTATAGCTTAAGCTACTGTACCTACTATATTCCTGCTATCTATGTAGCCTACTAGCATAGCTATGTTGGCAGAGGCATAGCAAGACCAATCCACCCTCCTGCCAGAAAGCCCAAGACTAAGACTAAACCTCACTAACCCCAGAACACACAGACGAGATCCACTCCGGGCCCCCCAACGCCCGCACCGTCGTCCGCGACGCCATCGGCGGCGCCGGCACCTACAGTACTCCTCCCCCCCCCCCCTCCCCTCCTCCACCTCCCCACTAACAAACCTAGGCATCATCGGCGCCCGCCTCTTCTCCCCACCCCCGCACTCGCACAAAATCGGCTGGATCGTCGACGCCGGCCGCGACTTTCCCTCCACCATCCGCGCGCAGCTCAAAGCACTCGACACCAACCTCCTTCTGCGCGAGGCGCCTGACCGCCTCACCACGCGCGGCTGGAACAGCTACGGCGCCGGCCCAAACGACCATCGCGAGTTCCGCTACCTGACGCCCAAGAAGCGCCTCGAGGCCGACGACCTGATCGCCGCGCGCCTCGTCGTCGCAAAGACAATCCACTTCATCTGCAGCCCCGTGCGCGCGCAGATGGTGGCCTACGAGCTGTGCGGTATCCTGGATGATTGTAGACCTGGTGCGGGAGCGGCGACGAGGTTCATTTGGGAGCCGGTGCCGGATCTATGTACGCCTGAGCATCGGCTCGATATGTGCGCCCCCCCACCAACCCCCAACCCCGCGCTACTACTACCCGTGGTGATGTGAGTGCTGACGCAGAGGGTGGGTGGAATAGGTACAAAACACTCAAGCTCGTGCACGTCATCTCCCCCAACCACGCCGAGCTCGCCGGCTTCTACGGCATCGAAGACCCCACCGACAACTCCTCACGCGCCACCATCGAAGCTCTCACCGCCAAACTCGTCACCGCCGGCATCGGCCCCCACAACACCGGCGCAGCCATCGTGCGCTGCGGCAAGATGGGCTGTCTAGTCTCCTCGCACGGGCGCCCGCCCGTCTGGCTCCCCGCCTACTACAGCACCGACGGCGACAACGGCGAGGGCCCGAACCACGAGAAGGTGGTGGACCCCACGGGCGGCGGGAACACGTTTATTGGCGGCGTGGCCATCGGGCTGGTGCGGTATCCGGGGAACTTTGTGATGGCTGCGGCGATGGGCGCTGTGGCGGCGAGCTTTGCGATTGAGCAGATTGGCATTCCGGTGTTGGAGAAGGGGGGGGCGGGGAGGGGGGAGAGGTGGAATGGCGTGGAGGTGGGGAGGAGGTGGGAGGAGTATAAGGCGAGGGTGGAGGCTATGGGGGTGGTGCTGGAGACGTGGGAGGGGATGGAGGCGCCGGTGTGATGTTGTGGGGGGTGGGTTTTCTTTTTGTCGTTTTCTTTCTTTTTTTTTTGGGGGGGGCGGTGGGTGGGATGCTGTGGTATGTCATATCGTCCCGCTGTTTATCTCGGACTCCTTCTCCTTCTTCCTCCTCTTGTTGTTATTCTAGGACTTCTTCTTATTCCTCTTATTCTTCCTTTTCCTCCTCGTACTTCTTTCTTTTGTCTTGACGGGGGCATAGATGGTTTCTTCTCTGCGGGCGTATTTTTCCACTTCCACTTCCTCTTCTTTCTTCCTTTCCTTCTTCTTCATACCCCATCTTTTCCCCCTCCTCCTCCAGTGGCTGTGGCAGTCAGTAGCAATAGCAATATGTAGCAATAATCAGATCTTTGCGCAGTCAGTGCGTTTTTGGATCTTGATGCTTTGGTTTTGGTGCTTGGGTGATCCAAGTAAAGTATGGTCGGCCGATCATGAATTATCACTCGCGCGCTCTCTCTCTCTCTCCTTAATTCCAACCCCACCCACCACACCAAACCAGCCGGCACAGTTACTACTAATCGACTACACGCACACATCGTATCCCGCCGGAGGAAACACTGGTCGTTCGACCGCCGAGGTTTTCGACAAACTAATCTCGTTGTTTGGGGGGGGGGGGGGGGTGTGATGGAGTGAGGGTAAAAACAGGGGAGAAAGGGTGTGGTTATTCCGTAGCGGGAACCGAATCCCGACCTCGCTGCCATACTTGTTTCCTTTCGAGGGCATGCACAAACACGTCACTGCCACAGAACACGAAGTAGCAGTGTGCTGGGGGTGATAGTAAGCTGGCTGGCGTTTCTCTAGCTCTATGTGTCTTCACCTGGAGACCTCATGTGGGCTGACAAGGAGACGACAGGAGGGAGGTAAGACGAGCCTGGAAGCCTTGACTTCTTCCTCCGACATAAATGTACTCCCTAGCCACAGTTTTACCCCAAAGTAAAAGAAACTCTCGGTCATTTGTTTGTATTACTTCGAGTACATATAGCAATCATTGTAGAGCTTCCCCAGCTCTAAAGCCAGTACAAAGTAACGAAAAGTTTCGAGAGTTTAACAAGACGAACGACTATCTCTCGTCTCATCTCGTGCCCACCATTACTGTGATTCTGATTCCGGAGCCAGTACGTTCGAGAGCTAAATAGCTAGAACCTCAATACAAGTGCCAACTATTACGAGCTTCATAAACAAGTTGATGGGCTCAACTCTGGGTAAAGGCCTGTCTGTCTGCTCTTTTGACGAGCTAGAGACAATACAAAGAGCCTGCGCCAGGTCTTGATTCTCCGCTACTCTACTTTACTCTCCACCGTTTCAAAGGAGCTGCTGGCGGTTACATGCCAATTACAAGCACTTTGATTCTAACCCCCGAGTCTACAACTATCCGCAAGCTCAGCCTCGGGGGAGGGAGGTACATACCCAACTATGTGACCGGTGCCCTGGAAATACCAATTTGAGCTGGTCATTGTAGGGGTAGTAATTCCATCCGACCCCATGAGTCTGCTTTTGCTCTGGCATGCATCGATATGGTTTGGTAATAACAATATATCAAAGCTAGACAAGTCATCATTTTCAAACCGCACCACGCACCCCCTGTATTGGCAAACTCGAGACGCAAAAGTTACCTACTCCTGCCATGGTTACGCTGGCATGCACCAACCCGGCCCGAAGACAACAACCCATCACAGCCAGCCAGCCAGTTAGCTAGCCAGCAATAAAACCCATCATCATTTTCAAACCGCACCACGCATCCCCCGTAAAGCAGACCCGGGACGCAGCAGATACCTACTACCTATAGCCTTGGGTTACTCTGGCATGCGTTGGTCTGGTTTGATAATAATAATATGTCACAGCTAGGCTAGACAAGTCATCATTTTCAAACCATATCAGGCATCCCGACGTAATGCGGGCTTGGGCTTGGGGCATAACTATGCAGTGATGGTGGAGGTGACGGTGACGGTGGTGGTGGTGGTGGAGAGGATGGTGTAGAAACGACGGTGGTGGGCCCCGGGTGGGAGGGATGTGGTGGAGAGTGTGATAGTACTATTAAGAGAAAGCACTTATAGCCAACTCTCCAGCACTTCAGATAGCATTGGAGAAACACCACACCATCTACCGCGGTAGCCTAGTCGCTATCGTGTCGCCCAGAGGGGCCGAGGTCGTTCGTTCGAACCACCTCCCAGGCTTGGTTGAAAAAACTGTGTGACTGGGTACAAAGGGGTTGTAGCTAGTTTCCTCCTTTTGCTATTTTGGGGATCGGATTCTTTTTTATGCGCTCTATCTTTTTACTGTGTGCATTCGGAGGTCATCGTGGAGGAGAGAAGGCGAGGCGCGGCGCGTCACAGTCGATCACTCGCTATATATACTTCGTAACAATACCTAGTCTCGTGCCCAGACTGGCTGTAGAATCACATCACAGGCTAGACATGAGATCTTGTACAGCCATATGAAAGCACTCGTACGCCATAATTACGCGGCCAGGCGTCACATATCCTGCCCCGCCCCACACAGTATAGCACGCATCCTCCTGATCGCTAGCATCCCTGGAAATCCGTGTACTTACAAGCTCTCGTACCCCAACGTCACACCCACAGCCCCAAATTTGTACGCTCGATAATTTTTTGTTGCATTTCGATCATTGACACGTATGCACTAACGGTGAGTACATGTAACCGCACCAAGCTTCCTTGCAACCTCAACTATCAACCGACGGAACCGCGGCTCTGGTGGTTGCTTATAGCGTGAGTGGACTACGTATGTGAAAGGTATGGCCTAGATATCTACGACATAAGCAAGAATAAAGTTTGGGGGGGGGGGAGGGAGCGGTTTCAATTACTAGTAGAGATATATTATCGGCTCCACTTGCAGAATAAGGTCTTCACGGTATCGCACATGTACTTAGTCTTGCTTCGATACTAAGTAGCTGTATTATGTTAAATGTACTACCTAAAAGTATTTAGCTTTTCCTGTAAACTGGACGAAATACATTGTAAAGAGACAAATGAATATTATATTTTATTACTCGCGAGCTACCTAAACCACATAGCAAATATTGTGTAATCTTCCAATTCCGCCCAAGCCCCACCCACCAGAAGCTCCACCCATTCCCATTACCGCCCCCTCTAAACCGCCAAAACCGCCACCATCCCAACCACAACACCCACCATCCCCATCAGCGCCCACTGCCACAAGCTCACCCCCCTCACCTCCCCAATCCCCTCAAACTCCCCCTCCAACCTCTCCGCCATCCTCTCCTTCGAAAACTCACTCACCACCCTGCCCCTCCCCCTCCTCCCCATCTCCGCCAGCCGCGCCTCCTGCATCCCAAACAACGCACCCCTGATAACCGCCACCCACTCCTCCTCCTCCTGTGGCCGCAGCCACCCCGTCACCCCGTCCTCCACCGTCTCCAGCGGCCCCCCCGAGTTGACCGCAAGCACCGGAATCCCCGCCAACATGGCCTCGAGCGGGACGATGCCAAAGTGCTCGCGGTCGGGCGTGTACAGCAGCAGCGCGGCCGTCTTGAGCAGGAACGTCTTGAGGCTCGCGGGGATGCTGAGGAGGAAGAGCACGTCTGTCTCCGCGGGGACGCTGAGGGAGCTGATGATGTTCTTTGAGGTTGCAGTCTTGAGGCCGAGGGCCTCACAGAGCGTCTCGAGCTCGGCGTGGTAGGCGACGTTCTCGACGACGCGGGGGTCGTAGCCGCCGGCGAGGACGAGGCGCGTTGTGGCCCGCTCGCGCGGGGAGAGGAGTGCGAAGGAGCGGATGGCGAGGGCGATGTTCTTCTTGCGCTCGAAGCGGTTGATGGAGAGGAGGATGCGGCGGCCGTCGTGCGTGAGCTGCGGGTCGGGCTCGATTGTGCCGCCGGAGCGGGGGCGCGGGGGGGCTGTGTCGACGCATGGGTAGACGACGTGTGGGGTGGTGGTGATGCGCGGGAAGGCGGTGCGGAAGACGGATTTTGTGAAGGCGCTGTTGACGACGATTGTGTGGGCGAGGCCGGTGGTGAGGGCTTCGAGGTGGTCGAAGGGGATGCGGTAGAGGGATTTGAGGAGGCTGGTGCGCGTGGCGAGGAGGTAGTCTGGGAAGTGGCAGTAGAAGAGGATGCGCGTGGTGGGGCTGAAGAGACGCAGGAAGGGGATGCAGGCGCTGAGCTGGTCGACGAAGATGTAGTCGTAGTTTTGCAGCTCCGAGGTGAGGAGGAGGTGGAGTGTGAGGTGCAGCTGGCGCAGGATTGCGCAGAGGATGCTGAAGCGGCCGAGGAGGTTTGATGGGAAGAGGGAGTTTCCAGCTACGCGGACTTTGAGGGTGCCTGTCAAGGGATGGGGATAGTTAGAGAGAGCTGTAGAGTAGAGACATCAAGAGCAATTGAATATTGGGGGGGGTTATAGAGACCATTGCGAGCTTCGTCGAAGCAGTGTCGCGGGTCGCAGTGGGAAGTGTAGATTGTGACTTCGTGGCCTCTATCCTGGAGACCCACAGCTGCATCGACGACCAGACGCTCAGCACCGCCAATTCCCAGGTCTGGGTGGATGAAGAGGATCCTCTTTGGCGACTCTGCAGGCTTTGGAGGTAGCGGGGCCATGGTAATGTTTCGTGTTTCGTGTTTCGTGTTTCGAGTATTGGTGGTTCGATGTGAGGGGATCCTCTTTCTGTGTGTGTCTGTGGCTGTCTCTGTCTCTGTCTCGACCTCGCTCCTGTGGACTGAATCGACCGAACTGGCTGACGTTGCGTTCCCACACGCGGCGCCCTGTCACCGCAAATGTCCAATTACGTAGTGAACAGAGCACGTGACCTGCACCCTGCACACATCCTCGCAGACACGCTAGGCGAGAAAGGGAAGAAGAGCTCTGCGGGAAGGAGCAGAGAGAGCAGAGAGAGCAGAGAGAGCAGCAGAGAGAGAAAGAGAGAGAGAGAGAGAAAGAGAGAGAAAGAGAGCAGCAGAGAGAGCAGCAGAGAGAGTAGAGAGAGCAGCAGAGAGAGAAAGAGAGAGCAGAGAGAGCAGAGCAGAGCAGAGCAGACCCCCGACACACCCCGAGTCTTCCGACACACCCCGAGTCTTCCTCCACGCACCCCACAAACACACCCCAACCATGGGCGAGTCCTCCTCCTCCGCCGCCGCAGCTGCAGCCACAGCCTCCATCCCCCCCCTCGCAGCAGCAGACGAACCCGACGCGGCCCTCTCCCCACTCTCGCTCACCATCCGCTTCACCAACGCCCTCCCCGACACGCCCCTCTTCGTCTCCTCCGCCACCACCACCACCGTCTCCGCACTCAAGCAGCAGCTGCGCGACACCCTCCCGCCCGACCACGCCCGCCGCCGTCTCCGCCTCATCTACGCCGGAAAAGTCCTCCCCGACACCGCCACCCTCGCCTCCCAGATCGCCACTCCCCGCCCCCCCAGCGGAAAAGGCAAAGAGCGCGCCACCGATGACAGCCACACCCGCCCCGTCTACATCCACTGCAGCGTCGGCGATGTCCTCACGGACGCCGAGCTCGCCGCCGAGGCCGCAAACGAAAAGATGACAGCGCCAGAGGCGGCCCCCGCGCCGCCGCGCACAACGCTGCCGCAGCCGCTGGGCTTCGACCGGCTGCTGTCGGCGGGCTTCTCGGAGGCGGACGTGGCGAGCCTGCGCCTGCAGTTCAACCGGCTGCACGGGTACTCGCGCGACGAGGAGGAGAACGCGCGGCTACTGGAGGACCGGTGGATCGATGAGAGCGCGGGGCAGGGGCAGGAGCTCGCCGACGGGAGCCCCGCGGGCAGCTATGAGGATATGTTTGTGGGCATGGCGATTGGGTTCTTTTGGCCTGTGGCGATATTCTTGATGAGGGAGGAGGGGGTGTTTAGTAAGAGGAGGCAGATGGCCGTGGTGGCGGGGCTGTTGGTGAATTTGGCGTTTTCGGTGTTGAGGATTTCGTCGTAGGTGTTGGATGGGTTCTGGTGGGTGGGTTTGTATATAGGTTTTTAGGGCTGGTGGGTGTTTTGTGTTTTTAATTGTAACTGCATAGATATGTAGCTTGTTCAATACCAAAAGTGTTTTGTTTGATATATGCCACCGTCCGTAGAATTAAAAGACCAGAGTTGGGATACCTGACAGTGCAGAGAGTCGTGTCTAGTCGATTACTTGAATGCAATACCTGCCCCAGACCCTGAAACAAATCTAGGACTCAGCCATCAAGCTTCCCACCGCCAAAAGTCTCTCTGTCTCTGAAAAGTCGCTCAGACACAAATTATCACTCGGACCTTCTCCTCTCCAGAAACCGGCAAACCCACCGGAAACGGTGATAAGGCTGACACCACAACAGTACAGTCGTCGCGAGCGCAGAAGGGATGCTGGTCTTATTCCTCATATTACACCGGCTAGATGAGATTGAAGCTCCAAGTTCACCCACCGACCCAGACTGGACCGGACTGGACCGTTGAGATAATGGCAAGTTTGAACTATCTACAGCTGGTTTTGTATAGTCGACCGTTGCCTAGAACTCAACCGCGAGTGGCTCGGGAGTGGGACTAGCAAACAGTACGATACACTCTTATACTAGCCACGACAGGGCCGGAGGAGGAACACCGGTTTGTATATATACCTATACATGCCAGTGGTGTGCTCATGGGGGATCGTGGCACTTTGCTTCCTCTTCAGAGGTATGGGAGTACGGTATGCTTCAATGGGGGGTATGGACCGTGCTTTCCTTTTTGATACAGGGAAATATATTTATATACTTCTGTCATATTCTTCATGTGAAGCCGTCTAGGAACCTCCCGAGATTGGGAACGGATAGCTGCTGCTCAGCACAATGATGACTCAAGGATGCCTAAGGGGCTGGGTAGCATGCCCTGAAGTTTGCTTCTTTCCTCCACCTTTTCACCCCTCCTTCCTTCACTTTTCACCACCCCCCCCCCCCCCTTCCTAGATAACTGAACCTCCACTTCTATCATCAATCGAAGTACTCTGTATGTGCCCCCATTCTCTCCTCCACCCCCTCCCAGCGATTGTTTGTTTCTCCCCGAACGTTTATGGAGCGCTGGGATACGGACCAGCATTTTTTTGGCTGGGCTCCACATGGCGCGAGGCCCTGGAGGCACTCGGACAACTGGGGGAATTGTCGTATTGCGGCCTGGAGCCAAGCCTAGCTAGCGTTTGACGACTTGTGCGCGCCTCGCTGGACGATGGCGAACTGCAAGGTCTCGAGGGAGAGTCAAACTTTTGCCCAAGAGCCGGATATTACTGATGTGTATGTGTGTTGCAGATCCTCTCTCGACAGCTCGTTGATGGTACTCTAGTTGGAGTACTGGTACCTACAGCTGGATGTCGAGGTAAATATCTTGGCACACGCACCTACTCTACTTGCCGGGACCCTAACATGCACACTAAATTCTTGGTGATCCGGCGACCAGACCAAGCTTATCGATAAGACGCCGACCATACTCTACGGCGACTTCACGTGGACCCCTGCATGGAAACACAGAACGCCGAACAATTCGCGGGGAACTCTTATAGCCTTAGTAATCCCTTCTGGAGAGCATAAATACTGCGTTTCATCCCGCATCTCTTTTCAAAACATCAACCCCGCATTATTACTACGATCATCATGTGTAAACCCGCAAACTGCAGTACCTGTGGTGAGTACTCATTATTAACTTAGCCTCTTGGTGTGTGTGTTGATGATGCTGATAAGACTACAGGCAAGAAGAGCTGGTTTGGCTGCGGCAGCCACATCCCCAGCGTCATGGACCCGGTCCCGAAGGAGGAATGGTGCACCTGCGAGAAGCCGGCCGATAGCGAGTACCCTCCGATCGCGAGTTAGAGGTGGCCCTCAAACTCGGGTAGGATGCTTTGAGGGCTTTGCTGTTGTTATGGTATGGAGTTAGGTGGCAGTTGGTTTTGTGCTTCGAGGTGGGGCGGGAGGATTTCGCTCTGTGGGTTTGGCAATTTTCTTGTATGTTGAGGGGTATCAAAATTAAGAATGATATCCCGAGAACTTATGAAACCATCGAAATCTGCAGTAGATGTTACTTGTAGGGATTTAAGCTTTGCCTTGAACTTTGAAGTGATATGCAATACAGACCAGCAACCGGTCCGTTGAGCCATGGTAGGAGTTCCCGCAAAACTATGACTATAGTTTGATCCTTCTGAAGATCGTTCGTAATGCCAGAGGTTTGTTACTGTTGTGTTCTAGTCTTGTAGCCCTGAGAATCTCAAAGACACAATTTGCTGTCAATATATATTTTGTCTCCCCAGGTTCGAGATTCGAGAGGACCAATACGTGGTTTCCGCGAACAGGTACCTGGTGAAATTTCAGAGTACTAGAAGACATTTGGGTTAGATTTCCGGCCAAACTTCGTATAGATCATGTGGTTTGGACCTACAGGTGTCGTTGAGTCGATACATGTACTTGTGAGCCGCTAATCCTCTCAGATTTCGGCGGTTGTGTGATGTGGTGTTTGCTGCCTTGCCTGTAAATTCTAGTTTATATCAAAGGTTGAAAGTTTAAGTGGAAAACTACACCGGGCGGTGGTTGGAGAAGGCTCCACCAAGGTGTCCAATCCTACATAGTGGCATGGCACAAAACAGGTACCTATACACAAATACACTCGAACCCTTACCCAGAAAATCTTGGGCTTCAACGTAAACAGTGTCCTACACTATGGTATTCCTACAACACTGGACGTCTCTTTTAATATGATAAACTATATAACAGAAGAAATCTATACTGTAGCAATTTTTTAAGGCGCACAAAGTCCCAGAGAGCCCCGATAAGTGGGACAAAGTAACAGACATACAGCTGTAGGTAGGTCTTAGAAGAGTTTGCTTTAAGGGTAAACATGCATATGTGAGAAACAAATATTAATATTTGCTTAATTGGGAGGTTGTTATCTTATCTGGCACGAATTATCAGATAATCTCTTATCTCCATTGTGACTTGCGCCCTAGCCCTAATGACATATGGAGCCCCACATGCCAAGCCCACACAAATTCACGACACTCTACACCCAGCAAAAATAATCCCCCTCAACACCAAGTAAAGTATCACGACGAATCGCCAACGGACAGCCCACTCGATCCAAACTTCCCTCAACAAACCCTAACACCAAAAACCTAACAACCAGGAAATATGGCTGACGCTGCTGCAGGACGTGGTGGTGGTGGATTCGGAGCTCGCGGCGGTGGTGACCGCGGTGGTGACCGTGGCCGTGGCCGTGGTGGACGCCGTGGACCCCGCAGAGGTGCTAAGAATGAAGAGAAGGAATGGCAGCCGGTCACCAAGCTTGGACGTTTGGTCAAGCTTGGAAAAATAAAGAGCATGGAGGAGATCTACCTCCACTCTCTCCCCATCAAGGAGTACCAGATTGTCGACTTCTTCTTGCCCAAGTTGAAGGATGAGGTCATGAAGGTAGGCTTGAATTCCTTTCCGATGTCTGGATTCAATTGGTTTTGGAGGATTGCGGGCAGGGAGCTCTAAACAGAGGAGCGCTGGGAAATGAAAACTTGTTTTCTTATTTGGGATATGGGAAAGGACCAACCACTAACATTATACCATCTTCCAGATCAAACCCGTCCAGAAGCAGACCCGTGCCGGTCAGCGTACCCGTTTCAAGGCCATTGTTGTCATCGGTGACTCCGAGGGCCACGTCGGTCTCGGAATCAAGACCTCCAAGGAAGTCGCAACTGCCATCCGTGCCGCTATCATCATTGCCAAGCTCTCCGTCCTCCCCATCCGTCGTGGATACTGGGGTTCATCTCTCGGAGAGCCCCACTCCCTTGCTGCTAAGGAGTCTGGAAAGTGTGGTTCCGTCACTGTCAGGGTAAGCTATACGATCTTAGAACGTCCAACGTGACCTGTGACGCTAAAACACCAAATAGTTGATCCCTGCTCCCCGTGGTACTGGTTTGGTCGCTTCTCCCGCCGTCAAGCGTCTCCTCCAGCTTGCTGGTGTCCAGGATGTCTACACCGCCTCCTCTGGTTCCACCAAGACCCTCGAGAACACCCTTAAGGCTACCTTCGCTGCCGTCGGTAACACATACGCTTTCCTCACTCCTAACTTGTGGAAGGAGACCAAGTTGTTGAGAAGTCCTCTGGAGGAGTTCTCCGACGACTTGAGGAGGAAGGAGAGGTATTAAGCGGTTGTTTTTTCCGGGTTAGGGATATTAAAAAAATGTTAAAAGGGTTCTTTGTTTCTTCTCCAATTCTAGTTAATGATGCGGATTCCCGTTCAATGATCCCGTCCAACGTGCCATGTGATTTTTTGAAAGCAAGGGTGTTTCTACGCCCCACCTTATCGATATGGCGACAGTTGCTTTGGGGGATTGAAAAGAGGCATTGTAATCGAAATTTTTTTTTTCTAGGACTGCCAATTTACTTGTAGCTGTAGTTCGGGACTGGCTGACCATGTTGGATCATTTTTTCTGGTCAATCCCTCTGCTGCTTCCCCAGGGATGTCAGTTTTAGCAGCTTCAGGAGTGCCTTTATAGACCTTAGCTTGTTAGCATAAGCGGAAGGTATCATGGTAACATTTCACGCTTCGGAATTTTTTCGAGCACAGAGTATCACTCGGTCCAAATCTCGTGAACCCAAAAGATTGGGTATTATCTTTCGTTCTCAAGCTGTTAATATCGTATCTCTTTGTGCTATGAACAAAATGTTAATATGGTGGAATTACTCTCGGTACCCGGTACAGTATACGAAATCTACAATCTCGAGTGTTGAAACCTTTAGGGCTAAACACCCGTTCTTGGTACTGTTTTTCTTCAGCCATCCTAGCTCCAAGAACCAAGAAATTTTCTCGATATAGAGCTTACCACAGGATAGTCCAGAAAACTTGGGTTTCATTTCCTAACAGAAACCCATCCCAGTTCTGCGCAAAACCCGAGGAGTTTTACACAAAGTTTAAGGATAAATAGTATTATTGATATCGTTGCCACCTCTGCTCTTTCTCTAATTCAGTACAGTCTGTCAACATTCAGACGAGTACCCACCATACTATCACGTTGGAACAACTTCTTGTGCCAGATACGATCGATTGCCTGAAACTGCACCATGGTATCATCGTAGATATTAGCTATTGTAAATCCTTTAACAAAACTAATTATACAGCAGTTTAGCAGTAATTTTGGTACGTAAATGGAACAGAAAAGAAGAAACCGTTTCAAAACCCATCGTCAGAGAAAACACCCACCGGTCTTTACTCCCGTCTGCGCCTTCCCTCAGCCGGTGAAACGCTCCTGCTGACACTCCTTTTGTCCCTTCCTCTAGCCCTCAGCCATTTCTTCATTCCTAGCTCCAATTCTCTCTCCAAGTCCTTGCTTGGTTCTTTCCTGTGGATGAAATTACAGAATCCTCCTCTGACACAGCCTTCTCCGCTGTTTAACCGACAACAGGCCTCCCTGAAATCCGTAACAGGCGATAGTTCACAATAGATGGGACGCGCCGCGTACCATCTCGCATTTAGCGCGTCGCAAGCCGACTGCGCGTCTTCCTCGTATTTGAAGCGAGCATAAACATTACCGATCAGATCTATAGTGCGTTGCGCACCCAGTTAGCTTCATGTACCTGTAAATCAGGCCTAGCAACCTCTCGGCGTACGCTGAGATGGGAAAGCATAAATACATACGATCGTTATTATTATCGCACACGACGACCTCCTCCACCTCGCCGTACTTGCACATTTCGCAGAAGAAGTCTTCGTAAAAAGCGTCGAAGTGGTTCTGCAACTGACTGGGATTCATCTTGTTTTTAGGATCAAATGCCGGGTTCTGGTAGAGGTTTGGGAGGAGAATTGTTTGCGAATATGAGGGCTTGACGTGTTTTCGGGAGCAGCGGTCGCCATGACGGCAGGCGCCGATTTTGTAGTAAAAGGAGCCTTGTGTCAAGTTAGTTATACAAGCGAAGGGAGGCAGAGGAAGGGATAAAGTTGTAACATACAGTTAACCTTGTCCTGCTCGGTACCGAAGATCGAAGCGAGATAGTTAGCCATGATCTTGCTACTCTGATGGTGATGCTATGGGTGTGGAAGATTTCGTGAGTGAGGCAACGCGTGTGGTTGAATGGAAGATGTGGCGATCGTTGCAGCTAACGGAGGCTAGAAAGGTCAAGCATCTGAGTCAGCCGCACAGCCAATCACTCGGCGGAAAATGCACTAACCAACTTGCTCTAAGCCAAAAGCAGCCAGTTACATATAAGTCTGGACTCATATTGCTATCCTCCAAGGCGCCAACTTTTGCGATTAGTCAATACATGCCTCGAAGTAAGTCTGGACATGTACGTTCGGGAAGGCAATTTACGGCAAGATGGTAAGATTACCATGTATGGCGATCAAAAAGCGTAGTAATCTATAGACTTCCTCCCGCCTATAAGTCCTAAAACGCTTGATAATTGATTTATAGATAGCAATAGAATCTTGAGTCGAATTACTGATGATATATATACTCATAAATCATTTGAGATGTATGATTGAGAACTCGCTGTTTTAGGGCTTATCTTCAAGGAAAAGCATAGTAAAGTCTACTATCAGTTATAATATATCACGGATTATAGATAATGGGCATAGCGATCCATCTATAATTTTATTCAGATGATTATCAACCGGCTACATGTAATTACATAAAATCCTTCATAATCCTCCACACCATCAACCCCCCAATAGCGCCCCAAAGCTTCAAAGCAAAACTTCCGGCCTCCGTGAATCCACTCCACGCAAAGTACACTAGAACCCCTCGAATAGCCAGATCATAAGCCCCCAACCACATTTCGTCCCCATAGCAAATTCTCATTGTCAGCACTGCTTGCAAAACACATCTACTGTATCCTATAGGGTCAACCTTGGGTGCATTGAGGATCTGGAGATCCTTTGTCAAAAGCTGATCAAAAGTAGGGTTTTTTTGCCCTCTCATTCTTTTAATGAGCGGCCATGTGAGTGCCCGTCCATGGTATTTCCTATTCCATGGCGCCAGAGGCGTATGATCTAAAAGATTTATAATTCGAACAACATCAGATATCTCAACAATCTTCTTATGTTCTGGCTTTAATTCTTCCGCAGATAGAACTTCTTGGATAGACCAGTTTGCCGCCCAGACTGTGTAGAATCTGGGACTAAGAACAGTGAAGGTAATCTCGTGTCCCATGGCCGCTGCCTCGGCGGATTTAAATGTCTCTTTATGAGGTAGATTCCCAATTCCGGCAGAATTGTAATGTATTATGGTCGAGACAGGATGTTTCTCAACTCTGGTACGAAGGTACAGTCTAAAATATTTCTCTAGTTCACTACATCACTACATATCAGCACAGTAAACCACCAATTTTAGATTAAAGGGTCTAACATTTCTAGTGCGGTTGCATTCCGGCTGATTGTCTTTCTCCTCACCTCTGGTCTAAGGTAGACCTTTAGCCTCTTAACACCAAACAACTTTGCCGCCTCCCATACAATCCTGGGAAACGTGATCAAGCCGCTCCATCCATATTTTATCACGAAAATCGTGGAACTTATGACCGATGTCGAAAGTTCTGAAAGAAATATTGGAGGCACCACAGAGCGTAGACCTGCGATGAGCTTCTTATTATCGAAATCATCGTAGAGAGTTATTGTAGTGTTTACAATTCCGTTGGAATCCTCTTTTTCAGAGAGAGGGTCGCGAGTCAAGACATTATATTTCCCCGCTCGGTCGTTGAAGGGCGATACATGAAACTCTTTGGAGAAATTTTGACTGAACGTTTGTCCAAATGAGATATTGAAGCCCGTCAAAGAAGAATTAGATGGGCGGCAAAGATACATGTGCCGCTCATCGAAAGTATTATTTACTTCGAGAATCACCAGAGACAACACCCCATCTTTGTCTTTCAGATACCTTCATCTTCAAATTATCATCAAAACTCCTTTTTTGGTGCAACAAAATTAATAACATACCAGAAGCTTACAGGATTAAATTGATACCCCAGAAATCGTGGGGCTGTAATAAGATAGACTGTAGGGTAGTCATTAATATTCATGTCCTATCACTCGCACGTTAGCGTGGCTCGACTTTGGAACACTCATCATATAAAAACGCCCCCCATACATACGTTTTCAGTCAGAAATGCTTTCATTTTCTCCTCCATCGTCTCGTTTCCACGCCTCAGATAATCTCTTGAATCCACGCCGAACAGGGACCATTTCTTATTCTTATACCCGTTACTGAACGAGAACAAACGCCCTATCGAACCTTTGAACTTCAGTGGCATTCCACATTGCAGAACCGAGTAGGCAAGTGAATGTCGCTGCGGGAATAAACGCGTGTGATGCGTTCTACAGCGGAAAAGTACTGGTTCTGAATACAAGCGTGTTTCACCCGGACCGGGTTGTTGAACATCTTTCGGGGGGCTAGTATAAGAGAGACCCGCAAAGGTAGCCAGAGCTGTCGATGATAATGATGCTACAATCACCCATGATAGAGACGCGCTTGATACTGGCAAGTCATTTCGAAGTGAAAATAAGCATAATCCTGCAATCGAGAGCGCTTCTTTGATTGCACCAGAATAAGTGTCATCGCTTAATTGTAGTATTGAACTCAAAACAATCGATGCGGGAATTATTGCAGGAAGGACGATTTGTGGCATTGTAGCTGGTATTGACAGGGGTGTTGAAGGTATTTGTTGATATAAAGCCACAAAATAGCTGCAGGAGCTCGAAATTTCTTTCCCTGTCTCGAATTACAATATGAGTGATAAGTAAATGGGTCCAGAATTCATCAATAGGGAGAATCTGTAATCCTTTATAAGCCGAACCGTTCAGAAGGAAGCATCGGATGCAAGTACAATTCTCGATCCGGATTTGGTTCGTTCTGCAGAGTGATCGGTCATGACTAATCAAACATGGTGTGTTTTCTTCACAACGCATCACTCGACTTAATGTTTTTACAAAAAGACATTCGGTCGCTGTGGTAATCAGTGGATTCTATTTTGCCGTTGATTTCAATTGATACCGAACACATTTGATTCTACACTCGTACTGCGGGGGCTGGTGGTGTTGTATACTAGCGTCAAATCTCGCGCGTCCTTACGTGCAGCGTGCTTCTTCGGCACAGCCTCTCAAAAGACCAAGTGGATGTACGAATCTAAATGACAGTCCAATCCAGGTGCCAGGTATCGTTAAACTCATACGGTGTCTTACAAAATCGCATAGACGTCTACTCGCGTAGGCCTGGGTCTTTCTTGAACAGTGCTATACCAAGACTTCGCTATAATATTACATACGTAGGTTCTTGCTTATACAAGTTTACTCTAGACGATGGCCAGTGCCCAAAGGGGTTCTGGGTAGCGATGGGCACGAGCCAGCTCGGATTGTGGAGGTAAAGGCTCGAGTTTTTCGAGCCTTGGAGTTAGGCTCGATACTGGGCTCGAGCTCGTCAGTAAGAGTAAGAGAGCTCGGCTTGTTCAAGCCTAAAGCTCGAGCCAGCTCGGCTCGTGCCTATCACTAAAATCTCTGGGAGCTATTAGAGTATAACGATTCACATATTAGGTGTGTTCTTTGAAGGAGAATTGTATAATCATTCAATCGTTACGGCACAGGGATTTTAAGCAGTTACTCCACGTAAACCGAGTGAGTAGACATGCATCTCTCGAAAATCCCTGCAGCCTCTGCCAGTGAGTATCTACAGAAAAGATACACTATTTAAAGGAAATGTAGACGAGAAAGAAAAGAAAAAAGAAATAGTATCGAACCCAAAAAAAGAAAGAAAGACCATGAACCATTCGCGCCCCCGAGATATTTTACATATTCTAAACACCGTTCGCGATTGCGGTAACAATTACCACACCCAATAACGAATGTAAAATCAGGAATTAAGAATTCTTCCACCAGTCTTCCTCCCTTAAGTATTTGCCGTATGCTTTCACGGCCTGTGCGCCACCGAGGCCAAGTTCTACACCTTTGATCGCCCACTCGGTGATACACAGCTCGACGAGTTTCTTGGCTTGGTGCCCATAAACACCGACAAGCTTTTTAGCACCGACCTGCAATAATGTTTTCATGACGAAGAAATGCGAGTTGGTAAGCAGGTTCATAGGTTGGTTTAGCAAGAAGGCGACTGCGTGCCAGAGATTAAAGATCGGATAGGGGTTGATCATTTTTGAACCGCCGAAATCCCTGTGGTAGCATGTCAGCTGCTGTGATGGAAATTGTTTTATGCTTTTGTTTTGTTTCGTTACCTTCCAGCGATAGCAGCATAACCTGCTGTCAATCCTACAAGAGAATTGATATGCGCCTCCTCAGCCTCCCATGTACCTTCTTCGTCTACTTTCCAACCCAATCGTTTTCTATCCTTCTCCGTGTCTTCCGGCCCAAGCTCACCCCTCAAAATTGGATTCCTTTTAAGAAGTCGAGCAAGGATAATGTCGATAAACGAATTGCCGTTCACAGTTAATCCGTCACCAGCAAATGTAGCGATGATAGTGATACCAAGGGGATCGGCTGTTTCGGGTTTAATAGAGCACTCGGCTTCAACTTGCTTCACCAGTAGTTTTGCGAGTTCATTGACAGCCCAAACAAAGGCGATAGGAATAGGAACATTGCTTTGTTCATTAGGGGCGAGAAAGAAGCCACTCGCGAGGACTTTGGGTCCGTTTGTATCGTTAAGAAGATCCATGAAGGTTTTTTTGTAAAATTCACGCTATTGAGTCTGTCAGTATGATTGAAACGAGCATAGTAGTTTAGGAAACTGACAACTGCGACTGTCTGCGTCTTCTCTCCATTGAGCTGTCCCAGTTTTGGACGCAAATCACGACGTATGGCCATAAGATTCTTACTCTTCATAAACTGTGGTTCGTTGTCGACATCTTGTCGAACCTTTTTCAAGGCAGCTAGGACCCTGCTGACAGCAGTCGATTCAACGTTGATGTTTTTCCGTCCATAAACCGAAGGACCAGTGTATTGTTGTTGCGGCTGCGCTTGCTGCTGTTGCTGTTGCTGTTGCTGTTGTTGTTGCTGTTGCTGTTGTTGCTGCTGTCGCTGTTGTTGCTGTTGCTGTTGCTGCTTTTCAGCCTGTGCAGCCTGTGCAGCCTGATCCCTAGCATCTTTTTCCGCCTGTTGCTTGAAATGTGCTTCCCGCTCTCGGTGCTCTCGTTGCTGGCGTTCGTGCTCAATCCATTCCATTTCTTCCTGCTTTCGCCTGCGTTCTAATTCTTCTTGCTGTTCTCGTTGACGCCGTTGCACCTCTTCCTGTCGAGCCTTTTCTTCCGCGGCTCTCCGAGCGATCTCGGCGCGCTTCTCTCGCTCTTCGCGCTCCAACTTCGCTCGCCTAGCCTCCTCGGCTTGCCTAACCTCGAATATGCATTTGACTTTTCTCTGGAACCTATCCTCAAGTACAGCAGCCTCTTGAGCATTGAAACGATTCTCCTCAAGATATAGCAACTTGAATTCGTGGTGAACTTTCTTATCACTATTATTGATCCCGGCAATGGTATATTCATGGGCCTTAAGATCTAGAGAACCGAGTCGTTCAGCGGTCGCTTGCGCATGGGAGACGGAATTGCTCTTCCCTAGGGAATTTAACGCTGGCGACAGTCCATACAAACTGGGGGCCTCATAATTGTTGAGATCTTTGAACAGGCCATCTTCGTCTGTGGATTCGGGCTCAGACCATTCACCGTCGGATTCAGGTAAACTTGTTTCCTCCGGGTTGAACGAATATGATGACGGCATGAGTGAGGTTTTTTCCTGCGTGATCCTAGAATCTGGGGCACTGAGGAAATAAGCACGTCTGGTTGGTTCACGGGGAGGATAAGCGAGAATCAGGCGGTCCGCTGTCGGAGGTGCAAACGGTGGTAGAGCGGATTGGAGTAGACAAGAGGGGATAGAGGTAAGAGGCAGAGAGATAACTCTTGACTCGATAGTGGGGGAGTGCGAGCAACATACCGATTGGGGACTGACGCTTTGTGGGTGGAGGTGGTTGTATGATGTCGGGGGGAGGCTGGGATGCGAGCTGGCTGTTGGTGATTTAGCTGCCACACGCGATCACGGGTGTGGCTTAACCTAAATAAATTAGTCCTTGAAAGCCACAGTGTAACCGCGCTGACCAGTAAGAAGACTGTGGACAAATTCGTAATGTACATATCTGCAAGATAGATACTTTATCATGACACATAAAAATAGTAAACTCTGCTGATCAGCCAAGCAATGCTAATATCACTATCCTCAAATCGAATGTTTCCACAGATGCAAGATGGCATCGGTACACCAGCTGCAGCATATATATGTAATTTACCGTTTAGTAATATAGGAGCCGTTTAAAACCTTGCATGAGATGCATGACAGTTCTACAGCCAGCCAGACGTGAGTGCCGTGCAGAAGATTCACTATCAGTCGTGTTTCAAAATCCAAGGCCCTATTTGTCAAGGTCTGAGGGTCCTTCTTACCGGTTCTCCGTTACTGCATACATAGACGCCCTACAACATACATACGGGGTTACAAGTCAAGTGTTACTAATTTCTAGTAAGTATTAATTAGGTTGTGTGGTTTCCACATATGCAACTCGCTTCTATAATATCTAGCTTACTAGAAACATGTTTCAATAGAAATATATTGGAACTTACTTTGTTACTTGAAATAGCTACATGTAAAGAATCGAGACGATATACGTAGTGATGTTAAGCGTACAATCTGCAGCAGTGATCACCATCGAGTGATAATGTGTGATTAAGTCTTTTAACATCCTGAATATATTCGAAGGTAAGCTGCATTCTCAGTTAAGTCCCACATATGTTACTGACTACCGATAGAGGGCGGGGTCCATGCCAGATAATGAGCCCAGATACAATGTCTTTTGGGCAGAGATATTTGGGAATTTGGATTGCCGTCCACATCATTACTTCTGAAGGACTAGCTTGATGATAAATCAAAAACTGCACTGTTTCACAATAGACTATCTACACAAACACGAGTGACCGCATAAATATAGGCCTGCCTTCCAGGAGCAACACCAAAAAGAATACCCATCAACCAAAAGACACCAATCGAAAAACATAAGAGAAAAAATAAGACCCAGGTACATGCAGTTACCAAAAACATAAACACACCTACTCTCTAAACGAGCATCAATCTAGACTTGACAACACCACCAGAGAAGTTCCTCATAGCCTTCATTTTAGGCCTTGGAGTTTGCAGTCGCCTAAAAGCCTCTTCGACGTGTCTAGCCTCAACGGCAGTCCTCCCTTCCTCTGCGTGGAAGAGGAACTTCTCCCGCTTTCTCTTACGGCTCTTTTCGCGGCTCTGCATAAGAACCTGATCTTCAGCCTCCTTAACTCTTAGCGCTTCCTCGGTCAGTGTCTGTACAATCTCGAAAGTTAAAAACCCTAAAATATCAACGATATCATCGTTAGGCTTCGCCTCTGTCACAGTCCCAAAACCGGCCCATTCCCTAAAACGCTTTCCCTTCCTGAAGGTGAAGGATGCTTGTCTACACTCCGACCAGTGAACATACTCGTCCTTAGTCATCCCTCTCGTTCTCTCATCAGCATTCTTCAGTCTCTGTAATGTCGCATAGTTTGCCTCGACTTCGTCCTCATCTTCGTCCTCTTCGCGCTCCGGAACCTGCTCCGAGAAATAGCTGGCAACTTCCCATGGGAGCCCAATCTTCGCTTTCCGCTGCTTCATCTGCATTGGCCCCCCACTCCCTGCAATTCCCGCTGCAGCATCTTCTAACAGATCTGCAGGATCGGGTGCGCCGGCGCCCCCGTTAGGGTCTTGCTCTTTGGCAGTTTTACGGACGTCTTTCCACGAAAGATAGGTGCGCAGCCTGGATACCTTGGCTTTATCATGGCGGATTAGGAATATAAGATCGTCCGTAGAGATTGACCGGGAGCCGCGGCGGGCAGCTTGGCTTGTGCATTGGAGGAGCTGATGGAGGATGGTTATGTTAAAAAGGTTTTTTTTTTTTTTTGAAGCTATTGGGAAGCTATACCATCTCGATGACTTGCCCGCGGACTATTTCTTCAATTATGCCGGTTGTTTCAGCATTTGGTTCGCCCGTTTCGCCGGAGACGAACATCATCTGGATGGTCTATTAGCGCGTTGCGCGTTGCGCGTGTGGAGAAGCTCAGGGGTGAGTGTACCTGTTGAATCTCCACACGGTACTTGAACTTGTCTTTGTCATTGTTGTTTGCCATTGTTTACTGAGACGTTTAGTAGCAGTGTTGTTGGCCTAGGTTGATAGGTGTCAGCAACTCTGTGCGGTAGCTCAAGGCGTAAGTCTTTATTAAGCTGTTGATAGCTGTGAGAGAAAGTGATAGCTGTGAGGAGAGGGTGATAGCTGCCAGGGAAGGGAAGGGGAGGAGAGAGCGTGCTCGCGCTGAGGGTTCCACAGAGGCCGGGTAAGCCTTAAGGCGGGCTCCTGCAGTTGCCTTTCCGTCAACAGTTTTGAGGTCGCGTAGAGAGATGTAATATTTCTTCATCGGGGTTATGGTGCGCATGCATGTCAAAGTTAGGCCGAACCCTAGCCCTATTGCTTGATCGGCTGCTAGCCAGTAGGGTGTTTTGGGCCCTAATCCCTTTTTGTGCTGTTATCGGCAGCTCTTTATCACGAGCATGGAAGCTATACAATGGCACTCTTAAGCTCGTGCACATTTCATAACCAGCTGGCAGCATAGAATCGTGTGGTCAAGAGTAAAATACTTAGGAGGTACACTACACGATCTAAGTATTTGGTGTCTAACGAGTGTTGATATATAACGAGCCACGTGATGTGTAATTGTTAGTAGGGCCGGCGCAATATAATTGTGACCCTGGGATATCAACGCGAAAGGATAGTACGAGTACGTAAGGTGCGCCATGCGTACTACTCTAGAGCGGGTGCCCCCGCACCCAAATTCAGGGTTCTCAGGACAGACGGATTGCACCGTAAGGCAGAAACCTTAAAAAGCAGGGGAAACTAAGGAAGGGTTATTCAGGGACAAGACATTACTGACCCACGGCGACAGAGACGTGATAATCGCATGAGGGGAGGCATCATGAAACTCGGCGAAAGTTTCCTTAGTATGTCTGTAAAGCGCCCGCATTCTATTTTCTAGTTGGGACTACCGCAGTACAGTCACAACACCGATCCATGATCGAAGCTCACTTCATGTACGCCCGTGGAGAGCCAAGATATTGGGAAGCTCTGATTCGACGGGTTTTCTAAACATCGTACTGAACTTGTAAAAGGTCGCATTGCACGAATTTAGTAATTTCTATGGTGAAATACCTAAGCTACGGGTGGTTGTGACGAAGACCTCCGTAGTAAAGCTGCTATAGAGAGCCAATGATAGCTGAAAGTAGTGCCATTTAGCGCCAAGAAAGTACATGTAAGTTATCGGTCCTGCACTGACCGAGCAGTAAACCGAGCTCTGAGCAGTGTTGGGTGAAACGGGTACAATAGCTGTGGGACGCCCCTTACCCTTGCCCCCCGTACTCTGGGTGACTCTCTAGCTTGAGCTACAGCAGAAGCAGCATATTAAAATCAGAAGGGTACTTACTGCACCCAACCTACATAACCCACCCGCTCTATCCACTACCCACCTACCTACCCACCACATACCTTGCCATATCATCATCTTTAACACACCTCGCGCTCTCTATCTCCAGAGGTGGTGTGTAGTCTCGACCTAAAATCTTCAGGTTCTGTCGTTGGACACTAGGTAAGCTGAGCAGTTTATCACCCCCAATCCCCCCACCCCCCATCCAAATTCCATCCAATCCATCATCCCCCATTGCTGCTGCTCAACTCGAAAGAGAGTGGAAAAAAGCAACGAAACATCCCCCAGGAAAAAAGGGCTTACTAAGTGCTTCCAGTTTCTAGGGTAGCTCACGTGCTACACTAACTTCCCTTCTGGGATCGGCACGCATCAATAACGTCGCCGCCCAGGCAGCACGCGACGGAGCTCAGAAATGATCAAGAGCACAACATCTAACGTCCCGACTGTTTCCACTGTACATATGCGGCCACGCCGAATAACCGCAGAAACCATGCCAGCAGAAGAAGATTCGCCACCGACCTCCCCCGACACAAAGATCAAGCCGAAAGAACTCGAATGTCCCATCTCCGAATGCACCAAGCGGTTTACCGGTGAAAGGGGCATCAGGGGCCATCTCGCTCTCTACAAAGAACGCTTTCAGGAGTTCGCGTACAACTCCTCGCTCGACCTGATCTCTATCTCATCCGGCGTCAACCGTGAAGAGCTCGATAACAAAAGGAAGAAAAAGAGGAAGAAGGAGAAGGATCCACCCGAAAGTGGAAAGGAAAGCTTCGAGTATCTCAGTGCGCACTATCAAGAATGGAAATCGCGATATGGTGAGACGTTGATCCTCTCATTGCAATCAAGTTCTAGTAAAATTTTCTTTTCTATCGATGTAATGTCTTGTGACTTACCCGCTAACGGTTACAACCATTTAAAAATGCTAGACGTCCCAAAGAAACCCTTTAAAGAGCGTCACCGCGAAGCTGCCACAAAGTACCGCGTCAACAACAAGGACAAGGTCAGGAAGATGGTCAAGCTGAGCAAGTTCAGGGCCAAAGCGAAAAGGCAGGGACTCAGCGATGAGGACGCTGAAACGAAGGCTCAGGAATGGATCCAGGAATGGGAGAGGAAACAGCCCGATAGGAAGCCTACTTCCAAAAGGGAAAGTCCTGAAGATGATCAGGACGAGCCCTGATTGCGGGCTTAGAGGGGCTTTTTCGGGGGAATATTTCTTAGGAGTTGGGTTGCAAGTATTAGGATAACAAATTGTAATGACTGGTTGAACGGGATAACTACGGAATATGGCTGGAATTTGTGCTTCTCTTGTTTTGTGAAGTGGTAATGATAGAAAATTCACTTGTACTTGGCAGAGGTAATGATTTAAATGTTCCTTTCAGATAACCGATGGCTAGGCCGGTTTGAATCAGCCGCCAACTCCAACCCCCTTTATTGCATTGCACTTGCTTTACCTTTACGTATCATCGCACGATCGCGTTGTCATTTCTAGCTACCTTTATTTTTTTTCTACCATTATAATTTACAGCTCGAAAAACCCTACGTAATATAATTACAGATAGGGAAAGCGCAATGTCTTGGCTCCAAAAATCTTCGGTAAGTGAGGTATTAAGACCATAATACATATGTAGTTATGTGATGACAATAATAATGTAATAATTTCGGTGTTTATCTACCTCAAATTCGCTACTTTACTTAAAACCTTTGCCTGTTACACTAAATTCTTGTAAAAATATCAGCATCCACAAGACAACTTTTTTAACTCAGAGTTGTAATTTGTCAATGGTAGTTTGCGGTTAGCAAGATTTTCAATGATGTGTCAAAAATCAGGAAAAGAGGTCATTGGCCCAGCTTAGGTAATATGGCGAATTTCTGGTTTCCAAAAGTACTACCGCATAATAGTTTTCGAGCAACATCTTGTGGCTGTTATGAAGCTACTCATGCACGCCTTCACAATCTGGGTTTGGCGGGAAATTGAACAGGAATCTAGACTCCCCGGGGATCACAGAGTAGAACATGTCTGAAATAAAACATAGTGGCCTTTTCAAGGTTATTATGATAAAGTACGTCTTCACAATGGAAAGAGGGAGGCGCGCCCCTCAGAATTTCGATTCCTGCACTCTATTTACCATCACCCGCGTAGTTTTCATCCGGGAAGAAAATCTTTCTCTCAGCACCTCTACCAGTGAGTACAACCATTCGGATGACGCCTCCGGAGCTTCCATCCCATTTGATGGCCTCTGATAACGCTCCCTTGACGAATTCTACACACTCGCCCTCAGTGAAATTCTCTTTCCAGTTGGCATCGCAGTAACCGTAGATGTATGTTGAACCGGAACCACCAATGGCATAGCGCTGCTTGTGGAGTGAACCACCCAGAGGAATGGAGTAAACTTCCCCCCCATGACGCTTGTCGTAGCCTGCAATAATAATACCGGCGCTCAGGTTATCTTTGTTGTCGTAGCAAAGCTCTTGAAAAAGAGCAGCCGCGATTCGGGTAGCCGGTGGCTCAGCATTTGTTACGCTGGGGAGTAAATGTTAGATTTGCACACGTTCTCCAAAAGCAATAAATTACCGAAATGAGTGTAGAGAAGCTTACTTGTACATCTGTAGGTGATAGTGGACGATATCAGCGATGGCTTGGGTGTCAGCGGCGGAACCAGAGCTACACCAGCAATCAGTAGCTGTCCCCCAAGCAATTATTTAGTTGTATATCTGATAAAAACTAACCGGCAACACCAAATTGTATCGTGGACTTGGGTAAGCTTGTCTGTCACTCTGTTCGCGATGTAGGATCCGGTGGTTGTTCGAGAATCGGCGCCTGAAATTAATCATTTCTATCAGCTCATTCCTTACACCATCGATTATATATCCAGAAAAACACACCAAGGACAACACCGCCATCAAAGATTGCTGCCATACTGCATTATTTGATCAGTATGAAGCTCGAGCTAGAAGAGAGGGTGTACTTGTTGAATCTCAACCTGATGCTTACATGGAAGTTCCCAAACTAGAATGTAAAGTCAGTTGCTCTGCTCCAATAATCTAGGAGAAGATGGATAAACTTACTTTACCTCACCCTTCTTGAGATGCTCCATGTCAACATGGACGCCATCTAACTATCTAGTCAGCATCAGTTCCGTCATAAGAGAAGGTGTATCAACTGACCTACGCTTAGATTACCGGTGTGTCTCGAATTCATGATGATTCTTGTGTGTAGGCAGCTCCTGCGGGGTATTTGGAGATGGATAGATGCAATGGCTGGCCAGGGAACGCGAATACAGCAGCTCGGAGGTGAGGTTATTGGGCACCACCACTGGAGGTGTTACCCGGAAGTGGAGGGGCTAAGATCTTATCTTGATAATCTTACCTTTCGCCTAAGTGCATGGAAGGTGGCTCTTTCGACTGTTCTCCGTCTCCACTGCTCTGTTCAACTCATTCAACTACAATTCTGACCCAACCTTACTATCCCACACTGGAAATTAGGATTTGAACCACTAAATATGGCTACTGCGCGCCAAACTTTGCGAGATCGTCAAGTCGGTAGGTGTGTACTCTCCGGCCAGCAGTAGTACTAGCTTAGCTCTATGCTTTCCCGAAGTCTTGCTGATCAATCTTGCACCCCTACCTATAGCCTCCATCGAGAAGATCCTAAACCTAAATCATGATCAATCAAAGCACGAGTCTGAAGCAAATGGCCTTATTCCATCATCTGCCCCGATCCTGAATGAAGAAGGAGAGCCTATATGGAAGGTGCTTGTCTTCGACAACCTCGGCCGTGATGTCATTTCATCTGTCCTCAGAGTTCAGGATCTTCGGAACTTTGGGGTGACCATACATCTCAATCTACACACTCCTCGCCATCCCATCCCGGATGTTCCAGTTGTCTACTTGGTCGAGCCAACCGCTGAGAACATCGCTGCAATTTCTGCGGATCTTTCTAAGAACTTGTATGATACCGCATATGTCAACTTTCTTTCCTCAATTCCCCGTGCTCTGCTTGAAGACTTTGCAGCGACAACGGCTCAGAATAACAGTTCCGAGAAAATCGCACAAGTTTATGATCAGTACTTGAACTTCGTGGTCTCCGAGCCGGATTTATTCAGTTTGAACCTAAAAGACGTGTACCACACCGTGAACTCTGCGCAGGTAGCACAGACTGTTATTGAGGAAATAATTGACAAAGTTGTTGGGGGTTTATTTTCGGTGGCTGTTACAATGGGATCTATCCCTATAATCCGAGCTCCTACAGGGCATGCTGCTGAAGTTATAGCCCAGAAGCTCGACCGGAAGCTGCGTGACCATGTTCTTAACTCTCGCGACAATAACCTATTTTCGGCTCGCGTGGGCTCCACTACTACGCCAGCCGCCCGTCCAGTCTTGATTATTCTCGACCGTAACATCGATCTTATCCCAATGCTGTCACATTCATGGACCTACCAGTCCTTAGTTCACGATGTGTTAAACATGCGATTGAACCGAATTACAGTAGAGACGATCGATGATAATGGCAAAGTGGGGAAGAAGAGTTATGACCTTAACTCCAATGATTTCTTTTGGGCTAGAAATGCTGGTGTACCATTCCCGCAGGTTGCGGAGGATATTGATGCTGAGTTAACGAGGTATAAAGAAGACGTTGCCGAAATTACAAGGAAGACTGGCACAAGTTCACTGGAGGATCTGCAAAGGTAGGTTTTTTTGAGCGATTTTTTGAGCGATTTGGCTTATAGTTTTTTGTAGCGACGTTGGCTCTTCGGCACAACATCTCAAAGCGGCTATCACTCAGTTGCCGGAATTGCGCGACAGAAAGGCAATCCTTGATATGCACATGAACATTGCACACGCACTTCTCAAGGGTATCAAAGAACGTCAGCTCGATAATTTCTTCCAGATCGAAGAAAATATCACTAGGCAAACCAAGGCTCAACTTTTGGAGGTTATCAATGATCCGGAGAGGAAGAACCCCGTAGATAAAATGCGGATGTTCATCATTTGGTATTTAAGCACGGAGAGCGTTGTTAGCAAAGTTGACATGAATGAGTACGAGGAGGCTTTGAAGAATGCCGGCTGTGATCTAGCACCATTGACATATGTCAAAAAGTAAGTATATATGGCTGCTTGGTATTTATTCACACGGTCCATTTTCTCACAATAATTTTTAGGGTGCGTGAGCTTACGAAGATGACAATGATGACTTCGGCACCATCCCAACAGCCTGTACAGACCACTGGTGGCACCACTGATCTCTTCAAAGGGTTTAGTTCCATCAGTAACAGGGTATGTTATTTGATATGAATCTCTTTGACCACACGTTTAAGTGTACTAATTTTCACTACAGTTGACCGATAGGCTCAAAGACGGGGCACTTGGAGGTGGATTTGAAAACTTGATCTCAGGAGTAAAGAACTTCCTTCCGGTCAACAAGGATCTCACAATTACAAAGATCGTCGAGTCTCTCATGGACCCCACCTCGTCATCTACCTCTGCGCTTGCAAAAACTGAAAATTACCTTTATTTTGATCCTCGCTCATCTACTGCGCGCGGTACTACCGGTGCCCCGGCTGGGGCCGCCAGACTTGGGCCAGATGGTAAGCCAATTTCTGGAGGACCCACCTTTGGGCAACGTCGTCAAGGGTTCACAGAGGCTGTTGTATTTACGGTTGGAGGCGGTAATATGGAGGAGTATGGCAACTTGCAAGAATGGAGTAGGAGGAACAATGCTAGCGCTGCTGGTAACTCTGCTGTTGTCAGGCGTAAGGTAGTCTATGGTAGCACCGATTTGATAAGTGCAGAAAGATTTGCGGATGGCGAATTGAAGAGGCTTGGTGAAGAGGGCTAAGCTATAATAGTTTAGTAAAGGTTCTTGGGGGAAGTATGTTTATGAAGGGAAACGACAGATTGTAATAAGAATGTTAGCAGAAATGTGATTGACCTTTTCTTTTTCTACTTAAATAATTCGTAGTTCTTTGCAGATGAGAAGTATCATAAGAACATAGATTTGTTCTATCAAGACTTGAAGCGCTCATTTTATGACAGTTGATTCTAAATCCACCAAGTTATTCAAAATGCCAAAAGAGTTCAAGCCCTATTACAAACTACATAAAACGGCTTTATTCTTAATCACAGGTCCTGGCAGGTAAAAAAAAGATTAGGAAGAGCTGTACACCCCGCTATATCATACCCTATAATTATTAGGGATACAGCCATGTCTTGGCGTACTATGCACCTTGCCTCTTGGCACTTCAGCTCTTGATGTTCGTTTGTCCATGTCCAGCCTCGTGCATCCTGCCAGCGACATCCTGCATTGATCAACACCATTTACTTGACGCCCACCACCCCGCGTTCTGTTATGGTCTCTACGGTGCAACCATCGCTGAAGCGACCTTCTGAAGAACAACCTCCCGGAGCCAACAAAAAACCCAAAATGGCCCCTCCCGACCAGGAAAAGATCCAAAAGATGATAGCGGAAGCTCGAGCGAGAGCTGCCGCTATCGCCTCAAAGAAGGGTGTAGTTACCTCGCAGCAGCAGCCGCAACAAAGTGTCCCTGCTGCACCCCAATCTGCAGCTCAAACAGCTGCGGATCGTTTGGCGGCCATGAGGGCACGCGTTTCTGGGGCGGTCTCAAGATCCGCCAGTATCGCCGCGAGTCTTCCCAACAGACCTCCGGCGGCCCCTTCGTTCAACCATAGAAGAGAGGAACAGGAGGTTGATGATGGGCCAAAAGCCAGGGGAGGTCTGGATGTTGGGCTTCATCCTGCATTGCTGGGAGACAGTGGTGATATGGGAGTGCGAAAGGGGGGAAAGGGTGGCCTGGCGCCAAAGTTCGCGACTACAATGGCGAATCGACGTCCTGATGCTATTCAGCGCGGCAAAAACCGAGGAAAGAAACAACTTGACATCTCTGGGCCTTCGCCAGACTTGACTGATCCGACAAAAAACCTGTACTTTGATCCAAACTTGTCGTCGAAAGCAATTGCGCCGAGGAGGTTAAATAAAACATTAGTATTCAATCAGAAGGGGAAATATATTGAGCAGGCCAATGCTTTGCGTCGACAGGCAGCATTGGAGACGATGAAAAAGAGGATCGCCGAGGCGGCACGGAAGGTCGGAATTGATGAGGATATGCATGCTGATAAGGCCTTTGCTGTGAGTATCTGAGACTCTTTGTCATTTTTTCGGCAGAGGCTAACGTTTTGTCGGTTCAAAGCGTGAACCGCCACCAGATATCGAATGGTGGGATCAGGGCCTCACAACTGCGTCGTCTTATCTATCTCTAACACCGGAAACACTTCTTATAAACACCCTTGACTCCATAATCACATCATATATTCAACATCCTGTTCTACTCGCACCTCCTCAAGACAACCTAGCACCAGCTCCAAAACCTATGCCCCTTACCAAGCGCGAACAAAAGAAGATTCGCCGCCAGCGTCGTGCAGAAGCGCTTAAAGAGAAGCAAGCAAAAGTACGCCTCGGCCTGGAGCCCCCGCCTCCTCCGAAGATCAAGAAGAGCAATCTCATGAGAGTTCTTGGAGACGAGGCCGTTAAAGATCCTACCGCAGTTGAGGCAAGGGTCAATAGAGAAATCCAAGAAAGATATGAAACACACTTGAAAATGAACGAAGAACGTAAACTCACCAAAGAGCAACGTCACGAAAAACTCCACTCGAACCAGGAGAAAGATCAGGCTATGGGAATCCGCTGTCTTGTCTTCCGTATCGAAACTCTTGCAAATGGTCGCCACAGATATAAGATTAACATCAATGCAGAGCAGCTCGCGCTTACTGGTATCTGTATACTGAACCCGAAATTTAATCTTGTCATCGTTGAGGGAGGATCTTATTCAATCAGCAAATACAGGAAATTGATGGTTAACCGTATCGACTGGAAGGAATCACTTGCGCCCAAGGAGGGTACCGAGGAAGGGGAGCAGGAGGAAGTTGGAGAGGTCGACATGGAGAAGAACATGTGTACACTTGTATGGGAGGGAGAGCTGAAGCAAAAGGGCTTCAAGAAATTCACGACGGAACGATGTCCAACAGACGCCTTGGCAAAGGAAAGACTTGAAAGGGCCAAGATGGAGTTTATGTGGACCCAGGCTAAGAATGCTGTTACAAAGGAGACTTAGTGGCGTAAAATGTATTGGTATTCGCTTAGACTATGCTGTATTATTAAAGTGTATTAGTTGTCTCTGTGGTGTTTATTTGTGGATCATAAACTATCACTCGAATGTTTATTTGTCTTTTTGTGTTTCTAGACTTCGCAAAATTATTAAGGAAGGGCATTCAAAAAGTTACTGTCGGTTTGATAAAAAAAAAAAAAAAGAGTGACATGAGCCCAATCCTGAGGCCCAAGTAAGGTCCTCCCCCCCTGCTATGGGGGTTCAAGCCATTCACTTGAATAACCGGTAAGAGTAGCACTACACCAAGCTAATGGCTGGCAACATTTATGATGACAACGATGAAGACCCTACTACATTTTAAATGACACAGCACAAGTAAGGTAAATTTACGATCATCACAATTAACTATATATCTACTTGTGGAAAATATAAGCAATATATGTCCTGTCCGTTTGATATTCGTATTCTATACCTAGCAACCAATGTACATCCGTGGACCTTTATATCCACCGCCAGCAACAATATTATACACAGTCCATTAAAACCGATAAAAACAAAGCGATAAAAACAATATACTGAAGAAAGACTTTTTCAACGAGGGAAATGATTATGAAAGCTTCAAGCACACCAATAAAAAAGAACAAAAGGAATAAGAATGAAGAGATAGGAATAACTAGCAAAGTGGTTTTTTAGTACTCGATCTATGATAAATAATTAACTCCGGAAACCCAAACAGCAACAAATCCCAACACCAAAATTGCCAAAAAGAAAAAAAGGAAAAAAGGAAGAAAAAAAAGAAATACTACTACAAAAAATAATACAAATAGGTTCTCCGTTTTCGTGACTCTTGTTCCAGACATTAAGTAAGTAGACCGGGGGGGATATCCCAAACGTAAAAGAAGGAAGAATAAAAACAAATAAAAAGAAAACACTCCCACGATCCACTACCCAAATGTCCCTGTGCTAACCCTAACACTTAATCTTTGGGCCCTCGCCCTATCTGACTCTGGGGATAGTGAGACCATCTCATATCCCTCGCCGTCCTTAGTTCCTGCAGATGTTGTACTGCCTAACGATGATGATGTTCTCGCGCGTTGCATCCGAGTCCGTCCTAGGCTGCTTTTTATTTTTTGTCGTTCTTGTTCAAGATATAGGTCATGTTCTTCTTTTGTCCTTGGCCGGTCAAAGTATGAATGTTGACCGCCAGAATGTGGGTCAGGGGTGTATCGAAGTCCCTCCTCTTCCTCCTCGTCTCCATAGTCCGTGGTTGTGGTTTCGTAGCCCAGGCTCATGTATGGTCCTCTCCTCAACACGCTTCCTTCACCCTCAGAGTATCCATATTCCTCCTCTGCAACCCCACTTCCCCCGTGCCTATCGTCATCCTCATCCTCATCGTGGGTGATCCATCCGCTCAGGTCCTCTTCCTGCGTATGTATCGACGGGGGAGCATGTTCCCCCATGCCTCTCAAAAGGCCCGCAAACACCTTCATCAAGCCCCTGAATTCCTCCTCTTCCACGCCCGCACTCCGTGTTCTGAACCTTGCCCTCTCATATCCACCCAGAAAGAGGTCTGCTGCGCCTCCCTTCACAACCCCAAACACCGCGAGATGGCTCAAGTAAGCTCTCAGCGTCATATGCGGCTGCCTCCGTAAGTCCTGTCCTCCCAGACGCAACGATAATGCCTTGGCTTCGATTAGGTGCGGTAACTCTGCAATTACTGATAGATAGTGGACCTCGGGAAGGTCCACGGAGCTAGGCGCCGACCACCCCGGGTGCGATATCACGCCACCCGTACCGCTCACAGTTGATGGATTCGGACGACTCTGTACAGCGATGATGGCGCTCCTGCCGAGATTACCGGCAATGGCTTTGTGCACGCGTTTCGGCAGGTCCATCTTCTTTACGGGAGCCCAGGATTTGGGGATCTCTTCCATTAGTCGGCGGACGGAGTAGATGCGCGATATATATATTGCGAGGGCGAGAAGTGCGGTGAGGACATAGGTTCCGGCGATGATGAAGATGTTGTAAAGTTGTGAATTTCGGAAGTATGCCTGCACTATTGCGTCTGCGGGGGTGATGAGCAGCAGCAGAAACAGGAATAGAAATAGGATGGTGAAGGAGGTGCTGTAGAAGAAGCGATGGAGTCTATGGAGTGCCATGATGGTGACGGCATCTGGAGGCGGTGGGGGGGAGGTTGGAGAGATGTTAGAGGTGCCTGTCACGTTAACATTGCATGTCTGTTTCTTGCTGTTCTGTTTTGGGGAGGCTTGTGTGTGGTATGGATGTTTCGGGGATTGTGTCACTTTGGGCGGTTGAGGCTGCTGACACTGGCCCGGGGGGGGTCCGGGGGGCTGGTTACCCGGTGAACCGTTGTCTGAGTGTATTCTAAGATATGGGATCCTAACTGCGGCCCTGCAGCCTGCAAGGTACGCACTCGTTAGTACAGCGAGAGGTAAAATTATTGTAGAAACAGGGGTCTAAAAACAGGGTTTCTGTGGCTGGGCAAGCCAATAGGACTCCTCCCATATTTCTACAATAATCTTACCGCAAGCTGTACTCCACTGACTTACCGCATTTAGATACGTTTGGAGCATACCCTGGTTCAAGTCACCTTCGATTGCCCCTCTACATAGAGTACAAGCCATACCCGACTCTATTCTACCTCCACAGTTGATGGCCATTCCCTTGTATTTATGTCTTCTACTCTTTGTGGAGTACTTATGGAGTCGTAAGCATCCCCACATAGCTATATATATGGCTAGATCCCTGAATTATATGAGAGCACTCAAAACTGGCAGGGATAGTATTGATTGCTAGCCAAGTAATACTAGTCCATAACCCAATTATTAGATCCATAGCTTGAGTGATAGTAAGTGCCTTCAAACCTACATCAGAGGGTTTGGATCGATTGGGCCCGTTCAACGCAGCGGTAGAAGGTAGCGCGCTCTCGTTTCTAGCTCTGAACTATAGCCTAGTGGTTCCGGTATCCCGTTAAGGTTTTTCGAGCGATTTCGAGCAGCATCGTTTGGTCATTGGTAACCAACCAGGCACCGGAAAAATAACCAGCACCCTGCATGCACGGGTTATGTTAGTCAACCCCATTTGATGGTAACTCAACGGGATAATACATATGCGACCAGAGTGAAACCAATCAATGTGGAACACAGTGCTGGACATGGGATTGCGTTATGTGCCTGCAGAAGTTCATATACCATCATCTGCCATTGATTGCTGAGGAGTAGATGGAATAGAGACAACTTCAGATTGAACCTATCATCTGTGTGTAAAGCGATAGTGGGCGTGGCCCTAGCATCGGATGTTCCGAATTCCGGGCATTGCGTTGGGGATTCACTCCTATAACTTGGGATTGATGGACACTTGTGTGCGCGGGCTGTTCCGGGAAAGTGCATGTAGTAATAGTGAGCCCTTATGGACGTGGAATAGCCAAGAATTCCAAGGCTCATGTGAGAGACACCCCCCGGAGCAGAAATCCCCGGACCGTACACAGAAGTCGGGCATATTAATGCTATGGATCAACAGCAAAAACAGAAACTAGAGATCCACATTAAGGAAGAGCAATATATGCAGAGATACTGAATGATTTCTAATCTATCTTAATATATATGACCAACTTTATGGATATGCTGGCCTAATAAAAGTCTTGTTATTTGGTTATGACAGGCACAAGTAGGAGAGGTCGATTTTACATGGTTGCCAATATCTGTTCAATTAAGGTTGTCCTAGTGGGCTATCGATCCAAGGATATAAATGTATTGAAAGACATGTAGTCGAATGGATGAAGAATCAATAGGCAGAAGAAGGTTTTATTCTATCATGAATTTAAATGTACGTTTATATGCCGTACAAGAAAAATGCTGCCATTGTATTGTTATATGAGATCAAATCTCACATCCCGTTAAAATATCACCGATTCGTTCCAGCTTCTAAAAACACAATATAAATAATACGTCAATGATATGAACAAAAATAAGGAAGTAAGGGAGAATTGAGATGAATTACCAAGCCATTCTTTTCCATCAATATCAGCGTGCAAAGAAACCAACAACCGCAGAGCCCGAAAATCCTCCTAGTAGACTTGAGATCAGCTCTCTAATGAGAGCTTCACTCATTGTCATCGCTATGACTAGCTTCAGAGGCTACGCAAGCAGTATCCCCAACGGACCTCGCGGGGAAGAGGATGCTAAAAGCGGTCTGGCTATATGCTCCCAACTGAGCCGTAATATCACCCTCATTTCCCCAGTTCTCAACCTTGCTGGCCAACTCAAGCGCGGATTTTCGTGAAAGGTTAGCATTCTCGATGTATATGGTTTTGGTGTCATCTCCACGCACGACTGCCTCGGCCAGGGCTTTGACTCTGTCGATGTGATCGATAATTTCATCGATGACTTGAATACAATATTTAAGGGGGGAATATATAAGGTGTGCGTCAAGATATTGAAGGTGGAGTCCGATTTTAGTCCTAGCTTCGTGCAGGATGTTCTTTTCGTGAAGGGTTAAGCGATCCATGTTTGGTAGCTTTGATGGATATCTTGATGCAAAGAGAATGGACGTGTGATTCGATGAATATTTCGATTTGAATGTCAGGTACTTGTGATTGGTGATGTGTGGGTTGCTTGCTTGACCGGACAACAAGAGGTTGCACGGTAGCTATGGTAGAAATTGATTACACGTATACGCATACGTACTCGGCACTAAGTGAGTGAAGGGCTTCGTTGGTGCGTAGCGCGGCTTCTAGACACACCTGTTAGAACTACATGTGCAAGGCGCGGTTCCTACCACGTCTGAAGCATGTGCTTGTATTAGCCTGAGGATTCGTAGCTTTAGATAATCCATATCGTGGTGCAAATGAGGTGTTTGATTCGGGTTAAGTATTCTCTTAGAGCACTCGGTAGGATAGCACATAGCACAATGTAGGAGACTCTAGGAGCTAAGTAACGGGTATATAGAAAGTCAATTTACTTGGGTGATTTTGGAGGAAACAATTTAACGCAGATCTTGTATGAATCATCACATATCACTCGCTGGTATTTGGACGCTCGCCCATGATTGATTGATTGATTGCTTCATTAACTAGATACTCGCCCATGTGTTGTGCTGATAATAATCATATGATGAGAGATTTAAGGAGTCTGCGCGCCATTGGATCAGCATAGGTCAGTGGTAGTTTGTGTGTATACGTGTGGTAGTCTTTCTCTCCTACATATACTCTCTCTTGTAGAGTGACTGTGTGAGAGTAGTGATGGGCAATGAGACGAGACGAAAAGAGAGGAGAGTTGAGAAAAGTCTCGTCTCGCCTTTTATCCTTTAAAGTGAGTTTTGAAAAGCTCGAGACAATGGTCTCTTCTCGAGACCTTTGGAAAGCTCTATAATGATGCTAATTATTGCAAACCCATCTTATGATCTGCCCCAGCACATTGTTATTTCGGGTTCCGTGGCAGTGGTGCATGTGTTGGTGCATGCCCTCGGAAGGAAACAAGTACGACAACGAGGACTTTGGTCAACTAGTTTTGTCATCAATTAATGAATTATCAACCATCAATCAATCAATCAACTAATTTTGCCATAACTACCGTAAAATATGGGGAATTCTGCTGCATTACAGCAGATATATTCTACACCAAGACCCTCATTTTGACGACCAAAGGCTGTCTCTAGTGGTTGGCTAATTATACCCCTGCTGCATGATGCGCAACGAAGTTTCTCACATAATACGGTACTTGACGTCGAGTGACAGTTTATGATTTATCTCTATCCCCCGAGTGATGAGTTGTGCAAAAACAGGCCAGTTTGGTGCGTTCATTTCTTGGTCCTATAGGTTATTTACATGTAGATATTACTGGAGTTGATATTACAACTGTTGAGTGCGGGCAAGGACAGTTAACTATGCCATTGTCCGGTTGGCTTGTATCTACAGATTGGAGGTTGTCTCGACTTGGTTCTTTGACCGGTCAAATATTTAATGGGATTAAGGAAGGACAGTCGCAGGTGATCAAAACTCCTAACGATGGCAAGACCTGGAATATTCCAACCAAAGACACCCCCTTATATTGATGCTTCCCATAAAGTATATCTACATACACGATCAATATATCATACAAAACAGGTATCTTTTTCATAGCCCCAAACGCCCATCACAAACAAAAAGACTTTTGATACTGTTAAAAACATTCCCCCACCACAACAGTCTTATCTACCCGATATTAAACTCATCCGCCATCCCCTTCTTCTTCAACATCCCCTGCGCAATCTTCCTCATCTTCCTCATCGCCTCATTCCCGGGCCTCTCATCCCTCTCCTCATCACTATCCTCCACACCCCTCTTCTGCGCCACCGCCAAACTCTTCCCACCGCCATCACCACCCCCACCCCCACCAGGAACCTTGATATCTCCCGGCTTATCCCTCAACCCAAAGCTCTTCGCCAAGTGCCCATAATGCAGCCCCTTGACACTGAACACGGCCCTCTCAATGCCCACATGCGTCGCATAGGCCCTGATATGACTCCCCACGCCCTCGCCGCAACACTCTTCATTCTTGCATCCTCTGCGATCCACCGCTCCACGTTCAGCTGCCACTCGGACGCGCGGTCCTCCCACTCGCGCTTCTTCTCCTTGCCCTCGGCGAAGCCCTTCCGGAAGAGCTCATCGACATTTGCACGCGCCAGCTGGCCCTCGCGCACGCCCTTCTTGAGCACAGACTCGACATAGCCCTCCTCGGGCCCCGGCAGGAGGAAGATGATTGCGCGGCCGGGACGGCCGGCACGTGCGGTACGGCCGATACGGTGGAGGTGGTCGGAGGGAGAGAAGGGGGGTCGTGCTGGATGATGAGGTCGATGTTTGGGAGGTCGAGGCCGCGGGCGGCGACGTCTGTGCAGAAGAGGATGGTGGGGTGTGGGGTGGTGGTGAAGGAGTGGAGGGCGGCGGTGCGGATGGGCTGTGGGAGGGAGCCGTGGAGTTTGTGCAGGACGCAGGAGGGGTGAAGGGTTGGTGCGGGGCTGGTAGCGGGGTTGAGGGCGGGCTTCTTCTTCTTCTTTTTGTCTTGAGGTTTCTTTTTGCTGGTTTTGCCGTCTTCGGGGGTGGTGTCTTCGGCTTCGGACTCGGAGTCCGAGCTGGAGTCGACGGCGGTGGTGGGTTTGGTAGCAGCAGCAGCGGCGGCGGCCTCTTCGGAGAGTTGGCGAGAGAAGACTTCAAAGTGGAAGTCGACCGAGTCGGAGCAAGAGAAGAAGACCATGACTCGCGGTGTGGCAGTCTGCCGTATGAACGCCCGTTTGAGCACTGCCATGAGCGCAACCAGCCGCTGCTTGGCCGGCACAACAGCATAGCTCTGCTTCAGCTGTGCCGGGGCCGTAAACTTTCCCTCACCAGCTTCTTTCCCGGCGTTATCTGCCTCCTCGTCCTCGGCGCTCTTCTCGGCCTTGATATAGAGTGCGTCCTTCAGCGAGATGTCTCCCAACCGCTGCACATTCGTCTTCATTGTCGCTGAACACAATATCGTAACTCTACGCTTTGGGAGGACCTCTTCGCCGCTCGGAACACCAGAACCCCGTTCCGGAGTGCCGTTGGGAAGCTTACTCTTCTTCTCTAGGATTGCGAGAATGCTGCCAATTGTCTCCTCGAAACCCAGCTCCATGAGTCTATCTCCCTCGTCCATGACGACCCACCGAACCCGACTGACATCCAGGCTCTCTGTGTTCTCGAGATGATCCAGGAGCCGTCCGGGTGTTGCAACGAGGATGTTGAGCCCCTTGCGCAGTCGCGCCTTCTCGGATTTTTTCTTCTCTCCACCAATAACGGAGCCGGGGACGATCCAGTGCGGGCCGTTCTTGGCATGGATGAGTGTTGACAGAACCGTTTCAATCTGGCGGGACAGCTCGCGGGTCGGTGCGAGTATGATGGCATAGAGGCCTGAATGGCGTGCCATAGTCTCCTTCTTACCGCTGGGGGTGCCGGAGGAGGGCCGTGGTTTTGTGAGCTGCATGATCCGGTTGACGATGGGGAGCAGGTACGTCAGCGTCTTTCCTGAACCCGTCTCGGCCTGGATGAAGGCATCGCTATCGGTCTTGATGAGCTCGGGAATTGCAGACTTTTGAATTGCTGTTGGAGCTTTGAGGGTCAATTTTGTGGTGAGATGGTTTGCGAGGATGGGGGAGAGGCCGAGCGTTGTGAAGGTCGTTGAGCCGTCTGATAGAGGGGCATTGGTCGGAGCCTGTGCCTCCGGCTCTGGCTCCGGCGCGGACTCAATAGTGATTGATGCGGGGTTCTGAGTCCAGAGCGAAGACACGAATTCGCCAGGTTTTGTCCCTGGAGGGGGCACGCCAGTGCCATTGGGCTTTGGGGCTGAAGAGGACTCGCTGGGACGTTTGCGCTTTAGGCTGCGGTCAAAGAGGACATGGTTCGGGTTTGAGTTGTTTGAATTTGAATTGTCTTTTTTCTGGCTCTGGGGTCTTGCGACATTGAACTCTCCGGTGCCGTCGTCTGCTTTCTTTGGCGCTGCTGCTGCTGTATTTCCCTTGCGGATGTGGTACTGTGCAAGCCTCTTTGCCTTCTGTCGGTCGGTCCATTTTCCGCCTTTGAAGGATGGTGCAGAGTGGGCGCCCACGAATGCGTCGGGACCTATGTCAAAGTTGACGAGCATGCCATCGTCGGCCATTGTGCTGTATTATTAGTTGTGTTGTGATTATATATAGTTATGTATTCTGTGGTTGGCTGTGTCTGTCTGTATATGATGTAGTTGTGGAATCCCACTCACTGCTTTGATGGAAGCCGCAGAAATAATTTTGAGACGCTTGGACCAAGTGCTGGGGCTTGTACTACACACCTGTGAGACCCGAGAGTCGAGACACGCCCGCTTACCCGGACGATGCAGATCTGAAAATACTTGAAGAGAGAGAGAACACTCAGAGACCTTTTTGCCTCTGGACCTGAATTACCGAGAACCCACCGTAAAGCCCCTCCTCTGCATCAAGTCCATATCTTCACACCAGCACTCTCAAACCATGGTACAAAACACCCTCCACCCACCTCTTTCTTTTCCAGAAATCTAACACCCTCCTCCGCAGGCCCACAGAATAATAGCGCAAATCGCCCTCGTCGGCGGCCGTGTCGTCGGCCGCGCCTTCGTTGAAGCCTGGCGACAAGCCCAAGCCACGCAGAAATACGCCAAAGCCGCCGCTGCTGGCCGAGTCCCCGACGGCCAGGGCGGGGCGTCGCTCCGCGCGCACTCGGGGCTGACGCTGGACGAGGCGTGCCGCATCCTGAACGTCAAGCCGCCGCAGGAGGGCAAGATTGAGCTTGAGAATGTGATGGAGCGCTTCAAGAAGCTGTTTGACATCAACGATCCGAAGAAGGGCGGAAGCTTCTATCTGCAGAGTAAGGTGCTTAGGGCGCGGGAGAGGATCGAGGCCGAGGTGAGGGCGAAGGAGGAAAAGACGGGAGAGTGGAGGCCGAAGGTGTACAAATAGTGTAGTTCCCTTTGAGCGGGGGCGGGAGTAGGTGGTAATGGAGATGTGTGCTTGGTGATTCTTGTGGATATATGGGTTCTTTTTCTTCTTTCCGTTTCTTGTGTGCTTCGTTTTTCTGCTTTGGGGGTGTTTGCAGGCTCTAAGTCGGGTCGGGTCGAGTTGAGGCCGGAGCGGGGACGGGGGGCGGACATTTCTGTTTCCTTTCTTTTTCTGGGCTTCTTTCTTTTATCCCACTTCTCTATATATATTACCGCTCTCCTTTTCTGGCATTTTCTTTTGGTCCATCCATCCGGCCGGCCGGCCGGCCATTCGGACCTCCGGGGAGGCCAGCTGCAGGCGATGGTGGATTCCCAAAAAGGGGGCGCGATAGAAACAAAATTCTCCTCTCTATTTCATTGTTGTTCTTCTACTTTTTTTTTTTTAGATCTTGTGGGGTTGGTTAGATGGGCATGGGATGGGTGTATACTACGGGGGTAAGCTGGTTGCTATGAGTGGGGGAAGGTCAATGATGGCTTTGGCATGGCAAATGTGATATACCTGGTCTGACTTGGAGTGAGATTTCATGATTGTGGAGGGCTAAATATAAACCTCTGTTGCAATTAAGGTCATTTCCTTAATATGTATTTCCCTTTTCGGAGAAAATCCTTGTGCCTGACGTGCCCGTTTTTGATGAATTTTCAGTTAAAACACTGACACGCCAGAGATGAAAGAAAAAAAAGAAGGAAGAAACTGGGCTTAAAGTCTACGTTAATGATTTCTCAATAAAGCCATTGTCCGACGGTGTTACAAATGCCAGGCCTCCTGAACGAGCCCTCATTTAAAATTCGAGAGCACCTATGTATTATGTCGCTGGAGGCAACTACGAAACTGCTCTCAACAGGTCAGCAATTACTTTCTGGTTCACCTCTTCAACCTCCCGGAAACGTGCCGTTGAGAGATCAATTATTGTGGGATGAGAAGTTTTACAGGCAAAGCAGTTTAATTTACCTCGGCCTCCTCAACAAGAGAGGCAGAATATAGACAGACGTCTGTGTGAGGGTGATGGGGAGATTCTCGCTACAAGGGTTGAAGTCGCGTCGGCGATTCTTAGTATACTTCTTACAGTAGCTACGTGGTTTTTATGCCATCATGGGATATCACTCGTGCCAAGAAGCACCTCTCGCGCTACCTACAGTATATATATGCCTACGGTATCATTGATTTATTGATTGATTATTCATTAATTTTATTGCCTACGGTACATGGGATATATCCGGAAAGATAAGCGTAAAGAACAGTTATGGCTCAAAATCCGGGGGATAAAAACAACATACAAACTATCACCATAACCCGCAACCAATATATCCATCCTCACCACTTCTTTAAAAGAATTCCCCGCTTTCATTTTTCTCCCGCTGAAGTTAGTGCGGTGTATATAATTATAATTTAATGCCTACACGTTCCAAACTACATCCGATTCCAGATGCGTGTAAATTTGTATATATATGTGGGCATAGTCTGGTCATGCCCGTACTTAAAGGTACCGTCTACAAGTGTAACATGTGCATGAAGAATGGCAATCCACGAGCAGTAACCGCTCGAATTACGAATGCTCCCCTTGCTTACTTAAAGATCAGCTTGTATCATATTAGCTGAGGTTTGTCCCCCACCCCGTGAGTTTATTGAAATCTTCCTGGTAAAAGAAAATCTGCGTGATGATGCTGACATAAATCCATAATGAATGTTACATATAGTCTAGTGAAATTTGTGCCCCTCTATAGGTTACCGTGTAGTGAGAGTTCATGGTGGTGGCTAATTATAAGCGAGGACGTCATCCGTTGTTCATTATTAGTTCGACCATTATGTGCCGGGGTAAGAGGTCAATGATATATATGGCTTGGTATTAATTTATTTGGCGGCGGCTGTCAATGATCGCTACGGCAATTTATTGGACGTGTGAGATTTCATAATGATACCTCTAGTAAAAACTCATGATTTCAGCTAATAAAGACGATCAATGATTATTCTAGAAATTTATTGGAACTCGTAGTGAAATTTCATGATGGATCTCACAGTATGATCTCATGACGATACCTGCCAACAATAATCTACGAAATCGAAAGATGGTATTGAATTCTACCCGACCCGTTCATCCCAACCCAGCCTACCCAGCCAGCCCACCCTAATCAGCCCATCACAGTACTACACTAACTACACTATCATTTTTCACTCCTGCCTCCAATTCACCCTACACACAACCCGCCGCTAAAGCCAGGAAAAGAACAAGTGAAAGAAAAAAAGAAAGAAAAAAAGGAGAACAAGAATAAAGCAGTAGTTATTGATAAACGCACAGAAAAGAAGAAAGGGAAAAAGGAAAGAAGAAAAAAAAGCCCTTGGCTTTCTCTAAAAAGTCTAAGAAGCGCCCGCAATACTCAAGTCTCTAATCTCCTGCAGCACCTGCTCGACCCTCTGGTCGAGATGGCCCTGCGCATACTGCTCCCTCGTGTTCGGATCCAGGAACTGCTGCACCTGCGCCATCCTCGAGTACGCCTCGGCACAAACTATTTCACCGTCAGCGCAACCCTACCTCGTTTCCACGCCCCCACAAAGAAAGAAGCAGTACTCACATCTCAACTGAATCTTCACCAGCGCCTCAAAGCTCGGATCCAAATACGGTACTCTCAGATCAATCAGCTGCGGCAGCTCGCCGGTCAACTGCTCATTGAGCCCCTCATACACCTCCTTTGCCATCTGGGCCTCCTTCTCCGTGCGCGGCAGCTTTCCCGGGTCCTTATCCGGCTTCTCGACCAGCTTCTTGACCTTTGCGCGCATCTGGTCGAAGTCGAGCAGCTTGTGGTTGCGCTTCTTGATGCACTCGTTGATGTCGGGGAAGTAGGCGCAGAAGCGCGAGATGGGCTCGAGGACCGTTGTGCGGTAGGGCCCGTCGAGCGCTTTGATGGTCTCAGCGTCAAGCTCCTCGACGGCTTGCTTGTAGGAGCGGGAGACACCGTCGCGGGTGCCGGCGTCGCCGTAGAAGGCGTCGATGGTCTCGGCGATGCGCATTTGTGAGGCCGTCATTGCTGGATGGGTGCGGTACTGTTAGTGGATGTGTGTGGGGTAGAGGGGAAGGGAGGGGAGGGGGGGGGGGGGAGAAGTACCTCGTAGGGCGTCGAGGTAGCCTTTTGCTTCGCGTTGGAGTTTTGTAGCGGCGGCTTCCATGGTGCGGAAGCGGCGCTCTTCGACTTCGTAGTCGCGGTCATTGGTTTTTTCGATTTGGCCTGTGAGGGGAGGTATTAGTATGCGAGGTTGGGGTAGATGGGTATGGTGTTTAGTGTATTTGGTACTGGAGGTACTGGAGGTACTGACCGGCTTTCATCATGACCTGGACCGTAGTCCGGTTCACAGTCTTTTTGAACCCTGTGGTGGTGCTGCGTTAGCCCTCTGCTTACTCTACGAGCCCCCTACTCCCTCCTTTGCTTGGAAAGGTCTTGGTACCTGCCCAACTCATAGCTACTACTGCTGCTGCTGCTGCTTCTGCTGCTGGTGATCAACGAGTGTTGTTTTGATGATGATGATGACGATGTTGGTGGCGGAATGGAAAGAAGGGAAGAAGGGTTCAGGAGAGAGAAGCAGAGCAGTGTGGTGAACTCTTCTTGTTGTTAGCCCCAGCACCACGCCGTTTTCAGGACGTTGGACGGGAAAGCGGGAGTGGGCGTGGGCGTGGGGGGTGGAGTCGAGTGTTTCGTCACCAGCGAGGCGGTGCTGTGTGGCTGAGTGCCTTGGCGGCAAGGGGTGTTGCATAAACTGTTAGGGATCCAGAGTAAAACAAACCCGAGCGGTGTCTTGGAGCTTCGGAATGAGAGCGATTTTGGTTTGGCCGAGTCTCCATCTCGGAGGTGGTGAGGGAGTGAGTGTCGAGAGTTGAGTTGGGCGTCATGGAGTATCACTCGGCTGGCTGAGCATGAGCTGGCCTTGCCTGGAAACTGGGCCTGGAAACTGGGCCTGGAAACTGGGAAGGGGGATCATTGACTTTGGACCCTGGCGCTCTGAGCTCCTCCCGTCACGCAAAGTATTGGGGTTTGTCAGCCGCTAGCTACATCGGTAGTAAAGTGAGAGTCACGCTTTAATATAATTTAAGTAATCCAGCTTTTGACGATTAACCCAGCTACATAGGTGATAGTAGAGTACACCAGCTATACATGTAGTTATGTAACTACAGTATTGTAGTCCACCGTGAGTTCCCATTACTAGTAAACGTAGCTTGATGCTCATGGCAAAGATATATCAGAGTGCAGCATGCTCTGAAGGTTCTCTCGGGGTTTTCGGGGTTCATCGTCAAGTCCGGGGGTTGGGTAGGTCATAGATCTAGCTGGTAGTTTTGTATCAGTGCTCGAGACCACTTGCGAGTCGACAAACCAGCTGCAGCATCTCCTGTTATCCCCAGCATACAAAGACAACCATATTCCGAGGTTCGCTGAAGCAGCCTTAACCCCGCCACCCCTACTCCCACGATCTACCACTCGAGGCCAGGTGAGTCCGGGGCGCCCAACTTAAGTGGGCTAGATAACACAACAAGGCCCAGACCCGTGACAGAAGAAACGCGAAGAAGAAGAACTCAGAAACACGCTATGTTCCGCCACTAGTACGCAGTTGCCGCGTTGCTTCCATCACCGCGGACTTCCGGGACAGGGCGACGTCAGTGGTGTGTAGCCGAGCTGCTGGGTCAGTATTGACAGAGCATATGTTTATGCATATGGCTTGGCGCTGTACCTTGCATCCCGCGCGCATCTCTGAGCATGGATCCCTGACAAGACCAGGCCAGGCCCCGACATACCCGACACCCAGCGCCGACACCCGCCGCGGAGGGACTTATGTATCCAGCCAGCCCTACCTATCTGAAGAATTTATGAGCCGAGCGCGACATCTCACGGCAGGCAAACATCACCGCTGGCACTACGTCACGTCAAGAACAACAACGCGCCGTGTCCGTTCATGATAGAAAGTCAGTACTCGTCCAGGGCGTACCTACACTCGCCCAAGATCACTGCTGCGTCCAGATACTAGACCATACGTCACCGAGCCTCTATCTACATGTATATGCAGCAATCTGAAAGGACCATCACCACCGACTGCGCTGTCAATAGCAGTTCCCCAATCGCCCATCCCAAGCAGCCAGCCCGCCTGTCTACTAGCAGGACTATATATAGATTCGGCCTGCCACCAAAGAATGCCAGCCCCTCCCTCCGTACGCCCTCCTACTATAAAGTTATTCTGTCCAACGAAATGGTTTAGCTAACTTGGACTTTCCTGCCCCAAACCCTTTGTTTCACTATTAGCCATTCGTATGTTTCTGTCGTCTAGTTAATAATGAGAGGGTCAAGTCTTAGAACATAAAGACTTCAAGAAGACAGATTAGTGGTGACCTACTAACTTCTATTCAATCGATGAGTACCGGCCACTACTACTACTACCACCACCACAATCACAATCACAATCACCACTACTGTACTACCTAGTACAACAATACCGCCCAAGCAGCATCTTCCATGGATGCTGTTGATCCCTGTTTTACACAAGTATTTACGCTCTGTAACGGAGAGCAGACACAGCTCGACCCACTCTCAAACCTATAAAGGGGAACGATCGGAGCTAGGAGACGTCGACCGGCGCAGCCAGAGACGAATGCCAAGCCGACCGCTTAGCCGAGTGATCATTAGTGACGCACTAGCCGCAGGTCAATGATTATTTCTTCCACAACACCCATGGGACAGTGCTGCTATCACCACCAACGATCAGTTCTGCAGAGAGCTCGACTAATACAATCTTTTATTTAGTCTATCAATATGTACACCGTCTTTTTCTCATCAATGTCTATAATCACCCCTCGACTTTTCTTTCGCACTTCTATACATAAATCAAATAACGCAAATACACAAAAAAACTAGATTCCCCAGGGATGGGTAATTCACCATCCAGGGAACTACGCCGCAACGGTGACTACTGTGCCAGTACCAGTACCAGTGCCGGTGTCAGCGGCCTCGGTCATATCCGTGGTGTCAGTGGTGTCAGTGGTGTCAACGGTCTCGGTGGTCTCGGTGGTCTCCGTGGTGTCAATGGTGTCAACGGTCTCGGTGGTGTCAACGGTCTCGGTGGTCTCTGTTGTGACAGTGGTGTCAGTGGTGTCAACGGTCTCGGTGGTCTCGGTGGTCTCGGTGGTGTCAGTGGTGTCAACGGTCTCGGTGGTGTCAACGGTCTCGGTGGTCTCTGTTGTGACAGTGGTGACAGTGGTGTCGGTGGTGTCGGTGGTGTCGGTGGTGTCGGTGCATGGAGTGGTTCCGGTCGTTCCGGTCGTTCCGGTTGTTCCAGTTGTTCCAGTTGTTCCAGTTGTTCCAGTTGTTCCAGTTGTTCCCGTGGCGGTTCCAGCGGTACCTGTGCTGGTGCCAGTTGTGGTGCCAGTTGTGGTGCCAGTGGTATCGGTGCCAGTTGTGGTGCCAGTGGTATCGGTGCCAGTGCCAGTGCCAGTGCCAGTGCCGGTGCCAGTGCCAGTGCCAGTTGTGGTGCCAGTTGTGGTGCCAGTTGTGGTGCCAGTGGTATCGGTGCCAGTGCCGGTGCCAGTTGTGGTGCCAGTGGTATCGGTGCCGGTGCCAGTTGTGGTGCCAGTTGTGGTGCCAGTGGTATCGGTGCCAGTGCCAGTGCCAGTTGTGGCGCCAGTTGTATCGGTGCCAGTGCCAGTGCCAGTGCCAGTGCCAGACGAGGTGCCCGTCGTAGTACCAGTTGAGGTGCCAGCGCCAGTGTCGGTGCTGGAGGTAGTGCCAGACTCGGTGCTGGCAGCTGTGCCAGTGCCGGTGCCGGTGCCGGCCCCTGTGGTGCCAGTGCCAGTGCCAGTGCCAGTGCCAGTGCCAGACCCGGTGCCTGTCGTAGTACCAGTTGAGGTGCCAGCGCCAGTGTCGGTGCTAGAGGTAGTGCCAGACTCGGTGCTGGCAGCTGTGCCAGTGCCGGTGCCGGTGTCAGTCCCTGTGGTATCGGTGCCGGTGCCTGTGGTGCCTGTGGTGCCAGTGGTGGTGCCAGTGGTATCGGTGCCGGTGCCTGTGGTGCCAGTAGTAGTGACTATACCCGCAGTATCAGTCACAACAGCACCAGCAGCATCCGTAATGACTGTGCTTGCAGTAACAAAGACTTCACTAGCAGTAGCGACAATTGGAGCAGCAGTCGCTACGGCTCCACCCGCAGCATCAGTAACTACAGCGCTGGTAGTGACAACTGCACCTGCAGCATCGGTAACAACGGTATCAGTACCATCTGTACATACAACAGTGGTGTCGGTGCCAGTGCCAGTGCCAGTGCCAGTGCCAGTGCCAGTTGTGGTGCCAGTGGTATCGGTGCCAGTGCCGGTGCCAGTGCCGGTGCCAGTGCCAGTGCCAGACGAGGTGCCTGTCGTAGTACCAGTTGAGGTGCCAGCGCCAGTGTTGGTGCTGGAGGTAGTGCCAGACTCGGTGCTAGCAGCTGTGCCAGTGCCAGTGCCGGTGCCAGTGCCAGACCCGGTGCCTGTCGTAGTACCAGTTGAGGTGCCAGCGCCAGTGTCGGTACTCGAGGTAGTGCCAGACTCTGTGCTAGCAGCACTTCCGGTACCGGCGCCACCGTTGGTTCCTGTGGTCCCTGTGGTTCCAGTGGTTCCAGTACCTGTCCCGGCTCCTGTGGTTCCAGTGGCTCCAGTACCTGTCCCGGCTCCTGTGGTTCCAGTGGCTCCAGTACCTGTCCCGGTTCTTGTGGTTCCAGTGGTTCCAGTACGTGTCCCGGTTCCTGCCCCGCTGCCAGTCCCAGAACTACCTAAGCCGGTTCCACTACCGGTTCTTGTGCCTGTTCCAGCGCCAGTTGTACCAGTTGTAGCAGTCGTGGTTCCAGTTGCAGTTGCCCCTGTGGCACTTGTTCTGGTCCCAGAGCCCGAGCCGGAACCACGACGACCTGACCCAGTACCACCGGAGCCTCGGCCTCTTCTCCCTCTTCCTCCCCTACCTTCTCCTCTACCTTCTCCTCTACCTTCTCCTCCTCTACCTTCTCCTCCTCTACCTTCTCCTCCTCTACCTTCTCCTCCTCTACTTCTCCTCCTCTACCTTCTCCTCCTCTACCTTCTCCTCCTCTACCTTCTCCTCCTCTACCTTCTCCTCCTCTACCTTGTCCTCCTCTACCTTCTCCTCCTCTACCTTCTCCTCCTCTAATATCTCCTCCGATTGATCCCTCAGCCTCACCACAGGAGTCTCCAAGTCCGCCGTCAAGTCCGCCGCCTAAGAAGCCACTGAGTAGATCGGGAGCTTGCTTCTCAGCCCTAGCATTTAATCCAACATTGGGGCGGAAAAGGTTCTTTGATTCGGGTATGGCAATAGGTTTCGATAATGCTGTAGTGAAGAGGGTAACGGAAAGAAAGACCGCAGCGAGCGGGGTGCTTGATACCTTCATTTTATAATCGTGATATCAGTCTTCTGAACTTTAGAAGCCGACGATATGACTATCTCCAGGTACGATATCCTTTGTCTTATATAGACAAATATATCATGCGCATATGGTCTGGGGTTGCACGCTCATTAGATTGCGTAATTATTGCCCGTTTATCATATTGCGCCCGTTGGAAATGATTCCACGGACGTCATTTAACAAGCCCATCTATAATGGGACTAGGAGATCATGAACATGTGTGGTGCTCTCTGTGGTATTGTTTTTACTAATGTAAGTACAGCTATGACACCGTATTTTATGCAGAATTGTTTCTGGTGCTGCGGGCGATTAGTTGTGACGAAAGAGTAGTAGCTAGACTTTTGAAAGACCTTTGAATTTAAGCTAAATTCGTGAGCGGAGAAAGATGGTGGGCTGATACATCGAACAACAGACAGACTAGGGCGAGATGCAGATAGTTCAGCTTCGTTATCTAACCATCTAATATGTGGGAATCGAAGATGCCACCGAAGATCAAGTACTCGCAACATATCTTCCGAACCCTTTTGAGGAGACATCTAGATCTATTTGTGATTTTGTGATTTCAAGGGAGATTCGAACAAATACTATACATCTGTCATGTTTCTTGGACTACGCCGTAGGACGGCTCTATGTTCGGTGATGAGACCCGTCTCTTCCAACGGATTGAGACGATCTGTTAGATCCAATTCTTTTGTGTTCCTTTGAATTGTTTCCTTCGATGTTTCCTTTCTTGATCATGACAATTAGCTAGGCTCTGTTCTTGCCACAACGATAAGGAATCTCAATGAAGCCGGAGGTGCTGGATGATGAGGGATTCATGCCTCTTAAGGTAGGGGTAGCTAAATATAGAGATTCTGGACGTGGTGCTCTTCAGCTATGTGGATGAATCCGAACCTCCCCTTGGATTATAGAATCTCGCTTGTTTTGCTCGGCGGCGGTTTGGGTGGTAGAAAGCGGAGGACGTTATTATCTTTCGAATTCCGTGTAGTTTCAACTAAACAGGATCTTCCGGTTTAGGTTAGCCACCCTCGGATCGCCCAGGTACGACGCCATAATGGCAACACTAGTACTACTACTGGATTCCTATGATTATTGCATTTGGGCAATATAATATTACTCAGATACCTTTACAGCGGGTTTCATAATACTAGGCTGAGAAAGCATTCTCAACTCATAGTACAATTCTCGAAAGATAGCCTATATAGGCTATCTGAGTAGTTGAAATTACTTTTTCGGGAGAATATCAGGCTCGGGCTTCATAAGTAGGCTATTTTTTTTAAGGTTCGAAGAATCACACTGTATGTGTGTGAAAGTAATTTGAGCCTAGTATTCTGAAACCTGCTGTAAAGAAAAGAGTAAAAAATACGAAGAAAGTGTCTGAATATTAACTGCTACTATGGGCAGTAAAGTATTATCCTCCTCCTCCTCCTCATCCTCCTCATCCTCCTACTACTACATGTACTACCACTACTTTTGCTACCGGGCGTGCTCCGCGTGCTCGTGCACATACATACTAGGCCACTAATCACGCCAGCAATGAGTGAGGAAGGTTGGGGTTGTTTCTAGACTCCAGAACAACCTATATATAGGTCTGGAGAAACCCCCGCACGACACTAGCTACCCAATCCAAATGGTATTTGCCTTCCACCCCCCCTCGGACACACGAAATCGCGCAACCTGTAGATACCTATGGGTTTCCGGTGTATGTGCATGTCATCTATTCAAGTGTGACGAGAGGACACGTCAGTCTAGACACAATAAATCACTCGATTTTCACATCTAACGCCAGATCTCTTCAAGAAGTGCTGTTGAATAGCTCTAAGCGATACATGACAAATCTATTAGGCTTCTCGTTTCACGAAGTATATTCTCAAAAAAAAAAAAAAAGAATAAACTTAGGGCCCGTTGGGACGACCTAGTACTGCTCTGGCTGTTGGATGGTTGTGGTAAACTACATGTAACTATATACCTATATATGCTGTTCGTGCAATTGAATAATTCAACATTCTGAACTCCAGATTACATATGTACACGTAGTTATCTCAATACTCTAATCCGCCAAGAAAATAACATTAACGTGTAAGACTTTGATCTGATATGTCGATTGCAACGTACATGTATTTTTTTACTGGATAATCCAGTCTGTCCAACAACACGAAGAACGAATATATGGTTGTCCGAACAGGCCCATAATCCATCTAACTAGATTACAATACTATAATAAATCTTGTAGGCCCACATCCTCTAAATATCCGCTCTGGGCATTCTCAAAAACAAAAACAAAAACAAAAATAAAACTGCATGTACTCGAGCTCTAATTCAACTTCTTTCCACTTATAACTCTTCGGTCCTTTATATCTCCCACGATAACCCCCAGCAACCAACAATTTACCCCAAAAAACGCTAATGCACTTCCCCACAAACCTGGGAAGAATGTACTATTACCCAAAAATTCAAGTTCGTAGCCTTGTTGGAGCCATGCGGCTTGAGTGAGAACCCATGCGCCTAGTGCGGTGAACCCTATTTTGGGATTCCGGAGCAGCGAGGAGGTGGGGAGGTAGAATGGGAGAAGGACGATGTACCACATGAAATACTGACACATGATGTTAGCAAAGTAGTGGGGTTAATGAACCTATAGGAACATACTTGTGAGGTGCAGACTTTGTTGAATGCGACAAATGCAAAGGTCTGTGCAAAAAGAGTGGTGGGAAGATCCCATTTGGCGAATGCGAGTGGAAGCAGTACCCCAGAGAGGAAAAGCTGCGGAAGGAACGCAACACTGGCATACGGGAATGAGGGATCACCCATGCTTGGTGGAGAGGTGAGGTAGAGGAGGATGTTATAAGGTGAGAAGTTATGGCGGTGGTCCAGACGTTCAACGTGATGCAAATATGTGTGCATTACGAATGGATCACGATATCTATTACTCAGTTAGCAGCAGTATCTAATGGGAGAGTAAGAGTTATGAAACTGACATTTTCCACATTGCAAGGTTAAGTCCTACGAAGGTGACCAATGCGCTTAGACCGAACTTTATTCTCGAGACAGTAAAGAACCCGAGTATTTTTTGAGTAATTGTCTGACCCATTTTCCGGTCTTCCATCCACCAAAGAATCGCAGGCCCGTAAACCACCGGATAGATTTTAAAATGCACTGCCAGCCCGAGCAACACTCCCGTAGTAATGACCTTTCTCTTCATCGCAGCCCACACTAGCCCCACAACCATAACTCCTAATAATCCTTCCGAGCTGCCTCTTGTCGATATAGTGGCAACCATAGGGTTGAGCAACCAGATACTTGCAAATTTCAATGCGCGCCCTTTATCCATTCCTCCATAGCTGGTCCGTAAAACACTGTAAATCAACCAGCCCGCTATTAAATCCCCCACCGCAAATAATACCTTCCCGAACGAAAACCAAAACCATTGTGGTTGAAAAGCTGTTGGTAGTAGCAACCATGCCAGTAATGGGGTGTATCGATATGTTTCTCTGTCATACGGGGATTGACTTATTGCTACATATCTCGAAGCGTCGGTAAAGACATAGTAGTCAATATCTGTATATTTGAGAGCGGAATGTGCGTCTTGGTAGAGTCCATAGAAGAACATTCCAGCTCTTAGAGCGGCCGAGGCCAAAAGAACGTTACGGAGGTTAAACATTGCACTATCCACAATAAGGGGGGGTTGCTCTCCCGAGTGGGAAGGATTGGAATCGGTACGGCAGTCTTTAATGTACTGGCTTTTGACTTTGGAGGTACTGTGCTCTAATGATTTCGTGTCGTGAAGGTCTCCATGAATATCGTTAGCTGCCGAGTGTTGTCTTCGTGTCTTCTGTGAATACTGTCTAAGCTACATGTAAGTAGGTGAGAGCACCTGCAGGGGTTTCAGAGCCGCATACAAAAACAGTTTAGCGTTATTACGCTTTGTGTAACCCTAGCTATTGTACCAGGTGTTGAGGGTAAGTGATCAGAATCTGATAAGTGAATGTTGCGGTGAATACGTGTATTTGTCTTATCAGATTCTGATCACTTTTCACCACACTCTAGTACATACTAGTATTAACAGTAATACATGTGCTACTACTCGGGGCAGGCAATAAGAACCTGAAAATGCAAGCGGCAAGCAGGGGCTCAATTTGGTGCAGCTTTTCGCCAGCCGCGAATCAGAGGTCGTTACCACCAAAAGTCATTTTCAGGTTCTTCTTACCTGCCCTGAGTACTACATGTAACTGCTCCTACAGTTTCTTGCTGCATCATACTACATACGTGGCTTGTTAGGCCTTGTTAAGGAATGTTTGAAGGATACATGTGCTACATATACTCAACAATACTTGGTCCATCCGGCCCAGAAGACTGAGTGATTCTTGAACAGTTCCGGTAGCATATATGTAGTTGAATAATGCGCCCGCCGATCGGGTATCAGTAGGACGATGAGGTTCGACTCCCTCCCCGGGGTCAGCCTGTCATATATATTTCTGCTTAAAAAAAATTTTTTTTTTTTTGCTACTTCTACGGGGAGAAGCGTAGGTAGATAAAATTAAGAGAGAGCGAGAAATGTTAATTGCAAATAAACTACATGTAAATTTCGTAAAGTTATGTAGGTATATGTACTTCTTGAATAGGGCCAGCTATAGGCTCATGGAGCATCACTCGGCCGCTTCTGATCAGTATCCGTATACGTATCTGGGCGGCCGGCCAGCCACGCAGCTGGGACAATACTTGTATTGATGCCTACATATACATGTACATTGTCCTTTTACGACAGTGCGTGATACAATTAAATGAAGTAATCAATCAATTAATTACGACAGTGGTGCGCGCCGAGTGATATACTATGATGTTGATTGTAGAGGATCTTCCGACATGGATTAGGGTTCTTCTAGAGTACTTGTGATGTGCGGGGGGAAGAAAGATCGGAGCCACTGACTGGGCTGGAGTATGAAGTATGGTTGGGTTGGCTGCTGGCTGTTGGCTAGATGTGTTATACGGCGAGGGCTTGGGGACCAGCTACTACATACAAGCCATGTCTACGAAACCCCCACAATATATCACCTCAAAATCCCAGTACCACACAACCCACCACCACCACTCACAACCCAAAGACGGCACAAAACCGGCATAACCCAGCAGAGTAGAGAAAGAACGAAAAAAATGCACTCCATTCACCACATTACTATCTATACATAACACCCCCCCCCCCCCTCTTCCCCTCCCTGCCCCTTCCTTCCCCGAGCTACACCCCCTTCCCCCTCCGCCTCTCCCACACCTGCAAATAACTCTCACTCGTAAACAACAACTCCCTCGCCACCTCCTCCACAAACAGGTCCTGAATCTGCACCCACTCGCCGCTCGCACGATTGCACAGCTGCACCTTATAGACGCTCCTCATCTCGCCCTCCTTCTTCCCCGTGGTGGTGGTGACGCTCTCGTGCGTGATGTTCGCCACGAGATCATACCACACGGGCTCGCTGCCCGGCTCAGTGGGCGACCGCTCAACATACGGCGACATGTCGAGAGAGCGCGTGGGGAAGGTGACAATGGTGGGGTTCCGCTCGGAGACAAACTTGTTGCGTGAGAAGCGCTTGATGTGGAAGATGAGGAAGGGCGGGAGCGGGGAGAGGAGCCGGTAGCGCTTGCGTTGGCCGAGGAGCTCTTGAGAGTGGACGCCGTCGTATTTGCTGAGGATTGTGGTGAGGGGCACCTATAGTTAGAGTGATGGGTTAGTTTTTGTCATCTGGAGAGAAGGGGGGAAGAGGGGTACTTGGGGAATGATGTTTTTGTCCTGCTCATCCTTAAATATCGGCTTCGGCGGCAAGTCCAGCGTCAGCATCATAAACCTCACCACCTCCGTCTTGATCTCCGCCGCCTCCTCAAACCGCAACCGATCCGACGCGTCCGCGCGCGCCGTGATCGCCTGCGACTCGACCTTCAACCGCCCCTGAAACACCTTCTGCACGATTGAGGTACCCGGGCGCGTCTTGGAACCGCCGAGCGACAGGTGCAGGTGGTTGAGGAACCACGAGAGGAAGTCGACGGGGTCGGACTGCGTCGTGAGCGTGAACTTCTTGGAGGAGCGCAGCGAGATCTCTTGCAGCAGCTCGTGCGGCGAGACGTGGGACTTGAAGGCGCGAGGGTTCCAGATCTTGCGTACGAGGATGCTGAAGCGCTGGGCGAGCTCGGGGCGGGCGGAGAGCGGCTCGAGCATGAAGTAGTTGCGCAGCGGGGCGACATGTGCGAGTGCGTGGACGACGACGTTGAGGTAGTCGTTTTGCTTGATGTTGTTGAGGCCGACGAAGCCTGTCATTCCCTGTCAGCCATCTCTGCCCCACCTAGAATGTAAAGACTCCGGAGATGGGGGGTGTATGTACCGGGGATGTATTTCTTCCCGCCCAGGTCCCAGCGGACCTTGACCTCCTTGTCGAGCTTTGCGACGTCACCCTTGCTGTAGGTTGGGTTTGCGACGTACTTGATGTCCTCGAGCGTCTTGTTCTTGACCTCGTAGCTCTCGGGCAGCACGTACACGCGCAGGCTGGCAATGTTGATGAAGACATGGTGGTCCTGGTCGAGCGAGTGCGTGTAGGCGTGGGAGGAGCGGCCGCGGCCCTGGAAGTATTTGCCGCAGACGAGGCAGGCGTAGACGTTGATGTTTGAGAGCGAGATTGAGCACAGCTTTTCAAAGTCTGCCCACCATCACCACCATCAGCTTGTTAGCTCTTCATCTGCGAGTAGTAGTATGTCGTAGTAGATAAAGGATTGTAGATGGATGTAGATGTATATACCGAAATCTAGTAACGTCCTACCCCACCAAACAAACCATCAGCCCCGCTCTACCCCAATTGCAAACAGACCAGAGAGAGAGCTCTCACCTATTCACAGTGTCCAAATACAAATCCGAAAAGCCCTCCGTCGGCCCTGCCTGCACATCCCTCACGACGGCCGTCAGCGCACTCTCCTCGCCGTCCTCCTCCTCCTCCTCCTCCTCCTCCTCCACCTCTCCATCCTCCGGGGGTGGCCGTGGCCGTGACGCCTCAAGGATCTTTCCGCTGGCAAAGGACTCGTCTTCGATCTCGTCGACACGCACACGCTTGGGTGTCAGCGGGGCGCCATCGTCTGCTGTGTCGAGCTCGAGAGAGGTGTCGGCAGGGCGTTTCGACATTTGTGATGTGTGTGGGGGTGGTGGGGGGGGGGGGGGGGTGTTGTTCAATTGGGCCCGCGGGGGGGGAGGGCCTAGGGACGGTTTTGAGAATGGAGAGAGCTGTGAGGTTGTGCACTGGCAGCGATGCCGGGTGTCTGACTGACATGGCCGGGTTACTTAAACCTGCACGGTGAGCGGTGCACGGGCCAAGCGCGTGTCAACAGCCAAGTGAGAGATCTGCAGGTCAACTCACAATTATCTGCAACCACAGCACTCCTCCACCACCGTTCGATACACCGCTCCACCACAGCTCTCCACAACTAGAACTACAGCTACAACAACCACCTCAGCAATGGGCACCCCCCACGAGCCCCCCGCGGCAACCACGCCTCCCGCAGAGCCGCCGCCGGACGAGACCGTGACCGCGACCGCGACCGCGACCGAGAGCGAGAACGAGACCGCGCAGACCCCGACCTCGACCGCGACCGCGAACGAGACCGTGAGCGAGACCGTGACCGCGACCGCGACAGACACGGTGGCAGGGCCGCAGGACGCAAGCGCAGTCGCTCAAGAAGCCCCGACACCCGTCCGCACCACCGCAACAGAGACAGAGACAGAGACCGAGCACGAGGTTCGTACCCTTCGCCCCCCTGCCCTCCCTTCCCCTCCTCCGAAAGCTCGAACTGATTGTGGTGAATGACTAGACTATCGCCGCCCACCACCACCCTCCCGTGACCACGACGCACCCCCGCCAGACCGCGAATACACGATCCGCGGCGGGCGCAGCCGCGACGAGGATCCAAAGTCGCGGCGGCACCGGTCGCGCTCGCGGGACCGCCGGAGCAGGGAGCGGCAGGCGGCGAGAAGGAAGAGTCCGTCGCCGGTGCCGCCCCCGCAGCAGCAGCAGCAGCAGCAGCAGCAGCAGGATGTGAAGATGGGTGGTGGGGGAGGGGGCGAGGAGGAGGAGGAGGAGGAGGAGAGGGCTGGAGAGGTGGAAGGGGAGGAGGAGGATGATATGGATGCGCAGATGAAGGCTATGTTGGGTATTGCCGGCTTTGGGACGACGAAGCAGAAGAAGGTCAAGGGGAATGATGTGGGTGCGATTAGTAAGAATACGACGGTCAAGTATCGGCAGTATATGTATGTTTGCTCCTTCCTTCTTTCTGGGTGCGTTTGGGTGGCTGACGGTGGATTTAGGAATCGGCCGGGCGGGTTTAATAGGGCGCTGTCGCCTTCGTAGGTCTAGCTGCTGCGGATCCAGACGAAATGTGCGGAGAACTGCAAATTCTCGAGTCCTCTCTGTATGATCATAGCTTTATAACTCCCCCCATTCCCCGAATTTGTAGCCCCCTTTTCCCTCTTCTTTCCTATAGACAGATACGCTTCGGCATCTAGTGTTTTTCAGCGACTAGAGGGTACCCATCTTTTGCATTACTTTTTTTTTTCGTTTTCGTTTTCGTTTTCGTCTGCTATGATGCGGTGTCTTCAATAATATCTTTTTCTTGCTCGTAAAATACAGTAATTCGTTGGCCAGAGATGCAAGTACTTATGTCTGTGGGAACGAGCCATGTCCCCATACCAATCCAATTAATGAAGTGAATGTATCGAGTGACACCCCCCATGCCGTACGTGAGAATACTAGCACATACAAGTAACCAGACGAGTGAGAACAAATGTCCAAGCAAGCCACACAGCTGACCTGCAACCAATCCTCCACACCAAGGCGCTCCGCCCGAAAGCAACCAGCCAAGAAGCCTTCCAGCTGGCATACTAGGACTGGGGGTATTGCATGCTGACCTACTACAGCCCGCGCAATATATCTAGGTGCCTGACCTTTAGGCAGCTGGCCGGACAGACCACCACATTATGGCCTCCCCTATCCTTTTATCAGCCACGATTCGTAATTGAATTGCTACCCCACTGGTTTAATGGTAAGGACAGAAACGGGCTGGGAGGAGATATATGTCACAATACACCACCCCAAGCTACTTACCGAAACTCGCTTCAAATACGAATTATCAATCAACCAATACCGAAACCCACTAGCCATCCGACATGGAACCGATCATCGAGTGATAATCCATGAGCCGCCACTCCGAGTGGGCTCTTGAACTATCTTTGGAGTACACCCGCTCTGTCGCTCCATACCCACAGGCTGCAAGAGTGGGGGGGGGGGGGAGGAAGGGATACTCCCGAAAGCTTCTGGATGTGAGTGTGTATACGTAAGTGACTGAGAGGGCTAGAGCGCAGCACCCGATCCACCCACTGCGTAGCTGAGCGGGTAAAGATGTGAAAGGTCTTAAACAGACCACGCAGTGTGACAGAGCACTCGAGTGATACCACATGCACCCGCGCGCACAAGAAGGCGAGTGACTGCGCGTGAGTCGAGACAAGACGCCGAGTGAGATGTTATGTCCGCCATCACAACCCGCTCACCCGCACATATATACATGTATATTCTACTCAGTATAACAAAATCGAAGATAATTAACCGTCCTTTCCCATTTTATCTACTTCCCTATCCCGTCACATAACCGCACGAGTACACATACATCGCAGCCCCCACCTGCTCCCCGCCTCCCTGCGCCCAATTCCCATCCCCCATCCCCACCAATTCCCCGTCCAGCTATCCAGTCCAGCCCGTCCAGCCATCCATATACACACCCCCCCCCCCCACCAAACCACCACCACCCACTCCACCTGCCAACAACGAAAAAATAGAAGAAAAGCAAAAAAAAGTCTTGGTATTGATAATGAAAAAAACGACTCATTTACTGGAAACGATGGTGTGCGTTCCAGGAACGAATGGGTCACAGGTCCACAAAAAAAGGTCACAAGGAAAGAAAAGGGCTAACAACCAACAATCTATCGTCCAAAGCGCATCTCCTTCTTTGCGTATTTATGCAGCGCCCTCAAAAACACCTGGTACCCCACCGCCTCGTTATCCGGCACATGACTAGTTACACCCCACACACATTAGCACACCACTCTCCACACACAAAACACACACCCAGGGCGAAAGCAAAAACACTCACAAAATCTCCGTCAACCGAATCTGCCACGGCGGATACCCCCTCAGTGTGACATTGGGACTAAACAGGATCAGTAGATTTGGCTCCGGGATGACATTCTCCTTGACCTCCGCATCGATCAGGTCGATGCTGACGTCCTCGGCGGCGATCTTGCCGCGCTGCGCCATGTCGCACAGCGTCTTTGTCAGGTCGACCAGCGACTCGCGCCCGTCCTCCTCGCTGATGATGACAACCTCGATGTCGACGCGCGGCCCGCCCTCCTCTTCATCTGACTGGTCTGTGGTCGTGAATGCGCCGGACGGCGGAGAGTGCACGCGCAGCGTGGGGCGCGACTTGCCGAAGTAGCTGTGTAGGCGCTGGGAGATGGAGCGGTGAGTGGTGGAGATGTAGGATTTGAGGACACCTGTGGAAAGGCATTAGTATCCTTACCACCCATTACTACTAGCATAGCGGGGACCGGGGAAGGGGGGGGGGGCCTATATACCTGTCTGCTCATAGACACTCAGACATCTGATCCCCGCACTCGCGCACCAACACGTAATCTCTGCCACCTCGTCCACCAACGTATCCAACCCGCCCTTCTCAAACTCCACAATGACACTCACATGTCTGGGCAGCTTCCCAGCCTGCCTCAGCTCCTGCACGTCCTGCTGGATGAGCTGCGGCGTGCGGTGGTGGTAGTAGAGGATGCTGAAGCCGCGGTTGAGCACCGTGCGGTACGTCCACCGCAGCTTCGCGTACACGCTGTAGATCAGGTATATTGTCAGTAGCACGAGCTTGTAGAAGCGCGTGAATACAAAGTTGCGGATGGGCCGGCGGCGCGGCTCGTCGGCGGGCGGGAGCCGCGGGAGGATGAAGCGCTCGCGGTCGAGGACTTCAAGTGGCTTGGTGGGGGGGTTGCGGTGGGTGGTGGTGGTGGTGGGGGCGGGCTTGGAGATGGAGGTGCTGGTTGCGGAGGGGGTAGGGGTGGGGGTGCTGGCGGGGGTAGGCGGGGCGTTGGCCATTGTAGTGGATAGGGGGGGGGTCTCTTCTGGCTCTGGCTCTGTCCACGTAGAAGGTTGGAGAGGAGTGTCAAGGCGAGAGAGATTCCAGGGAGGGTTAGGTCAGTATCGATATGATATGACGGATGTGAATATATAGAACAGAGGGAGTATTCGATATTTGCTGTTGAGTATGAGGTTGTTGAAGAGAACGTCTGCGATGCCCGACGGAGTGTCGTCGAGAGATGTCGTCGTCTGCAGCCGGAAAAATACCCAACTATCAGATGGCTGTCCGTACTGACGACTACCGCTTGTATCACCAGCACCAGCCCGTAACTCAGCCCGGGGGGAAGGAAGGATGGGTGGGTGACGCAATGGGTTAAATACCACGCAGCTTCGCGGCCCAATGAAAAGGCCCTCGGAGCGTATTTTTGGCAGCGGTTCTCGATCTCCCTCCCAGCCAAGTGCCTTCTACATAAATGAAAAATAGGAAACAGGAAATTCTACTACTTAATTACTTGCGCCCCCCCCCCCCCCCCCACGCACGGAATGCGGAACGCGATGGAGAAAGTGTGAGTGGTTGGGAGAAATGTTTGGCGTGTGTAGAGTATGCACGCTGCAAGGTTGTTTTGTTGATCATGCATGCGTTGCAGATGGAACGGGATGCTCTACATATAAATGTGCACTTCCTCGCACAGGAGTTTTACAAAACTCAACGTTTGATAGTTGAGTTCTCACCGGTGCAAATCGGAATCACTTCAAGGTGCTATGGTGCTATCACATGTGCTAATTTCTCAACAACTCGATCTGTGCAGCTGCAGCAGTGGGCTAAACCGTTTATTCTTGGCGCCTGCCATGTGAATCTCGGCATCATGATACATCACTCGGTCACAGATTGCGCATGGATGTGCATGCTTCTGATTTGCTTTTTTTGATTAATGTCATGCCATTTGAAAATACAACTAATCATTAAGTCGCATATCTGGTGTGAAAGGAGGGAAGAGTAAAGGGGAAGGTGAACTAGTAGTGCGCCTATGTAGTCTCCATCAGTCGACTGAATCTATGAATGAACCAAGGATGGTAGAAGTCACCTATTAACACAATCTATCTCCTTGATCGTCGAGTCTAAACTCGAAGAAAGCCCTCTCAACTGACCTATAAATTCCCTTCCTTTGACGTGATTTATTATGAACTCGACGCCACGACTAATCATGATATAGCGCTGTAAACATCTTCAATTGATAAGTGATGAATACATTCCATGTGTCGTGCTCAAATAATACACGCAGATGTGCTCCCGGTTGCCAGGGTTCGTTTTATATCGCCAATGTTGGAACTTCTAACAATTACAAGCATCAACTATCAGCTTAGAGTGGGAAAATGATATTGGCTTGAACAGCTAACCACCAAGCTGACTTTTACAACTCTTTCCCCCTTAACATAACCGGATCTAGCTCTGGGCGGACTGCATATACGGTTTCCTGTCTTTATAAGCATCATGAAATATCACTCGATACACTTGAGCGACGTCAGACGAGAATAGGACGCCCACGATTATCCTGTGCGATGACCGGGCCCGCCAAAGGCCTAATGATATTCTGTGCGTAAGCTCTAGTGTATACATATGACATCTAGAGGAACATCCACGTGGTTATTAGGACTCACTATCTGTCCTTTAGAAGTTTATTTAAATAGCTCTCGAGCCTCATGTATGGCGGGTTCACAACCCCCATTAACATTGTAAGCAGACGTTACAAATAACTAAAATACCTCCTACTTAAACTAACCCATGCCTACCCATATTAACCGATCCACCCTAGACCTACATTACCAATATATACCTTTATGGCCTCCCTCCCCTCCCGCGGCTGGCAGCGCCACGAACTACTCCAGCCCGCCACCGGCACCCGCATCATCATCTGGTACCGCTCCACAAACGACACCAAAACATCATCCGAAGAACAGCTCCGCCACGCAAGATACACCGTCAAGCTCGCCATCGACTCGCTGCAGATCTCTTTCTCAACGTTCACCACAAAGGACGATATCCGGCGTGCCGGGAGAGCCCTTGTGGACGCTGCGGAGCTGCTAAGGGAGCTAGCGGTGGTGAGTGAGGTGGCGGCGTATGCGGATGTGGCGAGGGAGCAGGAGATGTTGTGTAGAGTGCTCGAGAGGTATTGTGTGGGACCTAGGAGAGACTATCCCGTTGACGTGGTGGACCAGTTGCAGCAGTATATTATCGCACTGGGGAAGCTGTGACCATGGGGTTTATAGATGTGAAGATGCATGAAGTGGGTTGTAGATACTGGTACCGAAGGAAGAGGTAGACTTGAGGAGGCCCCGTTTTAGTGGGCATATATCGTTGTTTGGCACTTTACTGCGTGTAAAGTGGGTATCTTGTTGTGGATTCGGTTGAATGCTTAGATTGAAATAGGCGTGGTCTGTTGATAAGTTCCACATATTATTATCGGCAATAGTAACTTGAATGGGAAGTAAGAAGACGGATACGTAGACGCTACATGTAGTTACATGTAATCCAACTATATGTAGTCTCATCAAGACGTAAGAGCCTCCGAGGGAAGAACGAAGGGCGAGCGTAAGCTTAATGCCTACATGTACGTCTATAGGCCGGTCCTACGTATATGTATCCGACTACCGTTAACTTAGTTACAGTGATTGAACCCATAAACTCGTCCTCCTTTGCCCACAGTTCAGCAACGTTCTCAACACTAGCTCTCTCCAAACACTCCACTCCGGCACTAAGCAGGGATCGAGTTCGATGCTCTGTTAGCTACTCCATTCTCCCCATAACACATTCACGATAGGTACCTACCTTACTTCATCTTGCGGGACGAGGACATGCGCGCTGCTCGTTGCTATCTTATTTTTCATAGTCTGCGTTGCGTTTACTTACTTCCAACTTGGTCAACTCTAACTAACCCTAACATGTGCCTAGAGGAGTACGTACCACAGTGCCTTGCTATGAATGTGGATACACAGAGAGAAGGAAGACGCTTTTAGTTTTTTGTTGCCCCGAGCCGAATCCGCGATGGGAATGGAATGGAGAATAAAGGGTGGAGTTTAGGAAGCAGATGCAATTAATGAATTAAACAAAAAAAAAAAAAGTTTAGGAAGCAGGGGGGTTTGAAAAGATCGAGTGACAGGTGGTGAGCCAAGCCTTGGTGGGGGAGGGCTCAGTTTTGCTGCCTATCGCTACTTAGTTGTTGATTGATTAACATGCTGGGTGAACCTAGAAGTGAGTTTGTATATGTAAATGGACTTGGGCGTATCCTTTTCGTAAAACCCCCTTCAAGACGCTCACATAAGGAATTAATGAATTAAACAAAAAAAACAAAAAACGCTCACACAAGGATCTGTAGATTCCGAATACAGAGCGCTTCCAGTGGGTTGATTGAAGGAGGTTATTTTTTACTACACAATATTACTACCTTCAGAACTTCAGACTGCTGGAAGGCCTTCTTCCAGAGACAAGCAGTAAATCCCGCTAAACGCAAGAGTCTGTGACTGTTTTTATTAATAGTGTAAGTGGAATGAAAAGACTTAGCTTTCAGCCCAAGGGGACGGGGTACATCATACGTACCTATCCATCCATCGTGGAGTCTAGTATACATACAGCGCCTTACATGTAGCTGAGACACTAATCCCTGTCAGATTTAGGTCTCCCACTATTCACACACCATATATCAAGGCATAAATGCCCGCAGATTAACTTACCCAGCTCCATACCACCCACATGCAAGAACCATTAGCCGGTCCCAAGAAGCCCTAGACCAAGACGAAGATGATCTCCATACCATGCTGATTGAAGAGGCAGGGAGATTAGAACAGGATGAAGACGACCTCCACACCATGCTGATAGAAGCGCAGGAGGAAGTAGAGCATGAGGAACAGGACCTTGATGATATTTACCATGGGGACCCTGGGATGGCATAGGTGAAATCGTTTAATGTTCCGGTTATGAAAAATGCTTGTGCAGGTGCATGTTTGTCTGGGTTGTGTAGAGGTATGTGTGTTTGTGCCCTAGGTTTTGGGGGCGGTTGCTAGTGAGTTAATAATGATGAAGTGCCAGGCGAGGCGAACGTTACCTAGCTAGAAAGGGGCAGCAGCAGGGACAGTGAAGGGTGGCGTACGTCTGGGAGCGGGGGTATCAAAAGGACTGGCTGGGATGATAAAGAAACGAGGAAGTCCCAACGGTGGCAGGGAAGACGAAGGGTGGTGATAGCAATGTTGGTAGGAATCTTTAAAGTTGGGTACTGCTAGAGCTTGGGTACGTACGGGCCAGCCTTCTTTTTAGAGAGCTGTGTGGTTTAAATTTCGATTTGGCTGGAGATTACCTAAGCTGGAATGATCATTTATGCATGTTTTACAAACGTGGCCCAAAACAGCATTCACGCATGTCCCCAACCGCAGAATTATTCTATCAAGTACTCACCAGAGTAGTATCCAGCCACTTCTTGCATGACTGTTTACTTTCCCTTACTTCATGCATATTTGTAGTGCAGAATAGGGTCAGCGTGCCTGTCCGATATCAGCAGTCTTCAAATAACTGCCCCGATCATGCTCATATAACCAGAGACTCGCCATTATCGCGTAATCCTTCAAAACTTATGTATTCCCCGACCACTTACCAACCTGCCATGCACCATAGGCTATCACTCACTCACAAACCTCTAGTACGCAGGTTCAGGAATTGCGGTTATCCCCAGCCATGAACTGGTATAAGTTGATATCATTCTGGAACACAGAGGGAGGGCGGGGTTAAGTTATTGAGCGACCAGTATAAGTAAGAAAGCTTGCCAGCTGCTAACTCTCTTCTCACTCACAGTGTATAGATTGGATGCACTTATCGCTTTACTGAATTGGCGAACGTACTCAATATAACTTTTTATTTATTTTTTCAGATTTACCTCAGCATGCGCATCCCAACACTTCTCTCTATCTCCCTTTTCTCTGCTATCTTCACTTCCCCCACCTCCGCCACACCGCTCTCACATAGACATCGCCTCCCTAGACCATCGGCTGTGACTAAACCCATCCTTCCGCGCGAAACTGAGGTTGCAAGTGCCGGCAGCCGAGATCTACTAGACGACCTCGACGACTCAGATTTTCTTGATTTCCCAGATTTCCCTCCAGGTTTCCCTTTTGACTCCTCTGGCTTTCCATTCGACGATGAGCCAGCACCCATTCCTGCGCCTGACCCAGCTCCTCCTCCACCGGAGCCAGCTACAGGGCCAGCACCAGGAGCGAACAATGCCCCTGCCCAGGATTGCGCATCTCCAGTGACGATAACGCAAGCGGAGGTCCAGACTACAACAGAAACAGCCACAGTTACAATCACGGCTGGCGAAGCCTTTCTCGACGGTCTGTTCGAGGGAAAGCAAGAATATATAACCCTCATTGTCACCACCACTGAGACCGAGTTTGCACCTGGGCAGACGGTGACCATCACGACTGCTGAAGCACAAAGGGAGAATAAAGATGAGCCAACAATAACCATAACAGTTACAGAAAAGCCTGAGCCCGCAACTGTCACTGTTACAGAGGTACAAACTGTCACTGCCGTAGCAGATTCAGTAGATGCAGGGGCGGGTAATAACCCAGGTACAGGGGACAATAAGGATATACCCCCTCCACCCGAGCCACCAGCTCCTCCTGCACCACCCCCACCTTCACCGCCAGCTCCCCCTGTTATCGAAGAACCAACTCCTATTACCGAAGAACCAGCCCCTCCCGCAGAAGGAGGTCAGGATGGAGACGAAGGAGGTTCAAATCATCCTGATTTTGTCGACCTTGGGGTTCTGGAACTTGACGAAGACGGGCCTCAGCCTACTATACATATGGTTGCAGCTGCGCCAAGTCATTCGAACTTTCATAATGCCGCAGCGGTGCCTACACCTGCTCCCCATCCCGTGGATTCAGCATTATCCTCAATTGCGAGCCCCTCAGTATCTGAAAATCCTTCGACATCGGCTGAATTTGTGTCATTCGAATCAAATACAGTCATGTCAGGCGAGATCGCTACTGCGACTTTAACTAGCACAACCACGGTGGTCGTGACAAGTACTAGAACTTTTACCCATGTTCGTCCGACAGCTTTTAGACTGCCAACGATCGAGTTCGATGATGAGTAGAATAATAAAAGAGACCGGTTCTGCCTGCTTGACTTTGTTATATCTTGGTATTCGATTGGGAGTTTCGGGGAGTTTTGTTTTTAAATGTAATTCTGCATGTACTATAAGATTAACGTTAATGATACGCATGATATGGATATAACTAGGATACAAGTTAATTAATAGATATATAGAGACGTAATTTAAAACCTTAATATATTGGGAAGTCGTGTGTTTCTTTGATGAATATCTGGAATTCCGTAAAACTACATGCACCCTATGTTTTTTTAACAAATCTAATAAGTATATAATTATAACCTACATGTGCATGTGCCTTTAATTAGCTTCTCATTCAGAGAGGTTTTGTTTCACATAAAACATGTACTATTTGATATGAATATGGGGTATTGTTGGGTGCTAGGTTATTAATATATTCTCTACTATATGTAGTTCTGGGGATCAATTAGTAGTTTAATTCTAGTGGTTTGGTGGCTGTTAAAGGAATATACTTGCAACTTCAAATGGAGAGATCCTCTGACCTATTTACTGATGGTGATATCAAAAGGCACATATTGAAGATATGGTGATGGGCTTTGCCTGTCAGTCGGGGCTCTCAGGCCGCTGCTGTTCAGTCCTCGACCCCTCCTGGCAGGCAAATAGAGAAATAAGCCGCAAAGCGACTTACCTACGTATTGGACTCATTGGTATACATATAGTACTAGATATTATATATTAAAGGCTGGAAACTACTTATAAGAAGCAAGGAGATACTGGTAAAAAGGTGTTTCGGGACCGCCGATTCCTATCATTATAACGAGAGTATCACTATATGAAGTATCACTATAACGAGAGCCGACTGTACTCCCTCCACATCCGTGGATGTTACGTCTACGTGTGCGTTTAACATCTTCCCCAGCAGGCAGTCCTTCAAGCTCTGTTTGTATAGTGGTATATGCCTCCGGTTTGGGAAACTTGTAGCGACAGCGGATACCGGGTTTTAATCCCGCTTAGATCCACTTTCAAACTTGAACACTTTTTTCTTCCTTTTACCTCGGTACTCCTATTGTTGAAATGAGAAGTTCTCTGATCCAATCATCGACGCACCCTATTCACGGACGGCGGGCATGGTTTAGTCTTGTAGAATCTTATATTTGAAGCTATCATCTACTTACTTCTAATTAACGTACAACGCGTGCACATTTAATTAGGCGCTTGACCGGAATTAACATATCTCCAGTAATGGGCGGTGTAAATCTCATCAATTTCCTAACTAATCAATCAGCTTCACTCATTAAATCTACGGGAAAGGTCTAAAATGACACAGTTTTCGGTAGACGTGCTCTACAATAACACATGAATGCAAGATGACACAGTTCGGTATAATCCAAAACGAATATATCAATTAGTATACGTATTGGAATCCATCCCGTGGATATTTTGAGGGTTTGTAGGCGTTCAAATGCAATCTGTAGACCCCCCCAGGGGGGGTCTACAAACATTACTCATCTTTAGTCTCCTTGCGACCACCATACTTCAAACAACCAAAATAATACCACAACAACCTCTAAAGCTGCCTGAAAAACTGGCAGTTCACTATTGGCCATTGACGATATAGATATGATATTTTGGGACTTTATTTCTTCCTTTCTTTTGAATAAGGAAATTTTATGTGCATTGGACTTGTTTTACAGAATTTGATGTGGTGAGCCGTTGCTACGCGGAATCTGTAATTTATCTCTAAGGTTTCAGATTTGAACACCTTCAGAATATCCACGGGATGGATTCCATTGGCTGAGCAATGATACAAGTAATATCGAAGGTCCAAGTTCGATCTTCATCTTGGCACACTGCCAAGCTAGCTCAACTATCACTTCGGGCACAGCATCCACTATGGGCGGGTGGTCTAGTGGATAGACTGCTCGTCAGGTGAGACACCGAGAGTACCCAGGATACAACCAATCACACATAAGGTCCTGGGTTCAAACCAGGGGTGGGGGTAGCAGTCGCAAATGTCTTAATAAGTCGCTGCAGTACCTTTTGTAGTTTTGTACCTTTGTAGTTTTATAGAACGCTTTGTTCTTTTTTTCTCTCTTTTTTTTACTTGTAGTGACAGCGAACTGTGACTTTTTGCATCATGTGTTATTTCGGAGCACGTATACCGAAAACTGTGTCATTTTAGGCCTTTTCTGTTAAATCTATATTAGTAAGTGCATCTGCATGTTCCATAACTACCTTACCGTCGAAACGCATACAATTTTGAGCCTTATTCAGTCGGCTTATCCAGATCGTAGGCTCATAATAGCCTTATGAATCCAATAAGGTTCAAATAAGTATTATTTAAGCATGTTTTAAGGATGAAATAAGGCTTAAAAAAGGATTTTTGTACTGATAAAGCTATTGTGAGCCTACGTTCTGGATAAGCCGACTGAATAAGGCTCAAAATTGTATGCGTTTCGACGGTAAGGTACATACGCAGTAAGTACTCTATGTTCATGCGCATGTATGTATATATACAAGCATGCATTTAGTATCCTTTATATGTGATATTCGTGATAAATGTTCATATGATTTACGTGCACCAAGTATCACTCGGCGGGTACTACTGGCTTGGCTTTCACGATCTGCATGCAAGGATGAGGCTCTGCCCCCCGCCATAAACATCCCACCATCCACATAATTCTAGACCAAGTGCCAATCCTCTCAAAAATGCCTCCCCTATCACTCGCCCGATCAGCAACACGGCTTCTACGCTCCCTCACTCATAACCAGCCCCGGCCAATTCCCAATAGGAGGCCCTTCTCGGTCGCCTCAATCAGATCCCAAACGCTTCTCCAGCACCTGCAGGAACGAGAACTCGTCGAGTCAGTTACAGGGTATGTATGGAGAAACCCACCATTTACCGCGATGCAGTTCTAATAAGCACCCAGCACCTCTGGGGACCTTGAAAACCTGATCGAATCGAACCCCATAACTACGTATGCCGGTGTCGACCCAACCGCGAATTCGCTCCATGTCGGGCACCTCCTTCCTCTCATGAACCTGCTCCATTTCTACCTCAATGGCCACCATTCTATCGCACTCGTATAACCCCTTTTACGCCTCTTGCTCGCGTGCTAGCTGACCTAGAAAGGTTGGGAAAGCTACCGCATCGGTCGGAGATCCATCCGGGAGGACTACGGAGCGTGATTCTGTAGAATCGCAGAGGCTACAGAAGGCGTTCGATTCAATATGGCGGCAGATCGATGGATTCTTTGAAAGCGCAAAGAAGCACGCATTACTTAGAGGGTATAGCGAGGAGAAACTGGGGAAGAGAGAATTGGTTACGAACGGAGAGTGGTTAGAAGGGCTAGGATTTGTAGAGTTTTTGAGTACTGTTGGGAGACATGTTAGAGTCAGTCAGATGCTGGCGCGAGAGAGGTAGGCTTCTTCAAATCTTGATTATGGGAATTATTAAGCGTTGGTGCTTGGTAGTGGGTTAGGTAGCGGGTGTAGGAGTTGGCGCTGATTGATGTGTTGATGATAGTGTAAAGGGCCGAATGACGACCGGACAAGGAATCAATTTTGCAGAATTCACATACCAGCTATTACAAAGCTATGATTTCTGGCACCTGCACAATAAGAAAAACTGCCGTCTACAGGTAAGCTTCGTTTACCCAATAATTCCCCTACAAACCTAATCCTATTTAGATTGGTGGAAATGATCAATTTGGCAACATAACCGCCGGAATTGATCTAATAACTAAACTACGTGTCCCCACAACCCCAGAAACGCCTAGTACCACTCCAAACAAATTCGACCCCGCGTACGGACTAACAGTCCCGCTCCTTACCACACCCTCAGGTGCTAAATTCGGTAAGACGGCCGGGAACGCCGTATGGCTTGATCCAACCCTCACCTCCCCCTTCGAGCTTTACCAGTTCTTCGTACGCCTTCCCGACGACGTGATAGGGAAGTATCTAAAGATGTTTACACTGCTGCCTCTGAGCACTGTCAGCAGTGTACTTGAGGAGCACCTTACGAGCCCCGAGAAACGTCGCGCTCAGCATTTGCTCGCCAGTGAAGTTGTAATGCTGATCCATGGAGGAGAAGAGGCGAAGCGTGCCGAGTTGCAGACGAAACTGTTGTTTCCGGCGCCTGGAGAGACGATGAAGGTTTCTGCGAGAGAGATCCTGCAGCTCCCAGGTGTGGTGGAGGTGCCTAGGAGTGAGGTGGTGGGTGAGTTGGTGACGAAGGTTGCAAGGAGGATTGGGGTGTGTAAAAGTAAGGGCGAGGCAGATAATGTAGTGCGAGGCGGAGGTTTGTATGTGGGATTGGGGAGTGAAAAGGTAATGGATACAAAGGCGAAGGTAGAGGAAGAGTGGTTGGTAGATGGCGAAGTGTTGCTTGTAAGGTTTGGAAAGGGTAAGTTTTGTGTGGTAAAAGTGATTTGAACAAGCCATGTAAATCATTTGTAGATAAACTCGATCTTTCATCTTTTAAATAATTCCAGGTTACCAAAATCTAACCCAACTATCTACCCCAGAATGTGAACTACCTGAATGTGAATTATCTGCATGCATCAGCGTAAAATACCGTAAATATGCTTATCGAGTCCTTCAATTACATGTATTTCGTTGAAGGAAATATTTCCATTTCATTTGTCAATATACTCATAACATGCATGATTTACGGCCGATTAATTATCAAAGCAGAAAACTTACCTGCATATCTCGCCCCGAATCCCCGAACCCCAGGACACAAGACCTACAGCGCCACACATCGCGAAAGCATACATGTAGTCTATTAAGAATCCTTGCCATCCCTAAATTCTTAGGTGCCGGATGACTCGACTCATATCCACCGATTGAACCTATCCTGGATAAGTAATTTCATACTGGTCTTTGGAGCAGAGATTCGACCATGCTTGGTAATAGAAAATAAAATCGGGAAGAGACTATCAACGCACCCTTACAACCCGTTCGACGAAACCTGCCCCTTCATATTTTGAGGTTTAACTCGTGGAATGTAGAGTACATAGTTACGTACGTTAGAAGCTGGGACAAGGATACAAAAGAACACCGTGGTTCCCGTGCATAGTTGACCAAGTGGGGTCAACTATACAGAAAGATACTGCTTTGCGCATGCGTTGCCATGAAACACACTTCACCAGAAACATACAAGTACTTTATACTTGGGTAAGTAGCTACAACCACAGGCATAAGAAGGAAAAAAAAGAACTCCATTATTTTGAAACTTAAAATATGATATACAGGATCGTTACCAGCTTTTCGTCCCCGCCCCTACAAATCTATCCCATCTATTTACTTAGATTTCCCATCCAAATTTAGACCAACAAGACCCTACATTAACCGATCCAATTAGCTCACAATTCTAAGAAACGAAAGAAAGATAACTTACGCATTGACACATCCATCGTTCTCCGGGTTATTAGTAATCTGTGCCCATCTACCCCAAACGACCTTCCCGCTAGCTGTGACCATACCCAGCTCTGACACGTTGACCTCAATAATTGTTCCCTTTGTCAACACACCCAACTGTGTATACATCGGGCTCTGGGGGTTCTTCTTGACGCTCAACAGCGGCAATTGTACTGTCACACCAAGCTCCGGATGTGTGACATTGGCCTTCTTATACCTCAATCCCATGGGGCGAATGAACCTCTCATATTTGACCGGCCTCCTGGTAAAATCACTACCAACAAAAGTCGGCTTTGTGATAACCCTCTTCCAACCCTTCTTGGCCGTCTTCTTTCCGGTCTTGACAACCTTAAACATCTCCTCCTCGCTGATACCACGCACCTTGGGCAGCGGCACGCTGAACTTTGCCGCCTTCTCAGCACGTTTCTGCTTGATAGCTGTGGAGAGAGCCTTCGCATTGGTGGGCTGGGAACGGTCAAGAAGGTAGGGTGGCAGCGGGTTGGCAGAGGGCTCGCTGGGACCGTCGGACTTGACGTTTTTGGCCTCGTGCTGCTTGAGCGTCTTGCGCAGCTGGATCTTCTCGGCGTGGCGCTTTTTGGCATAGAGTTTGGCGCGGAGACCTATGAAGTTTTGCGCATTCTTGGAGGCTTTGTGGCCTTCACGGGCAGCCTTCTTACGCCTGTTGGATTGGGGATTAGTACCGGCAGAGAGGTGGAGGGGTGGAGTGGGTGGCTATTACTTTCGCTCATCATGATCAAGCCTATATGACAGTTAGTATAGGGCTATAAGTTATTCAATTCAAAGGAGTGAGATGTACCTCTTTCCGTGAAGCTTCTGCCATCGTTCTATGTACTCGTTCTGAGGCATTGTGTTCTATAGCTTCACAAAATACCGTTTGGTTGTAAGATAGTGGGGGTGAGGTTACATGAAATAGCCTGGTTGAGTTGAAGTTTTCCACGAAATCTTGGCACGCTAAAATCCACTTAAAACCTATAACACGTGATATTTCTTGGCGTCACGATTTCTCAATGTTAGCGTATCACACAATGAACTGAAACTTGAGGTAGTAATGCTGCGGTATATATATACATGTATATATACATGAGATAATACGAATGACTTAAACAGTACGTAACTGATCATAGTTGGGATGTATAAGTCATTATTCTTTCACTGTTGTTGCAGAGTTGAATGTTAGGAGAAAAGCTCTATAAAGCTTAGGGTAGACAAGGTCGTGCTCTATTATTACGCCCCCCCCCCCCCCCAAATGATAATTCCCCGGGTTGATAATATGCGGGTTTAACAATTCGGTCCTCAATTTTGTTTGTGTGGGCTGGTTGCCATGTAGGTCAGCCAGTAGGCCGGGGAACCGCAAAAACCCTCTTGCAGTAGTATACAATACGCGTCTCCCAATCCCTTATTAACAAAAATCCAGAATTCGTCCCCAGCGGTTGAACAGATAACCATCACTGACTGGGCTCGATATCTCCCCGATACCTCCAACTAATTTACTAAATCCGATGCTCGCCGGCCTCTTCGCCTCCACAATGACGACCGCGCACCTCCCCTCAAAAGCCACAAAGTCCTCCTCCATTAGCAAAGCGCGCGCGCTCCTCCGGGGCGTCGGTGTCGCGCGCGAAGACAGTGACGACGAGCTCGGCGACGAAGACCTGCCATGGGAGTGGATCTACAGCGCGGAGCCAGAAACTTTCGACCAGGTCGGACACTCAGAGATCAATGGGAAGAAGCGCGAGATTATTGGCGCGCGGACAGGCGACTTTGACGTGCGGATTGGCGATTGTGTGTTCATCAAGGGCGACGGGCTACAGGGCGAGGCGTATGTCGGCATGGTATGCGAGTTTGAGGACTCGGATCAGGGCACGGAGGACGACATGTCTGTCAATGTGATGTGGTTCTCGACGGAGTTCGAGATCAAGAACAAAGAGAAGAAGCGGATGGACTTCTTGCCCGTGAGTTTGTTACCTCCGGTGCCTAGCTTGGGAGCTACAATATGCTGATAATGGAGACAGAACGAGCTCTATATAAACCCTTCCTACAACCTGTGCCCACTGCGCTCGATCAATGGCCGCGCAAAGATCCTTTCTCCAAAGGTCTTCAACGAGCAATACCCCAACGGCGTTCCCAAAAAGTCCCGTGACTACGGGAAAGTCTTTGTCTGCCGTCGCGGTTGCAACCCTCGAACAGCAAACTACACTCCCGAGCTTGATTGGGACACTATCTACAAAGGGCGCGATACAGATATCTTTGCAATTGGCGAGCTGGTACGGCAGGGCACCAAAGCTACACGGAAGAAGGCGCAGAAGCACGCCGCTACAGAGAATAGGGAGAACCGGGTACGGCCAAAGAGAAGACGGAGAGAGACCTCTGTGGACTCAGATGATAGTGGAGACCGGGATTTTACTAGAGAGGGAACGGTGGAGACAATACCGGAGGAGGACGAAGAAGCGGAGGACGATTTCGATGTTAATGATAATAACTTCAGCCGGAAAACCAAAGCCCCCCGAACGCCGAGCAAGAGGCGCACGAATTTCACTTTCAGCACACCAACGCAGAAGAATCTCCTCACACCTACTCGAAAGAACCAACTTACCACACCCACTCGCCGCACCCCCACCTCCGCGCGCAAGTTCACCACCCCAACAAACCGCAAAATCACCATCAAGAAGCCACTCCTTTTCACGCCCCTAAACACCCGTACTCTCCCTAATTTATCCTCACCCTACGCTGCTGCCCGACACCATCTACATGTCTCAACTCTACCCGCATCTCTCCCCTGCCGTGAAGCCGAATTCAACGAAGTCTATACGCAGCTCTCCGCCGCAATCACCGAAGGCACTGGATCCTGTATTTACATCTCCGGCACTCCCGGAACAGGCAAAACTGCTACTGTCCGTGAAGTAATAACGCAACTCCGGCACCTAGTCGCCTTGGAAGAGCTCGATGACTTCACATTCGTCGAGATCAACGGCATGAAAGTCGCCGACCCCCATCAGTCCTACTCTCTCCTGTGGGAGGCCATCAAAGGAGACCGAGTATCCCCGTCGCAAGCCCTCGGGCTCCTCGAGTCTGAATTCAGCACGCCAAGTCCGCGCCGAGTGCCCTGTGTCGTACTTATGGACGAGCTCGACCAGCTTGTCACGAAGGGGCAAGGCGTCATGTACAACTTTTTCAATTGGCCAGGTGGGAAGTACTCACGACTCATTGTGCTAGCTGTAGCAAACACTATGGATCTGCCTGAGCGCACGCTCAGCAATAAGATCAGCTCACGCTTGGGGCTGACAAGAATCACGTTTCCCGGGTACACCTATGACCAGCTGATGACAATCATCAAGAGTAGACTCGAGGGTGTCCAGGGCGATATCGTAGACGCAGACGCAGTCCAGTTCGCCTCACGTAAGGTAGCGGCCGTGTCCGGTGATGCCAGAAGAGCGCTAGATATATGCCGGCGCGCTGTAGAGATGGTAGAGTATGCACCTGTTATTAGTAATGATAACGAGAAGGGTCGAAGGCTGAGCGGGAAGATCGCCATGATGAGGGAAGATGATGATGATGGCTCTGGTGGCGGTGGGATCAAAGCCGGTGGCAGAGTGACAATTGCGACCATCAGACAGGCGATCTTGGAAGCTACCAGTTCGCCGGTGCAGGTGTTCCTAAAGACATGTTCGCTGTCGTCGAAGGTCTTTTTGGTGGCTCTGCTAGTGAGGTGTAGGAGAAGCGGAGTGGGCGAGAGCGTACTCCGCGATGTCATGGATGAGGCGGCCAGGATTGTCAAGATCCAGGAAATTGGGGTTGAGGAGCTTGGTGGTGAGGCTCGTGTTGGCGGCATTGAAAGTGCCGTGAAGGGTCTGGTGGAGGCTGGAGTTGTCGGCCTAGAGAAGAAAGGAAGCGGTGGAGGCCGCGTAAGGTTTTTGATCAATGAGGAGGAGATCAAGATCGCTCTGAAAGATGATAAAGCGATTGGAGCAGTTGTAGGAAGAGTGGGATAGAGCAGTATACTATGCATAGCTGTAGTTTTTGTAGTTTTTGTAGTAGTTAGAGTGATACCTTATGATGAAAAGATGGGTTAATGGACTTAGATTATGATTGTTTTTCTTTGGTCTGTACATGTATATGTTTTATTATCCTTTTTTCACGGATTGGATTGGATTGGGCTGGACTGGACTGGATGGGTTTTGGTTTTACTTGTTTAGGGATTATTATTCTGTTACATAGAGTATGTACTTTTTATATATTCCCCTTCCAGCACGGTGTAGACAAGTAACACCATAGCAACAGCAACTTTTAAACTCCAGCCCTTGCGCATCTTTCCGGGTCGTGACGTGCCTCATTTATTACATTAAACCCAAGAGCCCCCTGATCTCACTATTATTACCCATTATCTTCCTAGTCCCAACACCACCGCCCAACTCTATTCCTTCTCCAAATACTCCGCAATTTCATCGTCACTGTCGTTCTCCTCCTCCATCAACCTCGCCTTCTCCGCCGCCTCGGCCCTCTGTCTCCTCCTCAATTTCGCGCCCCACGAATCGTCATCCTCGTTGTCGCTCTCCTCGCCCGCAGGCTTCCTCCGCGCCGCCATCGCCGAATGGCTCGACTCCTCGCTGGGATCAACCTCGCGCGCGTGGTCCTTCTCCTGGAACTTAGCCTGCATCTTGAGGATGTACGGGCGCAACAGGAGGTATCCTCCGATGATGATGACCATGCGGAAGATGTCATTCGGGCGGTACGTGCGGCCCAGAATCTGGATCGTGTTGTCTGGCTGCAGGACGTGGGTTTGGACAAAAGTTGTAAGGGCCTCCATTTTGATTTTGAGTGTAGTAGGGGGGTGGTTTAGAGAAGTTCGTATGGTCTTTATGGGGGGGGGGGGGGGGGTTTTGAGAGAGAGAGAGAGGTGAGTTTTTGGTCCACAGAGAAGCGAGTTGGAGAGGTTTTTGAGGTTGTGCGAGAGTGAGATCTGGTTTCTTTTCTTCTGGGTTGGACCGTGCGGCGTGCTAAGACTTCAGTGTGCCGGGTGTACCGATTGAGGCACTTGATTACCTATCTACTGAGTACCGACGATGAAATTGCCGCATATGAGCGCGAGCGAGTGCCTATTGGATCAACTACCTACTAACTACGAATTGTCATGGATTCCCTACTGTGGGGGGTTGCTTCCAGGTCTTGGCTGTCCATCTAAGACTTGTGAGGGAATACAAATATTAAATTTGCTACAGAATATTCTAATTCGACAACTTGGCTAGGAAACTCCAGTGCCTATTAGGTACTGCTGACCCCTACGATGATAGAGCTTATTGAGTACTAAAGGCCTATGACTGAGGCGATAAGTACTGGGGCATAGATATATATTATCCGGTTATTCGCGATCGATTCAATCGCATTAGATATATGGGCTACGATTTATTACTATCCAATCAAAAAATGTGTTATCTGCTTAACCCGAGCCCAACATGGAGCAACATCACCCAATGGGTAGAATTCAAGAACAATAAAAGTCACCAAGAGAACCCGATTACCGCGGCCATTAGATATATATACCGGAGTTATCAAATACCTTGGGTCTCATCATTTAAACCCAGCTATTGTTATGCCCTTTTTAGGGAGTACCGAGTGACATTACATGAAGCACTTACTTTCGAACCATCAGGGTGGATCCAAAGGACGGACAGTACAACGATCATGAAGATGCATTATATGTTTACTAGTATTCATTATATCTACTGGCTCTACAATATCAGTTTAATAATTATGCTATCATACGCCTATGGTACGGAGGGACGTCGATATTGTATCCGGCCGGAGGCTGATTCTAGAACTCTTTCTGAATTGTTTAGTTGGAGTTTTCTTCTGGGCTTCTAAATATATGTACTCTCATGCAAACTATTCTTTTATATGCGGAGTGTGGACCCAGCCTAGAAAGGTTTCAAAAAAGAGAATTCGCTTATAAAAAAGGCGTACCTCCTGGGGATTGACGACGAAAGCACACCAAAATTTATATATTTGAAATCATGCCGCTCACAAACTCTGAACTCTAATAGCCGAGGCGTAGATGTATCAAATATCTCTTTTCCGTACAAAAACAGAGAAAGGCATAGAGTGATACATTTACAGTCAATGAGACTTTTTCCCTCAGATTTACTTACGACTTTCTTGGTATTGGTAACAAATGATTTTACCCACACCTTTTCATACACCTTTTCATACACCTTTTCATACACCTTTTCATACACCTTTTCATACACCTTTGCTTAGACCTTTGCTTACACCTTTACATAGGAAAGTCATCAAATAATTTAAAACCTAAGGAAAACCATAGAATGTGCGACATAGTGAATTTAGGTAGATCTAGAGCCAAAGGATCGAATATTTATTATCTTGATAGAGTTAGGTGCTTATAAGTTGTGCTGTAGGAAAAGTCGTCTAATTTCCCTAATTACGACTTTACAAACAACTTCCCCCATCTGATTTCGTCGAAATTTAGTGAAAACCTTCCCGCACGAAATATACATGTAGGTAGCCAATTGACTCATTTACAGGACTATTAGAGAAGGGAGCCCGGGTGATTGGATGACAAAATATAAGGCGCCACCGAGAACAAATAATCAGCGTATCACTTAAAACAAATACACATCCAATAGACGAAAGGAATCCTTGGAATCTGTAAGTTTTATTAGACTTGACGGTAACTTTGATTGCATGCATTCCTTGAATTCCGTCATAATATGTCACTCGCATTAATTTGAATATCTCAACCACACTTGGCGAGTAAGCTAGTTAGATTTACATGGAGTTTTTGAACAAGGTAGTTGGTCACGAGTAGAACCCGTGCACCTTCTTTACAAAAAGAAAACTTCACAGACGACAGAGCGTATGCACGATGCTGTTCCGATACGGCAAGCGCATCAACCCTCTTACCCGAAACAGAAGCACAATTACAGGTACCCAGATTAAAAGAACACATACACAGAGCTTTAATTTTTAAGCCCATGTTTCAACACCACCTCCGAACTAGGCATCATGGCACATCACTCGGGATCGGCATTAAGTTCTTGACCCCTGCCATTGATGGGATTTAAGGGGGAGGCGTTGTTCTTTAGAAGGATTCTGTCTCTCGGCAGCCTTTAGCATATCTAAGGGTCTTCGCATTAGTTGGCTTTGTAAACTACAAAAAAGCTCAATGGAGCGGGGGGTACAGATCGGCGGGTCGCACATGTGAAACTCCTAGTGCATTAATATTGCCGCTCACTAGTACAAAGTGCGGATTAGGGTAAAAGGCGTCATCACAGATTGACTTTAAATCCGCCAAGGCCTGAGAAAAATATTAATGGTATGGTTATATCTATATGTATGTACCTATATATGCAATAAGGACAATCTATCAGCCATACTGCTAGCGATACCCATGACCGTAGTGATCACTGGAACTCTGGGCAATTAATGGGCAGGAGCCATATATGTGATTACGGGTTTCAACTCATAAGTCTTTTGTTACTGGAGGTGGGATAAGCAATTTTCTTTCCCCCTCTTTTGGGTTCTAGACCAATGTGAACTGTGTCACCCGCGACGATTCTTTGTCTTTGCCTCTACTATTATTATGGACGTTAAGAGGATAATAAATCATAGGGAAGAAAGGGACTGATATAGTACATAATGCAAATTTCATGGTATTATCTCCGGTCTCTGTACCCATCCCTTGACCTTGACCTTGATCGTGATCGCGTCCTTGACCGTCTGCGTTTTTTATACGGGTCATCATCTCTCCTTCGGTCTCTTACCCTATCTTTATCTCTGTCGTCCCACTTTCTATCGTCCTTTCTTTTTAAGGAATCCGCCGAAGGTGTGTTGGATTTCCTTTCTCTATCTAGCCCAGCCATTATCCTCTCCGCAGCACTACTACCACCCTTCCTTTCCTGCCCTATTTGTAATGCAGTAGCTGGAGCTGCCGCCGATCCAGATGCACCGATAAAGTCGATCCCTGACCTCTCCTGCGTTTGCCGTTTCTCCAGCACCTCTTGCTGGCTCTTTGCGAGTTTAGGCGCAAAGGCCTCCTCGGGAAATCTTGTTGGGTCCCAAATTTCGGTCGGTAGATTGCTTGTGTACTGCTCGTTCCCGTTAATGCCCACAAATGCCGTGAGCTTTTCGAGTAGATTCGGATTCCGTAATGCCGATGACCGTAAAAGCTTTTCGTTAAAGTGGATCCCCTGGCGCTTGAGCTGGCGGAAATGATCGAACTTTGCGGCGGCTTCTTTAGGTTCGTCGCCGGGTGGGGAAGGGGGGATATCTGGAATTGATGTTGGGAAAGTTAATGAGCGAATTGTCGCGCGATTAAGAGAGTACGGCGAGAGTTGTTCTTGGTTAGGAGTTTGTGGTGCTGGGGAAGGTGTTCGTGGTGGTCGTGAGGGCCCCATTATTGGACCTATTTCTTCTGTCTCTTGGGTACGCGTTGCTACTTCGCTGTCTGGTATTGCTGCTGTACCTGATCATATTTTCTTTAGCGATTTCGCCCCTAAAATTAAGTCTATAAGGAGTATTGCTCAAACGACACCTTCTAGATCTTCAGTACAAGCTTTCAGTGAGATTTCGGGAGACGGGGGTGCCTATGCGTCTATCATGTTAACGCTTGGACTATTGTAACTTTGAAGAGCTATATCCTTGACAACGTACCTTTCCTACTTTCATTAACGGAGTATCAGAGGGCTCTTTTCGCTCTGGCGACTGTTGTTGTTCCTCGTCCTCGCTGTCGCTTCCGTATTCGACCAGGCCCATGGTGGATGTAAAGATTAATTGTTTAAACTGTATGGTCGAATTGCAAGGAAACAGAGGACTTGTAGCTCATATTAAACTGAGTTGAAGCTCTAGGCCAAGAATATTCCAAAACACTGCATTACCCGGCCCACAAAGCCTCAACGCACCCGTCAGCAGAGGCGGGCAACTCCAACGATTCACCCCGCCAAACAGTACACAGCTCTTGTCCATCCAACACATTATACCGCAAAACCACCTCAGCCATGTCCTTGTCCAGTGTAGAGCCTCTATCGTTCGACCCCGCATATTCTTTCGAAGCATCTCAATCCAGAGACCATTCAGGTGCTCCCAGGCAGCACTCGTTCAACCCGTGAGCTCCCGCATAGTTCCTCAGCCATAGAGTTCTATCTTTGAATATTACCCTTAGTATCGTATTCATCAAGCTAATATTTACTTGCTACAGCTACACTGACAATGGTGGAACTATTCTTGGAATTACCGGCGATGACTTCGTTGTGCTTGCCGGCGATACCAGGCACACTGCCGGTTACAACATTAACTCTCGAACTGAGCGAAAGGTATACAGACTAGGCGACAATAACCTCATCTTGGCCACAGTTGGATTTGGTGCGGATTCAAAGGATGTTGCAGAGACAATGACAAGGGCTGTTAATGTTAGTGCACTCTACTCTTATCTTCCGGCAGGAAAATGTCTAATAATGATGTCGAAACTACTTTCCGCAGGATTTTAAATTCAATCACAACCTGAAAAACATGACTGTAAATGCGGCTGCACAGTATCTATTTACTGTTCTATATGGAAACAGATTCTTCCCCAAATACACACATTGTATCCTTGCCGGGCTGGATAAAGATGGTACTTCACCGAGCTTCGGGTTTTCGTGAATATTGGTTTGACAGGTTGTGTTAGGCAAGGGTCGCCTCTATTCATACGATTCCGTCGGTTCCTATTCAAAAGAGGGTGAACGAAGAGCAGCTGCTGGTGCTGCCTCATCGCTAATCGTCCCCTTCCTAGACAACCAGGTAATATCACCGATGGTTTGTAGGAGTTAATTTGACTAACATTCCACTAAAGGTTGAATTCAAAAATCAATACCTCCCTGCCTCTAACGGTACTCAAGAAAGGCCCGTTGAAGACCTCCCCAAGGAAACTGTTATCAAGCTCGTCAAAGATGCATTCACCTCTGCTACCGAACGCCACATTGAGGTCGGTGATGGTCTCCAGATCATCACAGTCACAAAGGATGGCGTCTTCGAAGAGATGACAGAATTGAAGAAAGATTAGTTTAGATGTGGAAAGGGATTAGCAAAGGGCGTTAGATTCGGCTTTCTTTGTAAATTCGGAAATCAGATATCAACTTTCTTGCTCAGGTTTTTATGCGGAAATGATAAAAAAAAAAAGAATCATTTCAGTGTGACGCGGGCTCGGCTATAGCTTTTGGCTATAGTTAAAACACAAGCACCAAAATCATACTACTAAAAGCCCCCAAAACCACCAAGATGCCGAGTTCTTGCTGTATCAAGACGATACGCCCTGTCACATGGATGGTGGAAACCGTATTGTCCAGTTGATAGATGTTTTTAATTTTGGGGAATACAGACTTAAAGTTTTGGCAATATTTCAACGAGTGCTACTATTTATATCGCATCAAGCTTATAATATATAATATCGTCACGAATTCAAGTAAAAAAAAAAAAAGAGAGAGAGAGAGAGAGAGAGAGAGAGAGAGAGAGGCGAGAGAGAAAAAAGAACCTGCTTTTATTAAGTTTGTATGTTGCATTTTAAACAGAAGGGCACCAGAACAGCCTCGTCCCCAGACCCAATCAATAAATTACGACCACGCTAAAATACTACCACACCAAAATTAGGGGATGGCTACGAGACTAGTACTAGAATATTCCCCAACTCATGTAGGTACGATGTGTAAAAGCTAGCCAGATTCTTACAGGTTAGCGTCAATCCTAGGGTGAGCATGAGATAGCTCTAGTCATGTAATATCACTCGGCCCCACACACACATAATCTCATTTACCGAGCACAAGCCCAATTATATTGAAGTCACAAGCAGCCTATGCGTGGCAAGAGCTGCATGAAATCTCTCATTTGTTTTGCACATAGAATCTAGTCTTATCTCTATAGATCTAGTATTCTATGCATTCTAGCGATCTGATCATCTGAAACCGTTTTAAAGAGAATGAAAGTCCGAAATATCTGCAACTCAGTGACAGTAAAGAAACAAATATACGTAGCAAAGAAATTTAAGCCCGAATGAGTGAGTATATCAACTAAAGAAAACCAAGTCCTAACTCGCCAACCGCAAGGTCCATTCGAAATCATTGCATAGCACCTTGCAACAAGATCTTCGAGAAAAAGAGTTCTGAAAACATCGAATACTTTGCACAATACGCAAAGCCCTACCACCAAACACATTTTGCTGATTGTACGCTTCCAGCGTCTTCACGTCAACAAATACAATCGTCAATATTTTCTTTGGAAATCCACCCGGAAAAGAAAAGAAAATCACAACTTATCAAATAATACTTGACCAAGATAGTCCGAAGCCTCCCTGGTTGCTAGCTAGTCCTTGGTATGGCGTACTTATCGCTTTTGAATTTCGTCCCTAGGGTCCGCCATGATGATGATTAGGCTGCATGTGATATCCCGTCTGGGCTGTGTAACCGTTTCCGTATTGTCCGTAACAGTTGGTTTGGTCATATGGCAACATAGAGATAACACTCTCCCTATGATGGCTATTATCCATCATTGCAAGATGAGGTACCAGATTTTGAGTCTGTTGAAATTGAAGATGAGGCACAATTGCCGGAGGAAATGCGCCCGAGTAAGCATCATCTACCTGTTGGCGAAAAACTGGTGGGTCTTGGGGAGTATGAGTCGTGGCTTGTACCGTCCGTGGAGAAATAGGAGTCTCTTGAGCAATGGGCTGATGGGTTGTTCCATTATGGAATCCTGAGTATCCATGTTGGAAGGGCTGGTGAAATGTCAAACCAGGAATATTCCCCTGGAATACACCATGCCTATTTACCATTTGATCATTAGAGTACTACAAATATTCGTTAGTAAAGAGTGAGGTTTCTAGAAAGTATTTAATTGGATCATACCACATATGGCATTTGACTAATAACAGACTGGTTAGAAAACATTGAAGCTCCCGACGGACGGCGGCTATGATCACGTTGTTCCGCAAGTTGAACACTTAGGCGTGCGGCAAGGTCGGCGACCGCTTCCATAGAGAATGGAAATGATTGTGGGACACCAAATCGTCTAACTTGGTCCATATGAGATAATTGACTATTTGTCACAGGACCGCCAAGGCGGAGGCCATTAGGGGGATGCGGAGCCATGCGAATTGGTTTTTTGTGAATTTCGCGTTTTTGAACATGGATCTGCTTTCCAAGGAATAGGGAATTGTTCTATCGTATCATTTTTTAGTAAAAGTCGTTGTCTAAAATTAAGACAGAGCTATATATATAGATATAATAAGACTTACCTCTTCCTCCAAAGCTCTATTTGCCATCTCTTCAGCTTCGTATTTTACAAATGCGAAGGCATTACGTCCAATCCCTGAATAGCAGTATTAGTATTATGACCATTTACCAACTGCTTAGGATTCTATCACCGTTTTTGCTGGCCCTGTTCACAAGATTGCATTCAACAATCATGCCATACCTGCTGAATCTTGCCCTGAGCTCATTCTCCCCAATTAAATCCGGATTAAGTTTTCCAATGAATATGGAAACAGGATCAATCTCAACGGTCTGGATGCGTGGAATGATATTCGGTACCGAAAAGTTGCTCGTCCAATCAGCAGTCCATGTGCAGTGATGACGAAAATACTAAAGGTTTCAATGAATCTTTTATGAGTACAAGTTTATAGCGATGATATGTTAATGTAAGAGTTAAAGGAGGAGGCAAACCTGATAGCAATCCACAGCATCTTGTCTGTAAGCAAACCGAACAAAACACCTTCTCCCTTCCTTTGTTCCTCGCACGGGTAATGTGTCCCCATCCCTCGCAAATTCCATGGTTTCGGTTTCACCAAATCCAAAAAGAATCTTGCGGGCATCATTTTCGTTGAAAACTTTACTATCCATTTTACTTAAAACGAGAGTCCTATTAACCTTTGCCGGTTCACAACGGATGCGACGACCAGTGGAGTCGATTATAGCATTTCTACCATCACGAAGGGCTAATCTTGCAGTCTCGTCGCACTTTGTTTTTGATCAGCAGAAATACTAACAATATATATGAATAGGCTATGGTATGCATCTCATACCTCGAATTGGCAAAAGCTATATGGATTGCCTTTGGTATCCCTACGAATTTTGACATGGAGCCTTCCAAATTTTCCAAAGTGGGACTGTAAGCTCTTCATGAGTTGATCGTCGGTCTGGGTGGCTGCGAGACTGTTCAAAGTTAATGATTTAGTTTGCTATCATAGGTAATATAGATCAGCGGCGCGTACAGAGAGAAACATACTTAGCTACAAAAATACAAGCAGATGGTAATCCATGCCTCGCAAGATCTTTCACATCCTCGTCGGAAACAAAATCATTTTGGCTATCTCCCGTTGAATCCGTGGCTTCTTCCGAAACCTCACCAACAGAAACGTCCCTATCAGTTTCCTGGGAGCTGAAATCATAATGGTTGATGGAAATTAGGCCAGAGTCATTAGAGCCGTTCTCAGCAATATTGCATCTTGATTGCAACTCTGATGCAAGGATTTCACTAGTCTGTTGAGCTTTGTGATCGTTAAAAGCTTCCAAGAGCCTTCCTTGAAGCCTTGTTGGACCTGAAATGTCTTGGGCGATTGAGAAAATATCAAGCGAAGAGAGGGTTTTTCCCCGGGGTCTGTTGAAGTTTCCTGTTATTTTTAGTGACATTGTTAGAACGTCTCATCCGCTTGAAAATCTTCAGGGGCAAAAATCTAAGTAAACCGCTGCAGTTTATATAAAAATACAAATGGTAACAATCAAAAGTATCTGTTTTCTCTAAATCTTGTATATATTACTTCAAACTAAGCAGGATAGGGTGTCTTACTCGGAGGACTAGTTTTCACATCAGTTGGGGTGGTTGGCTGGGATACATCATTGATGGTATTCCCAGAGCTACTTGCAACTGATGGACAAGCAGCAGGAGATGGATGCGGGTTTGTATGACATCTTCCTTTTGTTGGGGTAATTGGAGATATCAAGCTTTCGGGCATCATAATGAGCACAAAAGCTATTGGAGAAATGATGGTAGAGAGATTTAGAGCTGAGCTTGACTTTTTAAATTGAATGTTAAAGAGGCAGTAGATATACTGAGATTTAAGGAAGTATCCTGTATCAAGGAAATGCTATGCGTAGTAAAGAGTACAGGAAGGGAGGAAGACAGGCCGATGAAGGGATATAGAAGATAGAGGAGAGGTAGAAAGAGAAGAGGGATGAGAGGAGGGATGAGAAGAGGATGAGAAGAAGTATTAAGAGTAGGATGAAGAGAGCAAAAATCAAAAAGAAGTATATCTGGGTATAGGACGCGTATGTATCTCACTTAAATAACTACGGAAGGTAGCACTCTAGGCTCTAGATACACGTATATAAGTACTACATGAACATACATGATGCTGTTAATCACGTTTTTAAGTACGTAGTAACTTCAGATACTAAAATCTCCCCGTCTTAGGCCACGCAATCCTGGGAGGACGTGTGCGTATTATAAGGCATATATAAGGCCATCTTTCATCTAAGTTGACTCGTCTCGTGCGTAGGATATAGATCTAGATCTTGAAGTTCTTAGGCCCGGGTTTGAGACGGAAGTTTATAATTTAAGCCTCAACCTTATCTTCCTTCATGGCATCATGATCAGACTTAACTAGTGCGTATACTGAAAGATCGTTGATACTCCGTATGGTGTAAGTGATAAATTGAGGGTCTTTTTTAATGTTAACCCATATATATTATATTAGAAGCTTCTAAACTTTAAATGCTATGTAATATAATTCGCACCGTACGCATTGTGAGAGGATACCTAATTAACTCCATATGTTACCAAAAATACCGTAAAAAGCCATGCCGCAACCAAGCAGCGTGCTAATGGATCCCGCTGTGCGCAATCTCATCAACCTTTCTGGTACTGTACATGTATATATGTAGGTACATATAGTACTCGTCTATTCATAGCGTTTGTGAACACCACCGCTATTGCATGCCATACAAAAAGGTTGTCTTGGCTATTTTTTGTGTGTATGTAATGCCAGTTGTGTTCACAAACGCTGTTAAAACACGAGTAGTTTGACCTGGCGCAGGGTTAGGGTTAAATATGTAATTGCTAGATTACCTACATGCATGCCCACTCGTACTGTCGTACATAACTACTCGTATTTCTCTGACGTTTGTGGACGCGACTGATATTGCATGCCATACAAAAATACGCCAAGCTCATGGTTTTGGGTGTATGCAATAATGGCCCAGTTCAAAAACGTCAGCGAAATACTAGTACTAGGTGTAGCGAAAAGTGATCAGAATCTGATAAGACAAATACACCTATTCACCGTAACATTCACTTGTCAGATTCTGATCACTTACCCTCAACACCCGGTACATGTACATGTACATCATGTACATGCATAAATAATGTACAATGTACTTTCCTGATACAATACAAAAACGCACTAATTGCAAGGACGTGATTTAATAGCTGTCTAATTTTATAATTCTACTTTGTTTTTATTTGTTTTTATTGTTTATATACCGTACTATTGAAAGCAGACTCTTTCTTAAATTTCGTTCCAAGTAATGGGCCAGTGCAGTTTTTCTGGCCATGGTTTCACGGTGCGCATTCGCCATTGATCCAGAAACAACTATACAGCAAATTCGAGCCTCACTGCAATATCATGCATAACAGGGTTAGCGTTTACTGCTAAAAAAAAAAAGTTGCCCCGCACACGCATACAGGTACCAGAGAGTAACTTCGATTTTTCCCCAACATATAACAATCAATCATACCAATCATGGCTCTGACTCAGACTTCTCTCGAGGCTTCGCTTCCTCTCATTGCTCGTGGCAAAGTGAGAGATGTATATGCACTATCAGATGATTCTATACTTTTCGTTGCGACTGACAGGATTTCTGCATACGATGTGGTTATGACGAATGTTGAGCCCCTCGCTCTAAGGCTCCTCTACGAAAACGAAACTTTACTGAATTATTTGGTAACAGGGTATTCCGAATAAAGGCAAATTACTCACTGCCCTCTCTGAATTCTGGTTTTCTGTCTTATCGGATATTTGCCCAAATCACTTTATCTCCTCTTCTCTAGATGCTCTTCCAGAGTCACTTAAGCAATATGCGGACCAACTAAAGGACAGGAGCATGGTCGTAAAGAAGTTGAAGGTCTTTCCCGTAGAGGCCATTGTCCGGGGATACATTACCGGGAGCGCCTGGAAAGAATACAAAAAAGAAGGAACTGTCCATGGGATTAAGGTGAAGGAAGGACTTAAAGAGAGCGAAATGTTCGAGAAGCCATTGTTCACACCTAGCACTAAGGCAGAACAAGGAGAACATGGTGAGCTAGAATTCCTCAACCGAAATTACCTTTCTCTTAACCAGCTAACAGATTTGATTCTTTAGATGAAAATATTCACCCAGATAGAGGTAAATCTTATCAATTTGGGACTCACACAATTCTCAGTGTTTCTTTCTAATGCAAATTAGTGGCCGAACTGGTTGGTGAAAAGTACGCAAAGCAGATCGAAGAGCTTGCTTTGGCTCTGTATACAAAGGTATTCCGAATCTCGTATTACAATGTTTAATGAGTTCTTACCAATATAACTAGGCCCGAGATTACGCGGCCGAACGTGGGATTATAATCGCTGATACTAAGTTTGAATTTGGGCTTGACGAGAATGATCGAGTAGTCTTAGTCGACGAAGTCCTTACCCCTGGTCAGTATCTCTTTTTCAGCATTTTCAGAAAGGCCTTTGTTTAATAGTAGTAATACAGACTCCTCCCGGTTCTGGCTCGCCTCCAAGTACGAAGTTGGTAAAGGCCAAGAAAGCTATGACAAACAGTACCTTCGCGATTGGTTAACCAGTAACGGGGTTAATGGGAAGCCTGGTATTGAGATGCCGGCGGATGTGGCTAAAAATACTAGCCTCAAGTATCTAGAGGCGTACGAGCTGTTGACAGGAAAGAAATGGAGTTCTGTTTAATGACATGTACCACAATCACTTTGCTTTACCATAGCAATGATCTAAGGCAAATAATGAAACATCAAACTGTGATTGTCAGGAAGCCCAAACTAACATGGTAGTTACTCTACTTCGCTATTTGTACAATCATCCCGAATTACACGGCCAAGACTAGTCAATATCTGTTATCATTTTTGGTGATTTGTGTACTTGCCAATGTGGTTTAGACATAGGAACACTGTCAGCATGATTGGTTGCCTAGTGTATGTCAGTAAAAGATGCTTCAAATCTTTACAGAGGATGTACCCATATTCTATCAATGCAAAGCTCGAAGGGCCCTGGGATACGGTCAATCAGCCCGATGCCAATGGTTCTAACCTTCTCCCTAAGCATCTCTCCTTGCGGTTCGGTCACTCGGCCATGATTTGTCCTTACAAACTCATTGGTCGGAATCTGGTTTAGAGATTGTCAGTCTAATCAACCCAAAGGGAAGTCGCCGAAAGCACATACATGGATAACCTCCCACTCTCCCGGAGTTTTAGAAAACAGCCTGTGCTGATGAAGATCTGACTCTACTATTGACTCCGTCTGTATATTGATAAAATACTTAGACCCATCACTCTTTATTCTTAGTGCCAAGAAAGCATAAGGGTCGATGTTCCAGTATGGCCTGCCAAACAGGGACCGCCCACGCTCAACGGTACGCCATGCAGCATACCCGGACCGTTGAACATTTGGCCTGTCTGGAGGAAGCTCGATCGAGACGTTTCCGTGAAAACGGCCATAAGATTGCTTCTCCTCTCCTTCTTCGGCTGGGAATGGCTCAAGGTCCATCTTAGCCTTAGAAAACCCGCCTATATCGGCGTCGGAGAATGTAACTATTCCATCTAAGGAGGATGGATGGCGGAAGGAGTGAATCTCCATATCATCGAAGTTCCCAGTCACTCCCTGCATGCTAAATACTGTGGACCGTGAGGTTAGATGGTTTTAATTGGGGAAAAGTAATTCCCTTAATATTGATAACTATCAACCCAGTGACGTACCTTTGTGAGTGCCAGACTTGAACTCATCGAACGTTCGTTTGAGGAAGCCCCCTCGTTGGAGAAGCTTAAAAGCGGGCCTCATCTTTGGTAATCAATTGAACTTCTCTCGATTGTTGGGTGCACGTGTATATTTGAGTTGTTAGAGTTGCGTGTGTGTGTGAATCCTGAAGTTGCGCAATTGAAGTTACATGAGGCTCAGCAACCAAGATGTCACTGTTGCGCCACACTTTGTTGCACCTACTCTAAAATAATTGGTTACCCTAGCTTTACTAAACCAGATCTAGTAGATCTAATCACAACAGTATTATTAATGTAATGAGCTCATAAACGCAGGTCTGAGAAAACTTGACAAAATAACCAATGAGTCTAGGGAATCTGACGAAAGCGCTACCATCAAATATGGGAAGCAAGTGGGGATAATGTAGATATGCCAATCTGCGCCTCCCCAACGGGCACCCCTCAGCGTCCACCAAAATTTTGGTGGGTAGGTACGTGTACAAATTATCTACATACATGTATAGTCATGATCAGCTAATTTCATGAACTCCTCTAGAAAATACATGTATAGTGATGGGGAGAATTATTGCGAAAGTGGGTTTTCCGTGACCCGATAGTCCTATTGGCCCTTAAAGAAATTTTTGCAGTGAGCACGGATCAAGAGGCCCACTCTTTTAGTTCTGACTTCCGCAATAATTCTCCCCATCACTGTATATACAGAAGCGAGGAAATTATCTCCTCAGTAGTTCCTATTATCAAATGGAAGCTAGATATTAGTTGGACCCACTATACGCACGAGTATAATTCCTTTTTAAAGCTTTGTGAAGTACTACATACAAAGTATTAACGCGCGCCACTAGTCTCTATGGCTCTCTAAGCTTCCGGTTCTAAATAAGAAGCTAGGATTTCAACGGACCCTAATGGTAATATATATTTATGAAAAGTCAATTAGAAGAATCACACAGACCAACCCAATGTCTACATGAGTGCTGTTGCCTGTTGCTAATGGGAACGTACATGTAATATTGTAGTCAAGATCTCAAAACACCTAGCCCATACATTCTTCGAAAGTGAATTTAAAGCCTCGAGCTAAGATCCTAATTCGTAAGGGATCTCATTCATGCACCGAGTCTTCGTACGAGGTGTTCTCTCCGATTTCTTGCATAATAGACCTCCTATATATCGCACGCAAACGGATATAAGCTTGAAGTGAGTCATTCTTTCCTGCGAATGTTAAAAGTAGCGTTAATACAGCTTATAAACGAGATTCTTGAGGTGAATTTCAACGGTAGGCGAGTTAAATGAGGAAAAATTATAGGGTAAATTGATCTTTGGATAATTATAACCCTCTAGGGTTTGAATGCGAAGCTGCATGGTCATGGTACTACTGATTGAAGCTGCTTAGTCAATAAGATACATATCCATCTTGCATATTTGGTAAACTACATGTACTTAATTAAGCTTTCGGTATCAATTGTCCGGCATAAACGTACATGTACGTACTGTAATCAAAAGTCTGGCTCGAGTGATGGTTCATGATTTTATACGTCAGCATGGTTGTGCTCACCTCGCCAATACCGCTTACCTAATATTTCCGAGTCAAGTTTTACTTAACAAGAGGCATTCTGGCACTTGAGTATATTCGAGAAGAATACACTTCAATTGCATCATGATCTTCTACTTGAGTTCTTGGAGCGAGAATTTAGAGAATACTCGATCTACTCTACAATATGTAACTCCTCTAATCATTACTATCGAGTCAATATATATTTGCCTACAAGTGAATTTCATTTACATGGACATACATGTACCCATATAATCGATTGCACAAGCTCTACGAGCTACCCATACTTAGCAAGTGGGTAGATAGACCTATATGTACTCTCCTCCTCCGATGCGCAATGTGAGGTATGGTAGCAAGGTGTTTCAGGGACCAGCTTAAGCCTATGGTTGGACCTCGGCCGCGCATTAAGTATATAATTAATTAGATAATTTCCGCTAGCGGTCTGGCACCGTAAAGAGTGCAGATGACTGGAATTGAAGAAAGGATCCGTACTGGTATTGCATAAGGACATGTATTTACAATTCGAGTTTCTAGCTCCTTGCCGAATCTATGGTATTGCACTGTACAATGCGGTATCCACGATGCCGCATTCCAGACTTCAGTGAAGCTTTGTCGGCATGCCTTCATTGCGCCCCTGGCATGGGGATCCTTGGCACTTCCTTACCCATGGCGGCCGCGCAGCACGCTACCTGAGGAGCCGCTCGCCAATTTCCCTGGCACTGAAGGTTGATGTATGTAGGGCCCCTGGACGAGACCGTTTTGCAACCACCTCTTCTTTTCATAGATCTGGTGGCATCTCAAGGGGCGGTAGTTATGTATTGTAGTCCAGCTTACGTGGGAGCCCGCAGAGCTCCATTTCCTGACGAGGTACCTAATGTCCATTTCATGACGCTGTTCTAACGGGCATCGCATCTAAGACGGATGAGATCTATCTCTCTGAATCGTGGAAGAGAAACCCCGTGCATGCATATCGACTTCCTGAGCGGGCCAACCACCAGTTTCCGATCCGCGTTGCAACGTTGGTCCCTCATCCGCCCTGTTAGAGAGCGCGACAAGCCCCTGTTTCGTGCTGCCCAAAGAGTGGTGTCAGCTTTGTGGATCTCGACGCGCCTAACTCTGGGGGAACTGTTTTGAGTAACGCATCGAACCAGTCCCACCATAGACAAGTTAAACCTGGCCATGCACTATTTACCACCACCTCCCCCCTGGTCCCCTTTTCTCTCACAAAGATCCTGTCAACCTTCGTTTTATGGTGGTCTTTCTCTTTTGTGTTCTTCACTTACATATCGCTCTTTCCCCAAATTCCTTGTCGTTCCTTGTACCAATACACCCACCATATCCCGCTTATTGAACTCGGGAAAACTTAATTTTTTTTTTTTTTTTCACTTTTTTTTTTTCCCTTATTACCTACAAGCAAAACTTCGCATATGCCTATTGAGTACTGCTATCTGCAATACTCTTCTGGTGTCTAATCTATTTTCTCTTTGTTTAGTGTGGTGTTGCATCTTTGGCATAGTATCGGCAATCACCTCTTTGGTTTCTATTCCGTATCAACTTCCTAGGGAAGGTGTAATCCTTTCATAAGCTTCGGGATACTTTCTTTTCTAAATCAATTTCTTTTCTCCAATTCCAAACTAAAACTTTCACGATCATTTGGGCAACTGGATTTGCTCTTTTTAGACCTCCATTTTCAGATCCTCAATGCGGTTATCATCAGCCCTTCTTCTCTCAGTGGCTACGATTGTGTTCGCCTTCCAACCTGTTACAGAATCAGACGAGATCGTACCATCAGATAATTCACAATGGAAGCCATTATCTGGGCCAGAGACGAAAAGAAGTGCCCCTCCTGCAATGCATAGCTTACAGTTGAGGCGGCAACCCGATGTTGTAAGTTTGCTCTCTTTCTTTTTATCTAGCTTTTTAATGAGTGTTGTATCCGATTCGAGGTTTTGTTACTGACAAGATTATGTAGGATAACGGCCTTCATCCTGAGATTAGAAGCATACAAGCCGCGAATAGGGTGACGGAAAAGTTTAGACGAAGGGGACTTGAGGGACCGAGTGTGGATGGGGAAGAGGTCATCTGGCAACTAGAGCAGTCTCTAGAACGACGAGGGCTTTTATCGAAACGACAGGGTTCAGGAATAGTTGTCACAGAGAGTGGCCGGGCTACAGCTACGGGTGGAATAATACCTGCGGAAACACCAAGAACGCCTGACTCCATGGGTGTTGGTCAAGATGGAACCGACGTGTGTGAGTTTTCTTTACGCCGTTTTAGGGGGGAATATCATTATTAATAACCGAAGTATGAAAACAGCCTATTTTTCGGAAGTGATGTTTGGTTCTGAAAACAAAACCTTTATCTTGGTAATTGATACCGGAAGCTCTGATACTTGGATTCCCTCTAGCAAATGCACATCGGAAGCATGTAAAATACATTCCACTTTCGGACCAGAGGACTCAGGCACGTTGAAGACCACCCAAAAGACTTTCGACATCAAATATGGTAGTGGTGACGTTATGGGCACCGTTGTTACCGACTCAGTCAAGTTTGCCGGTTTTGAATTATCGCTTTCATTTGGTCTTGCGTCGGAGGTCTCAGAAGACTTTGTTAATTTCCCTATTGATGGTATTCTAGGCCTTGGGTTTAGTGATGGGAGTCAACAGAAAGTTCCTACAATCATGGACGAGTTGGTGGATAAAGGGTTAATTAAGTCGAAGTTGTTTGGGATTGCGTTGAGTAGGCATGGAGACGAAGTGAATGATGGTGTCATTAACTTCGGAGGTATAGACTCTGGGCTGTTTGAGGGTGATTTGACATTCACACCATCTGTCTCGGACCAGGGATTATGGGAGCTGAAGTTGGATGACGTGAGTGTTGATGGAAATACGCTAGGACTTACTGGGAAGACTGCAATTATCGATACGGGTACCTCCTTGGTAATAATTTTCGTCCCCAAAACTTCTCAATTCATATCTAATCGAAACTGTTCTTATATTATAGCTTCTTGTTCCGCCTCAAGATGCCCTGAGCATCCACTCTATAATCCCAGGGGCGGTGGTTAGCGGAGAAACATTTGCGATTCCTTGCGACACAGATGCCACCATAGAATTTACCTTCAGTGGAGTTACATACAAGGTCAAACCTATTGACTATGTTGGGAAAGAGGTAGATCTCGATAACATGTGCCTCTCTTTAATCATATCACGTCAAATTCTTGGAAAGGACACCTGGATTCTGGGGGACGTATTTCTCAAGAATGTTTATTCTGTGTTTGACCTGCAAAATAATCGGATTGGCTTTGCACCGAGACAAAAACTAGACGATAGCTCCGCGGAAACGTCCACAGCAACTGGCAGCACGTCCCTCGAAAGTGCCCCAGCACCAACTTCAGGATCGTCCTCGAATTCCAACGCGTCTCCGGGTGATGCCACTCCGTTTGGATCAAGTGCACCGCAATTTACGCCTCAATCTTTTTTCATATTTTTAGCACTACCTTGCATATTAGCCCTAACGGCTGTATTTTTGTGATTTCTCCTTTTTTGTTCTTGTACTCAGTTGTGAGAGGATTAACCCATAGTTCCTACCTTATTGGCACAGCTTCTGAGGTTATTTTACTAAATATATCATTTCTTTTGTCTGTTGATATACCAGGCGTGAGGGGAAATTCGGGCATATGGGTTCCCATTTTTTATTATTATTTTTTCTTGTTTCGTTAAATTTGAATCATATGGGTGGTTTGATTTCTTCCTTGGTATGCGGAATATTTAGAAGGCTCCGTAGTGATTCGAGGGGTGGTTTCAGGGCGGTTTTAGGGACAATTTAGTTTAGTGTCAATAGTAAAATATATGTTAAGCGATATTTATCGAGTGATTCTTGGTGGAAAGAGGACAGCAGTTGACTAAGCGCAACATCCCTGTAGCTGCTGCAGAGGCCACGGAACGACGTCCCTTTAGACTTTTGAACCCCCTCCAAAGCATCACCGTTGTTTCTCAATATCGAATATTCCCCGCCCCACTAAATCAACCACTATATCTCAATTCTTTCATCCTTTGAGTACCTTGAATATTTTCCGATGGTACAGCTCCTGCCTTGTTTCTAGGCCCGCCTTGAATGTAATTCTAACTGGGCGCCCATGCTTCATAGGTTGTGCTCGCAGCTTCAATCTGCACCCGAGGGGGCAAGCCCGTGCTTTCGCGCCAATTCCGCGAGTGAGACTATCCTGCAGTTTGAAGAGATTTCTGAGATGATGAAGCTGATCTGGGATGATAGGATGCCTCGCTCTCGTATCGAAGGTCTCCTCGCATCATTCCCGAAACTCACTGATACAGGCACTCAGCACACTACCATAGAGACGGAGAATGTTCGCTATGTCTATCAGCTTCTTGTGGGTTCAACCAAACGTCCATAACACCAAATTTACGTCTAACACAGTTTCTAGGACGAGCTTTACCTTGTCCTCATAACCAATAAACAGTCCAATATTCTGCAGGACATCGACTCACTGCATCTGTTCGCCCAGGTCGTGTCCTCGATCTGCAAATCACTTGATGAACGAGAGATACTGAAGAACTCATTTGAGCTTCTGAGCGCATTCGATGAGGTTGTCTCATTGGGCTATAGGGAGAATTTGGGTCTACAGCAGATAAAGACCTTCTTAGAGATGGAGAGCCACGAAGAGAGGATCCAGGAGATCATTGCCAGGGTGTGTTACCTTATTTGGGGAGTCCTAAACAGTGGATGTAGGGTGTGGGGAACAGAAAAATACTGATTGAGAACCTATGTAGAACAAAGAGTTTGAAGCTACCGAGGAGCGGAAACGCAAGGCTAAACAGCTCGATCTCCAACGGAAGGAGATGTCTCGTAATGCTTCTGGAATTGGTTCTGGAGGAATGGGTTCATCTGGTCGTTCTTCAACCCCGCGCGCCTCGCAATTTCCAACTTACAACCCCCCCTCAAAGTCTACAACGGATTCTTACGACTCATACGAGGCTGAGAAGAAAAAGACGTTTTCGTCAGCACCCAAGGGCAAGGGTATGCAGCTTGGACGCAAGTCAAAAACGACCGATATGTTCGAGCGTGTCCGCGGGGATCTTGGTACCGATGCCGAAGAGCGCGCGCCTCTGGTCTCGTCGACACCAGCCCAAGAAGTTGTATCCCCATCAAGGGCCAGCTTTTCGGGCGATCGAAAGGCAGTTCAGATCATCATTTCAGAGCAGATATCCGCCTCTCTCAACCGTGAAGGTGGCGCCAAGAGCTTTGAGGTCAAAGGTGACCTGCAGCTTCGGATTATGGACCCCGCACTCTCCAAGGTGAAACTCAGTGTCACAGCCGAACATGCGGACGCTCAGTTCCGCACCCACCCCAAAGTTGACAAAGGCTTGTTCTCGTCACAGTCCATCATCCAGCTTAAGGATCAAGGGCAGGGCTTCCCGGTGAATCAACAGATTGGCGTTCTCCGTTGGCGTACTACAACCGGTGATGCACCTTTGGCTTTTACTATATGGGTTAACCAAGGTCCTAGTGCTGGTAAATACAATGTCACGGTGGAATATGAGCTCGCTGGAGAGGACACGCTTCGTGATGTTATCGTCAATATTCCTTTCCGCCGTGATGAACCAACTGTGACTACTATGGACGAGGTCTACGAAGTTTCGGGTGATAGTTTAGATTGGACAATTCCATCTATCAGCGAGGATAATTCTACCGGAAGTTTTGAGTTCGAGGCGGAAGCAGATGAGGATAACGAGTTTTTCCCGATGACCGTCAAGTTTAGAAAGGAGAGCCCAATTGTGCCTGTTGATGTAAGTGCTCAAACAGTGATTAGTCAACCAATTGAATGGTTTAGGGGGGTAAATATCGATGAATGGCTACTGACAAATTATAGGTTCACGAAGTTACATTGACAGAGATGAGCGAGAGTCTGGACTTTTCCAAGGACGTAAAAGTCGTTGCTGAAAATTACGTTATTTCTTAGACGGGTAGTTTTAGACGATATTGAATGGATGTTATACTTTTACTGTTTTTATATTAGCTCTTTACTAAACTATCCCAGGTCAGAGGGTGGTCCTTTTTTCTTTCTTTTTTTTTGCCAAATAATGTTTCATGATTGCTTCTCATGGTCGTTTGATGCGTCTTATGTTCGCCGTAGATTTGAGAAGGCTCCTTTTGTCGTGGCTAGAAAAATAGTTATCGTTGTCACATGAAGTTGCCCTTTCACATCATTTTGGCATTGGAGCTTTGATGTGTAAAGCTTTATTTAAGACACCGGTCTTAGACTGAGAGTCGAGGGAGTAGAAAATCAATAAAATCCACATCGATGTACTACTCCAACTAGGACCTGCACGCCGTATATAAAGTAAGCTACATGTATGGCTATTGTCACCTCTGTTCTTCGTGTGTGTCGCTTTCTAATTAGCGGCATATTCGGTACCAATTGTAAGCCCACTAGAGTGAGGAATTTCCGCATTTGATCTATTAAAAACTTACAGCAACGGATCAACGATATCCCAAACTAAGTAAATACACATGAAATTTATTTTTGTCCAATTATACAATTACTCCTTGTCAGCGCCTGAAAATCCTAAGAAAACCTCTCATATCATTAGATATCCGATATAATAATCAGATTTGTTTCCTCCTTTTACGCCCATCGGCTCTGGGCTTAACAATAACCTGTTCTTCTTCTTCGCTCGAAGTGTCTTGGTCAGCAACCAATGTGGCATTGTCGTCTTCATCCGCATCGACACTCGCCTCTTCGTCGTTCTCGTCCTCGTTATCCTCATCATCTTCCCACTCGCCCTCACCTTGCTCATCAACTACATTATCATCATCGCTATTGATCCCACCCCATTCCTCATCGACTTCCTCTTCATCGCCGGCCGTGGTACTTGCCACCTGCGAGCCCTCCATTTCATCGGCGCTGCGCTTTTTCCTCATTTCACCCAATCGGCCCTCTCTGCCTTTGAGCGCAATGACATTCTTGGCTTCCTCCTCTTCAGTCATCTCGGGGACAGGCGTAAACCAAGGAAGCTTCCCTCTCATAAAATCATTTAGTACAATTTTGGCGACACCATCCATATCCGCTTCGCCACCTTTCAGCAGTCTGCCCCCCTTCCGTGCCAGCATTTCACAGAATTCGGTTGCGTTTTTCCAGCCTTTGATCTCGTATGTTCTCTCGATATGTTGCTGCTTACACCTCTCTAAAACAGCAGGTATGTACTGTTCTGGATTCGAGACATTCTCGACACGGACAACACCTCTAAGAAGGATATCGGTTTCGGTGTCGGTGGCCGAGGGAGGAACAATACCCGGGCAATCGATCAGAAAGATACGACGCATCAGAGTAATGTACTGCCACACCTTGGTCTCGCCGGGAATGGGCGCCACCGTGCACACTTTTTTCTTGCGTAAGGTGTTGATAATGGAAGATTTACCTGTGTTGGGGTAACCAATCAGACCGACAGATATCTGTTTGCGATCTGAGTGTAGAGCAGAGAATTGACGTAGGAGTTGAATTAGAGATCCTTTCCCGAAAGAGTTGTTTATAGAAGCATGGAATGCTAGAGTGGGGTAATCTTTGGAAAGACGTCGAACCCACTTGGCCTGTTCATATGAACAATCAGCAGTGTTTCGCAAGAGGTTATCTGAAGAAGAAAAAATTGAAAATTTGGAGAGGAATGTGTGAATCATAACTAAGAGAACCAACACAAGGTTTTTCAGTGAAGAAAAATGTAGGAGCTCAACTCAAACGAAACATATCCCAATCCCTGGTGATTTGACCCAAAACGGGTAAATCGATATCAATCCTAGTCATAAAACATGATAAGGATGACGAGTAGGGATTGGGCTTTGATCTCCCAATGTTGTAACAGACATCTTCGACTGAAGGAAATGATCGATAACCAAAAGGAAATCTCTCACTCTCACGATGATGCCTTGACTTGAACGATGGGACCGGTGGTAATCCGGAAGGGAAGGGGCAATGTGACACTTCCGAGAGCTTTAGACATAAGGTGGGATAAACGTACCGCTACATTTGTAGGAACCAAATCACATTTATTTAGTACAAAGATGAGGTGCTTATGAGGCGCTTCTTCTTTGATATATTTCTCGATGCTTCGGCATCGAGTTCCCAAGGGATCTCGGGCATCAAGAACATGTATTACAACATCTGATGAATCGATGACCTTGATGCAGATTAGCCTCGATTCTTGCAAAGCTTTCTCTGCCAGCGCAATTGGGAACAAATACCTTGTAAAGCTCATTCCAAATTCTTTTACTTTGACCCTTTGAGAATATAGGCTCCTTGGCTTCTGTAATCCATCCAGATCCTGCTTCAGCGGCGTTTTCCTCACTGCTCTTACCAGACAATAGAAGTTTCATTTCGAGAGTTTCTTCATATTTTTTGTCTTTCACCTCACACTCGCCTACTAAATCCTCCAAAGTGGAAACTGCCAATTTAGGACGCTTCCGCTGTGCTTTTGGACCAAAGGTCTGTGCAAAGGGCTCTGTCTCGACGTGGATTTTCGCAGCGTGTTGCTTTGAAGTAGGATCCGCGAGAAGAGACATGGGAAGTTTATTCTGTTTCAAAAGAACTTGATACGGGTCATTCGCTTTTTGGGCCATTGCTTCTCGAAAAGAGGTAAGAGCGCCCTGCGAAATAACTCTTGTGTTGCCTACAACCGATTAACGTGTAAGTTTTCCAATTATTATTATTATTATTATTGAGAAGGGTTGTGGTTTCAATATAACGAGGAAGGAGGAATACATACCAAACCATTTCCTATTGGGCTCAATTCGGGCGGTTGGAATTTCTCGGGATTGGAAAGAGGCAGCTTTAAGAATATCTCCATTTTTATTTCGGATAGGTTTCCCCTCCTTGTACATATTCAATCGCCCAACCTTTTTGGCATCGCGGTAGAAATTCTCGCCCTTAACTTTGACATTGGCCATGCCATCGCTAGCAGTGTCCTTACGGCCACTGTGGACTAGTTAGCATTAGATAGAACAAATTGGGGGGATAAAAGGATGATAGAGGGGAATAGAAGGAAGGTTTACCGACGGGATGCCTCTTTCTTAAAATTTCCCATCTTTGATGAATGTGTAGGGGGAATGGAAAATATTTGTGTGAAAGGAGTGGGAGAAGGAAGAGAGACTTAAAACTTTTTTTTTTCCCTCGTCGATAGTGTGTGGGCTGCCAAGAACGTAACGCCTGTCCCCAGCCGATGAGGGGTCAAATAATCAGCGGAGCCCCAGTCCATTTTGAAACATCTCGAAATTCTTGACTTAACGTCAGATCGTATAAGTGAGCCCAAGGGTCACAAAATAAACAACCTAACAATGGCATCAGTTGCAGCTTCAATTCGAAGGGTTGTGACCACCACTGCTCGCCAGTCACCCTTACAAGTATGTCGGTCTGCAATTAAGATGCCTCTTGTCCCCCGGTCGTTTTCATCATACCAATCCCTATGGGCCGAAATGGACACCGGTAGTCAAGTAGGAATGAATGTGCAAGCTGGACAGAGAGTAGAAGTTTTAGACGGAGTTGCTCACCGTGAGCCACCTGAGGGGGATCTGGACAATATCGCTGAGAAGGAATGGGAGTTTGACGATTTCAGCTCCATGGCACATGCGGAACTTGAGAGGCATAGGGAGGCAAGACAATATGCCAGAATAGCGGCGTATGAAATGCCACGACTATCCGGTAAACTCAATATTTATAAAATTAGATCTCACAATTAATCTCACTAATATTTTGGTGCAGAGCTTGTCAGGCCGTTCGTCCCCCCCAACGAAAAGGAAATTCTCCGTTTTCGCTACACTACTTATATGGGCGAAAAACATCCAGCTCAGTCCAAAGTAGTTTGCGAATTTGCCACATCAGATCTTCCCCTCACACAGGTCGAGAGGAATAAGTTGATTAAGCTTGCGGGGGTCAGATATAACCCTGACACGGATATCGTTCGCATGTCGAGCGAGATGTTTCAGCACCAGGCGCAGAATAAGAGGTATCTTAGTGATTTGGTAGACTCCCTTGTTGCGGAAGCAAAGGTACGTGCATATAAACAATTGTGTAATCTCTTCTGAGAGACGGAAAGCTAATGCTGGCCATGGCCATGTCTCTGTAGGATTCGACAGAAACATTTGAGGATATACCATTCGACTTTCGACATCATGAAGCAAAGAAAGCCCCCCCTAAGCCGAAATTTCCGAAGGAGTGGAGGTTGAGTCCTAAGAGACGGGCACAGCTAGAGGAGGAGAGAGCAAACCTTGAAAACATGTTTGAGCAATAGCTGTCTTGTACATATGGCTTACTTTCCGAGCAACTGTATCATAACCTGTACAAACTTAGATGAAAAACATTACGGGTTCACCAAAATAGGTGTCTATAATATTGTCTAAGCGGTTTAATAAAAGCATAAATGGACCTTCTCTCCGAGGAACTTAACAATCATGATTGTATTGTCTATTTTACAATGTAATATACCCAAACAAACTTTTCCTTTAACGCTTGACCCAGGTGGGCATCTTACGGGCCTTAAGATGACCGGGCTTCTTCCTCTCAACGCCCCTGGGGTCGCGAGTCACGCAGCCAGCTGAACGCACACAAAAGTCAGTGAGCCACGCTCACAATGAATAAAATCCAAACAAGAGACGCCAGAAGTAATTTGAAATCGGTGGGAGAAATAATTGGTGGATTGGGAGGAAACAAACCTCTCCGCAAAGCCGGTTTGAGAGCCGGCTCATGGACTAGCAAAGCCTTAGCAAGTCCCAAGGTCAAGGCCTCAGCCTGTCCAGTTGTTCCTCCACCCTCCAATACAGCCCAGACGTTGTATTTGTCCATTCTGGACGTTGAGAGGAGTGGCCAGAGTGCACTCTCACGATCGTGTAGCCTCGGGAATACGTCCATTATTGGTTTTCCATTGATCATAACTTCACCATTTCCCTCGACCACATACACTCTTGCAACTGATGTTTTCCTCCTTCCACAGCCATATGCCCTCCCAAGCCCATCGACAGTCCTTGGCCTTGGAATGTTCAAGTGTTCGTTGGCCACATGCTTGTATGGCTCCAGCGCCTCTTTCGTCTCTTGTGGTAACAACGAAGGTTCGATACGGTTGAGACGATTAAGAATCCTGCTGACTCTGTTGTACCGTGAAGGTTTGACGTAGCCACCGATCATGTCACGGTACTCGACAAGGGTTTTCCATTTGACCTGCGGGGCCTGATCACCAGGAACTGTGGGGAGGGTTTCGTGCTTTCTGAGCAATTCTTCGAGCGCAAGAATGTTATCACAGTACTCAGGGTTTGCATTGTAATACGATGCAGAGGCAGGTATCAAGCGAGTCCGGAGTGCGATGCTTTCTTCTAGTTGAGAGGTCTTTTGAGTGGTTGAAAAGGCCCGTGACTGCTGGAGGAGCGTCACTGTCCCTCTTGAGCGAAATTGAGGGTTGGAACTGATGAGGCCATCTGCAACTCGGTAGCAGCACCGGATCGTCTTAGAGCTGGCCGCTGCCATGGTGGTTTGCGGTCGTGGTTGTGAAGTTACAAGGCTGATTTCGCGATATTTAAATTCCTCAATCCCCGCGGATATTTTTGAGATATAGAGTATGCACTAAGGTTTAGGGTTTCTATTGACAACAACTAAACTAAAGCACTTCAGCGCTGTCGCGATAAGAACCAATCAATTGCAGCACGGATGGTGCATATACATTACCGATACATTGCAGATGTATCTTGACACGGCTGACAGTTTTATTGGATTTTACGATGCTATGGATGATTAGATGGGTTTTAGATGCGCGAGTTAGCAAGAAATCTAAAGCCGATCCCATGCCCTAAAACCTGCAACGCCCAATGCAACCAGTCCCACATCCATTGAAGCGATCAGGATCGCACAACACGCGCATATCAAAGCCATCTACAGAAGAAATATCAAGCCCAAACGCCCTGGTGAACCGACCGAACAGTTCAGGGCCGACTATCAGTATTCAACTACTCTAGGTGAGACTTCCTGGACACGGTGAGATTCGCCCTGAACACATGCATGTCTACATGTAGGTATTATTCTTACATGTACACCCGTGTCAAGATAGTTCCCAGAGTCCCCCACTATGGCAACGGGACTCTCACGACTAAATTTACCACAATCAGAGTAAACTTTTATACAAGATTGAGTAGGATAGCTAGAGAGAGTGTGTAGATTAAGGATATGCCAAAATTCTTTCACACTACAGCGATAGGTGATAAGTGATGGAACGCCCTGAGAGCACAAACACCAAATATTGGTGGCATTTTACCAAAACAGGTATCACTGTGTTCCATCACTTATTACCTACCGCTGTACTTTGACCCCGTTGCTATTTGGGGGGCTCCGGGAATTACTTAGACACGGGTGTATTATTGTTATATCATTTCTTGATATGGAGAGAGGCCCAACTCACCGCATCACTCTGCACCTCGCTCGTAGCATCTTAGAGTTCCGGTAGCCTCCTGTATCAGTCAGGTGCACGGTATTTGAGAGTGACGATCAGCCCGGGTATTAGACGCTGGATTAATGCTGTAAATATAATACGTGTAGTAAATCAACTTAGTTTATTTGCTCTCAATATTACGAGAGCAAACCACGTGTGGTAATATATCTTTCTAAAATGTGTTGGGAGAGTTAATTGTCCTGCGTTTGTAGTGTTGTAGATCCCGAGTGATACCTCATGATGTAAGCACCAATACAGGTGGTATTATTGGCGATCGAAGACATATTTCTTACTAGCTATCAACTTCTGGACCCTGTAAGGCCGCACACCGTTCCAATCACCAGAAGCATCTCCCCCCGCCCGCGGAGGGGGAAGAACTTCGTACATATTAAATACCATCCATAATCTTTACTCGATCTATCTTTGAAAGCTTGGCCCCATTAATTCTAACTTGCTTAATAAAACACCTACTCTAGTAGCCGTGGAAACGCATCAATTTTGACGTTTCCCATACAAAAAGTTGCGAGATACACATTATTTGATGCAATAACCGACCTATTCTGTGTTAAAGGCATTCCTGTCCCATTACCGACACTTAACCAACACCTTTACTGACGACTTTACTGACCGTTTCCGTCGTTTCCTGCTTTCCACCGGAAAATCAATGTTTTCCAATGAAGCCCCCCCTCTAGATCGCGAGATAGTTGAGTACTGAAACAAAATATTTCGGTGGGGTCATCAAATGGTATCTGACATCAATGGGCTTGTAACAGTTGGGGAATACAATTTCATTTTGGTGGATCCATTGTTTGGCATATACATGCAGGCAATTCTTGCTTAATGCTCCTGGTATAATAGTAGGATGCTCGGTGATGATTCGTTTCATTGCCGATGGCCTTCGTCAATCATGTGAAGCATCACCGGTGGCCAAAACTTATCCCCCCATGTGTATACGCTCAAAATGTGTGACAGAAGCGTGAAAGGTAAAGGCATCAGTAAAGTCGTCTGTAAAGTCGTCTGCAAAATCGTCTGATTTCCCTTAAAACGACCAAAATATTGACATTACCCATGTAAATCCAAGCTCGAAAAACGACTTTACCGACGACTTTACTGAATATTATTTAATGTTTTCAGGTACACATTTCCACGGCTCCTAGAGCTAACATCATGACATTGGCCATCAAAGGGGATGGATAAAAATTGCCCTACTCTCACAAAACGATACGCGCTTTGTGTTTTTACCTATGCCTCCAGCCCCTGAACATTCATTCACGACTAGAGGTTTCCTGTTTGTTACCAACCGTAATCATTTCATGATGCACCATCTCATTCAAACCAGGTTAGTGAATAGAATAAAGCCTTACGTTTCTCTTTTTCATGCTACTCTGGCCTGGAACCTTTTTGCCCCCGAAAGTACTTTCCCGGGCGGAGTAAACAAAACAATCATTTCATTGAAGGGCTGTTCCGCCATACCCCAGTACACCTTTAATTTTCTATGTAGGAAGCCTGGGTGCAGGGCCAATCATCACCCGCCATTTGCGAAATTTCTTTTCGTCCTGACCTTTTATACATCAGGAGAATTAGGAGAATGGAATTATGAGACACTGAAAATACGAGGTCGAACATTTCAGCAAGCTGTATATAACAATGACCTACACTATTTGGCTAGCATCTACTGTCAAAGACAACAGGGACAAATGCTACCCCTTCTAATATAGGTAAGTCTCTGCAACCCAGCGAATCGCCATTGGCAAACTTCCAACTTTCTATCTCTAGCCAAACCGCATCGGCATTAACCCCCCCCAGTGCCCTTCTCATGTCGTCCCTCTCGATCAAATTCTTCGCACCAACTGTTTCGCACATTTCGTCCACAACCTCATCGCTTACAGGAACATTCGCCGCAACACTAATCAAGAGCCTACAAAAGGCATCCCACTTCTTGAAATGTGGGCTATAAACCCCTAGGCTTCCACTCTTGATTCTTCTCTCTTTCTCCAATTCTTTGTAGGCCTTTATGTAGCCCCTCTTGATACTAGGCCATGATTCGTTTATCCGGGACGTCATAAATCCACCGCAGCATTCGGTAAGTTGGGAGACGGCGTCCGCTGCGGCGACTACAACATGTGATTCGTCCTCAAAGAGGCGATTTATTACGACAGGCCAAATGTCATTGACCAGTGGCAGAAATTCGTCTTCATTACCAGCAAGGAGGGGCGATGCGGTGGTGACGAGGCGGAGAAGTTTCGTTCGCAAGACTGGAGAATCGTGGGTAAGGTAATGTTGACTGAGACGTGTGATCCGTTGGACCAATTCGTACGATTTTGTCGGCTTGCTGACCTGATCATCTGGCCGGCTACTTTCGTTTTCGTCGTCATCAGAGAGCTCCTTCAATTTTTGATTATCCTTCCCACTTCCCCACGGCTCTCTCGGAAACGGCCCCTGCGCACTCCCATCTGCTTCAGCTTCCTCTAGAGGCTCCAACCTAGGCCTTTCTTTATCTGCATCGTGCCTCAAGGTTGCCAGCATCTCTTCTCTAGTCAATAAATGCCTTCCTTTTACCTTTCTCCCCACTCCCCTATCCACTTCACCTACATAAGTGATCGCTGAAAACTCTCCTGCTTTCGCGCTCTCTTCAACAATGTCCCCGAGCACCCCAAATAACGCTTCGCAAAGTCCTTCATACCCATGGAATGAATCTAGAGCAGAAAATATGCTAACCACCATATCATCTAGATATGGCACTAAGTTGGCTCCCGCGAGCTTGACCATCATCCCGAGTACGACCGGAGTTTGTGGTGATAGGTCGAACGTGTTTAGCTTTAGTGCAACCGCATTAACCATATAATCGACATTATCGAGAAGCATGTCTTTAGCGGATGGGTATGCACAAAAGTGCGCGATATTGTTGAGGGCTACTATTGCGTGGGTTTGAACCTCGCGGGAGGATGCACCAAGAAGATGGATAACAGGATAGAGAGCGTCAACCAAATCTCCACGAAACGATTCCTTCTGGGCTTGAGCGATGAGGGATAAGGACTCCAGGGATAGACATTGCAACATTGAATCCAATGAACCAGGTTTATCTTCAGTTGCAGCTTCTGTCGCATCACCTAAAACTGAAAGGGAAACCGAGAATAATTCATCTGTTGCTCGTTGCTGAAGGCCTGAGGGTGACGTGATCTCTAGGTCGAAAAATTCATCAACTTCTGCTGAAGCCTCCAGTGATCCTCTAAGTAGTTGTACTGCGATCCATAGCGATGTAGCTCTCGTTCCGGCAGGGGTTCCGCCTCGGGAACTTTCTCGTATGTGCCTCTGCGCGAGTGTCAGAGCAGTCTCAGAGGAGCCACCCAGCAAAGCCAGCAGTCTCTTCATACTGGTCACTGTGCCCATTTGACTACGATGCCCAAGCACAACGTCTGGGAAGCGAGCAACCTTTCCACCGCCGATATGATCCTTATTCACGAGTAGTAGTTCCAAAGATATCCGTTTGTCGTCGATGGGTTGCAATGTGATTTCCGTTCTAGTACTGGAGGGGTTGGCGCCAATAAGGCTATTTCGAATATTATCTGCTAGCATGTCCTGTAACAAATCGGTCTCTAACCCCATATCTGCTAATAGCTTGAAGGATGCCGAAAGTCGTGTGATCAATCTTGTTTTTGCGTCTTCGTCGTTACCGCCCATGACCCTCGGGAGCGCGACAATCCAACCATGTAAACTGGCTTGAATAGCTTCTTTGATATTATGATTTAATGCTGCTGAGATATGGAGTGTGCTCTCTGCGAGTCTAGCAAAATCTTGATCATCTTCATCGCCAGAAAATACAATCATTGACTCGACTAGAGGTGCGTTGGCATCAACCAAGGAATTTCTGCAAGACTCGAGAAGGTCCCGACATAGCTCAAAAACAGCCTTTCGCACCTCGAGCTTCGGGTGTGTACGCAAATGCAACACGTTTTCCAGGGCTGTCTTAGTGTTCAATGATGTCGCTTTCAACCAGGCCGTTGTTCTATGGACTTTGAGATCATCATTCTTTTTCGGTGTTTCTACTAGCCCTTCTGTTATTGACTGTACTTCAGATTCATCCGACGGAAGCCCCGAAGTTTGCTTGTCTCCCAGAACTCGGCAGATGATCCTCGTGAGTAATTTCACTGTACCCCCGAGAGCTTGATAAGGCCTCTTAGTTGTCTTCCCTAGTCCTATGACCTTGACCAGACCAGAAACTAGGCCAGGATAAAAACTAGCAATAATGTCGTCTTCATCCACAGAGCGAAATAACAATGCTGCGATAGCATCTAACGCTGTAATCTGTAGATCGATCGACGATGTGCTTTCAAATAACACCCCCAAGACCGTTGTTACCGTATGTCCAACAGAAGGCAGATATTGCACATCTGCTAAAGCGCCTTTTCTGGTTCTCCCTAAGCTTTCAAACAGTGCAAGTAAACATCTCATACCAGCCAAGTTTGTCTCTTCACTCCGTTTCTTCACCTCTGTCCCTACCCCAGGCATAGCACCGCCAATAACAAATGTAATGAGAACTAGAAACTGTTTTGCAAGTTCAGTTTCTATGTTTAAACGCCAACAGGTTCGTATCAACACCTCTAGACACTGTAGTCCAAGCTCCAGGGCTCGGTCGTTGAGCGTCTGATGCTGACGGAAAACATGAGATAGCGGGAAGAAAACATATTCCCCAAGGGAATTATTGATAACATTTGGATCTAGGCCTGAAACAGATTGGAGGTTTGAGTAGAGGTTTGCTAAAGCTAAGGTTAATGCTTGAGCATTTGGGCGCGAGGTCAAAATGTTGTGGCTGACGGCAATGCAAGAAGGTTTGAGCTACAGTGTTGAGACGTTAACTAATTACATATATCTATTTGGGCTAGAGCAGAATATTGCATACCTGCTGGAAAGCTTTTCGCCGCAGCGTTTCGATATCTTCGCTGATAGTGGCACTAGAGTTGTCCATGGCTACTACCTAGCAAACGGAATGAGTAGTCAAGGATGGAGGTTTGAGTTAACACGGCAGGGTAACACAGACCCACGTATGTGAATCATAGGATATCACTCGACCTAATTAAGGCCAATTACAAGCACTCACCAAATATTAAACCTCACTCTTACCCATAAGTTCACTATGTACCTTCGATTGTTGGGTATTACATCACGCAGCCAAGAAATAATTGTGTGCGTGGATTAAACGCTACACTTGGTACATATAGGGATCTAAAACTCTCTCAGCAGGGAATGAGAGTAATAATTTAGCGGCGAGTGAGAAACATGCACATTTGGATTAGGGTCCCGTGACAAACTCAGAGCTGGAGTTATAAACTGCGTCATAAACTCGGGCTGTCATAAACTGCTGTTTTTAACTAAAAACTGTCATAAACTCAGACTCAATTTTCTATTTTTAACCACTCAAATTACCCTAACCCACCCCTAAATTCCAATTTTTGCCCTAGCCCACTCCCAAAATGGCTGTTGAGTTTGACAATGACACCCAGGTTTTCGACAGCCAGTTTTTAACCAGTTTAAAACTGTCTGTCATCCACTCAGTTTAAAACTCCCGAGTTTGTGACGGGGCCCTAATTTGGATGTACCTATTTACATGTAGGCGCGGGTCCTTTGTGAATCATGTACATGTAGGCACACGTGCATCTCCTCTGGACTTTGAATGCGCTGGTAAAGTCGTGTTCTCTAGCTCGTTGATATGAGGTGAAACTACCTTATAACGTATGCTGCCGGGGGAAAAAAATAGGAACAGATGTTACAATTTCATTTAGGTATTCATTTCACATAAAATAACAAGCCTAACACCTGAAGGAAATATGCACGAAGGTGCGCAATGCTTTTGCCGATCCAATCCCCGCCCTCAAATTTATTTATTTTGTTAACAAAGAGAAAAAAAAAATCAAAAACGCTCCTCAAACCCTCCAAACGCTTAATCGGTGTTGATGATCTTCTTGAAAGTCTCGGACTTTCCTGGCCTCTCTGTTGAAGCCTCGACCTTGACACTTCCAAGCTTCTCAGCAGCAAAAGCCTTTGCGTAAGGGTTGAGCCTAAGAAGAACCTGCTTGTTCTTAAGAGGGTTCTTCTTGAGCACACCAGCCTTTCCACCCTTCTTCTGTCTAGCACCACCCTTAGCAGGCCTGACAACAGCCTGGACTTCAGCAGAGTTGATGAGACGGCCGATGTCAGAGTTGGTGACAACGTTCGAGGGAAGAAGGTAGTTCTTCTTGAGAGCCGAAGGTGTGGTGGTGGTTCCGTAGATAGTGTCAAGGGCCTTGAATGCAGACTCGGTCCAGATAACGAAACGACCGAGATGACCACCAGGGGCAAGTTGGAGGAGGTTGAGGGCTGTTACGGGGGCAGTCTCGACACCAGGAATGTTGCGGAAAGCCTTGACGACACCAGAAGCGCTCTCATCGGCTGGGTTGACAATGAGAAGAGGGCCACGGCGCTGCCTGTGACGGCGGCCCCTAAGCTTTCCCTTTCCAGCGCGAAGCTTCTTGGACTTGCTGACCTTGACGACATCAGTGTAGGCACCGACGGACTTCAAGAGGGCGACAGCAGCACGGGTCTTCTCCATGGAACTGAATGCGGAATCGGCAACGACGAGCGGGAGTTCAGGAACGCCAGAGACGCGGTGGCCACGGGCCTGGACAAGAGGAGCGACAGAGGATGCAGCGAGGGCAGAGGCAGTAGCGAAACGCCTTTGTCCTTGGTTGACCTTTACGTGCCACTTACGCCAGACCTTGGTAGGGGCGAACATACGACCGGAACGACACTGGTTACCGAAGGCTGCCTGACCAGCACGGTGGGTACCACCACCAGAGACACGAGGGATACGGGCAACAGCACGACCTAAGGTTTATTAGCTTCAAGTAGAGAAAATTATATATCTGGCGAAGTGCCGAGAGTTGTAAAGTCTCCAATTCGACCGCTCTGCTCTATTTCCAGCTCCAATTCTATAAGAAAGAAATGACCCACCAGTTCCCCAAGACTCAGCAGAGGTTTGATGTCCAGCCTTCTCACTCACAGCATACGGCTGCCTCTTGTTCTTAGCCATTCCGGTGTGGACCTGCTGGACGATATCCGGTCGGATGGGGGACTTGAAAACAGCCGGGAGAGTAGCGGTGGTTCCGCAAGCGGCACCATCGGCGCCATGAATGGAGACGGTCGGACGAGTCGTCTAAAGAAAGGTTTATCGTTAGCTTTCCCAATAATCCATTTCGTCCCCGCAAATCCAACGAATTTCGTAAAAAACATTATTTTTTGACTTTGTAAGGAATTCCTTCAAAATGAGGATTGAAATATCGGAACAAAAATAAGCGTAGGTGACTCACCATTGTGTCGTTTCTTATTGATCTTTGGCGTTGTTAGTGATGGGTTTCCGTCGATAAATCTGCTTGGGCGGGAATACAGATTGCTACATTGCCGGGGTTTGCCTACTCAGTGTGTTGATGGGACTGTTTAGGGTTTGCCCTATCTTGGCGACGATAAGTACATCTTCCACCATGGCGAATGAAGTAGAGAATGCTATTCATATATGTACCTCTTATAACCCATATGATAGATACATGTACATGTACACAGTATGGCACCATAAATATCTGTTTTTTCCTTTGAATCCCATATACCGTACAGTCCCTTCTAGAAACATTACAGGCTACATGTAGTCTGGTTAGATATGTGCCAAGACTATAGTAGAACTCAATTCAATTCATGACTTATCTAGAAATCGGACAGATTGGGTTATCGTACCTCTAAAGGTGATTGTCTACTTGGCGGATCGTTGGGATAATCAGGATAGCGTAGATTATTTTTGATAATTTAAAAATCGATATTCTATCAGATTATTGGATTGTCCGAATGGGTTCTCAGTTTCCAAGGTAATCCAGACAACAACAGTTTCGCTCACAGCTGTAAGATTTTAGAGTTTTGTGGCATACACATGTATGTAGGGCTAATATTATTTGCACTGGTGTCCTGTAACTAAGTACTGTACCTACATGTATTCAGATAAGAAGTAGAGACGACGGATGTATGGCCATATAAATGATTTTCTATGATATATCCCTTGGGCTTCATGTGAGACATACTGCATGGTTCCCCGACTTACTCACTACATGATATGTATAATACGGTGGCTAAGTGACTTTGCATCTGTGAAATTGGTCTTCCTCAATGGTGAAGTCACTATGCCGAGCGCTCCTCAGTAGTCGAGGAATCTGCATGTCTCACCAGCCCAAGGGATACTCAATACATGCATGTACCCAATTGTTGTCTGATTTCCACTCTATGTACAGCTGCTGTAGTTTTGAAAGCTGTTGGAATTTAATACTTACAATAGTTGAAGTCTATAGATATCTGGTTCCAAGCAAACCTAATTTGTCAAATCAACCTGGTATTAGAAATCGTCAGGGTCTCTAGACCGGTACTGTTTATGAAAACGAATGCGAGTACGACACTGCAGGGTAAGTCAATGTTCCAAGTTGTACTCTACGTATATAGATATACATGTATGTACATTGTATGTAGATTACCACGGTGGTTTAACCTAAATTATATCTTTGTTCAACCTGAGTAACCGTGTTTAAACAGGGAGAGCATTCATTCCGGACTCCAAAGCCCAGAAATCACGACAGATGGCTCGTAGTTATCCGATTATGATCTGACTTGAGTTTATAATTTAAAAGTCAACATTCGATGGGATATTCCGCAAAGAACAAAGGAGGCATAGAATTAGGGGTTTGAATAATTGGATCATGAATAAGCATGTTTTCAGGAACAGGAAGTGTCGTGATCTCTTGTGATGGGACGCCGCGTCGGATGTTCTATCGAAGAGATAGATCGCCAGAGCTAGCCAGAGAAACATTGGCAGGGTTTTTGTTGGCCACTGCCTAACGCGGATCTGAGCGGGAATTGCAGTTTCCGAGTCAACCCAAAGTGGCACCACCTTCCCCCCTTCCAGAATCACCCTTTTGGGAGGCTCCTTTCCCCTTGCAGTTGCCACAACCAATCAACAGAGACCAGGGTCCCCGGCAGGTTACACTCCACACAGTTGTTGGGTAGGGAGTAGTGGCTGCTAAAAGGCACCATCTTCCGTCGTTTTTCCCTTTCACTCTTGTTCCTATCGTCGCTATCAAGTGCTCAGGTGTCCTGTTTGAATTCTCATCATTCAATCCTGAGGACTCTACCATCGATTCTTTCAGACGGCAGTCATGTTTGTTTACCTTTCAGCAGTTTTTCTTATCAATAGTTCTCTCACTAACCAACGCCCCTTTTGCTCCTAGGTCGAACTTTACAACGATAATGCCCGATGGAGGCAACTACTGGCAAACTTATGAGAAGATCGGAGAGTATAATGTGCACCTGAATACATTTGAACGTCTATGGGCCGCATGTTAGTATCTCCCGCCGATACTGGTATTCTGAAACTTATTTGCTGAATCTTACGTACAGGGTATCAATTTATGGGCAACGATGTTCTCGCGACTGGTATCATGTCGTTCGTTCTTCACGAAGTGATCTACTTTGGACGATCTCTTCCCTGGATCATTATCGACGCAATTCCCTACTTCCGTAAATACAAAATTCAACAGGTTGGACCCAATGGCTACTTTTCAACGAAACATTGAACCTAATAATCTTGTTTAGACAAAAATTCCCACTGCGGAAGAGCAATGGCGATGCGCAAAGCTAGTTCTCCTCTCTCACTTTACTGTTGAGCTTCCACAGATATGGCTTTTCCACCCCATGTGCAAATACTTCGGTATGGATACCGGGGTTCCCTTCCCTTCATGGACTAAAATGGCCTTCCAAATTGCCATCTTCTTCATCATGGAGGATACATGGCATTACTGGTCCCACCGCGCGTTCCATTGGGGACCACTCTACAAACATGTCCACAAGATCCACCACACCTACGCTGCTCCATTTGGTCTTGCCGCCGAATACGCATCGCCTATCGAAGTCTTGTTCCTCGGTATTGGAACAGTCGGTTCCCCTATTTTGTGGTGTATGATCTTTAAGGATCTCCACATTCTCACTGTTTACATCTGGATCACCCTACGTTTGTTCCAGGCCATCGATGCTCACTCCGGATACGAGTTCCCATGGAGTTTGCACCATTTTATTCCTTTCTGGGCTGGTGCCGAACATCACGATGTGCATCATGAGCGTTTCATTGGCAACTATTCCAGTTCTTTCAGGTGGTGGGACTATGTTCTTGATACCGAGGCTGGACCTGAGGCAGCCAAGCAGCGCAGGGAACGCAAGCTGGCCAAGGAGGCAGCCAAGGCGAGGAAGGCCCAGTAAATCGTTGCGATGGGTGGATGTTTCTAGAATTTGTAGCCGTGATGGTGGGAGTGCAATAATGTAAATGATGGGTACTTACGTGGAATTGTTGGGATCTGTACAGGCTTGTTCAGGTCACACAGGGGCGAGGTTCATGCGTAGAACAGGGTTAATAATGGTACACTACAGCCTTGGATATAATACTTGTGATTAATTGGGTTCTTTCATTGTATTTTCTTAGATTTCTATGGTTAAACGGTGTTCTGATTTTTAATGAGCTCTTTGCTCTCGTTTTAAATGGCATTGCGAGTTTACTTAGCCTACCAGGTCAATGTGGATATGAACATGCTGTGTACGGCTCATAGGTTCATGTGGTTTAGTTGCCGCATCCAACTGGTTGAGTGATTTGCGCTCCAGAAGCGATACCGGATACATGTATCTTAAAATTATGCGTACCCTACTCTTTATTGTATGTTGATGATATATATAATTATTGGCACATCCGGGATTATTTATGGACGCAAATGTAAGCACCAGTACGGTAACATGTAAGCTGTATTATAGTTATGATGTCCGTCGCAAACATAGGAACGTCTGTGGCACTGGTATCTCAACTCAACTCGGGCCGAGATAAGAGGGTCCGAGATTCAGACTCTCAGACGGCAAGCCGCGTTGTTACACTCTGCATCTAACTAATCCGGTCTCAGCTAGCTAAAATAGAAATAGCGTAAGCTGAGGGTTAGGGTGTAATGTCTGAGCCGCAACCAAACTTGCTTCATCTCCGGTACGAAGTCAGTCCCTAAGCTCTTCAGCTCTTCCACGAAATCGCCCCTTCTTCTCCTTTTCACCAATTCCTGTATACAAGCCCCAAAACGATTCTATGAGTACGGTACTGGTATCCTACTATTGAAGCTACTACTTTTTTCTTTGGTTTTTACTAACAGAGCTCCTGAATCATAGGTAAAAGCAAATAACTACCTTGGTGTCCTAGACGCAGCTCGCTGCAATGGCGAGTGGGATGGCATTCCAGAGCATGCCCGAAAGGTTCAAAAACATGCTCCCGGAAGAAAATGTATTCTTCAATGTTTCCCCTCATCTCCGCTGATCTCCTGAAAGCTCTTCCCAGCAAGTGTATACTAATGCGGACTATTTAGGCCTCGCTCTGACCGCCTCGACCGAAGCAAAACTTTATCGCCTTCCTCACCTTGGAGTAGGGTCTACGGCTGACGCTATTGCAAACTACCACGCAACCCTTACAGCTCTACAAGGTCCCCTACAGGCAGAGCTGGACTCCCATTCAAATGTTGCAAGCCTACCTAGTCCCTCCGGGGGTGCTCACAGCATGGTAACAACCCCCGATGATATACTGCAAGCACGAACAATCCTTTCATGGCTTTATTCTCGGAAAGGGGATTGGGAAACTGCTTTGAGGATCATACCTGGCGAGGATGAGGTCGGTGAAAGTTGGGTTGGTGGGGGAAAGGGGGATTACATTGGAGTGATTAGGATAAAGGCACTCGTGCTGAAAGGTTTGTCAAGCTTTGTTGCCTAGTCTCTTACCAGGACTCGAACTTCCGCTAGACTAGATACTTATTATGCCTTAGGGATTGCACTGGCCCATCAGAGTCCTGATGATCTTTCGTTACCACTACAAAACTACCGTGCAGCGACAAAACTTCCGGCAACATACACGCCGGCACAACAGACATCGGCTTCATTTCTGTTGTGGACGGAGAAAGCACTTTCTCACCACGCTCTTACAGCTTACAGCTGCTGGCTTGATAATCACATTCTTCCAGGTACTATCATATTCCCCAGATGGTATTGTCGGACTCTGAACAAACTCTAGGGGAATCGAGCGAAGGCGAAGAAACGCCAGAGATGCAGGAATACGTAGCTCAAGAAGTTGGGATGGCTGATGGTAGAACAACAATCGATGAAGCTTCTGTTGCAAGGGCATTCAGGAGTTTTCATCAGTTTGTCGCTGGTCTTTCATCCGCTGCACAGGTACAAGTTGGACCTGTCGGTACTGTTCCGGCGGCTACAGAGAGTGGATTAAATACAGAAAAGGAATTGGAGAGAAGGGAAGTCTACAGAAATTACTTCAAGTTCATCTCACTCCTCCTCTTACCCGAAGGTCACCCAGATCGGCCAATTCCTCGGAAGCTACCATCGTTTAAACCCGAAGCAGGAAGAACTGTCTCTGTTGTGCCTACAAACAGCCCACCAACAGGAATGATGCACAAAGCGGGGACGGCCGAGGTATTAAAAGCAGAACTTAAAGTTGTGGAGCATGTTTATGAAGAATACTTGCTGCGTGGTCTTAACTTTCCCAGGGCTGATGAGTATCATGAGGCTATAGGCGAATGGGTTGACCTTGTTGTACAGGACTGGAGGGTTGCTGGTGGCTCTGGAGAGGAGGCTCCGGCAGTAGTAGAGATTTTATATAGGGCTGCCACGAAGACATTCCATTCACCGAGAATATTAAGGCATCTCTTCACTGCTCTTACAGCAGTAGGGAATTTCCCAGATGCTGTGAGATCTTTGGATACTTACGTCGATTTGGTCCAGAGAGCCAAAGACAGGATCGCAAAGGGGCATATAGAAAAAGATATCGACGACGATAAAACAATTCTTGAAACAACAGTTGAGGGGATCCGTGTTCTTTGTGGGCTCGTAGGTGATGCTAGGAAGGGAATGGCTTTGGCAGAAAGGATCGAAAGGTGGATTGACGAATGGCGAGTAAGAGATGATGATATGCTCGCGTCTGTTTACAGAGGCATCGGGACTGCAAATGCGACCTGGGCACGACATACTATCGATGGAGACAGTAGACCGGATATACAGAGGGCAGCGGTGAGAGCCTTCGAGAAGGCATTAACACACGATCAGTTTGATATTGATGTGTGGTATGGACTAGCCCTCGTCCAGCTAGAGGTAGGAGACATCGATTCGGCAATGGAAAGTACTAAAAAGGGCTTGGTCATCGTAAAATACCTCACAGAGGAGGAGTTTGATGATGCCTGGGATGGAAGAAGGGATTATAAACGTCGCACGGTGCCCCTATTACATCTATTATCACTCCTGATGACTGTGACGGAGAATTTTGAGGAAGCTAGACAGGCATGTGCAAACGTTTTTGAAATATTGGGAGAAGATATGTCGGTGTTTAGAGGGATGGGTATTGGTGAAAAGGAGAGTGTTCTCGAAGTGAGAATGACTCAAATTGCCATAGAGGAAGCTCTAGATGGGGCTGGAGTTGCGGTGAAGATGGCCGATCATCTACTGGATATATATGGACGCCTGTTTGAGGCAGCACAGCTGGACCATAGCTCCCGGTCCTTGCATGACAATGGTCAGTTGGATAATCCCCCGCCCACCCGACCAAATACCACAAACAGGAAGCCCCGGCTCCTAGGAGGCAGACGGAAAAGCATGTTTTCTACCACTGTATCAAGCTTACCACCGGAGGAATTCATAGGAGACTCCGGAAGCATTCGCCCAATATCAGGTCATCAATCCTTGCGACAATCTACTGGTCTCGGCCCCGGCCCTGATGCTCCTCAAATACAGGTTACAGATGTTCACGGAGGCGCCTATCAAAATGATAATCTACTAAAGAAAACTGGACGCCCTAGTAGTGTTTCTAGCGGGACAATTAGACGAATGAAGTCATTTTCGAGTATGAGATCAGGCAAAGGAGATCATGGGCGAATGCCCATTCCAGACGTTCCAACGCCGCCACTACCCAGCGGTACAAATACTTCCTCGGCAAGTGTTGAGCGAAGCCCGGCTGGGAGCGTCAAAGAGAATCATCACCACAATACCCACCTTTTTCAAATGCTTAAGTTGAAGTTGCACAAACATCAATTACAGGATATGGGTACTGCTGGATCTTCCTCTGAACCGTTGTCCCACATCGGATCCACTACATCATTCATGACTAATGATAGTTCAATCGCCCCAATGGACAGTGCTGCAGAGGGTCACATGGGAAGAGAAGCTCCACGAGCAGAAGACATCCCGAACAACCTTTCACAAAGCAAGTTGCCGTACCCAATACGCGCATTGCGGAGCGGAATAACAGATGAGATTGGAAAAGATGCCAAGCCACGAAGCATTAGGCGACCAAAGCAACTCCCAGAGCCAAAGCTCCATGAAGAGGATGAAAAAAGAAGGGCTTTAGCGGCTTTAAGGAAAGTCTGGATTTTTATTGGAGGTTTAGCTAGGAGATCAAAAGATTTCGGTGGTGCCACTTATGCTCTTGACGAGGCCAGTGCTTTAATCGGGCTAAAAGGAGAAGGTGAAGCAGATGTTTTGACAGAGGTAAGGTTCTTGATTACTCTTATAATAAATCCTCAGTAGCTAATGCTCAATGCAGAGGGGATTCCTGGCAATGGAAGAGGAGAAAAAAGCTGTGGCTATTGAGTATTTTAATGCTGCTATAGCTCTTGAGGTCAACCACCCACTTGCCATCGTGGGTCTTTGTCAATTGCTGCTCCAAATTCCTGCCACACCAACCCCGATTCCTGTAGTAACTCCTGCAAATAATATGGTTGATGTAGCGGCCCGACCCTCCACCTCTTCTTCTTCAGTGGTAGCAGCAAAGTCGCCAAATAACAGTGTGTCGGAGGATGAATTAAACCTCTCTTCTCTTGCTTCAATTAATCGTGCACTCGGCCTATTGGAGCACCTTACAGCTACAAGTCACGGCTGGGATATACCAGAGGCGTGGTTTGCACTCGCTCGTGCCTACGAGCTTCTTGGTGAAATGGGAAGAGCGAAGCGTTCGCTGTGGAGGTGCGTCGAATTGGAGGATGCAAGAGCTGTGAGGGCATGGTGCAATCTCAAGCCCAGAGTTCTTTAGACATATATTGATTGGCAATGTTAACTTCGTGTGAGGGTGCGCAACGGACATTGATGGAACATTATATGGATTTGGGGTTTATTTTTGCGGGTAGCGCGGTTTGTAATCACGTCAAGCTTGATTCTTTATTTTTATATCGATGGCTTTTTTTTTGTGGACGCTAGGCATAAAATCGATACCAATTTTGTAATTTTGTTTTTTTGGGAAATTAGATGACTATTGATTATTAAAAATTTTATGAAAGACAATCTACTATATAAACTACTACTAGATGTAGTACATGTACTCACCTGTGGGTACATGTACCTTTTTTATTCTTTTCTAGACTGCCAAGCAAGTACATACATACATGTACAGAGTCTAGTAGAATTATTGCGAAAGTGGGTTTTCCGTGACCCGATAGTCCTATTGGCCCTTAAAGGAATTTCTGCAGTGAGCACGGACCAAGAAGCCCACTCTTTTAGTTCTGACTTTCGCAATAATTCTACCAGACTCTGTATGTACCTACATGTATGTAGAGTAGGGTAACTATCCCTTGCCATCACCCGGCCCTGCTGCACTGGCCAAGCCACTCAAGAAAAATTCCCCAATGGAAAAGTTTCCAATTCGCTGAAGAATTCCCCAGGCAACCATACCATTATTTCAACAATGGCGAAACCAAAAAGCAAACTGGTATATTTCCTTATTTCCTATCAATTTAACTCACCGATTCTTACTAGAGCTCTATTTTTAATTATTGACTTGAAAATTGGTAGAAAAATGCGCTGAACAGACAGCTGGGGAAAGACCCAATCCGCGATAAACTAAAGAAAATATCGAGGAGACAACCAAAAAAGCGAGAATCTATCGGCGATGAAAAGAAGGAGGTAGAAGAATGGGAGGATGCCGAGGAAGAAGACGAAGATGACGAGGAGGTACCAGAACTTGTCGATACTAGTAAAAATACTAGCAAGACATCTGCCGCCGCCGAGGAGATTCAAGACAAAGACGAAGAAGAAGAAGATGAGGAGGATGAGGAGGAGGAGGAGGAGGATGACGAGGACGATGAGGACGACGAAGGTGACGAGGACGAGGACGAGGACGACATTGCGCTCTCCGACATCGACGATGACGATCTCGAAGTCCCCGACCTCCTCCCCCATCAAAAGCTCACAATCAACAACCATTCGGCACTTACCCAGGTCCTTGAGCGCATCGCTCTCCCACTATCATCTCTCCCATTTGTCGAGCACCAATCTGTCACCACCGATGCTCCTGTTGAGATCAAGGACGTCGACGACGACCTTAACCGCGAGCTCACATTCTACAAGCAAGCGCTTGACGCCGTCAACATCGCACGAAAAAAGCTTACTAAGGAGGGCGTGCCATTCTCTCGTCCAACAGACTACTTTGCGGAGATGTTAAAAGATGATGAGCACATGGGCCTAATAAAACAGAAGCTGTTGGATGAGGCGGCGAACAAGAAGGCAGCCGCTGAGGCGAGGAGGCAGAGAGATCTGAAGAAGTTCGGAAAGCAGGTGCAGTTTGCGAAGCTGGAGGAGAGAAATAAGGCGAAGAAGGACACTCTGGAGAAGATCCAGGTTTTGAAGAGGAGTGAGTGTGCTTTTATTTTTTCATAAAAAGTCGAAATTATCTTACTGACTGATTTTATTTTTTAGAACGACAAGGAGCGGACACAGAGTTTACAAACGAGTCAGACATGTTCGATGTTGCTCTCGAAGATGCCGTAGCCTCTTCTGGGCGAAAAGACAAGAGGGACCGAGATCCGTCCAGAGCTTCAAGGGCAAAGAGGCAAAAGAAAGACCAGAAATACGGGCATGGGGGAAAGAAGAGGTTTTCAAAGAGCGGCGATGCCGAGTCAACCGCTGACCTGAGTGGTTTCTCGGCCAAAAGGAATAAGTCGAGCTTCGCAGCCGGAAAGAAGAAGCGGCCAGGGAAGAGCAAGAGGGCTAATGCGAGATAATTTTCTGTTTGGCAATGAATGCCTTTTTCTTGTTTTGTTTCTATATAATTACGGATTGTTCTGGAATTGTGGATTGTATCATACAAATAAAAAAGTTGAGCTAAGGTAACTATCTAAACTATCGTTGGCCTTACCTCACGCCGGGGGTAAGAATCCTGCAAATAAAACACCCTGGATAATCCCATAAAGCACCATGTACCTCACGACAAACTTTGTCCAGTCCTTTCCCTTAACCTCTTCCGCTGCTCTTCCGGCAGACATCTTGTACGCAACCCACCAGTACCAAACCATGTAACCGCTACTGATCCTTGTTATGATCTGAACATGATATGTTACAATAGCCATCACGGCCAGTAGCAATTGCGGAAATGCTAATTTGCGAAGAAGAGTTTTGTCAAAATCAATAGACTGTGTACCGGCTGTATTTTTGATACCGATACCCCATACACCAGACACAATCATAAGTGTTAGCATCGGGGCCGCTAGCAGGAATAGTGGAACATTCGGGAGTGTCCAGTAACGAAACATCCCAACATCCCTAAGATTTCCCGAATGTAAGTCAAGGCTTAAAGTAAAGGGCGTGAGGATAAGCATACCAGTAATAATCCTGAACATAGAAATAAATACTAGGGGGGATATTTGAACACCACGGTCTATTACTCCCCGCTGTACAGTAGTCTCTCCAAGCAATCGCCTGAGGCAATGCAAGCCCCAGGGCAATAGTCAAGCCACCGGCTCCCAAGATACCAATTCGGAATAATCTCGAAAATAGAGTGTTTGATTTTCCATTTGCTCCGGTGATCACACTATGTATTTGGAGGATGAAATCATGCAGGAAAAGTATCCCGTTGAGAAGTCCGTTGCTACGGACCATGCACGAAAGGCTAAATATGATAGCACTTGCTAGGGCAGCAGTGTTGCTTTGGAACATATTCCCAGCTTCAAGCTCCCTACCTGACCAAATGTATAAAAAGCTCCCTGTAAACGACAATAGCGAAAAAAGACTCTCACTGTACGGAGCCGAAAGAAACAGCCCAGCCGGGGAAACAACATGGAGACAAGCCGTAATGAACGCCATCTTCTCTGCGCTCCCGGCCGGTGTCTCAAATACCAATAAGGTTGACTTATACAGTACTAGCGTCGACAGTAAATGCGAAATGTTGGATATGAAGATTCCGCTCAGGGCATGTAGGTATGGTGGCTGTAACCTGAATGTAATTCCGATAGACGACAAAACTATTCGACTCCAGATCCCAAGCTCCGGGCAATGATTAGACTTCAATCTTCTTGGCCTGATGTATTTTCAGTGAGCTAGATACCTTTCTCGAGCCCAGAGACGACTTGTACGTATCCCCACCCAAAAGCCCATTCTTGCTCATTGACATATCCCCTTTCGGCAGCTTTCACAAAATATATGGCGTCCCATCGTGTTAGCTTAACACACAGGTTCTCAATGAGTGTCGACCTGGAGCCGGTTTTATTCGTTCCTAAGATCAGGGAGGTTGATGTGTCGTACGCCGGAGAAGGAGTGATGAGAGCAAGACCTATCAACAGGAGCTTCCAGGCAAAGAAAAATAAGAAAATTCTCATATATGCATCGCCTCCTTGCTTTCGATACCGTGGTTGCTTCATTGTGTGTGGTTTGTTGATCGTTGGTTCGTCTAGGGACGTGTATTTAGAGTTGCGTCACATGATCGAGGCTCTACTACATACATACATGTAGTAGATACAAAACAGGGTTAAAGGCGAGACTGTGATTCTCCAATTGAAACATTTATCTAGAACATTGATCAAAAACATAGTGGCGAGATAGAATCCTAGCTTTCCCTGTCCCTTAATATTATCATTACTCAATTACCACATTCCCCTGCAATTATTTATTGAAGTTATCGATAATTGATTTGATAATTGATAAAATAGATCTAGAGCACAGCAAGAGATAGAGTATTGTAAAAACAGGGTCTGAAAACTGGGTTTGCATGGTTAGTTGGGCCAATAGGAATCCTCCCATATTTCTCAGATCGATCCTCAACTATTTACTAACTTCCTCGGGGTGTCTTCCTGTCCGTGATATTCTAGAGTAGTTCTATATTTGATATCTATATAATATAGCCAGGTATGGGCAATATTGATGTTTGGGATCAGAAACAATACATCACAAACCAACACATGTAGTTATCTATCTAGTCGAGACTGCTCACACTCATTCAACTATTTAAACCCCGTACAAAAAAAAGAAACCAAAATCCTATCACTCCCGCCGGGAGTCTTGATACTCTACACTCCAACAGCCCGGAATAGAAAACGAGCAAGAGAAACCAATTCATCAGTAGCGAGAGCAAATAAAAAACAAAAACAAGCAATTAACCCAGTACTACTCAGAATGAAACAAATGGTAGAAATATTTGTGTATTCAAAAGAAGCCAATGGTTGTCATATATAAAATTAACGAAAGCACCACAAACAAAAAACAAAAATCGCTAAATCTTGGTCCCCACGACCGTTCTTAAATCCTTACGCCCGTCCATAATCACCTACAATTCTCGGTTATGTCGACATCTCCATAGTCATCAAACGTGACTTATCAAACCTTTTAGGTTCGTCACGCTTATTGATTCGGGTCCCTCCACTTCTGAACTGTCAAAGTGGTCGTATAGGCCATAACACAGAACCCAAACACAACCAGCGACATATCTGCTACCTTCATGAAACGACTCGTGTCATATGCCTTACTATGAAGCATCGGTGGGTAAATATACACCAACGGGATGCACGCGAAACTTCCAATAAGGGCAACAAATTTATCAAGATCATCCGCGCCACCCCATGCGATAAGGGCCGTAACAAAAACAGTGATAAAGCGAAAACCATTCTTTTGCCATTTAACAGTAGTATTGTTTTTTCCGCTGCGAGGAAAGAGGCCGGTTTCCATAATACGAATGGCAGGGAAGAGCTGTAGGGGCGTAGAGAGGAGAATGGCAAGCGAATATAGGAATTGGACGCTGTGATATTATGGTATTAGTTTTACTCAATATTAATCAAGAAGGGACGGAGGGGACTAACCCGTTGACAAACTTGTCATCCTGTGGTAAGTTTAGGATGATCACGGTCTTAGTATTGCTACCATACGCGGCGTAACTGAACGCTCCCATACTAAGGAAAATAACGGTTATGATAACCATAACACCTCCCAATACTTTCGGGAACTTCTCGGGCCTCTGCATGGTCTCCTGAATTGGGATGATCAATCCAATACCTTCGAACGTAAAAATTGCTGTTCCAATAAATAATGTCCAGTTTTCAGAATTGAACGAAACGATGTCACTGACACCCTCTGACGCCAGAGTGAAGAAGTCGTAATAGTAAAGATAGACAAGACCAAGCATGATGAAGAAATCGGCAATAAGAGCCGTGAATCCAAGTTTCGCCATGTCACGGATCATCGACATTGGGAGGAAGACCACCAACTGGAGCAGAATAAGCCATTTTATGTCAAGATGCGTTTCCCCTTTGGTGACCGCATAAATAAAGGCCTGAAGATTCTCTCCGGTGAAGACAATATAGGCAGCGGCAAACCCAATTTGGGATACGATAATCGAGGATAGAATAGTGAGTCGCATCTTGGGACCGTATAGGATACCACCAATATCTGCATTTTGTCAGCATAAATAAAAATAAGAAAATATAGAAAGACTCTAACCTCCAAAACTTCCGGCTATCTTTAGACGAGTTCTTACCAGCAGCACGAAGCAGTAGTAAGACAACAGTGCTGTCAAGAGGAGAACAACATTGGAGAATACCATCCCACCGTTTGAATAGCTGAAATCTTGTTAGACTGTTTTTCCATTCTTTCCTCAACAGATATGAACTCACGCTTTGGGCAGAAATAGCACACCAGTGCCAACAAAACTCTTTAACAGCAAAAGTGCTGCCTTTCCAGACCCCGCCGTTCCTTGGTGAGAAATACTCTTCCTTCGCGCGGTCCTTGGTCTTCCAAGTAATGCACTCCCTTCCCCGATGCCATCGGGGATATCATCTCTCCCGCCTTGTTCGATCAAGGCTTCATCACTCGTCCACCCTTCCTCATCCTCTTCCTCCAGATCTTCACCGGCAAAATGCCCGTGCAATGTCAAGAATTCAATGAAGTTTCTCGTCAAGAACGGTCGCCTAATCGGCATTGCATGTCCATAACTGTGCCCAGGCGCAGGACTAGCACCCTCCACACGACGGATGTAATTTCTCCTGAACCCACCGATTTGCTTGATATTGCTGATATTTAAAGTATCATCATCTGGCTCAGGACGCGGAACATGAAAAGACCGCGAACGACTCCGGCGGCCACCATTATTCTCTATGCTCTCTACATAACGGTAGATCGGACGTGTTATATCTCCACCCTGAAGCTGCAATGACGAAAACTCCGTATCCAAGACTCCTCCTCCACTCGCCTGGCCAAATGCCGGTGAATTTGACACGATATCGTCGGTGACTAGATGCCGTCTCACAACCTCTGGGTCTTCTACCGGCTGCCGGGAGTCAAAAGATCCATATATACTCTGTGCTCGGGAAGGCGATTGTGACGGGTTTGCGAAGCTAGGGATATTCACTCCATGATTTTGGGGAGGAGGTGTGCCAAACCTAGGCGGTGTCCCAAATCTGGTTGGCGTGCCTAGACGTGGAGGTGTCCCAAACCTTGGAGGCGAGCCACTGCCGCCTGGAAAGTTGTACTGAGATAAGGGATTCTGCATTACTGAGGCAGGCGAGGCTGGACGAGCTCCCACGACAGTTGCTGGGAAGCCATGGCCAGGTACTGGCGAACCGAGGCGGACGGTTGCTTGAAGTCGCGGCGTAGTTGGACGAGGGCCAGGAGATGAAGGCCGCGGGCTGGGAGCTCGCTGTTGCGAGGCAGAGCTAGACTCGGGTTGCTGAGAATGCGACATCTGCAATATTTGTCGTGTTTGGAAAATAGAGGAGGAGGAACGTAGGAGCTGTGTATATAGGAGGGCGAGGTCAAGGGTGAAGGGAGCAAAGAGAGAGTTGCTTGAGGCCAGGGGCAATCTTTGAACAGTACCTATGCCCTGCACACAGTTGATTCTGCACAAAGGAGGAAGAGGAGGAAGAGGAGGAGGTTGGTGGTCATAAGGTCCATTACTGCACACCCGCTCACTGCACTGCCAAGTCTTCTGACCACAAGCTTACACAGTACTGATTAGGTGGGCACTCAGAAAGACTGCAGGTCAAGCCCTGGGAGGTCACGATGGATATCGGATGAGAACATCCTGCGATAATGAATACATATTATGTACCTACATGTATGTAGGTACAGGTAATCGGGGAAACCCCTCAGTTAGATACGACTCTGCAGATAGATATTTTTCTCTACCTACGGCCAGCCCTATTACTGAAATCAATTACGCCTTTTTCCATATGCTTAAAAGTCCGATTTCAAACAAGATCGTGATCTGAATCCAATCAAACAATAAGGGAAGGGGGGAAACAATGATATGTGTACGCAGCCATGGGGTTCTTGCATCGGCCCGTTGCGTCAAACGCGCTCTTTCGTCCGCTTCCAGCATTGTGGTCTCTCAAACCCAGTTAAACAAATCGATGATCGAGTGTCGGGACGAGTAGGAGCACCCTGTTGAGGTCCCCGGTTGTAACCGAAATCCTTGGCATGCATTTCTCCAGAGTCTGGGCGGCGAGTGATGGCGCATGCAGACACCGTGATGGTGGTGGGTGACACATGCAGGTCCAGAGTGGATGATACCAACAGCATCCCTTGCCCTGAACCTGGACTTCTCCAATGAAAAGAGAGAGGGTCAAAGAAAAAATTTTCCGAAGTAAAAAAAAAAAAAAAAAAAAAAAAAAAAACTACCTAGTCTATGGTTGAATTTATGTCATCGCGCGACGGCATGTCCAATTAACTACTTTTATGTAACCACATGCTGGCAATGTAGAAAAACGGAGGATCAGCATCCTTAGGCGAGGAAATTTTTTACTCTTCCCCCTCGTGGATCCAATCATGTATGATCACTCGTGCAATGAAATTGGAAGAAGTTATTGCACCGTCGGATGGGAAATAGTGTGAATGTGACAGAGAAAAGATGGGAGGAGCTCCTTCAAGCTGAAAAATATGACCCCATATCCATAGGGCTAACTCTTTAGAAGACGCCGGTCCAAGCAAGTAACTACTAGCGCACACCGCATATGGCGAGTAAATATGCAAGTGGAACAAGATAGGTTTGTGGTTCAACGCAAGCTGATCTCAGCGGTTTCGTCCAGGCACCAGGCACAAGTCTCGGGTGGCGTTTTATTAGGCCGGCATCGGTATCCATAGGATGCCCAAGCTCAATAACTCACCTGCCTATATATGTAGCGGAATCTACTGCTACATGCTTTCTCTAAGAAGCACTATACAGTAGGAACTCGCTCTGTCGCCAATTGCAATGCCCAGTTTGGCAACAATATCATGGGTCATTAAATTATCCCTGTAGGCATGCAATGGTCCATGTATGTATTGATCTACTACTCTCTGCATGTAGTGAGTGCATGGTTGTACTTCTAAATGAAGTACATACCTCAGGTAGTTAATAGTGAAGTTGATTAACTAAGATCCACCTCGTATAAACCTTTTGCGAACAGAGGACTGAGGATAGAAGAGAAAGGAAGATTCCTTACAATATATATATACAAGGGATCCGGGAGTTGCGACATATACCCGCTGGCTCGGTCTAAATCCATGGCGCTTTGGCAGGCTGCTAATTATATATATATATATATATATATCTACAAACTCACGTATTAATAAAAAGGTCGGGATTTGGTTTAGGGATCTCGCTCAACCTTTTAGTTAACGAGTGATGTAGGGAGCTCTTGGTAACGAGAGATGAAGACAGTGTGTTAAAGACAACTAGCTAGATTAGGTTAAGACTACATAGCTACATGTAGTACATGTAACTATAATCAGAGGAGGGGGGCCGAGACTTGAATAGACATCAGTAACTACATGTACATGTACATGTACTCTATAACGTGCCTACAAGTGAGTACTTGGAAGCGGTAATAAGAACGTTAGCGTTGACAAACCCACGGGTAACAAAATTCAATCGGGCCGTTATCATCAGATAACGGCCGGTTCTCTGGCTTGAAATAGCATTTCTTGTTTCTTAAGGTATTTGTTATATATACGTATATGTAGCCGATAATTAACCCCCAACCCCGGAAGGCGCACTATGAGTTTTAACTTTTGGGACCAGTCTCGTCCTCTTTCCTTAGTGTGTTGCACGTAAAAGGACTAGGGGCCCGTTCGGACAACCCAATAATCTAGATTATTGGCGATAATCTGACGGATTATCGACTTTTGGATTATCACAATAATCTATGCTGTTCGTGCAATTAATAATCCAACATTCGGAACTCCTGATTATCCCAATAATCCGCCAAGAAAACAATCACCTTCGGAGGTAATTATTCCCACACAACACAGATATCCTGAGAGCCTAATGCTATTTCAACGTTATCCGGACATGTAGATTATCCACTTATTATGAGTATTATCATTATTATTTCCGCTACCTGATAATCCAGTCTGTCCAATAATCCGAAGAAATAATCTAAAGTTGTCCGAACGGGCCCTAAGCGCATATGTATGTATACTGCATGCATACAAATACTCGGTGAACTAGAGCAAGTGAGCAAAAACATAGATTAGGAGCGTGTACAATTTACAGAATTCTATGAACTGGGAAGAGAAATGTATTTTGTAGAGTATTGTACGCATGTAGTGTTATAGCTAGAGGCGGGATCTGGATTGAATCGATGTAACCCGATTAATCATACACCCCCAGTTCTCTGCGAATGGCCGTAAGTCGTAACCCAGTAAGGCACAGGCCTATCTTCATTATATAATGTAGCATAAATTAAAGATGGTATGGACAAAAATGGAGCTAGGTCAACTCTTATCTCCTGAAGGTGATCATGAAAACATCCCCTGTTAGTCAATGGATCATATATGAAGGATTGAAAGGTGGATGTTCCAGTATATATGGGTTAAGGCCCCTCTATTGTATACATGTGGTAGGCAATTAGATAAGCTAGTATCTAACACTCACGTAATGTGCATTGATATTCTTTCATAAACCCGTGTCCACAAACAACAAAATACCTCAATCACTCGCGAGTGATACTTCATGATTAATCTTTGATTCTCGATTCAGTCAGGATTACACAATAAGCTAAGCGTCGGTTTTATACGTAGGAAGCCTTTCTAATGTCCTTTACTTGAACTAGAATATTAAGAACCCAGTGGTTAAATACATGTACCTATATAAATAGTGTTAAAGACATAAACTCGATCTATAAGAATTTGAACTCCAGGAAAAGAAATTAACAGCTCCAAGCTTGAACTAACAATAGATGATGTGGTTTACAAAGTTCTATAATTGTCACTGTACTACCACTCTTTCCATTCCATATCCCCTTTTTCATATTCTGACATAAATCACGGATCCGTAGGGTTACAGTTTCGAGTTCCCAGTAGAATTATTGTGAAAGTGAGAGCTAAAAGAGTGGCATTGTCTGTGCTTGGAACATAAGTGTTCCAAGGGCTAATGGGACTATCAGGTCAGGGAAAACCCACGTTCGCAATAATTCTATCGGAAACTATAGAGTTCCTCCGTAGTTCAAAATCTCTCTAATCGTGGTGTCAGTTCCCATGACCCTATATAAAAGTTGGTAATCTAAAATTCCATACAGCTCGTGCAACTGTTCCGCCCGATCATCGACCTCGCCCTCGGAATGTAAGATAAAGGCTTTTGTGGGCCGATTTTTTGTGATTGGATGTACATGGGCAAGAGCGTGGCGTTGCTCATTGGTGCTCCAGAGTTTCTGGAGTAAAACGACGTAGTTTGCAGCGCTGATCGCCAGGCCCTCTGCACTTTCCGGGGTGAGGATGAATACAGCTGGGTTTTCGTTATTGTGAAGCTTCATCATTGAAATAGCACGATGGGCCGCGATCCCATCGATACTGTCTTGATGACAGTAGTACACTTCAAATCTATTAGAGTAATAGGTAGTCATCCACCACTTCACTAACAGTACTTGCTCTGGTAATAGCGCAAATATGACAGCCTTATTTACGACTTTTTCTTATTTACCGGATTGTATAATATTGGAATCAAGTTTTCATGCATCTAGCGAAAAACCGGCCCTCCCGACCAACACTTTCGTTCCGAGGTATCGTGGTGACCTTCTGTAGGGGTTCATCCATTAGGTTTGAAGCAAGTGAGGCCAGGCACCAATTCCTAGCGGCCAGTGGGTGGTTCTTCCTGTTACTTTTTTTTATTTTTTTCGATGAATCTTTTCAAGCGTTCTTTCTCAGTGTGACTAAATTCCAGTCGAACTTGAGTTACTGTCATCGGGGGAATATTGATAAGTGGATTACCACTGGTAGTTGTTGTTTGTGCGCATCGACGCAATGTCCAAGGCATAACGCAAGCCTTTAAGATATTATATGATAACTTCCCGTCCGAGTTTCCAACACTAACATTCTTGATAATCTTTGCTAGTCTGTGGGGCCCATGTTTTACGGACTCGGAGGAATTCATACGCCGAGGAAATAACCATTTCGACTGGGCGACCCAATCGTTGATTGAACTATAAATTGCGTACCACTTAGCTGAATTCGATACGGCGCATTGAGATCTAAGAGTGCTTTGTAAATCAAGCTCCCTTCATCTATGACAGTGTGCGACTGATCAAATATTGTTATGCCAAATTCACATCCAGAAAGTTTGTTTTATACCTCAGCTTATAGGTGTCGTAGTCAATCAAGTATAGTATACTCCCTCGAGCTGGATCCTCATCGAGAAGATACACTTCGGCAGCTGTGGGGCACCATTCACAGATATACCGGATTACAAAATCGGTTTTCTCCAGAAAGTCTGATATCACGTGATACCACCAGCCAATAAGTTCAGTTGGAACGACTATTAAAGTTGATCTGCGGATGATATCCCTGGCGTCAACTAACAGCGGGCATTGTGTGACCATATCCCTTGATTTACTACTGTGCCATGGAATTGTCTCGTCCACACCAAGTTTCAAAAGATGTTTGATATGAAATACCGCCCCAAGAGCGGTGAGTTTTCCCTAAACCCATGTCATCCGCTAGCAACACGCCGGTAAGTTTTCCTTTGTTCATGAATCGCCCAACAATAAAATCAATACCACACGCTTGAGAGGCGAAGAATCTTCTGCTTGGGATTCTAGGTATCTGGTACTTTTCGTTTACCTCATGTGGGGTTTTCTCCAGCTTCGTGGCACCGAGTCTCCCCATGGGTGAAGTAAAGACTTCTGTCGTATGAGTGAAGTCATCATTCCAATTTTTCTCGATGTTATCCCGAAGGTCGGATAGTGACTTTGAATTCATTTCATGCGTATCTCCACGCGCCTTTTTTGGCGCGCCGATCGCTTTTTGTCCTTGCAGAGCCTGCTGTGGAAGGCCGCTTTGCCCTTGGTATGGGCGCTTTTGTACTGACTCGTTTAGTGACAGCTTTTTTAGTATCAGTGTTTTCCCGAATCAGATTTGGATCTTGAGTGGCGGGATGCTTCGCTGGTTTGCCTTGCTTAGGTCTTTTTCAGCTGCAGATGCGACAGATATGTTTGTCAGATAGAGCCGAACAGCATTGTGCCTTTATAATTGACTAACCTATTAATTGATTAATCCTTGCTAGGATTTCGCACAAGTCGCCTTTGATTTTATCCCCGGGGCTTTGTGAGATCTGAACTTATGATGGCGTTTAAATCTCTGATATTTCTTTTCAGTCTTTCCTCGTCCCCTCTCTCCTGGTCTTCCTCATCACTTTTCTCTTCTTCCACATCTCTGTGTTTTGAGGTGGGTCCCACTTTCGTCCCCGTCTCTGTTATCACATGTTTTCCATCCTCCGTACTGACCGGACGCTGCACGAATAAACACAGATATCTAGATCCTTTACTTATTGTGGTTGCATGAACCACAGCGACGTTCCAGCTCTCTTGATCGTAGATATGGCTTATGCTTGGTGGAAGTTCGTGTTCATATCCCATAAGTTCTGGATACTTTCTTTTTTCGACCTCTGCCTCATTCCACAGAACCAGGGGGCCATCCATCGAGGTATCTTTACGTATCCAGAAAACCAGTTGAGAAAAGTCTCAAATATCTCGATAGACTCGTAACCAACGTTGATGAACATCGGTAAGCTAGACTGCCGTAAAAGACACATTAGAAAGGGGTCCTCGATTTGAGGGTATCTGAAATGGGGAAGTTTCGTGGATTTGGGAGTTTTGCGAGGATGAGGATTTGAATTTTCATCAATTTCTTCCAGCTGAGGTGAGGTGCGCTTCCGAATCAAGAGTTTATGAATACTGGCAGAAGTTTTCTCGTCTGTTGCTGTTTGGGCAGGTTCCTCCTGTGTGCTGGGCCTTGTTCTTGCCCATTTAGGGGTCTTATCGACTGGTGTCGTTTTCTTTCTCCTGGATTCCATCGGAACTAATGAAGACTTGTTAGGATGATCAGAGAATATTTTTGTGTTTTGGTTGTAGGCGAACAGTTAGAAGGACCTGAATGTGTGCATTTTTATGTGCAGGGGGGTTCTCTTTGTTCTTTACCAGCGTGGGCCTGGTACCAATAGGGTTAGGGTTTTAGAAGACCAAGTTCACTCCATGTATGTATGTGTATCCTTATGCTTGTTCTGCATATTTACATATTTCAAGATCTGATCTTCAACCCCGCCAGATTTACGGATCGAAATACTGCTGCTCATAGGTGAAACTTATGTATGCCATTAGGTGCATTACTATTCGTCTCCCATTTCTGCCTAGTGTGAGTGAGACTACGCCGCAAACACGTGCTTATGCAGGCACTAAACTCTTGTATTTCCTAGCCTCCTAGGTCTTCTACTCCCATGCACTTCCCTTGAACCACGAATTGTCACCCGAAGCCATACGATAGGGTTTTAATCTTTGTAGTTAATCTAAGACTACACAGTTCAGGATCATGTTATCTGACACTGCAAAAGCTTGCATATTTATATCCTTGCGATATCGTCCCTAAACCGGTTTAAAACGGCCCAGACTACTAGAGCACCCAGTGGCATCATAAAAAGGATACCTTGTAATGCTCTCCTACCCCTAAGTCTACCTATTGCCCAGCTTTAGTCTTCTTATCCAAATGCCCACGACTGACCTTATCGTAACACCCCATACTCTTGCAATCTGGTCCCCGCTCCCCAAACTCGCTCCACCAAACTTCACCGTTATCCGCCTCTGCCGCTGCCTCTTCCTCACTAACCAAGCTCTCACGGTGTACGCCCTCATAACAATATGGCGACTCAATATTCTCCGGGGTCGCAAGGTAACCCCCATTGGAATAATCGACATACTCAAGGATCTCCAACCCACAGCAATCCCACGCCGATCCATCCTGGTCACCAAAATGCTCTACCTTGCAGTCCTGTACCTCCACGCTCTTATCGAACGGTTGGTGGCAGTATACACAGTGTGCGAGCTTTTCCACAGGCCCTGTCGCGTCCTTATTCTCTGCGAGCAGCATTGCAATAAGCATTGATCTAGGGAGGGAATTAAGGCGCGCGTGCAATGCGCTCCGGGTGGGGAATTGGGTAGTGAGCTCGGAGATTGTTGGGATATCAACCTCGAGGGACTGCTGTTGGGTCCCGGGGAGGGTTTCGGCGCGGGGGCGCTTTTTGGAGCCGGAATCGTCGAGAACGGGGGGAGAGGAGAGGAGTTCGTTTACGTTCATTTTTTAGAGGGGATTGGTGGATGGAAGGTGCGTATGCCCTGTATCTCTCTCTTTCTTCGCGTAAGTTTTATCGTTGCAACTCTGACTCGAATGCAAGGGAGCCTTGTTGTTAGGGTTCGGGGTTTTACGGAGTGAGGGGCAATATCTTCAATTTTATGGTAAAGCCCGGTAGACTGGTAGTATCGGCCCTTCAGTGTAGGTAAAGTAATATTTATAATGTAGTGGGACCTTATATCGGGACCTGGAAGTCGTACACAATCCTAAAATTGTTGTGTTTTTTGCATATATACTGCTGTCAAGATATGTGTAGGGCGGTGAGACCTACCTAGGACTGTCAAATAGGGTACAGGTATGTATGTTATTATCGATAGATCATGTTATCATGATATCAACCATGGTACTATATATAGAGAATGCCACCATTCAGTTATTAAGCTATTTTAGTTCTAGTGCCCGTAGCTGAAGCAAGGACGATTGAAAATCTTAGAATGAACCGGCTTGGCAGAATTTCCAATTTCTGCCATAAACCTGGCTGAACTGTGAGTGATATCTGATATAGGCACTGTAGAGATCGACTAATTGATTCTCGTTCCTTTTTCGAGATACAAGAAGTAAAAACTACATGTATCCATCATACAAAGAAGAAAATACCCTAATCAATCAGTACCCAAGGAGATACCATGCAGCCGATAGCCCGCCAATCGTATACATGACAGTCCTCTCCTCGCTGGTCAAAACCTGTGGGCCCGTATCCTCCTCTCTCTCTCGCTTCTTCCCCCTCTCCCTCTTCTCTTCCTCTGCAAACTGCTTGCCGGCCGACATAATATCCTCCATCATGTCCTTTGCTAGGTCTATCGGGAATCTACCTATCATACGCAGCATTGAATTGCCATCCTCCCCCATCATATCCTGCATACCGACTGCGATATTGCCCACGACGCCCTTGGCCATTTCCTTTGTTTCTCTTATCCCATTGTCGAATCCTTGGACTTGTTCTCGGTGGGCTTTGACTTCCACGGAGATTTTCTCAAGCACCTTGGCGAGGTCACCTGTTCGCTCATCGAGGACTTGGGAGGCATCTGGAAGGACAGTTGTCACCTGGAGTTTGAGGGGTTTAGCAACCTCGGGGACAACCTCGTGTCGATGGTATCGCGCGAATTTGTTGTCCGGAGTCAATGGCTAGATATGGTACACCAATAAGTAAGATAAAGCCCGAAGTGCACAAAACGTTCGGTTCAACGTACCACGCGGATCGGGCCTTCTTTCTCCTTGAAGTCCAATTCGCTTGGGTCTGGCATTTCTGGAATATCCCGCGGGTGGTTATGTTGGTACTTGGCCTCTCCAGCTTGGGGAGTTCTGGCTTCCTTGGCTCCGGTATCCCTACTTCCCTCAGCGCCGGTATTTCCAGTGTCATGTTCAGCTTCAGGGCGTTCAGCTTCAGGGCGTTTAGCTTCAGGGCGTTTGGCTTCCCCGGGTTCAGTATGTTTAATCGTATTTACTACTACCGCTCTTAACGGGGGAGCAGAGCCCGACAAAGACCTTGACAATCTGTCGATAAGCTTCATGAATTCAATCAATCGCAAGTAATTAGCTGCGGTTCACTCGAATGACGTCATACATTGACAAATACTCACTTGCGACCTGTTCCCTTTAGTTGGAAGATTCCGGGTGGTCAATTGGGACTTAAGCTCCGATATAGAGGCCTGTGAGATCTGCGCACGGATTGACTCGTTACTTGGATTCTCGAGTGTCCTGAAAGCTGTAGAAGAGGAAATTGCAGCTGAGGGTATAAAGCTACGAGCATGGATTTTCTGTGCAACGGCAGGCATACGGCGGCGGGCGATATGGAGTAGCATTTTGTAGGCCGTTTTATTTGTACGATTGGCGCGAGGGTTGCTTATTGGTTATGTTTGCCAATGAGTTCAGTTGATGAGGTGTTTTGGAAAGCTTGCTTTCACATGTTTCGTTACAGTAGGTTTGCCAAGACTTTTAACCTATGGCTTTATTTCTAGAGATGGAGCTTTCCTTCAGAAGAAAGAAACTGGGCTTGGGAACCTTCCTCTTTTGTCAGGATCTACTGTGCTGTCTGCAGCCCTGGCTGGCTACATACCTTGCATGCCATCCAAAGCAAAGTCAATCACTACCAGATTTAACCAGTCACCGGCTCAATGCACCCCACCCCTCGCAACCCCAACCCTGATATTTCAACTTTAGAGATCGTGTGTGTGCTGGGGCAACAAACTGTTAGCAGCGCACTATTACTCTAAGTATATGCGACACAATGTTGTGCCATAGGAGTTCACATTTCCAGACAAAAGATATGGGAAGGTTAGGAACCGCAAATATCGACTCTCTTCACTCCCCCATGCAATTAATGAATTAAACAAAAACAAAAACTCTTCACTCCCCCCGTTTACGTAATCGAGTGATATCCTGTGATTCAAGAGCCTGGGGTAATGGATACTGCTGAGAACGCTGATTATTTGGCCTCTAGTAGCTGGTAGGTTTACGTCCCCAAAAGTAGAATCAGATGGATCTTGTGTACCGGTTACTGGATGATCTGAATGTACCAGATTGCATTTATGCCGCTACAATAGAGGGTTATAGCTGCGCGAGCTGAATAGAAAGTCGAGCACCTAGGCCTAGACAGAAAGACCTGCACCTCTTATTGGCCAAATTCTTGCAAGTCTTTGCCTAAAAACCTTAGACCTTTTGTCCAAACTGACTTTCTGTTCAGCTGGAGCAGCTAAAACCCTCTAATACCGTATCCAGGAACAACTTTTACCATATGATGAGCTTTAGAACTACCCTACTAAAGAAGTAGTATAATAAATTCAATCATAGGTGGTAAGTTCTTGTATTATCATGAGTACATGTATATGTAGTATTGAGAAGGAAGAGAGAGAATTACAGGCGCAGTGCTACGTCTATATATCCACCTCACTTAACCGCCCAATTGCAACTTAACTATACCATTGTCAACATTATATTACGTACCCACGCAACTACCACGGGGAGACTGCTAGCTATAGACAGCGATGTAGTGTCGACAAATTGATTTTTTGTATGAAACTATAAGTATTGGTGTTGCTAAATATATGTGTGTCTGGTAACCACTTTTTTCAAGGCCACGCTGTTTGTGGTACCGAGTTTGGGTGTCTGCCAATACTCAACCACCCGCCGCTAGACACCCCGAGTATTATACTCCCATGATTAAACGGGACAAATTGCCGGGGCCGTTCTCCCCGAAACAGTTCTTTTGAATCGTCCAGCGATGGGCCCTCACTACCCCCTTCAGAGCTTAACGCGAACCCAGTATGTGATATATATAACAGTACCTGCTCTCACGTTA